GAAAGCCTAACAACATCAACTCCTGGTTTACAGATCATTCCCGGAAAGTTTTTACTCCAATTCTGATTAAGAGAGCATTTACTCTTTGGCATTAAATGAGAAAAGGACATTGCTCTTGATCCAGCACCAAGACCAGTTAAAGTTCCGTCAATATCTTCAAATTCAGCTTGATGCTCCCATTCAAAATCAGCTCTACTAATACATGAATGCCATTCAACACGCTTGAATTTGTAATTGAAACCAGCACATAATTCCGAACAGACGCAAATAATTTTTACAGTTCCAAGAGCGGAGCATGTTTTAAGACCATTCTTCTCTCCATCAAAGTTAATAAATTTAACCCCATCGATCAACAGGCCATTGTCAAAAGGTAGAACGATACCACGTTTTGTGCAAGGAGGGCGCTCGTCAGAATTCAAATGTCCTATCACAGTAAGATCTTTCAGCAAAGCACCCTTTTCTGAGTAGTAAGGAAATTCGGTTTTTCTTATTATAAAGTACATTTCAACACCAGCCATATAGTTATTCGCCACTACAAAGTCTTGAAATTGCATGGCTCCGCAATGTACCCATTCTGCGCCTCTGAAATTATTGTAGGCAGTCAGCTTCTTGAAAATAGCTGGCGATGCTTCTTTATCTTTGCATTTACCACTGAGTGTTGGATGATAATCCTCAAAAATCCAAAGGCCATACCATCCACACGAATGAACAGTATTGTTGGAGAAGACACCCATAGGAGCATTTCTAGGGCAAATATTGAGATCGAAGCTTGGACCTTGAGGGTGTTCTAACATTCTGTACCAAAAACCAAAATGAGTTCCTCCAGCAACATGGTTATGTTGAACAATATTATTTGGATGGGTAATCCAGAATGCAGCTGCTGATACATCATCGTTTAAGAGGGAAGAGGAAGATCGAACAAATAAAGCTAAATTATATTGAAGTATATTGCCGGTTTCGATAGAATCTTCCAAGAAGAAAGCTCCACCCATAATATTGTAGATGATATTGTGTTCGATGAGAACATTGTGAGTATTGTGAATATTAACAGCTCTATTGAACGTCTTGTGGATAGCGCAGCCCCTTACGTATGAACCTTCCATATCGCCGTTCAAATGAAAGTGAATGGGATATCTACCCAATCTAAATGCTTGACCCATATATGTTAATTCAACATGAGAGATTCTGGTCAGAATAGCTTTGTCATTCAAAGATGGTTGATGCAACATGATTTGTCCACCAAATTGATCACTTCCTATTTCCTCTCCATGTCTTCCTTGAAAGCAGGTTTGAACTGCGAATTCTCCTACATCAAAGCCGTCAGGACAGGCTTCGATTCGCTGATTCCATTGGGGATCATTACTACCTCTAACAATAACATTTCTGGACAATAGGCCAACCTCTGCTCTCGTCTCTAGTTTGACTCCACCTTGAAAGGTTTGAGTTATTCCCAAATGTCTATACTTAATAGATTCTTCTAAAGTAATAGTTTTTCCATTGGAGGAGATTGATTTGATTTGATGCTCCTCATTTTCGTTTTGAGATAAGTGACCGCCAGTCGATGCAATTACAATTTTATCACCATTCTTCCAGTTAACAGGATGAGTTAACGTAATAATCTTATCACCAGCTTCTACAGTACCATCTAACTGAGTCCACGACTTCACTGGTTGACCATGTAAATCTAAGGTACCATTTCTAACAGCTAGAGTCTTAGCTCCATAGACGGGTAATTCAAGAGCTCGTAGGTGGCCATAAAGTTCAATGACACCCACATGTTTAAATGGTTCGTCCTCAGTTCCGATTTGTAGGAGACCTCCATCAAGAATTAGAATATTTTCAGCTCGTAGTGCCATGTCATTACTATCTTCAAATATTAATTTTCCACCTTTTATCAAAAGCATTTTAAGGACTGGAGTATCTGTATCCAGATACATAGTTTGTCCTTTTTCAATTATGACAAAATCTCCAGCTTTAGGTACTTTATCCAAATCTCCACCCCACGTGTTCAAAGAGGACCAAACATCCTTATATGCAAAGTTGAATGTTCCTTTGGCAGTTCCTTTACTTTTTATATGTACATTTAAAGGGAATTGATCATTTGTTGATTTAGCCACTGTTCGACAGGTTATCAATTTATCTTGAACAGTTTTAACCAGACAGTTAGTTACATGGATATTTGATTTATCATTACCAAAACCAGATCCTTTGATAGCAACCATAGTTCCTCCAGCAGATCCTCCTTGAAGAGGGCTGACTGATGTTATAGTTGGAGTATTTGCATTTGAGTAGGTAAAAGCTGCAGATTTAGTTGCAGTTACACTATTTGTTGTTACAACTACATCGCAAACTTTTTCTGTAGAACCACTAACTGCAGGAGTTGTACATTCAACAGAAGTGGATGTGGCTTTGGTCACTTTACATTCACCGCAAATATTGACACTTGACTTTTTACTAAAACCATTTCCTGTTATTGTCACGGCTTGGCCTCCCTCCAAACTACCTGTTGAACTAGTGATACTCGCCACAGTCAACTGGTAGTCGAATTTAAAAGAGCCGGAAGCGTCACCAATTCGCTCAACTTTTACTACAACATCGTATTGTCCAGCTTCGGATTCATCGATAGTACAAACTATGCTTGTTGATGAAGCAGTTTCAATGTCACAAGGTTGTCCAACAAACACCTTATTTTTGTCAGCAGTATTGCCGAAATTTGTTCCAGTAATGGTCAATTTGTCCCCAGCTAGACCTGTTGTCAAATCAACACCCGTGATTTGTGGTGTAACAGATGGTTTATAGACAAAGGATTTTGATTCATCTGTTTTACCACCATAAGTAATTTTAACTTGTGCAGTTCCAGATCCTGAAGGAGTTTTACAAATTATTTGTCCTGGACTGATACTAGTAATCTTGCATTCCTTATTTGCAATAAAAACTTTATCGGTAGAAGTAAAACCATTTCCTGAAACTGTAACTAACAAGCCACCAGCAGAACTACCTTCAGCTGGATTTATACCTGTAACACCACCAACTCCTGTAAGTGAAATCGATGATGGTACGGTTGCTCTACCAGTTCCCTTAATAAAAACTTTCAGTGAATTTTTACCAATATTTGCATAAGGTAGAGAGCATTTAATATTGGGTCCAGAGTAGGTTGGATCTGAGCACTTTACATCTCCAACTAATATTTCAAGTAAATCAGCATCAGAACCTAAATTATTTCCAACTATTTCAATCTCTGTTTCACTAGAGATAGTCAAAGGAGTAACGGATGTTACTGCCGGTGTTGATGAGTCTTTGTATTGATAGTCACAATCAGTACAGGAGAGAGATTTTCCGTTCAATTTAATATCAACAGTTACAGTTTTCTCTGACAGACTTGGTTCTGTCACACAGACAATTGTGGAGAAGGTATGCTTCAGCGGTGAACAGTTGTCAGTTCCAATTTTAACTTTCAAGTTATCTTTAACAAAGCCTCCTCCATTTATAGTTACTTCAGTACCTCCTATTAATGACCCCATGGTGGGACTAATGGAATCAATATTGGGAATTAGCTTGAAATACCGAGAAGAGTCTTTGACAACCCGATTTGTAGCGAAACCGTTTCCTTTCACAACTACTTGAACTTCATGTAGTATTTCAGTTTTTATTGGTACGGCAGGATCGATTTTAAAAACAATTTGGGTTGAGGATGAACTGACAATTATTGCTTTTTGACCACCAATTAAAACTTCCACGCATTCTTTATTTGCAGAAAAGCCAGTACCTGTTATTGTAATTTCGCTGCTCAGACTTCCTTCATTTGGAGAGACTTCTGTGACAGTCGATGATAAGCAGGACCAAAAACCTACTTGAAGACCTGCTGTTGCTGGTTTAGCAGCAGTACAGCCAGGAACTTGAACTGGTGAACATGTTGTAGATCTCTTTTTCCTTAGAGATCCACTAGCTATTTGGGGCTTCACGCCGTTAACTGAAACTTCCAAATCTCTCAACAAAGATTCTTGTTCCTTTTTTACAATTAATTTTCCTTGTAGTTTTATAGATTTTGATTCATCTATGTAGCCAGATGAATAGGTAAATTCTCCAACAGTACTTGTTGCGAGTTTGAACGATCCTTTTTCAGATCTCGGACCACTATAGGCAAATCCATCAGTTTTTGGTGTCAAAGACTTGATGGAATCTGTCTCGTAAACGGTAAATTTTAGTTTTTCACTTGGAGATTCCCAGTTCCATATAACGTTATCTCCCAATTCAACTTCGGTTGTCTTCTTTTCCCAAGCATAGCCCTTTCCTAAACTTTCAATTGAACCTTTATTCGAAATATAGGTGGTTTTTCCAGCCCAACCCATCTCACACAATATTTCTGTGTCAGTAACAGATATAGGTTTACAAATAACATTTCCTGCTCTAATCTTAATAGCATTAACTTCAGTTCCAAAGCCATTTCCTGTTAAGGTTAGCGTAGCTCCTCCAAAAAGAGACATTTCCTTCGGGGATAACCCACTTATTTCCAGTACAGCTTTCACTTTCATCACATTTCCCGATGAATCAGTTGCAACACCATAACTTGGAATATGTACATTAACATCGTGTTCGCCAGCTGCTAATTTAGGAGTTGTAATTATAATTTTATCATTTTCCCAACTTTCTACAAGGGCAGGTCGGTCCCCAATTGTCACTTTAGTCTTAGGATAATCTAACTCTCCAAAACCAGTACCAGTGATTACAATTTCTTCGCCGCCAAATACGGTTACTTCTGTTTTATCAATTGCAGCAATTGATACAGATCCAACAGCAGAATAAGTAAAATCGGATGGAGCTGTGTAGTCATTACTATCTTTTGTTGCTTTTACAACTGCTGTTGTACTTCCACCCTGTATATTTATATGTTTTAACATCAAAACAATAACAGAACTCGATTGTACTATAAAAAGTATCATCAATACTTACACTTGGAGGCACAATACATACAATCTTGTTAATTTCCAAGTTAATGATTCGGCATTTATTACTTCCAATTGTAATTGTGATTCCCTTAGAAAATCCAGCACCATTAATTGTCAATTTACTGTTACCTCCCGCGTTAGATGATGTTGGGTCAAAGCTAGTTATAACTGGTGTGTAAGTGAAAGTTCCCAAATCAAATTTTGCTCGACCCTTTCCTTCAACGTAGAAACTCATTTCTAAATCTCCACTGACCTCGGCGCCTAATGTACATTTTATTTCGGTTGCAGTAGCAGATGAGACAGTACAGTCACTATCTCCAACAGAAAATTTGTTCTTAGCTATAGTAGTTGAGTCAAAACCTGTTCCGGTCAATGTTATTTGTGTTCCAACAGATCCAGTCTTGGGTTGAATATCAGTTATCGTAGGAACAAGGTCAGATTTGTATTGAAAACTGCAATCTCCTAAACATCTTACAGGTATATTATTTATCTCGACAGCAATTTGAGGTTTTACATGAAAAGTTGAAACCATATCACCAGGGACAGGTGCATATAGCATGGCACCATTTTCTAACGATACAATGGAGACATCAGCCCCGTTTCCTGATATTCCTGATTTATCTGCTATTGTAATATCAGGAACGTCACCTGGTTTAGTTAAAAAGCGAATTTTCCATTTTCTATCATAACAGCCACCATATCTTTTAACTGATACAGAGCCAAATTCATCGAATTCTTCGAATGCATCCTTAACTTCGTCATCTTCCATGTTTATATTAAGATTAATGGTTTTGCCTTCTAAACTTACATCGTAGGCTCCTCGGACTCCTCTAGAAATAGCTTGATCTTGAGTTACGCTAAAATCCGATGACTGATAAACAAGATAAATAATATTCAATAGTTTGTTAAAAATCTCTCAGAGAAAGTTTCTTAATACTTACTTGAACGTTGTAAACTTCTAATTTGTCCAAACCGGAAACGCAGTCCCAAGTAAGAAAAGATATTTTGTAAATTCCATTTGAAGTTTTTTCAACTTTTAGATCTTTTGCTCTTAAATCTGGAACTTTTCTGACATCGGCCACATTTGGTAAACGATTAATGATATTATCTGAGCCAATATATAAAGCATCAACAAAATTGTCTTTAGTTCCAGTGATAGATCTCCATAAATACACATCATAAAGCATTATTCTTACAATTTCGGTTGATTTTCTATCAATTTCAATTTGTTTTTGCATATCAAAACATTCATAATGCCACCTAACGATGAAAAATGTAATATAATAATAAATTAGCTTTTATTATAGACGCCTTACTTTCTGTTATTATGATTAGGGGTTTTCAAAACTAGATATGAGGCTGTCATATTGGACAGAGTTTTCATTCCAAATGAGTAATACTTGTATCTGATTCTGATAGAGTCGTGAAATTGGCCTCTATAAGCTAAGCATAGCTTTAAAATTGGAAGAAAAATGTATGTAATGGCTATTATTCTCAATGATTTTCCAACTTACATATCTGTTGTCCTTTAAATTAATTGGTTTCGTCGTTTGAAATAGTGCTCCAGGATTTTTCAAAGAGGTTTTTCCACAGAAAGGTTCTTCATCCGAGTCCAATGTACCTTTGTATTTTCCACCATCCTCGTAGTCAAGCGCAACAGCGTGTTGATAAATTGGGTTTACCATGGAACCATGACATCGGATACCGAATAATTCCGAAAGACTTTTATGTATCTCGACGGGATTATTGGTGGTTGGTCCCGAAAGAGATTGCGAATATTTTAAAGCAAATTTGGAATATGATGGAGTTCCAGTTTGACTTCTAGTTACAGTACCAGATGAACCAGAGAATTCAGGTGGAATTTCAATCTTAATTAACTCTCGTTCCCCGATATTATCTAAGAATTTTACTTCGAATTCAATTTGAGAACCCTTTTCTTTTCTTTTTACAGAAACTTTTCCCGGTCGGATTGTAGGTAGACCGTTAAGAACTTCGGTCATTTGCTGATAATCGATAGAAATGGGAAGTATCGGTGTTTTTATTTCATTGAAGGTCAAAGTGAATTTAGTATCAGGATTGGTAGATGTAATTTTAATTTTTTGAACTTCGTTCTTTCCATTTTTCGCTTTTGGTAAATTTGTGATATCTAAAGTCTAAGAAAATTGTATATTTGTTTGAAAAGTTCTTTAATAAATTGGATTAAAATGTATATATTACTTGAATTTCAGGTAGAGTATCTGTTTTACTTTCAATTTGCTGTACATCATCAACTGCAACTCCAGTTTGAGCAGAGTTTAAGTCAGACTTAAATTGGAAAACTCCCAGAAGAGATCCTTTACCTGAATGAATCCATTCAAGTAAATAAGTGTTTCCAGCTATTAAAGTTTTAATTTCGGAAATTTGTGTTGCTTCCGATTTGAAATTTTCTGAATGTTTCGTAGCCTCAGCAATTTTTGTTAAAGAAGAAACTTCTCCATTTTCACTATAGGAATAATTAACAACAGTGAACGTAAAGTTACTTAAATTCTCTACTATCATACCTAAAGTATAACTTGGCAACGCCCTTGCTTTTGATAGCAAATTGATAAGTTGAATTTTTTGGTGCTACATAATACATTCTTGATCTGAAGCTTTTAGGTTGATCATCTTCCGAAACCCAATTAGTTTCGTCTAACCACTCACTTTTGTAACCAGGATCACTTGAGGTCATCGACCTGATATCGTCAATATTAGCAAAAGTCTTTGTTGTAGTCCAACTTTCGATATTAATACCACGATTTCCTATTAAGAATTATTTAATACTAACATATTAATCAATGAATTTATAATACTGACCCGAATATCCGCTTGCACTTGCAGGAGCGGCAGGTGTTAGAAGGGTAATTTCATTATCTTCCACTTTTAAAACTTTAGCCTTTTCACCTATTGAAAATATGGTTGTATTCTCTTCATTTATAAATCATTTATTAAGAATGAAACCTCCAACAGTAACTGTTGCTTTAGAATCAGTTTCGTCAAAGAATCTTCCTTTAACTTTAACAAGACTTCCGCCTTCAGTTCCTCCTTGTGTAGGACTTACAGATTCAATTTCTATAATTAAAAATTAGACAATTAAAATTTGACCTAATTTTTTATTGTATATGAAAACTAACCAGCATACGTTTGAAATAAATATATTTTTCCTTTACGGCTCACTCTGAATAGGCTAACGTCGGTTGCCGATTTTCCAAGATCTCCATCAATTAATAGACTACCGTTTAAATTACCAACATATGAACCTTGTAGTTTACATGCGATAGTTCCCGTTTCTTTCTCACCATCTTTACCGTCAAGTATCATTTTATAAGGTTCATTTCTGCTTGGATTCTTTAAAAGTTCGCAGTTTTGAGAACCAAAGTAATATCTGAGAATGATGTTTAGTCGATTGTTTGTAGCGTTGGCCGATAGGATGTTACTACCGTAACGGACAGTAAAGATTTTACCCCAAATCTCAACTATTGATTTAGGTGGACCAGATTGCTTGACAATTTTTTTAATTTTTGGAGTGTTATTGTCTCTCACCTAAAGATTTAGCAATTTTAACCAAGTTCATTGACACTAGAATTTATATTATATCTCTTACGTGATGACTGCATGCATAGCTCTTAGGTTGGTTTCGGCAATAGTTTGTCAAAGGAATTTTCTTTCCGTTCATCGTTACTCGTACATGATAAGTACCTTGTAACATAGGTCTAAATAAGAGAGTAGTTGTTTAAGAAAATTTAACCCTGAGGGACAAAAGTAGTGTTTACTTAGTATAACAAACGATCTGCTCAGGGCTGCAGTCATTCTGATGTATGTCGCAATCAGCTATCGACGTTTCAGAAATAAGTTTTACTTGCAGTTTTTTACTCTCGGAACCAGGTTCCAAGCTAAAGAGATCAGCAGCAAACTCTATTTGAAAAATAAACTATAAGTATGTAATCTATTTAAAACAATGACTGATGAACAAACTTTTTCCATGAATCGTCAACTTAACGCCTCCATTAGTACCACCGTATTTAGGTTGAACAGATTGGACGTAAACATCTGTTGATTAAGTGTAATATCATAGAAAAAAAAAGAAATTCACTTAAAAGTGTGTTGAGTGCCAAAATAAATAGATATTGAAGATTTCAATGATCATGTCAGTAAACAAAATTATGAAAATATTAGAGGTTATTGTAACATTAAATGTGAAAAAAATTGCTCAATTTGTATAAGAATATCTAGTTTATTTGAGCAACTAATGGTATTTGATCAGTCGTAATACGATAGATATTTTGACCATTTAATAATTTCTTTTTGATTAACTAGTAAAAAAAAAACACCTTAGAAGAGGTCGTTGTCTTAATCTATACAAAAGTAAGTGAAAACTTTGTAAAATATTTGCATAAGAGACATAAGCAATCAGTTAACAAAACTCATTCTGTTTAATATAAGGCAAATTTAACGATAGATAGAAAAAGAATCAGAAAGAAAGAGAAAGATATTAAGTAAAGTTTGTATTGTCTCTAGTTTGAAATTTAAGTAAATATATAAAATTATTAAGTTCTTCTTATAGGTTACTTTCTCTTCTCTTTTGCATATTTGATAATTAGTTATTAAATTTTGAAATTTAATATTATTCATCGGAAATGGTTATGTAGAAAGTGATGCTAATGGGTAGTAACATACCTGATGCGTATTCATCAGCTTGAGATGCTAGGAAGAAATTGCAGAAAACGAGTACTGCTATTGTGAGCTTCATTTTCGAAGCCACTTTAGAAACTGTTGGCAAGTTCAACGCATACTCAAGTTATAGGTTAGCTCTGACGTCATTAATAAATTTGCATAAGACACGGCTAAGATAAAAAAGCATATATTGAATAACTGGTAATTGTTAAAAGGAGTATATTAATGCTTTCAGGATTAGTTTATATAACTTCATTCTATTGACGGAGAGTAAAGGTTTTTGAGACAAGGTTCAGTTATTTTTACACTCTCTCAATGGTCCAAGGCAGGCAGCTATACCTGATTGACGTAATATATAAAAAAAGAAAAGAAATTATCAAAAGAGAAATCCTTCACACAATTGAAATTACCTGGGGCTTTTTTTTTTATTTTACATGATCTTCTTACAGTAGTCTTGCAAACGAACACTGATATTATTAAAGTTACACTCATTTCGCAATAAAGCTATGAGATATATTTTAAAAATATTTTAAAATCAACGAATATTAAAACTACATTCTTTACAAATCTCTATGTGTATTATCATTCAAATTAGATCATAAAAGTTGGATAAAAAGTCTTTATTTATTTGATTTGGTCAGTCTTGTGGTAAAAGTTTAACTCTTTTTTTTTGCAAATAAGTTTAATTTATAAATGAATATGTATTTATTGATATTTTCATGAGTTTTGCATCAGAGGATAATGAATAGATCTTTATTTTTATTTTTAAAGTTCAATTTTCATTATAATTCTGTTCTTGAATCAAATATTACTAAATTATTTCCTATGTTCACTTTCAAGTGCCACCTTTAGATGAAAGGATGGTATGCTATCATAAAAATGTATATACATTTCAATGATACTCTCTCCCACACACAATTTATAGTATTATTATGATCCAAATGTGAAAATTTGTGTTTAAGCGTGTTAAAGGTAAAGAACTTGAAAGCTAGAAATTGTCGTAAAGACTTTATTACAGCTTGAAGATTAGTTTATTTATACTTTTATTCATTTTGTTGTTGTAGATTAAATACTCTTAAAAAAACTACAAATTGTTATTTTTAATAATAATAATAACAATATTTCTTATGTCAAAAGAAAACTTGTACATTTCCACCTTTAATTTCAAAAGAATTCTATACCGGAAATGTAAAATTATCTAGTTTTTCAAAATGAAAAGTGATTCTTCAAATTGCCATAAAAAGTTATAAATTTAAAGATATTCATTTGGATTGAATGCGTTTTAATGATATTTTAAGTGTAGATTTCTTATAAAAATATTATAATTTAATGGAAAAATACATTTATTTATACTGGATATATATTATATATTAATTTCTTAATTATAACTAGCTAATTTGGGTAAATATCAAAGTAATTAGTCCTAATTTTATTTGATTTTATAAAAGATCCTATTAACTACTTCATAGATAAGCATAGAAATATCTAATCTTTCCTTATATCTATTTATTTATCTATCTATCTATCTCTATATATATATGGAGAGAGAACAGTTTCTTCAGATGCAAATGTAACAAGTACCGGAATTTTTTTCGTCATTTTAGGAGTGCAATAAAGACAAGAGAAAATGTTTAAGGGTATCATAATAATCATTGTATTCTTTGCAAATATTCTGGCGGGTTTGTCATTAGTATTACCTTACTGGCTTAAAATGGCAGGAAATAACTCCTATCTTGGTCTATGGGAAAATTGTGAGAAATATAGTGATCAGACACTGTGCGGTACGAATCAAGCTAACGAACGTTAGTATGAAGAATATATTAATTAATCATTATCTCATAATTGTTTAAACTACAAAAATAGTAAGGAAAACCATAGGTAGAAACATGCTGTTACTCGCTCAAGGTAGTCTGGCATTTAGTTTGTTCGTCCTTGTTATATCACCTCTTAATGGTTTGAATCAGAAAACCAATAAATTGTTTATTTTTATCACGCAATTCATATCAGGTAGGGGAAATAATTCTAAATCAAATGATTAACTATGAAAAAATTGAATATTGCTTTAGGCAATACTTAAAAGAATTAATTAGACGATTAGTCTATTTTTAATTGTCTTGACTAAGATTTTCTCTTCTCAGGTGCGTTCCTGACAGCTGGATGGAGTTTATTTCTTATTTCGTACTTAGACGAGCCACAGAAGTATAGAGATGATAACAAATTACATGCTGGATTCGGTTTATGCATTTTATCGTCTTTATTGTGTTTCCTCTCAAGTTTTGGCACTTTCCTACTAAGAATTTCTAATTCAATTGATACAAAATTATAAAAAGAGAGCAATAAAAAATTTATCAACAATCAATTATATGATAAAATCTATAAATAGATGAGAATGGCATCTGCCTATTAAACAACATCCACCTTGAGACAATGTAATATAGAAAATTGGTAAATCTGTAACAACGATTTTGAACTACACTACACTTTCATTTCAAATTATATATGTAATTATAAAGGTATAATCAATACTATGATTAAATCTTAATACAATTGTAATCCAAAGAAAGTACTTTATTTTCATGAGACTATAATACATTCAAAGAAATATTAAATAGGTTTTTAGTTCAACATTCAATAGTTTAATAGCGTTAAAGCGAATAATAATGATGAATTTCTCGCAATCTGCGCTATTTCTTTCACTTAGCCATTGAGTTTTTTTTTATTTAAATACAGTATATTTCTTATTCAGTTGTTATATCTCTGTGCCATTATCTTGTTTTTTATTGTATATATTTCACTTTGACAACTTGTTAGTCCTATGAAAGAAAGTTTTATATATTCAAACACTGTAACAAAAGGAAGATATTCTTTAAAAGTTTTATGTAATTACTCTTTTTTATTATTATTTCAATGTTAAAAAGAAATGTTTATTATAATTTTAGTTTGCTCAAAGTTTATTCAACTGACTAGATTAACCTATATACGATATCAATACATGTTGCTAACATTAGCTAAAAATTAACATACTCTTTGAATATTTATGAGAAGTTAATTAACATCTCAGTTCTAGTGCTGTTTGAAAAGAGTAAAATAGCATTCATATTCAAAATTATATCCAAATGCGTCAAATGGAGGATTTTGACGTGTTTAATGCAAATAACTAATAGTAAAAAAGATCTTTTTCTATTTGCTTTTGTCTTTATCTACCTAAGAAACTATTTACAATGTCAAACACTAGTTCTACTTTTGCAGGACGATAGTTTTTAAAAAAAATTAAATGAAACAACCGATAGATGGCGATAGATTAATAAAACAAGTTGGCAAAAAAGAAATTATTAGAATTATTAAAAGAATACAGATCTTCATAGAATATTAACTACATAATTAAAAATTTCCTCTGCTCTTATATGTATTTTTGACCTTGAACGGCTTATAAGACAAGTATTTAAGAAAGACTATATATGATATTAGTAACATTCACTATAACTTTAAATTATTAGAATATTTTCCTTAGTGATATATCTTTTGTTTAAATAAAGTAATATACAATTTATACGAAACTGTCAAACAATAAAAACTTCTTAAAAATCGAATATTATACTACTTTCTCCATTATCTATATTTCCTTTATATATAATAATTTACAACTTTTCTTTTAGCAATTTAAGGCTTTTTCTAACCTGATTAATTTACTACTGTTGATTATTTGAATTATTATATATAGGTCTATTTAAGATTTTTAGCAATTATTTCCTTATAATAGAATAAACTATGACTAAGGAGTTAAATTTTCAAACAGTTATTTTTATTATCGCTTTTGTTTTGTAACTATTAGTTGTAGTTAGTCATTCGGCTGTATTTTCAAGTATCTCGATAGTGGGTTCCTATATAAGATGGATAAAAAAAATATGCTGAATAGTACAGCTTTGTTCAAAGATAAAGTAACATGGCATTATTTAAGGAAGTTATTATTTTAACTTCATTCCTAACGAGCTTTGTTAATGCTTTGGCTCTTTCTTTGCCATATTGGACCAAGGATGAAAGTGATAGATATGTAGGATTATGGCATACTTGTATTGATGATATTTGTAGCCCAGTGGCTGAAGCTTCAGGTGTTTTTTAAATGACTAATAAGAACTAATATTTTGTTTTACTTACTTTTTGCTTTTAAAATAACAGAAATTAAGACAACAGTCTCAAAGATATTTCTGTGCTTTGCACAATTTACCCTCTTTTCGACATTTCTTACTTCATTACTAATCCCATTGAAAGGAACAAGTGAAATTTTCAATAAAATATGCTTAAGTGTCTTATTTATATTTTCTGGTAAGAACTTTGTCAATAATCGTTTTATCTTTTATTGTGTAAGCTAAATAGTCTTTACTTTGTTGCGATTAAATATATATACATATACTGTATATACAGTATTAATTAGCATATTGTCAAAGTAGCTCAAGTATATAAATATTATAGATAAGAGTAAAGCTTATAAAAGTTCATCTTTAGTGATGACAAATGGAAAAGTAAATACAAGTTTTATGTAATAAACAGTAGATAACAATAAAGTATATATACTTTAGTATGCTAATTAACTCTTATGTTATCTTTACTTTTTAGGTTCTTTTGCATTAATCAGCTGGGCTCTCTATGCAAAGTACTTCATGGATATACCAATATCCAGTGTAAAGCTACACGCGTCCTTTGCTCTTGCTGTCCTATCAACTGCTTTCAGCTACGTAGGAGTAATGGTCGTTTTTCTAAATAAGCCGCAAAAGATATCATCCCAAGAGGAGATAGCAATGTAGAAGATTATAATTGCACATATAGAATACATGATTTCTTTAATTTTAATATAAATTTTATTAATACAACTATAATAAATCTATACAAAAATATTTTATTATTGATATTTCAAATTTTTTTCTAAGTATTTAAAAAAATTTCATTTTCTTTTCAACTGTTTTTTTTACAAAAAAGAACTGTCTGGCAGATATACAACATCTACATATAATGTCATGTAAATATGTCATTAACTTTTAAGTTTAATTAATTGAAAAATAACTTCTGTTAACTAAAATAAATTTAACGTCTGCCCAAAAGACGAGTTCTTTCGTTAACGTTATATTCACAATGTCCTCCTCTAACGTCTCTTTTCTTCCAATTTTTCACCTCTCCTAATCTCTTTCTAACTCTTGGTGTACAGAGACAGTATAGAATAAAATTAACTAAGCCTTGAGAACATATTCCTATAGCCTTTTAAGAAAATTATTCAAAGAACAGGGTTAACACATATTATTGATCGTTTATGTCTAAATACCTGAAAGTAAGATAAAAACCAATTTTGCGAAGCATTGAACTTGAATATGTAAAGTAAACATTTAACTGTCGAGCATATTCTTATCAGAAAGAAGGCTACTGGAACAAATATAAGCTTCTTTTGTGATTTACACAATTGTTGGAGCGAGTTATAATCATGGATGGAAAGTCTTGTCAAATCCTTTAGCTAGAATTTATACAACAGTTAATCAATTTTCATTGGTATAAAGTAATTACAAACAGATTCGTCCAATTTCCAATATGCTAACAAATAAAATAGCGGAACGAATATATAAGCGAAGCATTCCAAACCTGTTGATGTGACTATTCTCCATATATTGGCGTGTATAGTATATTTGTTTATCCAGCACCATCCAAATTTAATTAATGACCCATCATAACCGAGTACATCTCTTACTGCTCCAATAGAAACTATGAAGAAAACAGGTAAAAACATTTATTAAAATATTAGTATTCTTTTTGATTTATCTCTCTCTCTCTCTCTCTCTCTGACTCTCTTATTCTCAGTCAATCTCCTATTTTATCCCATTCCCTTTCCCCTATTACTTTTTCTTATAAATTATTATTATTATTTAATTGATTAGTAAACTTTTGTTAGGCCTAAGCAAAATATATTTATATACCAACGACAATTGACACAACCCAACAAATGTAAGCAGCATATTTTCTAATTAACTCGTTATGCTTTTCTCTGGAGCAAACAGCTGTAAAAACGTAGACAGATATGATAATGTAGATAGTTAGCTGACTGATATTAGCTATAGTAGAAAGGTAACTTTGCACTTTGCAGTTCATTGAATTTCCTTGAAAGAATTCCGTAATACCGTATAAGAGAGATCCAGCACTTAAAATATCAGCGGCAGCCAAATGAAGTAATAACTTTCTACTTTTTGTTCTTATATCTAACCATAGAGCATACGTAATTATCGTAATTATCCCTCCAAATATACTCAAAATGCAAACTAGCTGAAGTAAACTCTGCTGGAAAATATGCTTTTCAGGTGACCAGTGCATATTTGAATATTTGTTTATTCTCTTCAGTTAAATTACGCATATAATAGTCGTTATTTAGATACACATTCAACCAGCTTATAGCTAGCTATATACGTATTGGGAAAATGTAGTATAGACACACATATACACACAATATAAATATATAGATATGAACAGATGAATTTATTCATAAATCATGTATTCATACACATATATTCATATTTTTCTGTGTATAATATGGCGATGTTATAAGAGTGTTAACACTTTTTTAACATGAGTAGTAATTAAAGACACTACTCAATTGGAATTAAAGTGAATATTTATTCAGATACTCCTTCCTTAGCTTATTGAAAACAGAAGTTGTAAATAAGCTACTCAATTTATTACTCCTTCTCTACCTTCCCCACTCTGAAACAACCTCTAAACAACACACCTTTTCCTCTCCTTATCCTTCCACCCCTTGTCAAACAATATTTCAACCACTACACATACTCCTCCCACTTTCTTAATTCCACCGTGACTTGTTCCATACGTGAAGCATTATCTCCAAGTAATAAAATCTTATCTCAAACAGAACTGAGAAAACACATTAAAATAATTTACAATCAGAGAAAACGTGATTTTTTCAGTATCAATGGATGAAAGGTGAAAAAAATTCTTTGATTTCTTTTTTTAGAATCCTTTTTTTTATTATTATTATTATTATAATAAAATAGAAGAAGAAAGAAATAAGAACAAGTCTATATCATTAACTTATTTTTATCCCTATAAACTTAAAAATAAACTATTTAAACTAGTTTAAAGGTCTATAGACAATTTAACTCATTTTATCTTCTTTTAAGTAATGCTACATTTAGAAATTATTAAATATACACTACAAACTAGGTCTATTATTAATTGTATATCTATTAATATATAGGTCATAATTAATCCTTCTCGCTTTGCAATGATTTTTAACGTTAAATAAATAGTAAATAATAAAAGGGAGCAAAGAAAAGAAAATGAAGAAAATATTATTTTGTATTTTTTTCGAATTAAGTAAATAAAAGTTTAATTTTAAAAACAAATAGCAAAAAACTAGGTGAAAAGAAAAGTAAGTTGGTTAGGGGGCGGGTTAAAGGGTAGGGAAGGGGAGGGGGCAGGGAAAGAGAGAGAGAGAGAGAGAGAGAGAGAGAGGGAGAGAGAAAAGATGAGAGATTGTATACGTGTACTCATGTGTACGTGTGTGTAGGAGTACTGAAAAATTTGTATGGAAGAAGAGAAGGTATTTTTATCCGTAATTTTCTTCGTATAAACTTTAATAAGTTAAAAAAGGGGAAGCCATTAGAATTAAGCTTGACAAAAAAAATTACTAGGTCTAGTTAAATTGTGAAAAGCACATAAGAGAAATGAAAAACAAACAAAAAAAAACTGTTTATCCAATAAATAGATATAGGCCTACTGGAAAAAACCAAATATCTTGACTTTCAGTTGGACTTTTACTTTGTGGAAAAGCGCTGTTGGAAGAGAAAAACAACATATTATCAATGATGGTTAGTAATAATTAACAAGATAATCTTTACAATTGATTAAAACTGTTCATAATTAAAAAAAAAAGACTTTCTATGTGAATTGATGATTTTCTTTCTCAAATGATTATTCTATAAATTCTTATATAGTCGAAGGACACTCCTGATTTAACTGCTGAACAAATAGCTGAATTTAAGGAAGCTTTTTCCCTTTTCGATAAAGATGGGGACGGTACTATTACAACGAAAGAACTTGGAACTGTAATGAGATCACTAGGTCAAAATCCAACGGAAAGCGAGCTGAAAGATATGATAAATGAAGTGGATACAGATGGGAATGGTACACTAGATTTTCCAGAATTCTTAGAAATGATGGCTAGAAAAATGGGTGATAGAGATTCTGAGGAAGAGATCAGAGAAGCCTTTAAAGTATTTGATAAAGATAATAATGGGGTTATATCTGCAGCAGAATTGCGTCACGTAATGACCAATCTAGGTGAAACTTTAACCGACGAAGAGGTTGATGAAATGATAAGGGAAGCAGACGTTAACGGTGATGGTCAAATCAACTATGAAGGTTATTTTAAATTTCTCTCCCTGTATTGCCATCTATTGGCTATAGAATAAATAATAAACTATTATTCATTTTTCATATTTACAGAATTCGTTATGATGATGATGAATAAGTAGACGAAAAGAAGAAGGAACAAAAAATCATTCATTCCAAAGAGAATCTTTATTTCCTGCTTAAAAGTTAACGATTTTACAATTTTTACATTTTTTCTATTTTATTAATAAAAAATGTAATAAGAAAACAATGAAGAATAAGATTATTATGTGTTAACGAAGCGACCTCTTCTTCTTCTTATAAATACAGTATATACTCTCTAAATCTTACTATCTTTCTTCTCCCATTCCCCTTTCTTCATTTTCTTTAGATGTTTTGAATATAGAATTATTGCAATAGTCATGCTAGTCTCTTATTTAAAATAACTGCAAGATATTTAACCTAGAAGTGTGAGATTTGTTAAGGTCTTTTTGGTCTCAAACTATATCTTTCATGGAAATACAAATAAGTGATTACAATTTCCATCCGTTAGTCATAATTGCTCTTATCTTGATTAACAACCGAAATGTTTGACACAGTACGGAAAATACTTGTTCGGTTAACAAAGTTTATTATCAAAAGATCAACTTGCAAACACGGGAGATTAGTAAAAATCTCCTAAAAAAATAAAGGCATTAAAAGAAAAATTATCAAGATTAGGAATAAAGGAGTGAGACGATAATATTAGTTATTAATTCTTGGGTGATAGATATCAACAGGAGGACAGTTTATAGCAACACTTTAATGCAAGGTGTAGAGGTAACCGTAGTTTCTAATGGTACCAAAAAGAATTTTCAAACGTCCTGTGCTACTAATTGCAGAGAAAATGTCAATAATATGCAGATTCAAGTAGTACAAGGACCTAGATATCCTTCTGTGGAATGAGTATTGATTCTCTACTTTGCGTAGGTTTTCGTCAAGTGCAGATACTATTTACCCATACAGAGATTCTTTTTTATATTTATAATCACAAAAGATATAACACTGTGCCTTATAAGAGAAAAAATAACTTTATATATTAAAACTAGCTGCATGGACTTTATATTTAATTCTTGAAAGCATCCTTTAAACAAAGTATAAGAGCTTTTAACACCCATTACAGATTATTTATCAATTCGAACTAAGCTTGATCAAGGACTTTTATGTTCTTTTCACAATAAATGATCATTTAAAAATAAGTATGAACTTGTTTCAAAAGCAATTTTGGGTGGAGCATAAAAAAATTGCTGTTAATCACATCTCGTGATTTTTAGCATGGATTTTGTTTAAGATTATTTTAATAACTTTATTGTAACAAATTCTAGTTAATTAATTATAATTAATAATTAATAATTAAATATATATGCAATATTTTCACATACAGACTTTGTTAACTTTATAAAAATTTTAGTTTTACTAGAAAATAAGGAAGGAATATAAATGAAATTAAATATTACACAATATAATGAAGTCAGAAAACAATAAAAAATGCTGATGTAACATGCAGTTATATTCTATGATATAAAATGATAAGCATCTTTTATTAAACAATTAATCAACTTTAACCCAAAAGAATGACTTTCCATATTATATTTTCAAACTGCGATTTAATTTAGAAAAAGGCTATTAAATAATACAATAATACTTTGTGTCGATTATATTCTCCTTATAGATTTTAATTATATATATATATATATATAATGCTAGAGTACTTCTTTCGAATTATAAGGGATTCAAGAACTTTTGAAATTTATTCGCCTTTTGTTTATTTGTAAGGTGAAAAATTAGGTACAATGATAAATATGATTCCTTTATTATGATAAAAGTCATATTTACCTATGTCTACTTTATTATTTTTTTTATGCGAGTCATGGCAATACTTAATAAAAACTTGTATTTTAAACTAAAAGTAAACTAATACGAAGAGAAATAATTACTAATTAATTGAAATAAAGAGAATATTAAAGAATTTCCTTAACTATTTGTTAATAACTCTAAATTATTACTAATTTTCGAGTATCTATCACACTGTTCCAAAATGTATAATAACATTATTAATATGAACTTAAAAAAGTTTGGCCTAAGTCATTAGAAAAGTCGTTGAACTACTGAAAAGTATGAATATTAATATATATTCTTTCAGTTTCAAAATCTGATTTCAGTCTAGCGGATTCTTCGTGAATATATATTACTTTATCTAATATATTAGGTCAAAAGTCAGAAAAAAGGTTCACGCAGCATTTATATCATATTATAAAGATATCAATTTCTATAAAAACCGTTGCCGGCCAACGCTTTAGCTCATTCTCTTTTCTATATTCATGATAAGAACTTCTCTATTTCAATTTAGAAGTAGATAGTCAAGTCTTTTTTTTGAGAAAAGATGATTTTAATTGCAAAGATTATAGCTATTTTTGCATTTCTCATAGGTTTGCTCGTCTAATGTGCATTACTTTTCACTTTAATTAAAGTTTATTTTCATAAATCTTAGCTTCAATCGAATGTGACGTTTATTTGTATGAAAGACCTATTAACACTGCTGTGTATACTGGTGAAAGAACACAATTAAATTGCACTATACGCAACGACACGAACTTCGATTACACGGCATGGGATTCTGTAGGATCGCATACTGGACTGAAAACAATAGCACATCAAGACTTTATTTCTCCTGAACATTTGGATCATTATGAAATTGTGGACACTTATAATCTTGTTATTAAAAGTGTCAATTCAAACACGACAGGAAGTTATCACTGTACAGCATACGCGCATTTTGGACAATTTAATGAATATTTAGATGTTTACCTTATGTCAATGGGTAAGTTTTTCTAATTAGTTACGATGATAAGTTTATACTTTGAAAAACAATTTAGATGAAACTAGCACCTGCGCCGATTCACAACACGAAAGTCTTGTCTTACCTGAAGGCTATAAAATGGCTTTCTGCTTTACAAATTTCGCTGGAACTTACCCTCCAATTGCTGAATTTGATGTATCCGGCGACATTATGCTACATTCAACTGTTCACAACAATGAGATGGTTGGTGGTTGTGCAGTTGTTGCGAATGATACTGATTTCAACTGTTCGCTTATTTATCGATCACCACCAAAAGACGCCGTGTTTTATGAATTTGCTGATAAAACTTCACCAAATCTAACGACAACTTGTCAAAGACCATCCGATAATCAACCCACAGGTGAGTCACATTAAATAACCTTAGTTTGGCAAAATGTTTTATGTTATTTTATGCCTTTTTTTTCACTTCTAAACATTTTAGTTCCCGATTGGCTATTGAATTCTTGCAAAAACCTCTTCGAACCACCTAAACCAACAATCGTTTATAGACCAACAAATGTTGCCGTCTTAAGGGGAGAGCGAGCCACAATGAATTGCACTGGACGACATCTTGGAACCTTTCACACAATTCGATGGGATTATAAAGCTAGTAATTCGGATTCAGCTGTTATGATTACTATTAACGATTATCAAGAGCCAAGTACAACAGCATTATTCACCATATTTGATACCTATAACCTTGACGTATCCTTTGTAAACCGTACAACATCAGGTCAATTTCAATGCGATGCCTATGATCAAGCAGTTTTAGGCACTTATAACGCCTTTTTGTTAGAAATGGGTAATTATTTACCATATCAAGACAACTTATTATTATTCAAAAATTTATGATTTAATTATACCTTGTTGAATATAAAATAAGTTGATAAATAGATAAAAATATAATCATATTTTATCAAAACAGAAAGCACACCCAGATGCTTTAAAAAGAATTATACAGAATTAGAATCATTGGATAGATTTTTAAGAGTTGGATTTTGTTTAAATGGGTATTCTGGAACCTACCCTCCAACAGCTACTATCACTGGTGACGATAAAGTAAAAGAAACGTTTACTTTTGGACAGGATTTCTTAGCTGGTGCTTGCGCACCTGTCTTTGTTGGTGAGAAACTCAATTGCAGTATGAAATTTGGAGCCCCACCAAGTCATTTGTGGATTTTTGATAATGTTGATAAGAGTGAACCAGAATTAACAACTCATTGCGATGAGGAAATTACTGATGATTCGGAGATGAACGTTCCTCAATGGCTAGTTGATAAATGCGCAGAGGCATTCTTTCCTCAACCACAAGAAGTGGTTCAAAGACCTAATAATACAGCAGTTGCAACAGGAACCCAAAACGTGGTCATGAAATGCGAAACCAAAAACTTTAGAAATATGGATTCACACGCTTGGGGTTTCGCAAAAACAGCTGTTGACTTGTTTAAGGTTGTATCGGCTTATCATGTGATTTTCCCTGAATATTATGATGTCTATGGAATTAACGGTACTTGGGATCTTATTACTTTAACTGCTGATGAGAAGACTTCGGGAATCTATCAGTGTTATGTACACTCGCAGGAGGCATCACTGGATGAAGAGTATTACGCATTCCTTTTAACATTAGGTAAAGATTACGCGTTAAATTTATTATAAGATAGCATTAATCATGTTTAAATTTCAATTTATAGATCCAGAACCCTTCTGTACTGAAAAAATATACCCAGAGTTAGATAATGATAAGAAGATTGCTTTTTGCATGACAAATTTTACAGGAGTCTATGGACCGGTTGCTAAAATATCTGCACCCAATGGAGAAGATTTATATTCGACAATAGTTAATGGAAGTCTAGCAGGATCGTGTGCTCTTATTGGGAAGGGTGATCACTTTACCTGTGAAGTTTCCTATAATGCTCCACCAAAGATATTAACAGACGCCGGAAATTATGATACTACAGCACCAGACTTTACAACAACTTGTTCTAGTGCCAATGGTATTGGAGATTCATCTGTAATTCCTTCGTGGTTAGAACAACAATGTGTTGAAAATTATGGTGAACCTGGCATTTCAAAAAGTCCCAAAAATACCGCTGTTTTTAGTGGAGAACCAACTACTCTGGACTGCCAGACAAAAGGATTTGGTGCGGGAGGGACGTCTACGTGGGTATATGCACCAAGAGGAAACTTAGATGACATAGCAGTAATATCTGTATTGAACTATGTAACAGATTCTTTGGAACATTTATTCGGCATCGAAGGAAAATGGAATTTGAAAGTTTCAGCTGTAAATTTCGAAACCGTTGGTTTATATGAATGTTATGCAGCAGACATTGGTTTCGAAGAATTTATGGCTGTTTATCTTATGGAAATGGGTTAGTATTACATATTTGAACCTAATCATATAGTATAAGGATTTAAACTCTGTAGAGAGGGAGCCATCCTGTGTAGCGACTACTGATGCTGAATTTCCCAATATGAAATTGGCTTTCTGTATGACAAACTACTCAGGAGCCTATCCACCGAATTTTGAAATTAGTTCGAACAATGAAAATATGTCTGGTCCCTCGTTTTCAAGGGATAAAAAAAAGGCAGGAAGTTGCGCAATGATAGAGCAATCCCAAAATTTTAATTGCAAAGTTAAATTTGGTGCTCCCCCTCCAGAACTTCTCTATGCAACGAATCACGATCTGTCAGCTCCTGATTTGACCACTAATTGTAACGAAGGATCGTCATCTGATCAAAGTAATATTTATTCCTTATTAGGAAAATAAGATCGTCATCTGATCAAGTTTACGATTCTAATTTATTAATTATTAATTTGACAGTTCCTCAATGGTTGTTAGATGATTGCAAAAGGAGCCTACAAGCCACTACAACACAAAAACCTGGTATACCAGTAGTTCTAGAAACACCTAAGAACACTGCAGTCAAACGAGGCGAAGACGCAAAATTAAACTGTACAGTAAGAAATTTCCCACAATTTGGTTACGTTATGTGGTCAGGATTATCTACAAACCTAAATGGACCAAAAATAATTTCGATTGGAGATCTCTTACAAGGGGATAAAGAGATATATGAACTTGAAGATACATGGAATTTGATAATAAAAGGAACAAATGTAAATAGTACAGGGCTTTATGAATGTTATATTCTTGATACAATCAATCCTGATGAGTTTCATTATGTACATCTTGTCGAAATGGGTACGTCTAATTTTACAGACATAGTTTGTATTAGTCTCCTCGTTAATGAAATAATGTTACACTTTCAGAGGAAGAACCGCAATGTTTTGTAAAGAGTCACTCTGCTTTGCCAAATGGCCAAAAATTTGCCATGTGTGTATCGGAATATTCTGGCCATTATGCTCCTACAGTAAACATTTCTGTTGATAATTCACTTATCTCAGGAAATACTAAGTCTTATAATGGACAAGCAGGAAGTTGTGCTGTTGTTAATACAGGAGAGTCTTTCCTTTGCGAAGCCAAGTTTGGAACTCCTCCTATAATTATTGATGATTTGGAAATTGATACTTCTGCTCCAGAGCTAACTACTGAAAAAAGTTGCAATGCAGCTTCTGATTCGACTTCAGGTGGGTACAATTTAAGTTAATTGCTTGTCTATGTAGCAATTGTTTTTTTTTTTAGTACCATCTTGGTTATTCGACGAGTGTATCAACCAAAATATAGTGACTACACTCCCTCCTCCAGAAATGGTTGAAAGACCTACAAACCTTGCTGTTATAGAAGGAGAAAACGCCACATTAAGATGTCAAGTTCGATATTTTAGCGAATTTGGTGCTTTACAATGGACTTATCAACGTAGCTTAGATGGCGATGTCTTCCTGTTATCAAATAATGCAGATTTCCTGCCAGGATATGAGGATTTGTTTTCTATATCTGGAACTTATAATCTTGTTATCAAAAAGACAAATAACCAGACGGCCGGTCTGTACCTTTGCACAGCTTTTGATAGAGATATTGATGGATATTTCATGGCATTCCTTAGCTCTATAGGTTGAGACTTCAATAAAAATTATACTTTCTGATAAATATCTGTTTAATAGAGAAAGACCCAACATGTACAGTCGCCATACCGCCAGGAGTGCCACTTTCAAAGAGATTGGCAATTTGTTTCACCAGATATAATGGTGGATATGCTCCAGATGTTAATATTACGGGTGTTGGAAACAGCATCATGACAAAAACATTATCAAAAGATTTTGTCGCTGGAAGCTGTGCCTTAATAGATGATACCGCATCCTTCAGCTGCCAAGCAGGATTTGGGACTCCTCCGACCGAAGTTCTAGTTGACCCACAAATTGATACTTCAGCACCATCTTTAAGAACCAGCTGCTCTCTTTCTAGTAATCCTGCCAATGGTAAAAACTTCCTAATTATCTAATTGTAAAATGAAATAATAATCATAATAATCATTTTACCCTCAGCACCTCAGTGGCTGATAGACGATTGTAAGGAAGAATTGACTCCAAAAGCTGAAGTAGTTGAGAGGCCATTAAATAAGGCTGTAATTAAAGGACAACCTTCAGATATGAAATGCACAGTTAAAAACTTTGGGATTGGTGACTACGTTTCTTGGAATCACAGACTCCTTAATCTGAATACTAGAGTTGTATCAATTGACAGAAATGTTATGGATGAAGTTAAAGATTCTTACACTCTGAACATGAACAATTTATACGATTTAAATATAAAAAATGCTGATGAAACTACTGCAGGCTATTATGAGTGTTTTGCGTCTGCTGCTTCTGGTATAAGTGCAACGTTTACTGCTTTTTTCAATACTTTAGGTAACAAAAAAATACTTCAAATTTAGCCCAAAATAATTAAGTTCTAAAATCTTTCTAGACGCATCTCCTATTTGCGCTCATGTTACTGCTACTGCATTGCCTGCAAATAAGAGAATTGCCTTTTGCTACTCCGAATATTCGGCATTGTGGTCACCTGGTGTTAGTATGTCCATTGGCGGAGTTGGCCAGACAACGGAAGTATTCACTCAAAGTACTACAGTTGGAGGATGTATCATAATTTCTGAAGGTGATAGTTTTTCATGCGGTGTTAAATATGGAAAGCCTCCATCTGAGCTTCTACTTGAATCTTATTACGATGATTCTGCTCCTCAGTTAACCACTTCTTGCTTAGGAGGATCACCTAACCAAGGTAATCTGTTTATAGACAAAAGTGGAGATAAAAGGTTAATAGTTTATATTCTAAATTTTAGTACCTACATGGCTAAGAGATAAGTGTGTTGATAAACTTATTGATTCTTTGACGACAACTACTTCAAAACCTCCAACGGAGCCTACAACTACACCAACAAATCCTCCTACAAATCCAACAAACCCTCCAACTACACCAACGAATCCTCCAACAACTCCAACGCAACCTTCTACAGATCAAACAACAGCGGGTAGCGCAAAAATAAATCATTCAAGCATCGTTTGGCTAGCTGGACTACTTGTTATAATCAATCTTATAAAATGAAATACCAGCCTTTAATACATCGTTACTCATATCTTTTTTTTATATGCAAATTAACCCAAATTTCTATATTAAAATTCCTTAAAAAAACATAACTATACATATGCATAGAAAGTTAGAATATAAAAATTGTTCATAATTAAGAAATAGACCTTTTTCGTTCGTTATACTATATAACTAAAAGTACCGAGTAATTAAAAATGAAGTACATATTTTTGATACTTTTTTATGATAAGCAATAAAAACCAAAATTCATTACTAAATACTTGACTACTTGATTCTTTTTATCATGAATATAAATAATTACGAATTATTTAAATAAGCTATGATTATTCATAAGATTTATGAATAATAATTAATAAAAGAATTACCTTTAAATACAGTATATCTAATACAATAGTCTCAACTATACTATAAAAATATATGAAGTGTTTTATAAACCAATCCTTATTCACTGTGATTTGCGATTTTCGTAAAAATATCCTCTTCTCTCCTCCCCTCTCTTCTACTCCCTCCCACCTCGAATCCAAGTTGATTACAGTTATAAAAACTTTAAACTTTTGAAGATATGTCATTTTCAAAATGATTTATTAATAAAAATTTATCATCAGATTATCTTATCACTTCCATCCTATATTCCAGTATAATAATTAGGTTATAAAAAAAATTTAGTTATAAAACACATCAGTCTACGAAAGAACGAAGCAGACCAAATGATATGCTATTTGGTCAACTGGTGCAAAAAATAGTTAGTTTAAAATGAAGATAATTTTAATATTTATACTTGTTTGTAAGTTTTAAGAGAAAACTCTTTCAAATTCAACATTTTTATATTTTCTATGTATTTCTTGTTCCATTTTTTGATAATTTAGCCACCTGTTCCTGTAGGGATTATTCAAAATTTCCAAAGAATACTGCAGTTTTCAATGGACAACCTGCAAGACTTAATTGCACTGCCATTGACGAAGTTAGAATCTATGATGAAACTTCGTGGATATATACACAGAGTCAATGGCTTATTACATATAGAATAGCGTTAAATTTAACAATAAACCCATTTCAAAGTAGCAAATATGAATTTGCTGATAATTCAACATACTCCTTAAATATTCAGAGTGTTAATCAGGATACTGCAGGTGTATACGAATGTTCTGGTTCTTACGGTGGAAACAAAGTTGATAACTTTCATGCTTTTGTTCTATCTATGGGTAAGTACACAACTATAAAAATATTACATCAAAGATCACGTGATATTAAAAGATTCTTAACCTTAGAGAGTGAACCTAGTTGCGAAGAACAAATAGAATCTTTACCAGATAATTTACCAAGCAATTTAAAGATTGTATACTGTTTTATTGAATACGCAAGCTTTTATCCTCCTAGTATTAATATTACATCTTCTGGAAAAATCTATAATGTTTTAAGTGAAACACGAGTAATTTTTGACGGAAGTTACCATACTGGAGGAGCATGCGCTTTAATAGATAGATCAGAATCTTTTAGTTGTTCTGTTAAGTTTGGTTCCCCTCCACCCGAACTTTTGCTAGATATATCATACGACGACAGTGCCCCCGATATCCAGGCTAGTTGCTCTAATTCATCTGGAAGAAATCTAACTAGTAAGTTCAATTAAATTATCAGTCACACTTGAATTTATCTGAATGCTATGAGATTTTTTACTATTAGTTAGCACGCATGATTGTCTCATTTTCACTCCTTTTTAATCGTTATCATTTTTTTTTATTAAATTTATTAAGTACCTCCATGGATACTGGATGGATGTCAAAATATCTATGAACCTCTAAAACCTCAGGTAATAAATATTCCAAAGAATACTGCAGTTACGAGAGGATCTTCGGCAAATATGACATGTACGTCAAGAAATTTCGGTTCATTCGGTTTAGTTCAATGGTTTTACAGACAAAGCGAGTCCGATCAGGCTGTTACAATTTCGGTGAACAATATAATCTATCCAAGTGCACAGGGATTAATTGAATTGTACGATACTTATAACTTGAACGTTTTGAGCGTTGATCAAGTGACAACAGGTCTCTTCCAATGTACTGCCAGTGATGAAAATTTTTATGCTGTTCACGAGGCGTTTCTCTTAGAGATGGGTATATTGTTGTTGTTATTACTTTTTCATTTGTCTGATAACTATAGATTATTATCACATAGAAAAAAGTTCAATATGTATCACGAAGAGATATGCGGAACTGGATGACTTAGTTACTCCAAGAAAAGCAGCATTTTGCCTAACAAATTACACTGGATCTTATCACCCTACCGCTAGTATTATGGCAAATGGTAATCTTAAAGAAACGTTTACGTTTGAAGTAAACAACACTGTAGGAGCTTGTGCTGCTATCCTAATTAGTGAAAGAATTAATTGCAGTATGAAATTCGGAACACCTCCTGATAATCTTATCCTTTTTGAAATTACTGATAACTCGGCTCCAGATCTTGTTACTTATTGTGATGAAGAAATTGTAGATACTGAAGAGGACAATCTCTTTCCAAAATGGCTTGAGGAGAAGTGTGCGGAAGCTCTATTTCCGAAACCACAAGAACTTTTAAGAAAACCTGAAAATGTAGCTGTTGCGAGGGGATCTACAAACGTTACCATGCATTGTTCAACTGCAAACTTTCGCAACTATGATTATAACAGTTGGAGATTTTCTGCTGAGCCTGGAGGAACACAAGATATTATCACAGGAGTCGATTTTGTTCTTATTGGTTTTGAACATTTATACGGAATTGAGGGAACGTGGGATTTAGTGGTGAAGGAGGTCAATGATAAAACAACAGGAATTTACGAGTGTGAAGTTAGAGCTGATGCCGAAAGTGGAAATATTGAGGGTAATTTTATGGCATTTTTACTTGAAATGGGTGAGCTTTAATTGAAATAATTTAGTAAAAATTTAATATTTTTAAACTATCTTAAATTAGAATCTGAACCGCTGTGCGCCGAAGATCCGTATGATGGAGTTGTTCCTGATTATTTAAAAGTTGTCTTCTGCCTGACTAATTACACAGGAGCATATGCTCCTCAAGTTTCAATAACAGCGGAAAATGGTATTGAGATTTCGGCAAAGGTATTAAATGGTAGTCAAGTTGGTTCTTGTGCCGTAATCAAGAAAGAAGATGAATATAACTGCACTGTAAAGTTTGGTACTCCTCCGACAGATTTAACTTTATTTGGAGATTTTGACACTTCCGCTCCTAATTATACAACAAGCTGTTCTAGTAAAAATTCTATAAACATAGCAAATAAAATACCAAGGTGGTTAGAAGAGCAGTGTATAAATAATTATGGAGAACCAAGGGTTATTAAACGCCCCGTTAATACTGCTGCGTTTACTGGAGAAAAAGCCCAACTTGATTGCACTACAAAATCATTTAATCAATACGGTGGTGTTTTTTGGTCAATAAAACCTGAAAATGGCAATATCATTCCGTTATCCTTTCAAGATATTATATCCCCTAACTATCCAGATCAGTACAGCATTCAAGATAAATGGAATCTTATTATTAACAGTGTTAATAAGGAAACGACCGGCTTATATGAATGCTACGCCAGCGATTTAGGCGTTGATGTTTTCTATGATGTTCATTTGCTGGAAATGGGTAATTTTTATTTTAATACGTGCAAAACAGTCATTGATATTGTTAACTCTTTACAGCTAAAACACCATCTTGCCTAGAGATCCCTTACAATGATGCTCCTGGAATGAAATTAGCATTCTGTATGACTAATTACTCGGGTGCCTATTTTCCTAACTTCAATCTAACATTTTCGGGAGATGTACAATCCGGAAAAGTTTTTGTAAAAGATGGTCAAGCAGGAACGTGTGCGGTTATTAAAGAAACGATGGCTTTTGATTGTACTGTCAAATTTGGAAGTCCACCTTTCACTCCTGGCAATGAGAATTTAGATTATTCAGCTCCTAATTTAACGGCACACTGCTCTGGAGGGTCTTCGCCTCAACAAAGTAAGAAAATATCAATCTTTTCTTTATGTCTATTATAAAAATTATAACGTTATTAAAATGCAGTACCGCCCTGGCTTATGGACGATTGTTTATCAAATCAACAAATGACCACTCCCGAACCAAAGCCTCCACAAATTATAAGACTAGCAACAAATACAGCAGTATTAAGGAACCAGTTTGTAACTTTACCCTGTACAACTAGAAATTTTCCAAGTAATGGATTTGTCATATGGAGCTTTATATCGCCGGTTTTTGACGGTTTAGGTATTATTTCGATCAAAGATGAAATTATGACTAACGTACCAAAGGATAGATATGCAATAAATGATACATGGAGTTTAGATATATCAAAGGTAAACGTGAACACTACGGGATTGTATGACTACTATATTATGGACGGAGTTGATAAAAACATCTATAAATATATCTTCCTTAGCGAACTTGGTTTGTAAATATAATCATAAATATACATTATCATTTATTTCTTACAATTTCATATAGAAGAAAAGCCTAAATGCATTACTTCGTCTCACGATAATCTTCCAACTACAAAACAATTTGTTTATTGCACTTCCGACTACTCAGGCTTCTATCCTCCAGGCGCAAACATAACTGTAGATGGCGATATTGTTTCATTTGTCTCGTCTCAAAAGAATGGAAAAGTAGGAAGTTGTGGAATAATTGATAAAGGAAAACCTTTTCTTTGTCAAGTTAAATTTGACTCACCTCCAGTAATACATCCGAACTTTCCAATTGACATGACAGCCCCTAGTTTAACTACCGAATGTTCTGAGAATTCTGGATCAATAGGCGACGGTAAAGAGGATTACTTACCATTCGTTAAATCGTCAAAAAACAATTTAGAAGATATTAAATAACTGCTTCCCTTTTTAGTGCCCCAATGGCTTCAAGATTTGTGTATTAAAGGTATAGAGGAAACTACACCTATCCCGACTACTCTTAGTCCCGACTTTCAAATTCTAACGAAACCTAAAAATATCGCTACTTTGACTAATGACTCAGTTCAATTATCTTGTGGCGTCAAAGGTTATGGCGCAAATTGGGAATTTAGAGATATGAGTTCGTCTACAAAAACTATCTCTGTTAATAGTGACGTTGTCCAAAATATGAAAGACAGATACCAGATTGTGGAAACTTACAATTTAAGGATTCTACAAGGCAATTCCAATACTGCTGGTCTCTATAAATGTTTGATAACAAAGGACGGAAGTATCTTAGAAACTAATGGAGCTTTTGTCAGTACACTTGGTAATTTCAGCAATAATTATCTAAATGAGTGGAATCTATATTTACGATTTCCCAACAGATAGACCTAAATGTGTAACTTCGACATCTGCCAATTTAGCTCTACCATCGGGACAAAAAATGGCATTTTGTTTCACAACATTCTCTGCAAAATGGACTCCAACTCTATCTATGATGATATTAGATTCGCAATCAACTTCCACATATTTTAACATTGTAGGAAATATGGCAGGTAAATGTGCACTAATATCGAAATTAGGAAGCTTTACATGTGAAGGAGAGTTTGATGCACCTCCCGCTAATATTATTGAACAAGGTGTAGACAACTCGAAGCCAACCTTTTCGTTGTCATGCTATACTGCAACAGTTAATGGTAAGCTATTTATTATAGGAAAGCGTCAATGTTTTAATATGCACTATTTATTTACTAAAATGTTACAGTACCAGAATGGCTAATGAACGAATGCAAAGAGAAATATGGCGGGCAAACAACAACCTCTATATCCTCCACCCCGGGTAATGACTGCGGAAGTATCAACCATTCAGGCATTATTTGGTTAATTGGGTTACTTTTCACAATCAATATGATAAAATGACGCATCAAGCTTTAACATACTTTTAGTCATTTTTTTTTGTACAACTATAAAATTTTATTAGGATTAATAAACTTCCAATGATGAAAGCTCAAAGATCACTGGCAGTTTATTCTGTCTATTGTATCTAGGAGCTTCAGATTTATCTGTCGACAATAAACAAGTGTATTTTTTATGTTTAAGTATTATATTATCAAAAAACTTTATCATTTTCGTAATGAATTTACCATATATGATTTGCATAATAAAAATTATAAATATAAGTTTCTTTTTGGCCGAGTGTCATTTATTTTACTCTATTCCATACTTAAAGTTGTTTATGAACTTCTTATTGCTTAGAAATTTTTTAGAAATGACTCTGTCAAGGATTGCTGTAGTGTTAATTATTATTGGTATTCTTATTATTTTGTCGACTAATGATGACAGTTTAGTAATTTTATTACTTTTCACCTCTCCATAGCTACAGTTGACTGTAGAGATTATATGAAATTTCCAAAGAATACTGCAGTTTTTTTTGGAGAACCCGCAAAACTTAACTGCTCTGCTGTAGACGAAGTGAGAGTATATGATCTAACTTCGTGGATTTACACAAAGAGTCAAACATTGTATACTTATGCAATAGCGAAAAATTTAACAGTGGACCCATTTCATAAAGGCAATTTTGAATTTGCTGATAATACAACATATTCATTGGCTATTAAAAGTGTTAACAAAGATACGTCAGGTGTATATGAATGCTCTGGGTCTTATGAGGGAAACAAAGTTGATAATTTTCATGCTTTTGTCTCTTCTATGGGTAAGACAAATTTTAATAAGGGAAATAAATAGGAGAATAGAAATATAAGACTGTTTTATAATTGATGTATGATTTTTGTGTTATCGATGTTTTATTGATTTCAGACAGTAAACCTGGCTGTAACGAGCAAAGAGACTCTCTGCCAGATTCAATTGGAAATGATAGAAAAATTGTCTATTGCTATACTGATTATGCAGGTTTTTATCCGCCCACTCTAACATTTACATCGTCCAGTCCAATTATAAATAAATATGATACTGAATATGGAATACCTGATGGAAATTATTTCTCGACTGGATCTTGCGCAATTGTTAACAGCTCCAGCACTTTCTCTTGTACAGCTAAGTTTGGTGCTCCCCCAGTTGATTTGATTAATGACTTATCGTTTGATATAAGTTCTCCTGATCTTGAATCATCTTGCTCCAGCTCGAATCCCAGTCAGGAACCGAGTAAGTACATAAGAAATAGATTCTAGTCTTACTTTACTTTCCCTAATTTTAGTTCCAGCATGGCTAAAGTCGAAATGTGCGAGATCTTTAGGAAGAGATTATAATCATAGACCAAGGAATCAGGTGGTTGCCCCTGAGTCATCAGCTGTGCTCAATTGTTCAGACGTTAATTCAGGAAAGCATGACAAAGGAACCTGGAAGGCAATACAGAGTGATGGAGGATCGGGCTTTGACTTGGCAGTTAACTTTGAGATAAAAGAAAGTTTAAAAAAATTTTTCGAATTTCCTATTGAGGACGTTTTCAACCTAAAAATTAAAGCTATAGATAAATATTTAACTGGTTATTATCTCTTTGAATATTCCCTTTTATATTGTAAACCGCTTTTCCTAATTCTCCTTAGGCTATTATGAATGCACTGGTCTTAAGGACGATACCATTATGGAACAATACAGCGCCTTTGTTCTTTCAATTGGTAATCATTTAATCTTCCATTCTTTTGTCATTTATTGATCTATTAATACCATATTTTGGTACAGATAAGCCTACTTGTCAGCTTAATTCTCATGATGCTTTGCCTGAAGGCCAAAAATTGGGCTTTTGTCATACCACGTTTGCAGGTGATTGGTTACCATATGCTCATATGGTGATCAATGACGTAATAGCTCCATCTCCACTATTCGATAGACCTAGCCCACCATTGAATCCAGATTGGGCGATGGTAGGCAGTTGCTTGATAATAAGCAACTCTGATAGTTTCAATTGTAAGGTTGGTTTTGATAGACCACCCGATCACGTCTTAGAAGACTCTAAGAACGTAGATCTTACTGCTCCAGATTTCGAAGAAACATGCACTCTTGAAAATTCACAAGGTATAATAATTTGGAACAACAGAAAGAATAATGTTTACTATTTATTTTGTTTTATATCACAGCTCCTGCATGGCTAGTAAATGACTGCGAAAATTTTCTAAACTTTCCACAGCAAACGCAAGCGCAAACGCAGACTCAAACTCAAACGCAAAAAACGACACAAAGCAACAATTCCAATAGAAACTACCCTAAGTTTATCATTCTTGTTTTTCTTCTAATACTGATTGATTAACTTGAGAAATTAACTTTTAAACCAAGTTTGAGTAATAAAAAAACTATTAAAATAAATACTTCTGCCACTCTCAATACGTTTGAATGATTTTTATATAAAAACAAAGATGTCACTACCGTAACTGATGAAATGAGTTTAGTATGAACAAATTGAAATTTAGATATAAATATTTGTTTAATTCCATTGTAAATTTGTAATGGGAAGTGAGAAAGATTTAAAAGTAAATATAAGGTAGAATACTCTCAATCGAACAATAGAAATTTGAAATTTTATGTCATGTAAAATTCATCAACTTTCCATAACAAAGATTCTACATTAATAATTCATTTGCACAAGTGACGTCACTATTGAACATGCATTTTGAATTAATTTAGAAAGAGGTTGTTTATGAATATTTCTATGGTAAGAATTGATTTGAAGACAATAATTCTGATCTGTTGCATAAATATACTTGATTAATTGTTTAACGTCTGCACCATAGACTTGCGGTGTTTGCTCTTTGCTCTTTTTCGTTTTTATTTCTCTTTTTGTTATTATTTTTTTCTTAAAAAGAAACCGAAGAAATATATTATTGATTTTTTTTAAATATATAGAAGTATTAAGATAGAAAGAATAAAAGGAAAAGAGCAAAGAAGAGGTAATTTAACTGTTTATTTAATTGTTTTTACGTCTTCAACCTTTTTCCTGAATATTTCATTAAACTGTGTCTTTTAATTTAGTCACATAAAATGGAGGATACTAATGGAACTCAATCAAAAGATGTTCTGGATATATTCCACAATGTTAAATTACTTGCAGTATTCAGTATACTAAATTCAGTTTCTGTTGCATGTTTAATATTCTCAGCATTTACAATATATTTTGTTGGCTCTCACAAAAGTTTACCTGGAAAATGCCTTATAAATTTAACCCTTTCTTTGGCTTTGGCAAAATTAGCTTTTCAAGTGAATCCTAACTTCTCCCATAAGCCAAATGTTTGTTCTTCAGCCGCTGCCGCTCAGCATTACGTTTGTCTTGTTGCATTTCTTTGGAAAAGGTAAACAAGAACTGATATATGTACTTAATGAAACCTAATTAGCATAACGAATTTTTATAGTATTCTTTCGCACGATCTCTCTACAAGAGTTAAACTTCACGCAGATCATCATTTGTCCAATGATGTTAAAGAATATACTATAGATCAAAAGAAGATCCTACGCTTCAGTCTATGCATAGCTTTTGCTTGGGGATTGCCAATTGCCATAGTTCTGTCATGCGTTGTTATAGAAGTATTTATAAAATCCTCTTTTCATTATGGAAATCCTGCATATTGCGGTGTTTTTGGCGATAACATGCTTGTTTGGTCTTTGGCATTGCCTTTGGTCTGCATATCTATTTATACTTTGATCGGATTTCTGAGATCATCTTTCATCATTGCGAATAAATTTCAAAGAAAGAATAACTTTCAAATGTTGAGTGCAAAGTATCATTTAAGTAATAAGCTAATTACAAACGGAAATGATACTGTCGCTAGATGGCAATTAGGATTTTATTCAAAAATTACCATGGTTATGCTATTATCGTGGTTATCTGGATTTATTGCTGCATTTACTAATAACTTACCAGCATGGATTTTCTTTGTTGTGCTGAATAGCAGTCAAGGTTTATTCTTTGGCTATTCCCTTATTATATCCACCCATTATTGGAAAGATCTAATATCTCGTATTCCGGTATTTAATAAATGTTGTTATAGAAATTCGGCCGATCAAACAGAAGTAGCCATTATCATGAAGTCAATGGACCCTCAACCATAGTCTGGGCTGAAGCCTTACCATTCATTTTTTCTCCAATTTCACTGCAAGCTGTTCACTCTTAACCTTGAATAGCCATACATCTCTTGCATAGCAATGAATAATTGAAAGATAAACAAGGACTATAGTTCATTATTATATTTACTAATACATTAATTCTGATTGCATTTCTATTATTACTGTAAATTTTTCACATTTAAAGACTATAGAAATACATTAAAGATATTTTAAATAGCTACTTTATCGTCTTTTATAACGACATCTCAAATATGCTTTATATTCTAATACAGTTACACACAGACACACACACACACACACGCACTCTCTCTCTCTATCCTCGGAAAAAGAGACTCAAATAATTCAATGAAGTTTATACTTCTATCATTTATTTTAGGCTAAGCAAAGCAAGTATTTTAGCTTATAGAAATTACACTTGTAGTTTTCTAAATAATTAAATCTCTATAATTTCTCTCAGGAAAACAATAATGTCATCTTTTAAAAAGCATAATTTAATGTTGTTTTCTTAAAAAGAGTGAACACGTAAAATAAGTATCTTATTTATTTCTTGCTTGAAGATGATGATGATGATGTTGATGTTGATGATGACGATTTTTTATCATGTTTAGTTCGCTCATAATCCCTTTTTCTGGAATGTTTATTTTTGTCCTCTGATTTATATCTATTCCAACTTTAGAAGTATAAAAATATGGTATTTAGAGTATTCATTTATTTCAAGAGAAAAGTAATAAATTTTACCGTTTATCCGATTTTTCTTTATCGTTATAATCTCTTGAGAGTTCTTGACTCTTTGCCTTTGCATTTTGTAGGCGTTTTGTCACGTCTCTTGCAGAGCTTTGTGTTGCTTTAATAACATTTGCTAAAAATCGACGATTCGGTTTGACCTTTGGTTTTCTCCTTTAGAATAGAAAATTTTTGTCTTAACAATTTCAAATAAATAAACACTTTATTATATATAAACTTACCATCCATAAACTCCTAAACTCTTTTCCCTCTCTGTACCTCTTCTTGCTTCTTCTAAGAGCGCTTCTGTAGCTTTTCTATTTATTTTACATAAGTTAAATTTAGAATAATTAGGTAAATAATATCAGCTGAATAAAATATCTAGAATATAGAGATTCCCCTATTATCGCCCATCATTTATTAAAATTACTGAAAAATCTCTTTGAAAATCATCTAGAATAAATTTAAATTAACCTGGTTAGTTCATCATCATTCATACTGAACACACAGATTGTAAATTGAAATTTATTAAAGCATTTAAAAACAGTTTTTTATATTCGGTCGACCATCTTTAGAATTTTCCGAAAGCAAAGTCTATTGGATAATAAAAGAAATCAAAAAATTTTCAGCATTGAGAGGATTAAAAGTGTTATTTTTAATGAAAAAGTTAATAAAAAATAAACTTTAATTTTATTCTTAAAATTTAAAAGATAAATAAAAAATTTTTCAATGACTTTATTCGATCAAGAGAATTTCAACGTCATAGCAACGAAAAATGGCGGAAACTGCAGAGGTTCGTTTAAACAATTTTACTAAATTACATCAATGTACTTATAGATAAATACTAATTATAATTAAGATAAGTAGATTAAGATGATTAATTCAATTTTCTACAAATAAAAATGTTTAATTCTCTAAAGTATTGCCGAAATAAACTTTTTTTCAAAATGTGTTCTTTATATAAAACTTCACTACAAGTAACATTTAAATCTATTTTCTTAATATAATTTAAAAGAAATAATAATTTAAATAAACAGGTAATCAGAAGATATAAAAGACGTTTTAATATCAAAAGAGACAACGATGTAAATCTAATTTATATGAGCAATAAGTATAAAAGATCAATAATATAATTATTAACTCTATAGTAATTGTATGTTTATGATTTCATTCCAAAATAGAAACATACAAGAGCTAAAAGAAGAAGATTTTATGCCATATAGATATTTAACTATTTTGTACTTGAATAACAATAAGGTATATTCCTATTATTTTTTAAATTATTAATAATTTATTGATAAGGAGTTATATATAAATGTCATTAATCCATAGCTATTTACAATAAACTTCTTTTCGGCTTGTATCAATTTAAGGGAGATATATTTACATCACAATAGAATAAGGTCGATTGCAAATTGTTTATATATGTTGACTTCCTTGAAGAGGCTACATTTGCATAATAATCAAATAAGCGATTTAGAATCGACTATAAACGAATTTCGTAAAATGGTTGATTTAGAAGATTTAAGTATGTATTAACATACATTTTAATTCAATATAATATATCTAAAATATTATTGTATTATCCATTAGATTTATTTAATAACCCTATTGCTCAGGAACGAGGCTATAAGCAATATGTTATAAGGCGTGTACCGCATTTAAAACTATTGGATAGAGAAGGTGACAAAATAAAGAGAACTGTGCTATTCAATACTAATATTGTTTTTTTTTTGTCTATTTACTATTCAATTGATTATAGAAGTTACAAGAAAAGATAAGAGAATAGTTCCAGAAATTATAACTGTAGCATTTAATAGATGCAGTAGAGGACCGCCTGAAGTATTTTATCCACATTCTCCACCAATAACTGAACTACCTCGTAAGGCTGTCTATTAATTGTGTGCTCTTAATACTATTAACGTCAATATCTGTTGACTTTGAACGATATAGCAAAGCATGAAGTCGCCAACAGCTTTTATAGAGATAAGTGAGTAAACTGTTAAATTTACTTAAAGATTCAAAAAAAATATTGCCCCAACCCTCCAATCTTTTTTTTAATGTTTTACTTTAAAAAAAATCAATCAGCCCTGCGATCGATATAGAGCAAGCTACCCAAATTCGCCAATCGAAAAGAAGTTGTAACCACTTTGCTCATATGGATTGGTCAATTGTGCCTAGAAGAGAAGAAAGAAGACAAACAAAAGTTAAATTCTCTACACCGTGCCTTATTAGTAAGATATGGCAATAATCTTTTTCTCTTTTTTGAAAGTTTTTTACTTTTTTTTTCAAAAACGTGAACAAAAATTCTGTGCCACATTTTTTCGACAGTTTTATATTTATTTGTTAGTTTGTTTGCACGTGCCAAATTTTTTTTTGGAAGTTATAACCAAAGAAAGAACAGAAACAATGAAAACTGCATAATTTAGAGAAAAATCTATATTACTTTTATAATAAGACATAAAACCTATTTTAGTATTACAATTGTTTAGGATATTGAACAGAGTGATAGTTTCTTAGTGAACTGACAAATTCATAATTCTATATGTGCTGTGTGGCTTATTGTTAAAGGGCTAATATAGTTTTATTAAAGAATTAGAAAACATCATTTTTCTTTCTTTAAATTGTTATCAAGCGCCCAATAAATAATAAGTAGTGAATATTTCCTATATTTTTCTGCATTTAAGCAATGACATTGTGTTAGAATAGTTAATAGAGAGTAAGTCATATTGATTTTTCTTGTGTTTTGGTTCAACGATTATTCTTACGGAGACATGACAAATAGAAAAAGCTATTCGCGTGAAAATAGAACAGTCTCTTTTTAACAAAAAATGTTGAATAATAATTCTAAAACATCTTTTTAAAGCGTTAGATCAATCTATTCTTGGCTTTTTGTCAAAATTTCACGTTTGCCTACGCAGTTTAAAGGATCGCTATTATGGTGACCGCTGCCGTTCAATATGCCAAAGAGGCAGTTCTCTTGACACGAGGTAAAACTGAGGGAAATGTATTAATTTTAGAGTTCTGCTTCAACACAACAATGTTGGACATCCGTATCCAATCTTGTAAAAACATTAATTTGTATTGTACTTCACCCCTCGTGTAAATTCATACTCATTACTATTCTAGATTACAATTATTAATAGTTATATATGAAAAATGTATTGTAATGATTATTTATTTAAAAATCCATCTTATTCTCTCCTTTTCCTATTGAATATGACACATTACCTTTGGAGAAATACTTTTGTTTGCTCAGGGTTATTTTCAGTTTAAATCCGAATGTTACAGGTGCTTTAGAATGGATTTTTTTTTTAATTAAATTCTATAGTTTTTCTTTTGACGCAATTCAATGAAAGAACTATTTGGCTTTAACTATTACATATAAATGAATAATCGAAGTATCTTTCATATATGTAAATTTTATAAAGAATGGCAATTGATTTGAAGTATTAAAAACTTCACATATCAATAACTTTTACATAAATGATGTTTTTTAGTCTAATTATTTGTATTTCTTTAATTTTAACAAAAATTTATCAGTGATATGTAATTAATTATCTCATTTACTAGCTTGTGCTGTTTTTGTAAAAGCTATCTTTATTGAAATTTAACACAACATTTTAAAAATTATTTATGAACAATTTAAAGAGTTAAAAAGCAGGTTAATTTATGAATTAAAATAGGAATTAATTTCTTTTTTCTTTTAATGTGGTTATTTTATCATGTTTGCTTTATAACAACTGATAATCTTCAACAATAATATGGTTAAGATGTGTAAATAAAAGGCTGAATGGCTTGTGATTACTACCATTTGACTTCGTCTGATTTGAACACGACATCGAACGGCCACTTTCTCCATTGAGTCAAAGCGAGAGGTATTCGTCCTGGTGAGTAGGGTTTTAATCCTCTGGCTTTCATCTCCTCCAAAAAGCCAGGCACGAGAGGATGTGCTTTAGAATTTCTATAGAACTCCCATTCAATAAATATGGCGAATATCTTCACTTTGTCTAAAAAGCGTTTTGAATGTGAAAATGCTTTCATTTCATATCCTTGAATATCTACTTTCATAACAGCTTCAGTAAAATTGGCTACATCACTTAGATCATCCATAAGTATTGAGTGACTCGAGTTTGGTCCAAGTCCGCGATCGTTGGTCTTTGATTGAGAGATTCTGGTGTCACCCTGATTGTTTGAACTTCGTCTAAAATAAACCGTTTCTCGAGTATCTGTTATTGGATTTACAACTAGTGTCACAAATTTTTCTAATTTTCCTAATTTAATTGATTTATGCAATCTTCTAATGGTTGGATAATAGGGTTCAACAGAAAGAACAGGACGTTGAAGCGTTTTACTAATAAACAATGTATAAACGCCCAAGTTTGTTCCCAAATCTATTAAACCGGCCTTTGGTCTTTGCATAAGAAAGGATTTCACTTGATTTAGGTATCCAGCCTCCCAAGAACCAGTCCTCGCTAAAGAACCAGATACATGTAAATCCACTTTCGTATCATACAAACAAATTGGTGTATTCTTTCCTTGTCTTAAACTAACGCATTTAAACCTGTCGTTGTTAGGCAGAGATAGATTATAAACTTGAACATTTCCTTTTGAATATGTTAAATTCCCTAAAAAGCTAAGTTTCTTGTTGAAATCTGTGGCAAGATTAGTCATCGTCGTAACAGATCTTGGTTTATTGTCAAGAGTTTGAGGTTTTATTTGTTTAGAAGCAGGTATATCAAGGAATTTAACACGATAAACAGTTCCATTTTTCATTTGAAGATATATGTTAAATCTATTTGAGAATAAGGTATAATCCATGTTTTTAAATAAAAACATAAAAAGTAAAAGCATAATTATAGCACAGAGGATAATCCGTGCCTTTCTATTGAAGATACTTGCTGTTGACATTGACATATTTCTATTTAGAATTCACAGAAACAAAATATTCAATGTAATTCAAAAGAAAAGCTGTTAAACTAGTTGATCAAAGCGCAGAAAACTTCGTTTAAAGCGGAAAAGTTTCCAACTGAACATTGTCATTTGAGCAAAGTCTTCATATATAGCAACAGCAAATGTTTTCAGCCAGTTAATCGATAGATAGGTTAATGATTCATGTTGCGCGTGGAATTTGTATAGCTCTATTTAACAGCAAAATTTATTTTAAATAGGAAGAGCTACTACCTAGGATCTGTAAAGACCAATACCTTAAATACTTAAATACTATTGAAAATTAGTTTGCACGAGTTTTTTTCTCTATCATTAAGCAGATTATATATATTAGATTGTATATATACTGAAAATATTAATGATACGATATACAACATATAATTAAGAACGTGAACTTCTATCACTTTTTTCAAGTCACTAGTCGTTACTGTCCAGAGTTTTAATACAACGTTTTAAGAAGCGTGAAAGAATTGTCATAAAAGAAGTTTTACACTGCTATATGATAAAAACTTTTTACATTATACAGTAAAAGAAAGAGGTAAGTTAGGTATAAATTCTTACTTAACTTATTGCTGTAATAGTTTAATTGATTTTTTGAATCATTTATCATCATTTTCGTAGAAATCAAGTTTTGTTTATAATTTCTAATAATCAAAATAAAGGGAAAGCGAATTCTCATTAGAGAAAAGAGAAAATTAAAAGTTCTTTCATAAAATAGTCATAGTAAATCGAAAGAATACTAATTTTACAATAATTGATAAGAATTAAAAAAAAAATCAATGAAAGTATTCCTGAAGGAAGATAATTAGAAATCTTAAAGTTTAATTAATTTTAGTAGTTTTATCTTCTACTTCTCATCCTTTTATGCATTAGAAATGAAAGTTTTATAGCCCTATTTTATTTAAATACAAGTTAAATAATCTTCAAATAGGTTAAATAGTACATTTTTGTTCAGTCTCTGTAGAATTTAAACAATTATTTCACTTAGACATAATACATTTGATAAGTAAGTTATTAAAATGTAACAATTAATTGTATTAGTTTTTGTGAGATTTTGCTGAAAGATGGTTGTCCTTTTTTAGTTAAAAAGAAAACTAAAGCAATATATCAATAATTTAAATTTCAGTGAAATATTGCTACAGCCCGCCAATTATGCTTATGTAATATTGTGGAGAGGTGACAAAAAGGTATTTTCATTTGTTTAATTGCAATTATTTGTTTATAAAAACCGCTAATTCTCTAAATATTATCCAGTTTTGTTGTGTTCCCGTTATTCTAACTCTTAAGCAGTAAACTGATTCCTTTAAAGATTTGTCGAGTTCTTTAACGTCTACTTCCCCATTTTGAAATTTACCAATTTCTCTCCATGATTTGCAAGTAACAGATTCATCTCTTTCATCGGCAGGAAGATTAGTCTTCTCAAAGGCTGCTTCTAATACACCTTCTCTTAAAATATCACCAGCATGCTCAGGGGTTCCTGTTAACACAGCTGCTCTTTTTAAACGTAAACTATCTAAGAAAACTACAGTAATAGTATCATTAATTTTAGGAGTTTTCGCCCAAAAGAAGTCAGTGGACATTGCATACATATGGTTAAGTTCATGATGTATATACGTTTCTAATGAAGTGTGAAGACTTGCAGATGGGTTATCACCTTTAAGCTGAACAGGGGCTGGTGCTTCTTTAACGTTCGAGCCGACCGAACCCGGAAAAAATCTGTCTTTCAAGCGATTTGGTTTCTTATTATCAAGAGATGAAACTAAACCCATGTGCTGAAAGAGTGTGGGTTTACGTAAAATAACTTTATGTTGTGCCATAGAATCTTTAAAGTAGCGTATAAGCCAATCTATTGGCTGTTCATCGTAGAAAGTCATCATATATCTGGCCAATTTCTCTAAATCAATGGATCTAACTAGTTTCCCAATGAAACCAAGTTCAGAAAACTCTAGCATTGCCCATTGTCTATTGGAATTTTTTTTAACAAAATCGCGTATATGAGAAACATATCCGTCAGCGGGTAATACGTCGTCTTCCAATTGAACATAATACTCACTAATGTTTCTAGAATAAAGAAACATAAAAGAAAAGTCAATGACTTGTTTCGATCGCCATTGAACTCTCTTTGCCGGATCACGAAAATTTCTTTTGAGATTAACTAATTCTGGATAAAAAGATCGTGGAGCTTGTACAATTCTTAACAAACCATTACTCAGATCATTTTTAAATAAATTACTTAGAATGACAATAGCTTTCTCATTATACTGCTTGTCAAAATCACCTAGTAAAACCACAATAACAACTTCTTCTTTTTCATTGTTTGTCATCTTTTCTATTAACGTTGCTATAGTGTCCTTGAGATATTTTAATCCATTGGCCCGTTGAATAGACGGAATAGCTATAGTCAGAAAACCTGTTTTTAAAAAAGAAATTAAAATTAATGTACATATCCAAATAAATATCAATAGTAAAAATTGGTTTGAAAAAATAGGTGTTTAAACAGCTACTCTTCCTATATACTGTAATATATTATCTTTATATAGTTAATTTTATTTCAAAAACACTTTATGGCTCTTTACATAGATTACAATACAACAAGTGACAATAGTGAATTTTTTAAATTACATTTAATAATTTTAACTAAAATAGTAATATTTAACTATTAGGCTTCATGTATTGTTAGCTTTAATTTACAATGCAGCTGTTATATAATATTGAATTATTCATTATTGTATCATACTTGACGAGTAAAATTTACGTACTTTCAATACTTTTAAATAAACGTTGTTATCTACAAATTTTACAATAATCTTGTTAAAATTAAATATATTCAAGTTTGTAAAATATTTAATAAACAGGAAGTGTAAATAAAAATATAATAATGTTCTTTCAAAAACGTGCAGTTAATAATTCTGTAATCTACTGTTTATTGTTAAATGTTTTTAAATTGCTATGGACTGGCTTAGATATGTGATTCTTTCTATATCCCATAATAATATAATATTATCAAGCTTTTAGTTTGAATTTTAACTGTTCTCTCTTTGAGTTATTTAGTCAATCTTCAATTTTTAATCAGTTTTTTCTTTTCTTTCTACTTTTAATTGAGCAGAGGAAGAGCGAGCGAAAGAGAAGGGGGTTCCCTACCCTCTATTGTATTAATCAGAGAATACACCTTTCAGACAATTTATTTAACTTGCTAATATAAATTTGATTAGAATTTTCTTTATTAAAATTAATTTCTATATTCATAATTACTTACCCTTTTTGTTTCTAATCTTTCCTATGGTTTTTACTTTGTCGTCGTCTAATTTTTTCCATTGTGGTAAAACATCTGAAACTGATTGAGTGAAAGCAGAGACTGGAACTGCTGGCTGTTTCATATTTTGAATATAATGTTGCCCGCATGAAAATATCTCATTTTCTAATTGCTTAATTCGATCATTTGCTTGCTGTTTATCATTTGATTGCTGAAGGATTATTTTTATGTTGAGACAAACATAAAATGCCACTAGAACAGCGATAAACAATTTTCCTGACAGAGTCTTTAAAGTCATTATGAAATGTCTTGGATAATCATTTTAAGGCACACTATTCACGTGGAACTTGATTTTAGACTGTAAATTAATAATAAAACACAAATAATCACAGCATCGAATGAATTGTTAGGACAGGTAGTTTCCTTACCAAAGGTACTAGTTTTCAGATAGTTGGGTCTCAGGTGAATATAGAAGCAATAATATATTGAATATTGATTCCCACCGTCCTATTGATGACACGCCATCTACTTGCTGTTTTTAAAAAAAACAAACATATCTCTTAAAATATATATAAATATATAGTCAATAGAGGGTTTACTTATTTAACAATCTAAATTATTAATTAAATAATTACTAAATTATATTTACCTCAACAGTAAGAATAATTATTCAAGTTCTGTGATTTTAATTTAAAGACCTGCCGACTGAGATTATATTTTTCAGTCTTACTAAATACCAGACGTGGTATGCCTATGTAAAAACTTTTCTTGATTAATTAAAAAAAATACAGTTTACCAACTTCTAATCACTGATTTATTATATCTTTATGTTCTTTATATTTAAAATTAATAATTACAATATTTATTGGGCATATAGCTGTAAAATATACAGAATATATATATATATATATATATACAGTATATACATTTCAGCTGTTGTATCTTTAATACAAATGTTATAATAACATATACATAAAAGGCTATTAAATACTTAGAGAGATGGATAAAAAATATTTTTTTTTTAAAAAAAAAAAAAAACAATGTTTATAATAATAAAAGTATAGTAGATGTATTTAATAGAGAAAGAAAAAAGCAAATAAATAAATCTGCTAATATACTTTCAACAGGTGCTATGAATAAAGTATAATTAACAATATTTCATATATTATAAGTTTTCAATTACAATGATCTTCCTTCGTTCTATAAAGTTTCGATAAAATATAAATAAATAAAATACTATATGTCATCGTAACAAAAGAATATCAATTGGTGTACTTTGAAATTATCTATACATTTCTTTTTCTAATATTGCAATAACAGTTCTTATATATTTTCTTCTAAAGAAATAATTATCCTAGAATAGTATAGCTATGTATTATAGCTGCAGTAAAAATGCTGCGATTATATCATTTTTTACAGTATATTAATGTTTTTACCAATTGGGGAGAATTATGTAACTACTAACCGATTTGTTAAGTAAATTTATCATTTATACAGTACAAGTAGAACTCTTTCTATTCTATTGACCTAAATTCTGTTCAAAAGTCAAGTGCACATAGATTTTAAAAATAGAATAATTTCCCTTTAAAAATTGTTCTAATTGATTAAAATCAAACGAACGTCTAATTTCTAAAAGTAGTTGAGGTTTTTTTTTTATTTATTCCTTTAGGTTATTAATTAAAACGAATTGCTAGAAAAGTAGGATGAAATTTGTGAGGAAACTAATACAAATGTAAACAAAAGAGGAAAAGAAAAGAATATTATTCTAAGGGGCGGAAGGGGGAGCTAAAGGAGGGGAGGAGCTGGGAGAGGAGGAGGGGGGGGGGCGGAAATATGTGAAACGCATAAATGTTAAAATTAAATAAAATCAAAATTCACGATAAACAACTCTATTAAAATATTTTATAATTAACTTGATATTTTTACATATAAACTAGCCAAAGTAGCAATAGAAAAATTGAATAAAGTCAATTATTATAAATTATTGAAGGTTAATTCCTATAAAAATTACTTTATATTACTCTTTTCCTTTCATTCTTGCTTTTCTTGCATTGTTTTTCATCAAAAGATTTAATTATTTTCAAGAAAATTGTTACTTCTCTCTCTCTCTCTCTCTCTCTCTCATAACGTTTGATGAAGATTATCACACAAATTTTTGTTTTTTCATTTCATATTATATTTTCAATTGTAATATTTTCTTTTTGTTTTACTAATACCAACAATAGGTAAATGTTTTTTAATATTTACCATATTGTATTACACTGCTTATTATATTATAGAAGGAAAACGGAAATAATTCTTTTGATTTTCCTTTTATAATAGATTTGCTAGTAAGTTTTATATGTTCAATACCTTTTAAAATACATTAAAAGAGGTATATATTTAACCTTTTCTATGTAAATATTTTAAAAGGCTAAATCGTAAGTAATCTTTTAAGAATTTATTGAAAAAAAAAGGCGAAGGTAGAAAGTATCGTCACGCTCGTAAGCGATTAGACGCTCTTTTATTATATTTAGTATACAAAAAAAAAAATACTCCTGCTTTTGCTTAAAATAACTTTTTGCTTAGAGTTTCTCTCTTCTGATGATTTCTTTCATGTTTGTTTTACTAGAAGAAGGGAAAAAAAACTACATATATTTCGTAATAATTTAATTAGCAAACTATTCAAGAATAATCGATTTATCGCTATTAAAAATACGGTTGACTTATTCTATTAAAAAACAAAAAAGAAGAATAAGTTATGTAAAAATTTGATGCTAATATGACTTTAATGACCATATAATTTATTAATAAGCTAGATAATTTAGAAGATAGAATATTTCTTTTTTATCTTAAGTATAGTCTTAAGAACTGTATTAAGCTTTTAATTGCAATAAAATTAAGATTCTTATTTAATAAAATAGTGAAAATTTAAAAGGATAAATTATATATCAATTCATTCTATTGCAGCCATATATTCACTATTAATCGTCATTACGCATTTTTTCCTTCGAAATATACTGCAAAAGCAAATTATTAATTTGCTAATACTGCAGAATATATTTGAGTATGCTATATATACTGCAAAGATATATATACATTTATACATTAATTGAATATCTTCTTCTCTTTTTATTAGTGGTAACTCATCAGATTTTCCTTCTCTTGCTAAAGTAGTGTAACAGTCTAAGCAAACAAAATAACGGTTAAAAAAAAGAATTAAATTGGGGTCAATATGCCTTAAATTTGCATGCTGACTATGTATATTCTTTCTAAGAAAAATTATTTACACTCAACATGATTGAACAATAATACTCTAAATGTACTGGAAAATTAACTGACAGCTTTCGAAATTACATTATAACGACAGAGGGCACTGAAATATAATTTCTATACTTTAGTTTTGCCCAAGAGTTTAGCGTTACTGATGACTTGCATTAAACAAAACCTATTTATATATTTTCTATATACAGCATATATAGTAATGTATATGCTTGTATATAGAATATTCTAAAACTTGATTGAGTAGAAGAGTAAAAAACTTATAAAGGAATTGATTTGAAATTAAGGACTTTTAATAAATAGATAAGAAGGTAAAAAGTTGTAAAGCTTAATGTCATTTAAAAGAAACCAAATAGGAAAACTGTCGATATTCTTTGTTTCCTTTAATCTCATAGGGGGAAAAATTCCCATCTGAATTTTACGACTTCTTAGACGGGTTTATACTTTAATTTTTTTTTTTTAATATATTTCTTCTAGTAGATCTTGTTTATTATCTTGTTCGTGAATTAACCTGGGAGAAATAGAACCTGTATTTTGGTCCGCATGATCGATAATTATATGCAGGATCACGAATTCCTTCTAGACTTGTAAAAAAAAAAAACCTGGCTTAATTGGATGCCTACAAAAGAGGCTTGTGACCTAATATGGGTTACTAGGTTTACTTTGATAAAATTATTTATACAGTACGAAATGAAATTTAGCAATGGAAGAAACACACCTATGACGCATATAGATGAGAAAAAAACATAATGTCATATTAATTTATGAATCCCTAGTGAGAAAAATATAAATAACATGCAATTATCGGGAAAAGAGATCCGACATTAGTAAAACATTCTAAGACTTTTCAAAAGAAATAATAGTCGTATCCACAACAATTATCAGCTAAACGTATCTCTGATTAGAGAAAGAAAAATGGTAGTAGATATTACGCGTTTATCAGAATATATAAGGAATGGAGGAAACATATCGTGTTCATAACGAATGTAGTAGATATAAACTAATAAGAACTATATAATAGATGATTAAGCAAATAGATGCTATAACATAATATATAAGTATAAACTGTCTATATATTTATATAAAGTTGTTTGTCTATTCGTGCTAGTCACATCCTTCATTATGATGGAGAATATAAAGAGAAGGGGAGTTGGAAGAGAGGACACCTGGCTATAGTGTACTAAAGTATTGTAAATAAGATGAAAATTAAATAATTCACGAAATTATCCCTTCACCTAAAATGACTTAATATCATTAATAAATTTCCTCAGAGATTACTTCATTTTATATAATATAGAAAAAGAAACATATAAAAATATCATAAAATATATATACAGATTGTTATTTACAAAATAACAAGGCAAAAATGGAGACAATCTTTCCATATGTACAATAAAATTCATTTAAAGCCCGTTTATACTGTATAAATGCATATATATTAGTATAATTTATATATATATATATGTTATATTCAGTTAAACGGAAATTATCTGAATCTAAACATAAGTGACTTGATGTAATTTAAAAAACAAGTGAACGCTTTGAACAGAAAACTAAAAAAAATAGAAATAAAATTGGAAATTGGTAATAAAAAAAAACAAATGAAAAATATTAAAACAGCTATTCAACATATCAGATTAGAATAAATGCAATAGAATGTAAATGTCATTTAAAAATAGGACGATAGTTTCTTCTACTATGACTTTGCAAGATTGCTTATATAATAGAATTTTTTAAGATAATTTTGTAAAATACCAGAGGATGAAAATCAAACGAACAGTTTAATCTTCTCGATTCTCGAATGCTGTTATACTTGAGCTATGGGGCCAGGTTCTGTAATTCCCTCAGTTGAACTCCTCGCTGCCATTTTTATGCTAATTTGAGAACCATTGAGAGTTAAATGCCCATTATCCCTTTTCTTCTTTCTTGTATAAGCTACGCAATACCTGATAAAACCGCCTATTATACAAAGTAGACCGGAGACTAGGAAGACCGGACCAATAATAATAAGGGCGTTTGTGGATGAACTCGAGGATTTCCGAAGGCCGAGAAAAGTTGTTAAGGTTCCGGCTATTAGCAGAAAGAAACCCAAGCAAATTACCATGACCCCCTGAGTCATGTGATTGAGGAACGGATCTCTGGGTTTACTCCCTGCTGCTGCCCGTTGTCGTTGACGAATAGGGATTCGAACTATGGCCGGCATAATTCTAATACTTTTTTTCTCTAGATTACTTCACGTTTTCCTTGAAAATTTCTTTTTATGACCTATTAACAAACAATATCTAATATAGTCATAAAACAGTCAATTCTAATGTTTGTTATGATTGCACATAGGTCTATCTTTCCATTGATTTACATATCGTGTATGAATGCACTAGTAAATAGATGTAGTACGTAAAGAATTATCGGAAAAAAAATCCTATTGAATAATATATTATCTAGGAAATATATATATAAAAATAATGCTGTATATACTGTATATATATATATATATATATATATTCGCATATATTCACCCATATAGGATTAATAAAGTTATAGTTACATATAATTAAAATCCTCGTTCAAGAGCGATCAAAGACACTTTTATGCAGATTATAAGAATTAAAATAATTTTTTAAACCCCTTTTATATCTTGTTCAAAATTAAAATGTTCAATAAAATTTACAACGAAAAAATAAAACAAAAGAACTCTATTTTTTAATGATAATAATCAAATGATCAACGGAAGTGAGACTATGATATCTATTAAATAATCGATAAGAGAAGCAAAATTGCCTTTTAATTATACTAAACGATTGCTTCACGGAAGTAAAAATGGATTGTAGAAGAAGCCTATTGAAAATTTATCAAGGTGATCCTTTGATCTAAATAGACACTACTGCCTTTTGTTTTTTTTTTCTTGAATAGATGGTTAATTAAATATTTATATACATAAGAATTTGTCAAATGTATATCTTATATATTTTTGTAAACGACAACATGTACTTTATATATTTCATACTTAAAAATTTATTTAGCTTTTATCTTAATAAAAGTTAAAAGAAAAATTTTTCTTCACCCTCTTGACTCTTTCACCTCTCTCTTAAACAGCTAACCTTTTAATAGTACTTTATTTTTGTTTATCTTCAATAAATACTAGACAATACTAATTACTTTTTCATCGCTTCAACATCTAAATCGAAATGTATTTGTGCTGGCTAATTGACAAGAAAAAAACGCCGACTGTTGAGACAACCTATTAAGAAATATCGATCGTTGAAACAGAAAAAGGTGAAAGAGGTAATAATGAGTAGTACAAGAAAATAGACTGGTACAAGGGTCAGAATAAAGGACAAAAGGAAATAAAATTGGACAGTTTTATACTATGTTCACAAGTACAAACACACCGACACACGCACATATATATATACATATATATATTGTTATTTTTTATCGGATAAAGTATATTATTATCATGTGGTTTGGCAAGAGCGGAAAAAACTATTCGCATACAGAAAGGATGAAAATATATAAAGTTCGTAAATATTTGCGGTCGATCTAGAGTAACTTGACTAGACGTCACATTCTCTCCCGTAAGTTATGTTTTATCCCAGCGAAAATAGAAGATATATACAACTTCCACTAATATTATCAAATACGCTATTTATATAATTAATCTACAATTTATTTATGTTATTTTTTACGCTGTCCAAGTTAGTGACTATATCGATTTTCCTATTCTCTTTATAAGCCTATCACTCTATTATTATTATTGATGAACTTTAATTTTTCTGTAGTTGGCGCCTATTATACGCTTTTTGACGCTTTTTTTCTCAAAGTGCCTAATTAGCGCTTAACTTTGTAGTTTCTAACAAAATAACTAGTTCAAAGAATTTAATTAAAAACGTTCAAAGTTCCTTAGATTTAATAAAAGTAATAATAATAGAAAATTTCTCTCATGCGATAAGAGAAAAAAAATATTACACACGAATACTAATCCGCTAATCCATTAAACGAGTATGGACGTCTTAAAACAACCCGTTAAATGATATTATATGTAACTAAGGATGAGCAATGAAAAAATGGAAAAGGCTCCTACGTGACGCTTTTACTTCGAAAGACACTTTTTCAGATACTTCAACATATTCCCAATAAAAAATCTTTTCTGTCATAGAAATCTTTCACAGAAAATGATAAAAGACATTAAATACTTCTATACTTTCATTCGTCCACAAATTTATTTCCCTATCCCTTTCAATTTCTATTCAGCTATTGAACAGCTCTTTTCTCTATAATTCATTAACGAAGTTTCATTTTCCCCTTGTCTTCCTTTTCTCTTTCTTAATAAAAAGAGGATTTTTTTGTACTGTACATTAAGAACTTTTTTATTCCAACTTCTCTGCAGTTTTTCGAAAAGAAATTCAGCTCAACTCAGCTTAACATATATTACTAAAATCGTTTGGATTAGGCCTAAATCATCTTTTTTTTTGACGTCTAAACTGTCTGAAAAGTATTGATCAGTATAAGAGCTATAAAAATAAATGATCAACGGCTTATATAAAAAAAAAAACACATGTTCATTTCCCCTCCCCAAACTGTCCCTTTCAAAATATACTCATTTTCCTTTCCCTTTCAAATTTCCTCCTTTCTCCTACAAGGCCTACTTGTAAATGAATTTTTATGTTTTACCATTTGATACGTATATATAAAATTTATCCTATGTTCCTACTAGCAACGCCTATTTAATTATTGAACAACTGAGGGAAAAAATTAAACGCTTATTGTTTTAAAATAGAATAAAAACTACGAAAAGAACATTTAAAAAGATTCAACTTACCTCAAAAAAAAATAGACTATCAAGATGTTTAGCCTTCAATTAAAGACGTTTCCTTCTTTCTTTGTTATATAAAAAGAATTAAATTTTAAAAAAGAGAATAATTTCCCTTTCTTTCTTTATTTTGTAAATCAAAATCTTGCAGACAATTCGCAGTTTTGAGGACGAAAAAGTCAAGATGAATGAGTAAGAGTTTAATAATAAAATGTAGTAGATTATTATCAAACTTATGCAGATGAAAATTCTAACAAATAAACAAAAGAGATTCTTTCCTCTATTTTAATTGATTTAGGTAGAATCAGTATAATTCAAACATACTTCTAGCCGTCTTTCTTCGCTCTGTATACAAATGAAGAGGGTTTTTACGCTCTGATTGACTCTGATGCCCCCTACCGGTTAGTACACATTGATCGAATTTATTCATACGTTTTTATTAATTGATATTGAGAGTTGCGTGAACATGATTAACATAAAACATGTAGACCGATTTACTATAAATATACATGCAGTATGTAATATGTATTTAACTATACATATATTATATGGTACATTCAACAAAAAGCCTATACACTTAAAGAACTAAGAGTAAAGAAAGAAGGTTTACATTTTATTAGAACTTTTTCTATCGAATTTTAGCTTATTACCTCATTTTATCACCTTTTTATTGTAAAAAAAAAATAAATTCTTAATGAAATTTTATTAGTTTGTTTATATATTTCAATTTGTTTTATAAGTAATCATTTTGCAGTAAAAAAATCGTTATAGAATAAAGATTACTATCAAAAGATTCAGGGATAATGACCGCATATATGTATTAGAGGAAAGAAACTGTCATTTTTTTTTATCATTATAAAAAGTCTTGTCTATCTGTCTGTCTCCGTCTCTCTTTGTCTCTCTCTCTCTCTCTCTCTCTCATTCTCGCTCTCTGTTTCTTTCTTTTTATACCTTTCCTTATTACTTTGTCATTTAACATAACGTAGAGTAAGAGAGCGCGAGAGCGAGACAGACAGACAGACAGACAGACAGACAGATAGATAGAATAGAGAAAGAGAATCAGTTGTGTGCAATAAATCTTTCCTGAGCTCACATAGGTGAGAAGAAAAGCAAATTTAGATCTTTCTTTATTTTTGAGTATTTCAGTGAACATTAAGAAGTTCCTATGAAGTTGATTTAATAGAAGAATAATACAAAAAAAATTAGACACGCCTGGTAAAAATGTTGTTAAAAGAATATAGCAGCGTTGGGTCATATATGACCTTTTAACTATAAGCTTTATGAAATGTCACCTACTAATTGGACGCTTGGACAATAATTTTTGGACGTTTTTTCACGTGGATCCTATGAGAAATTTAGCAGATGGGGCTATCCTATATAAAAAGATCCTCTTTTGCCTTTCAATACACTTTTTATCATCGAAATGGAAGAGAGTTCTATGGAGCAACCGGAAACCATTCGTTTTAGGAGGACAAACGCTTGGAGTGATAATTCGATCAGCGCTTGCGCCCATATGTTCGGTTGGTGGTTAAAACTATATTATTTTCTTGAAGAGGTTGTAGCCAGGTTTTATAAATATCAATAATCGAAATTGTGAATGTGTTTTAGAACATTCCAACATAAAAAAAAAATTGTATAAGATAGATGAGCGCATGTGTATTATTATGATTTTTTTTTTGTTGGTCTATAATTATAATCTACTAAACATTAGTAGCGAAAAGGTGAATGTATTCATCTAAAAACATTGATTGAACTCACTTTCATTCAGGTATTGCTGGATTATTAACTACCATTATTGCTCTAATTAGTGATAAGTGGTTATATGTTTCGGAACCTGTAAATATTAAATACAAAGATAGTATTACGAATGCAACTCTTGAACAAGAAGTCTCTGTAAAAGTATATTCCGGTTTATGGCGTTTATGTCTAGAACCAATCCCAGGCGGTTAGTATAATATAAATATATATATATTATAGAGTATATAAAACTAGAAATATAGATATTGATATTTATAGTTATATAATTGAATATATTGTTCCACTAATAGAAAAAGAGATATCTCATATACAAATAATTTGTATTACGTAATCTAAAATAGAGAAATTCTTAGCATAAGTAAAATATCATACCAACTTATTAATAAAATACTCAAATAAACAAGAATTAATCTTGTTTAATTGCACTTTTAACCTTTTCGTTTAACCGCTAGGAATGCTTTTATTTTTATTTGTTTTGTTTGTACTTTTGCCTTGTGAAAATAAAGCAAGTCTTATAGTTTATATGTAAATTTTGGTTTATGAATATGTAAATAAGTCATATATATATATATATATATATGTTATATAATAGACAGCATTTGAAATATTTACTTAAATCATTGTGTCTGTATTAGTCTATCACTAGTCCGTTTTATTTGTAAAGTTGGTTGCTCGTATTTTACTGACAGAGGTCAATTGCACTACTATTGATTATAGTGGATCATGGACGGAACGCTTGGAAAATGCGCTTACAACTGAACTGATATTAAGTAAGTAAAAATATACTTTATAATATTCAAAACCTCTATTCATAGAGTATTGTTTAGTTGTTACAATAAATACTTTTCTTTCCTCTGTAATTTTTCATCTTTATCATTTCGTATAAAATAAAGAAAATCTACTTATTTCATTTATGTCACTATTTGAGTACAATAATAACATATTTAGATATAGAAAAGAAGTGAAAGTAATATAAATTAGGGAAGAAATATTATGTTTAAAATGTTAATTGTTTAATACCCAAGGCAAAATCGACAGGCGAGAATAGGTTAAGGTTAGTAGGAAGCGTAAATTCATGTGTATTGTTAGTAAATTAGAAAAAGAATTACCAGCAGCCATAGGATAAGAGGAAGAGTAGGAGGACGGCGAATGAGGGAAGAGAGAATTAAGATATATATAGCTACTGAAATAATACAATTAATTGGAAAATAATATGTCTTTTTTGAGTTACAGATAAAAAAGTAATTATAGGGTGGAGCTTATGAACTTTATAAAGTTTTCATTCACGTGACTTCTCACCATTAATTTCATCATACAAACAATTGTTTGCCTTCATCGATCATCTTTTGTATGCTTCGCTTAAACATATACATATTAACCTTATTTGAATAATTCGTTTATTTTTTTTAAATATATATCTTAATCATCTTAAATATAAAACTTATATATGAGAATACACAGATTACTTCAAAGTATATTTAAATGTAAACTGGTCCAAGTTACATTTTTCCTTATTTTTTTATACATAATTGATAATCGTTTATTATTTAATTAAAGATATTAGTAAAAAGCTTACTTATTTTGTAATTAAATATTATTATTTTTACGCACCAATTCGTTTGGAAAAATAGACCGATAAGAGAAATATTTTGAAAACAAACCCTCGGAAAAGCTTTTCAAAAAAAACTTGTAAAAACTTATCGATTTCACATTCTAGTTTATTATTTATATAACGTTTGTTTGCAAAGGAATATTGTATAAACTTTATTCAAGTTGAAAAATTTACTAATTATTCTAATATCTATGATAAAGGAATAAAGAGAGGATTGATTTATATTATCATCATACTAATACCTGTAATCGTACATCTTCGTATATTTTTTCTTTTCTCAGTAGTTTATCCCTTAAATGTTCGTTGATTACGTATTTTGCTATTATCTCTTATGACTCATTAACGCTTTTTTATCAAAAGTTTTTCTTTAATAAAAAGTGAATTAAGCTTTCATTTTCTTTTTCCTTTCATTCACTTAATATTTTTTAAATCTTCTTAAAATAAATCATATCACGTGATACATGCTACAAACATTAAGATGAAATAAGTCCATATACCTTATTCGATATAATAAGGCATATATCTATTATTTTTTGATTTTCTACTTTTTTAAGCCATAATCCCTTCCTGCCGCCCCCCACCCCTCTCTCTCTCTCTCTCTCTGTTTCTTTAAAGCACTGATCAGATTTTATGCTATCCTGTACTTCCAATCAACTATATATGTTTGCCGTACTTCACATATAATAGGCCTATCTATTATTAATCAATGCTTTGTGCTAGGCCGTTTTAAAACAGTATACATTATATTCCATTTAGAGAAATTCTCTTTCCTATTTTTCGTTAGCTTTAGCAATAGTCATGTATTTTTATTGTATTTTATTACAATTATATACTAAAATATAAGTTGCTTTTTTTTTAATGTCTTTATTTTGTTTAAATAGCTATTTTCCATCTGTATATAGTTTTTTTTAATGCCAATAGGAGGAATAAGAAAATCTTCAATTGCCTTCGCTTTAAGTACAATTTTGCAGTTTGCCGCGGCAATTGTTGCCGGCATGGGAAATCTTCGAAAGAATAGTCTATGCTTAATAGGAGCCATCATGTTTATAATTTCTGCTTTAATTCTATCTGCAGCAGTTATATTGTATGTCTGCGCTGTAAATGATGAAGTAACTCATCGAAAAAAGCCAATTTTTATGGGCGAATCAGTATTTTCGCACCGATACGGTAGAGGTTTTTTCCTAATTGCAGCTTCAATAATCTGTTCTCAAGCGGCTGCCGCAACGAATATCTACTTATCGGAAAGATGGTATCAGCATGATTATAGGAGGTTTTTTAAGGCTATACCGGGTTTGCGGAGGAAATTACCCATCAAATTATCTCGAAGCCTCAGTTACCGTCTAAGGGAATCAAGACTTTCTATACTGGTTACTTCTTAAATGACCGAAAACTGTGTCGACTTTTTTCCCTTCTCTTTATTAATACCCTTGGAACAAATGAACGATTGTAGTATGAATTACAATTAATGAGATCATTCATCTATCTCATTAATATAACCTAGCAATGTAATATACAAAGCCAACATTTCCTGTCCTCTTTTTCGCTCTTCAGCCACTTTTCTCTTATCTATTTTAAATATGTAAAGTTCATAAAAAGCATAAAGAAAAGAATAAAATAAGCGCCTAAGATATCTATAAAATGTTTTATTCATACATTTTAGTATTTACATTCAAAGTAAACTCTAAAGGTTAATAATAAGTGAATACAATAAATGAAAAGAGAAGGAAAATTTAATCAGTTGTCTTGATGAACTAGCTAATAAGGCTCTGAATAGTCAGGCTTGAACAGCTTTATTAGCTCATTATGCGAAAATCTATTCTTTTAAACGCTTTTCAAACTTATCTTATACAATTTATTTGGACAAGATATACAAAAAAGACCTTGCATATTTTAGAAGATAACGTAATTCTTTCAATCCAGAAAATTTTCTTTTCTTCTCTTCTTCGTTTAAAACCTTCCAATGAAGCTATAATTAGCTGTAAGAGCAGTGAACTTTGGCTGGATTTAAAAAGTTGTCACTTCCGTCTACTATCATATACAATTACGTATTATTGCAAAATATGCAAACGCATGCTTGTAATACAGCATAGTCTCTTCCTTAATATGGAAATTGAAGGAAATATTGAGCTTGTTTATCGTGATTTAGCATACATAGTAATCTATTCATATAAGGTTTGAAATTCTGAAAATAAAGATCTTTTTGAATAAAAGAGTAATGGAGGATAATTGGAGGCCACTACCAGTAGTACTTTTTAATTATATTTTTAACTTGTATACTAATAAATCAATTTGTTTTTAATAAATAAAAAGAATAATAAGCTATTCCTTTTCTAACAAAGGAAAAAGTATACTTTTATCATTTATTATTTCTTTTTGTGATAAAAAAAATAGGCCAAAAGGCCGTGGTCTGATGAGGATAAGGACAGTAAAGGTATAAAAGACGGTGCAACTAAATACGAATCTTGGAAGAGGTAACACTTTTCTTCCCTTTTCGCTAATGATGATTACATACTTTAAGTATTAAATGAATTTTCAGCTTATTACTCAATTATACAAGTTCAACCACTTTGCACGGAGTTCGCTATATTACGATCGATACTTTATTTAAAATTAGAAGGTCTCCAATTCTTTTCTAATTAGTTTAATTAAGCAATTAAATAATAAGACTATTCAATATTTATTTAATATAAATAATATAGTATTTTTAATTATTTTTAAGTATGACTTAATTTCTGTTAATGCATATAATATTTATTAATAATAATAAAAACACAGAATCCTTTGGGCATTGTTAGTAGCTTCGGCCTTTGGAGTATTCGTTTACTATACATATAGTAAAATCGATTACTTTTTACAATATCCGAAAAATATAGACGTCGAAGTAACTTATCTACCAAGGGTCAAGTTTCCTGCCGTAACGATTTGCAATCAGAATCAATTGAAGTACCATTTTTAATTGGCCTCGTTTATCAACTCTTATTCTTCATTAATTTAGATTAACGGAACTCGCCGAAAAGAAATACTACAATCTCGTTCCACTTTTATTTCCAGTTGAAAAGAATTCAGGTATAGAAAAATCTTTTTCTTAATTGAATAAATTTAAAAGAATGAGGAAGAGAGAGAAAAGGTGAGAGAGAATGACGGAGGAAACGGGTAAAGAGATATTTTTTATTAATTTAAATCAAAAGAGATATTTACGTACATAGCTTTATTAGTTGATACTATTACGTTGACTCGTCTTATCCTAATACATACGATATAAAGGTAATATACTGTTAGATCCCATACAAACTGGTATTAACACACTTTAATAACGCATTAACTATATCCTTTTAAAAACAAATTAGGAACGATAAGGCTTCCGTTTAGTCATCCGGTTTAGACTCTTCCGTCATAATTTTTTATAAATTTTTTTAATGTCAGCATCGATTAATAAATCAAAGAGAATTTTTGCAACTTCCGCTAACTTTCTTTCTTTCCGATTTCTCTGTTTTGTTATATGAATGTAGACATATTTATGACATTTTTGTTCTTTTGTTTCAAGTATTCAACCCTCTATTTATCCAACAGCTAGGAGCCAATGCCGAATAGATCAGTGGATGTGTCTTGGTCAAGATAAATGCATCGATAAAAATTCAATATGTGACGCTTTTCCTGATTGTTTGAACGCAACCGACGAGACAAACTGCAGTAAAACATAATACAACTTAAAAATCATTTTTTATATAAAAAATCAATTTTTGTCCTTTTCTATTCACTTTCGCAATAGCAATCTGCCCAGCTTTGCTCCTACAAAATCAATTCAACGTCACTACTAATTTGACGTCGTTACTGTTTAAACGACAATCGAATACTTTTAACCAAAGCCGACTGGTCTATATGACCGATCGGAATGAAATACTTTACATATTCAAAATAAAGAATAAGTGGCTAATTTCTGATATCTACATGCAGGAAACAAATTACGTAGCAATTTTAGATCAAGATAGCGAACTACCATACGGCGAAAACTTGGTTTGGAAAACGGAAAATGGTTCGAAAATTGGTTCCATGATGTGCTTTTGTTAGTAATAAATAGGCCTATAAAATCTAATATTTTTTCCCGCCTTCAAGAAAACTATATATATATATATAAGTAAATAAATAAATATACGTATATAAATATGAGTTTATGTTACAGACAATCCTGATAAGACGAAAAAACATAGTAGTATAGGGAATATTACTGGCGTGTCGCTTAATGATTTGTACGACACATCGTCCCATAAGAAAAGAGATTTTGTTGAAAAATGCATTTGGAAAGGGAAAGACTGTAATAACGAAGATATTTTTGAACAATACACGGATATGGGAGTTTGTTTTACGTTCAATTCAAAAAATGATATGTTTATTGAACAGTCTGGTCCTGGTTACGGACTAACTTTGGCGCTGAATATTGAACAATACGAATATACTAAAAATTCCGAGACTGGAGTTGGTGTTAAATTGTTAGTTCATGACGTAGACGACAGGCCTCTTGTAAAGGAGAAGGGCATATCGGTATCTCCTGGATTATATTCTTTCATCTCAGTGGAAACGACTCAAGTTTGTTATCTTTTCTCTAAGTTAATTTAGCTCTTTATCCCTACGGATTAGGTAGAAAATTTGAAGCCACCGTGGGGAAATTGCGGAGACAAGGATTTAAAATATTTCAGCGGTTATAGTTCAGCCAAGTGTAAATTACAATGCGAAACCGATTTCCTACAAGATAGATGCAACTGTAGAGATGTATCAATGCCAAATCGAGATGGTAAATAGCATAAATCAATAAATTATTATACGTAATAAAAACAGTCATAAAAGTACATTGAATAAAAATTGTCGAATAAGATTAAAGGATTATCGTTAAAATATGAGTAATTTTAAATTATAGCTATATATTTTTTATATTTTGAACGAATATTATATCAACTAAAGTAAAGAGGACGTTGTTCTTTAACTTGAAAAAAAAGGAGAAAATACTTTATACATACAAACATATTATCCAAGCAGCTCATTAAACGCATTATTTTCTTACAGGTTTTCCTCAAGTATGCAAGATCGATCAATATATCAAATGTGCAAAGCCATTCTTAGGTTGGTAGATCTATATACGACTGATGATAATTTTATCTTTTCATTGTATATTTAAGTAACTTTGTCCCTTTTTATTCTTCTCTTTTTTTTTCTTTTGCTCTTATTCATAAATTATTTTATTCATAAATCTGTTAAAAGATTGATTATATTCTAAAAACAAACTCTAAACCTACCAGTATATCATAGTGTAAGAATATATAGATTGTTACTACGACTACATGTGTATGAGGTTGGGCAATCCGTACTGACAGGTAGATGAGTGAATCTCTTTTGTAATGTTTACATAAACCCCAGAATGTCTATATTCATTCTATCATTACTGTACCTTACGGATTCCCATAGTTATGTAAATAACTCATTAATTAATAGAAAATAGAAATGCTCTTTATGGTCCTATATTTTAGATTTTTCTTATTACAATTATTCATTCAACGAACAGATGAGATGAGAGCGGCGGGAAATTATTGTTCCTGTGAAAAACCATGTACTTCGCCAGAACACGTTCCAACAACTTCTTTTTCCGTTCTTCTAAACAAGGCTGTCGATTTAGAAACGAATAATGAACCTAGAAGTATTAACCTTCACAAAAAACTATCAAAAGCAAGAGAGATATCATATAGGTCTTTCAATAAATTAAATATCTTTATTAGACCTTTCTACCTAACCCTTGTTCCCTTCTCGTAACATAGCAAGATGTATATACCCTTTTCCATGTCTGTTTACATTTGTACTTAAACAGTATTACGGACAATTGTAGCTAACTATCTATCATTTGAGAACAGATTATTCGACGATAAATACGAAAGAACCCTAAAAAAGTTCCATCGCCTGAAAAATTCGATTTCATCGACATTTAGATTCTTAACTGTGACCTATACAACCCTAGAACAAGTAAATTCTGACCTATCAACTACACTTGAGGCTATTAAAAAAGATGGCATGTGGTTGAGAGATTTAATCATTGCTGGCGAGAATGTTTTAGAGGAGGGCGCCTTAAAGATTATCGACGATTTAGAAGATATTATCTCTTCCGCCTTAAATGAGCCATTTATAGAATTTAGAAAATTAATGAAAGAAACATTAGATCATTATAGTATTATTTACAATCGGTTCTGGGATCTTACTTGTTTCATAAACGGTACTTGTAAATCAATTGATTGGAGAGGAAATGTTACTTGTCCCACATTAGATTTTGGAAATGTCAGCTGCAATTGTCAAAATGATTACTATTGCTCCAGGAGAGAGAATGCCGCTTGGGTTAGAATTTCGTCCTTAATAGACTCGTCTAATAAATTATTTTATGAAAGAATCTTGGAATTTAATGACAAATTCCAAAAATTACCGAATATTGATCGTCTATCCTGCATACAAATTAACTTGAACCTGTTAAAAGATACACTGGGTAGCGGTAGCGTAAACAATTGCAATAAGAATATAATGAAGAATTTAAAAGCCTATGTTAAAACTAAATTTAATTTAATTAGACCAAGGTTTAATAGTATCGAACATACTTTAAGGCATATGTTGATTCGATATGTTAAAGATATGAGAGTTTTGGATGACATCGTTCAAGATAAAAGACAATATTTTTCATTGGAAAAGTCAATTTCTAATAATTTAAAATCAATTTTTGATCATTTAAACGATATTAGACAAGAAATATTAAGTAAAAGTTCTTTTATAAAAGCGGTCAGATATCATCTCTGGTTTACTCAACTCAATGTCAATTTGAATCCACTTTATAAATCAATCAAAGAGCTTTTTGACAACACCCTAATAAGAATAGACAGCTGTAAGGTTGAAAAATTCAACCTATTGAATCTAATTAGGAACGTTGAGAGGAATTACGTGAACGGAAGTACAAAATTAAAAGAGGTAAAGAATTTATTGCATTTTCAAAGACATCTTCAGCTGTTGACAATTTTTCAACAAATATTCGATTCTTTAATAATTAATACAAATCAAAGGATAAAAAACTTGGAAACCATGATTAATGAATTCTATTTTACATTTATGACCGTTATTCCTATTGAAGATTTAAAGATTGCATCTGAATATTTTAAGCAAAAAAACCTTTTGCTACCGAAATATATTATAAAAGAATCCCCTCAGATGGCGCCAGGTGATAGTGCAGATCAATTTTGGAATGATATGAGAGATATATTTAATTCTATAAAGAATAATTGGCAAATCTTTCACACTAATCAAGATCAAGTAAGAGTAGAAGTGGAAAAATACTTTAATAATTTTAACGATGGAAATGATCTTACAGCTACATTTTTCAAGTTAATAAATTTATTTTCTTAGAATGTTATCTTATCTTCTCTGATTTTACAGCGAAAACTTTTTACAATTGGAATTATTCTACAAGGAACTCACCGAAAGAAAAGTTTCCCAAAAAAGGGCATACGAATCCATGACATTGCTGAGTATGAGTCTATTAGTAAATGTAATCTAAAATAATATCTTCATCCCTACCTACTATAGGTGATCTTGGAGGACTAATGGGTTTACTACTAGGAGCATCTGTACTAACTCTATTCGAGGTTATAGATTTATTCTTATATAACTCTATTGGAAAATGCTATACATCGTTTAAATCAAGAAGAGTTCAAGTTTGGGAAAATAAAGCTTGACAAGATTAGTTTCAATACAAGCATCAAAGATGGCACAATGAAAATGTATTTTAATTTTAACCCTAACCCCAACTTTAAAATGATAAAGTATTCATTAAATATACATATATAACCCGTTTGATCGCTTTCGCGAAGTACTTTATAACCTTTAAGAACATATCCATTGACTAACTTATTTGCCTTGTTTACTGTAATAAATGGACAAACTCCAGTATATGTTTTGCCTCATGGAGTATTCTTTTCAGACTATTTGGTCGTAATTAAAGCTCAACAAAGCGTATCATTAATTATTAACTTTGTTTTCTAAAGTTTTCATTTACCTTTTTGAAAGGTTGAACAAAAAACTCCAAACATTTTCTTACGTTATATAATAAATATATCAATAAGAAAAGCTAAGACGGAAGTGTGTAAAAGGGACATAATCTTCAATTTCCCGTGTCAATTATATCACCTATACTTAATGAAAAATACATTTTACACACAAATATGTAAACACATAAAAAACAATGATTCATATAAAGGTATGTTTTGCCTTTTTTTTTTAGGTTTTCTCTCTGATTACTGATTTTTAAACATAGGTTAAATTAACTTTAAAATTTGAATAATCATAATAAATCAAATATTTTAGTTTTAAGATTTATCTTTTAGTATTGCCATCTGTATTACAATCTACCAGTTAAACACATGGAAGGGAGTGGTGACTCACGCCTCTAACAATTACCAAATAAGGTGTTCACTTTACCTCAACTTAATCATCTTCTGTGCCATTGTCAGAAGAGAAAATGCCACCTTCTGTTGACTGGGAAAATATTCCTTCGGAGATATTAGCTTATATCTTCCTGAAGCTTGATCAAAAATCAAGAGTTCAATGTTCCCTAGTTTGTAAAAACTGGAATGAAGTGTATTATGTACCAGATCTCTGGAGAAGGCTGCAACTAGTGTTCAAGAGTACTGATGGACAAAAAGAGGTGGAACACATTAAAAGATACGGTGCCCATTTTAAACATGTAGTCTTAGAAGTGGATCAAAGTAATAAGAGGCAAAGGGAGGCGGTTGATCAAGTTTTAAGAGCAATTGCTAGCTTCAAGGAAAAGAGCAAAATTGAATCACTAACAATTAAGTTTACTGGACAAAATCCCTGGCTTTACTCTGGAGATGAAATGTATAGGGCATTGATGCATTTACTTGATGAATTAAAGGAAAGAAAACCCCCAAATGTTCTAAGGTAGTTTCATTTTCAGTATAAGACATTCCAAACTAAGATAAATTTGCAATTGTTATTCAATATTGGAATATAATACTTTAGTATAATAATAAAAAAGAAGTTATAGAGATAAGTTTTATTTAAAAAAAAAAGAAACCAGGATTTCCTTATGACCCTGACCTTGGAAACTATTGGTATAGCTAAAACTAGCTTTAGTATTGAAAAGTTTAGCAGTGATGACTATACCTTTTTGCCTTAAAAATAGCAGCAGAGCACTAATACAAATTAATTTTTACCCGCAGGTACTTTGATGTTAGTGGAATGCAGCTTGTTATGAAAGAAGATGTTTTACTTAAATTGGCTGAACATCCATATGTAGAAACCATCAACATTGCTACAGATACTCTGATGAGTTCATTAAAGGCTGAGCATTGTCTAAAGCCAGTACAGTACTGCAGAAGATTAACATGCTTTAAAGCCTTTGCCATCTCTATTGATGACGAAATTCTAAAAGAATTTTGTTCAGAAGGCAGAAAACCTTTAAAATTTTTATCATTAGTCTTCCAAGCTAATGACAAGTTTAAAGTACCAATTACGGATGAAGTTTGGATTTCTGTCTTGAAAAAAAATCCTGAACTAAAAGTCGAATATCAATTTGATCATAATTGTTCAATATCTATTATTACGTCTCATTTAACACCGAGTATTCCCATAAGCTCTGTTAAATTTATAACCTACACTCATTCGTATAACGAATTGAGCTATGCCACTACTCTATATTTTCAGAGATTAGAGTATATAACTATTTGGACACCACCTTCGGATGATTTAAATTCAGCCATTGTTGAAGCTGCAGAGAAATGTCAGCTTTTGAAATCGATAGATGTGAAATGCGAATTGAAAAGTGAGACTTTGAAGTTTTTGAAAGAATCTCGTCCGGACATAACATTTACTTACGAAGCTACAAGGGACGATTCAGTCGTTGGTCGAAGTACAAATCTTTTACCCCTGAATGCGCAACCGGTTTAGATTAATTAGAAAAAGAACCGAGAAAAATCAATGCTATCTACACTATATGCATTGAAATATTGTATGATAAATCAAAATATATAGACTTTAATGAACCAATTAACCATTAAATGAACGTTAATTATTCGTTCTTATTTTTAAAATAGTACATTCAAAGAATGATGCTGATCTCCAGACACTTTTCCAATTGATCCTATTAAAAAGAAACAAAGAATTCATAGTTTGAATAATAACTTATTTTCCATATTAAGCAGATTCCTCTTTGAAAACAAATATTTTTCCGATTATACTTTAAGCCGAATAGAAATTAAGTATTGCATACGTGGCTTATAACTTCACGTGGACCTATTGTTTACCTTAAAAACTAGAAAGTAATCTCTCCAACAAAGGAGTTGTAAATAGAAAGAAATATTAAATGTATTTCTTATACATTGCGTATAATTAAAAGATTATTATCTAACTAGTAGCTGAAAATTATTAATTTGCTCTAAAACTAACAAGGCTAGTTAATTGAATATGTATAACCTTTTTTCTTAATTATGTTTATGTACTAGATAACTTTCTTTAGAACGAAGAATAAAGCTAGCGATTTTCTTTCTCCTGGTAGTTAAAATATTGAAAAACTTTTATAATTTACTAAATTTCCTCATTCTTTTCCTTTCTTACCTTTCTTTTATGTAAAATATTTAGATAATCAATTTTTTAAGTACAAGTTAATGAAAGAAATATTACCTTGCAATCTCTAAAATGAAACAAAATAATCTATTTGAAAAAGGTACGAAAGTAATTAACATATAAAATGTCTGTCAATAAAGTCTCATCTTATAAATCCCTGCTTCGCCTATCAATTTTTATACAAACAAAAATCAAGAGATAAATATATCTATAAGAACATTTGTGTAGTAAATGACTTTAGATGAAGTTTCACAATAGAAACAAAGGAATGTTCTGCTATAAACGATTTACAGATGTAAGCATTCAAGAATCCTATTCTTAATGAATGATACTCGAGAATTACTATCCTTCCGGCTTAAAGTATTTAATAGAAAAGCTTATACTAATAACTTACAGCTCTAACTAACTATGTGAAAATGGTAAATAGAGATGATAAATGATTGTATAATATGAAAACATTGCGACGACTAGTGAAGATATACAACAAGGGAAGAGTACTTTTGTTACTAGACCTAATAAAAAGAGAAGAAAGGAAGGAAAGGTTAAGCACAATGTCTTTTTGTTTTTTTGCTATTTAAAAATAAGAAATGGGTAATTTCAAACAACAAAATGGTCGAAAATGCAAATGTTAAATATAAATATTCTATATAGAAGTTTTTATTGAAATAAATAAATAAATTCTCTGCTAGTAATCCCTTATTGTCCAGTGTTATGGTAAGATAACTTCAAAGTAATATATTTTCGGTTTTGGAAAACACTTCTGTGAACTACTTGGGTGCTTTAAGGCAAATATTTATGCCTGAGTATAATAACTCCACTTTAATAATACTGTATATATACAGTATATATATTATAAACACTGTGCAAGAAAAAGTTGACACTTTCTGTAAAAAGTGTAAAAGGAGAGATGAATTGAAAACTAAAATAATTAATAATTTTCTGAAATAAGATGAAAGATGTTTTAAGGAAAGGTAAGATAAAGAAAAAAGAGATTGGGAAGGGGAGAGGAATTGACAAGGAAGAATTGAGGGGTAAAGAGAAGGAGAAAGAGAGATACAACAATAATTAATAACAAAAAGTAGAGAACTTTAACTTGCCAAGAAACGAGATAAAGTTTAAAGTATACTTTGTCAAAGAAATGTGCAATTGACCCTTATGGTATATTCTTTATAATTATACTTGCAATGTTTATAGATAAACTTAAGATGGTTTAAAAAAATTGGGCATATCATATTATATCATAGAATACAACAGAGAATGATTATTATTAGCATCTAACTATAATAATATTTATTTATAGAAGAAGACACATAATAATATATTACTAATATAATATACTAGAAGAGCGTCTAATGTAAAATTAGCGCCTTAAAGTAAATGTACATCAACGCTGTTTAATTTGATGATAGAGTGAGGTTTTACCTTTTTACTTTTATCTAATAAAAATATCAAAACTAAGTGGTTACTTTGATTATACAGCTATAAAGATCATCAATTAAAAGTGTATATATTGTACTAATGTGTAAAGAATGAAAGATTATATTTTTGAAAATTTAGACGCTCCAATAAACAGTAGAATATTGATTTAGTAAATGAAAAGAGTCTAATGAAAGTAGCTAACCTTTGCTCAATTAGTAATCTTTTGTATATTTAAACAATATTACTAATTATTTGATATACAGTATATATATATATATGTATTTCTTATTACCATAAGAAAGCTTTATATATTTAGATCTAATCTTTTCATATATGTATATATTACTAATATTTGTAATATTAGTATATAAATTTTTATTGTATACATATACTATTCAATATTTAATAAAATATAAAATGCTTTCCAATTTATTAATCTTTTAAAACATCCATACAATAAAAAATAGGTAAATCTTCTTTATTAACCATACATTAGTCTAATTAAGTGCTAATACGTTCAATAAAGTTTATCATTCAAGAAAATGAATTATAATAGATTTTCTTTTACTAATAAACATTAAAGTATTGTCTATTTCTTTTTCCTTTACAATATAAAAGGGGCTATTTTTTTATGCTTGAAAAAAACAAAACCAAGATAAAATAAGCTAAAAGACTAAATTAATAGGAATGATAGACTAATTAATTACGTTCGAGAAAACGACCAATATATTTAGAATGCTTTCAAATGTCGCTGAAATAGTAAATCTATTGTATAAATGTATCGTTGTGTAAGAAAAAAATTGAACGAAAGAATTATCTTAGACTGTGAATATGGATTTTATAATTAATTTTTTATGTGTTTGATGGGTTTCAAATTGATCTCTATAGAAATAAAGCCACTCGTACCCATCCTAAAAATAAGAATGCCAATATATTTTATTTCCAAAGACAATTTAAAGATTTGCATATTTCTCTCTTTAAAACTTAATTATCTATATTAGTTTTACCGTATCACTTATTTCTTTTTTTAAACAAACTTGACAAAAAAAGGAACACCATCGCAACAAAAACGTGTTTTATTAGGAAAAAACGTAAAAAGGGAAACACTGTAGGAGTTTGAGAAACTATTTATGCGCGCGAGAGAAAGAGAGACGTCTACTACAACTCATATCGAAATAAGCCTCTTATGTGTGGGCTGTATATATAAAACCATAGGCCTATATAAAGGCTCAAGCACGTCTTTGCGCGTCCATTGCTTCAGCTTCAGCGATACCTGCACCATGAAGTTTGAACTTGCTATTTTCATCGTCTCCTCCCTGCTCATTAACTGTCTGATTTCCGGAGAATCTCGACTTGGAGAAGAAAACTACAAGGTAAATATAATTGTTCCTTCCGTTTCATTTTTGCGTAACACATGTAAACGCATATATTTATATATATATATATATATTATGCGTTTCTTTTAGAGCGTTTCTTTCAGAGCTTTATTAAATTTTACAAAATTTTTATTCACAAGTTAGCTATCTTACAGATTAAAAGACAAACAAGAGATGACAGTATTACATGAAATTATTTAGATATTCTAAAAGATTAGAAAAGCTTGGTAGACTTTGAAAAACAACAAATAAAACAACAAGCACTTAAAATGGGGAAAAGAAAAGTAAAAAGGCAGTTAGAAACATTATCTTACATAATCTTTTACTTTTAAAAAGAAAATTTGAAGAATTTAATTAATTGTTAAGAAAGGGAAAAGAACATAATGCAGGAGATTTAAGGATGTACTTTAAATAAATTTCGTTTAATTGATATACAAAAAATAAATACTACATATGTAGTATATATATTTATATATATAGATATAGAATATCTATATTTGTCTAACAATGAAACTCCTTAATGTCAAGAATGTGAAATAATGCATAATCTTATTTTCCCCAAAGTTCGGTATATTTTCATCAGTGTGCGTAATTCTTTAAACCAACCTTATCCGTATAACTCTTAAGGGAAATGTGTAATTCCATCATGTACGCACTTTAAAACAAAATGAGAAAGTATATTAGTTTGTAAAAAAAGAAAAGAAACTTCAACTAAACATGTTAAATACAAATTGTGATTATAGAGTTAATGTATTTGTTGCTACGTATGTTTAATCTCTAGAAAAATAGAAGTTAATATCTAATTAAAGATTAATCACTTATATTGACCAACTTTCTGACGTTATACGGAGTTCTTTAACATATAAGTAGATTACTTAGAAACATAGCCGATTATTCTATAATTTAAGTAATTATGATATAATGTATAAAACAAAAGTATTTTAAAGTTTTTTTTTTAAGTATTTAAAGTAGTTTTCTTTCAATTACTTAATCAAAGAACTATAAATATTACTTGTATTAATTTCTAGATAAACAAGTACTCTCAGATATGTATATTTATTAATACATACGTATATTGTTCTATTCTTAGTATTGTACATTTAGTTATAAGACGAAACATACACAACAAAGGCATTGGTTAGAATGAAAGAAAAGATGATCACACTCTTCATTTTACTTTGTTAGAAATCATGTCTTTCTGAAATTTGATTAATCTAAATAATTAATTATTCGTCAACTGGATAACAAAATATAGTTGTTGAGTTAATATTTAAACTGAGATATAATCTGTTTTTATCTTTATTTTCTTTAGGAATAGGCCAAATTAATCTTTAATGTCTATTTTATTTATAAAAGAAATCTGTACTAACGAATAAATATCGGAAACTGTACAGACTCTTTTCTCGTAGGTCACCTTCAGGTTGCTTAAACTTCAGGGTTATTTACGTTGAAATTTCAACCACTCCATTTGCAAATAAACATGTATTTAATCGACTATACTGCCCACACTAACTCTTGGTTCGATTAATAAAACATTACCAATTATTATGATATCGTATATCAATCAAACTGCGAGCGTTACTGATCGATCTTCTAATTTTACACTTATTCCTGTATATGGTATCATTATAAATTAAGCATTTATTGTTTTCGTTTTCATTTTTCTTCACATTAATTGTATTATTTATAACTTTTTTGTTTATATATAGTCCATACAAGAGGGTATTTATCAATTATTTTAACAACTTCTTACAGGTGGCCAGCTTGTTGCAGAAAGCCCTAAAAGCTGATTTGGAAAGGCAGTATATGCACGCTCTGGATCTGGAAAGATCTCTCAATACCCATTTGGATCGTCTTCGCGAACACAAAAGACAATTAGAAGTTCGAAAGAGAAATCCTATTCAGTGTCTAGTGAACATTGTCTCCTGCTGGAAGAAGTAATCTGTAAAAGTAACATTGTAAGAGAAAATTCAAGTGTTGTATGAATTCTATTTAATTTACATGACATTACATGTATTTAAAATAATTAAATTCAAAGAGCATATTTAAATGTGGAAATTAACTATCATATATATTTCTATTAACATATACATCATTACTCTCAATTTCTTACAATATATATATATATACAGTATATATATATATAAACGGGTACGTTTATAAATTCACTTAAAGTAGCAACCAGTATGTTAATTAAGCGGGTTATATAAACAAAATAGACCACTAATATGTAATTAGGTAGCGTTAATCGTGACAAGACCATTCAATAGCATGATGTAAAATGTGTACTCTTACAACTCAATAGTAGGAAGAAATATCAAACTTCATAGTCTTTTCTTTCCACTTTTATGAACATATGAATACCAGAGTATATAAGATAATAGACAGAACAAACGCATTTCCTTACATATTCACTCTATATATCTTTAAACAGAAAAATCTGCTAATATTAGTACAACTTTTATTCAAAACTTAATACATTTAACAACATTTATAAGCCCTCATTTCTCATTTATCTTTCTTGTAGTTTCCCTTAATTGATTTGAATTGTAGAGAAAAGACGCGTTATATTCTTCTCTCTCTCTCTCTCTCTCTCTTTCCCTACTTTTACATGTAGCAATATCTATATAAACATATAAACTGTATACTGTATTTACTAATAAATATATATCGTTATTACTTTTAACTATAAATACAATGGTCGCAATACAAAGGAAAAATAGTGATTCAATACAGTTTGTATTTCCTAAAGGGAGACTTATTTCGGAAAGTTCATAGGATATTCCTTTTTAAACAGAGCTTTAAAGTATTACTATATTACTTAGAAAATAGTGCAAGACAAGCTAAAAAGAAATTATGTAGTATACATAAAAAAATTACGTCTTGCGTACAATTTATAAACTTGTAAAGAAATTATCAAAAACCTAAGTCTTAGAATTAACATCTACTTTAAAAAATGTTTCCTGACTCTAAGAAAGGAATTTTTTATATTAGAAATAGTTATTTCCCTAGGCAGCCGGTGAAAATTATCGAGTAAGCAAAAACATTTCTTTGATTACACACCCTACATTTACGTTATTTATATCCGTTCTCTCAATTTTTAGATCTTTTTTCATTTCATTACTATTCAAGAAAGTAATGATTAATTATTTATAGGTGTTTATATATTCATTCCATTGTTTTTCTTTCTTTCTTATTCTCCTACACTATCTTCGGCTTTCTCTATTTTACCTTTCATATTTCTATAAATAGGACAATGAATAAATTAACCTAGAAATTGATGAGTAATTTAAAATAATTAAATACTTATTTTACTTAATAAATAATAATTATCTGCATTTATCCATATTATACAATTTTCCAAATACTCTCTAAGATTAATGACATAAGACAAAAGAAAGACTAATCAATCGTATAATTTCAATTATTCCCTTTCAACCTCTGAAGAAAAGTCAAATTTCTTCAGCTATTAACCGTTAGATGGCATTATTGTATAAGTTGAAAGCGATTTACACTCGGCTTTAAAAGAATATGTTAGAAGTTTATTGGAAGCCATAAATATTATTAAAGTCATCGAGTTATTTAACGGTAAAAACTAATCAATACAAGCTGCCACGTTGTCAGATTTGTTAAAGAGCTAAAAGTAAATGTAGGCATCCATAAACATAGTAATGTAGTCTTTTTGAGGAGATGAATGAAAAATGAACGCCAATTGTGAATGAATATTTATATAATTTTGATGAAGAAACATACAAATGTACCTCATTGATAAAATTCACTCTCAAAATGAAATAAACAATTCTCGTTACAATATTAAAAAATATTGTTCACAGATTTCAAGATAGTCAACAGAAAAGAATAAAATCACCATTGCTAAATTAGAAATATACATTATCTATTGTCAGACACTTGAATAAAAATATAGGAGATATTCATCAAGTGAATAACGAAAAAGTAGTTATTACGGTTAAGCAAATAACAAAAATATTTTAAATTTACTTATTAATAAATTAGTATATTTTTTTTTGTATTTAATAAACTTTCAACTAAATACAATCTTGCTCTCTCTTCGTTTTAAAGTACTGTACCACTGCTCGTTTATTCTATATGTATTTCGCTGTAGATCTTGCGGATAAAAGTGTAAGCCGCATAGAATCCGATCGTCCCGGTCATCAGCCAAAATGTAAATACCATCAATATTGTATACCCAAAGTACAATAGAGTTGGAATGAATTCTGAAATTTCTAGCTTTGTTATGAAATAGAAAATTGAGTAGGCAAAGACATAGAATGCAGATCCGCCAGAAACAACGAAACTCCTCCACCACCATCTATAATCCTCTCCACATAATTGAAAGTAAACCATTACAATTGATATTTGAGAACAGCTAATTATGAGAATCACGAAAACTAAGAACAGAAAACCAAAAAGATAGTAAAACTGATTTTCCCAAATAGCTGTAAAAATGAAGAATAACTCTATAAACATGGCGCCAAATGGCAAAATTCCAGCAATTAAGATGCCAAATACAGGATTCAAGTACCACTGTTGGTCAGGAACCTGTCTGGGTATTTGGTTTGTACGAACTGGATGTGAATAAGGTTGTTTACGGTATCCAAAGTAATATCCTAAATAAACTAATGGTAAAGAAATGCCAAACCACATACACAATAAAGCAATCATTGTAGTAAACGGTACAGCCCCAGACGATTGTTTTCCCCAAATGAAAAAGTTTAGAAAGAAGCAACATCCAAATACAATCGTTGGATATAGTGAAGCAGTTTGAAAAGCTGCTTTTTTCCATGAATCTCCTTTCAACGTCTTGTATAACCTTCCAGAGAAGAAGCCTGCTATTAAACCCATCAACATAAATAGGATAATTGCCCATTGCATTAAGGAACCCCTTGAGGAGGGAGATAACATTCCCAGCATTGCGAAAACAATGGTCAAGAAAGAGCAGCAAAGGATTTGCATACCAGATCCAACAAATGAGGTGAACAATTTTACTCTCTGGGGTGGTCGAAAAACATCTCCATGAACCAGTTTCCAGCCTGTTTCCTCCAATGTATCATCCATATCATCCTCTGGCCTGTTATATTTTGCGATATCCTTTCTCAATGTACGAATAATGATCATTGTTAGTATACCAGCCAAGAAGAGAACGACTACGACCGAATTGATAATTGAGAACCAATGTATTTGGACATCGGTCATACTTAAGTAAATATCCCATCTTGATGCCCAAGGAACTTTGCTCTCCTTCCAGTCAACTGAATATGTGAAAAGAATCTCCGTATCACCCTTATCTGATATTTCTTGGGCGTTAACTTTTTTGCTCGTAATTTTGCAAGTGTTTCCATTGGCTTGCAATTCATTATTGTCTATACTTCTTGCTTCAACCTCAAAGCCAACAATTCTATATGTCTTTTTTTTCGCATCAGTATCATCAACTAAATGATGATACATAATAAACTTGACATGATTATTAATATAAATCTTGTTGTCTTTAACAGAACCAAGACGATAACCATGCTCATACTGTGTCTCACCAGTTTCCAATATTTGGAACTTTGTCGCACAGGGTAGATTATCAGCTAGCAGATGTACGAAATATTCTTGGCGAATTCTCTGTTGTAAAATCTTCTTTTCCTTTGCGGAAAGCTTTACTTTATTACATAGGACTGTACACCCCTTAGAAACAGTCATGTTCACTGAGTAAAGTGTGTTTACAATACGATCTCCTCGAAGGACTTCTCCAAGGTTTTCAGCTTTGTACTTTATTTCAGAATTGGGAGGTTTGCAAAAGGCTAGTGAATAATATTCATAAGGTAGTTGAGCTTTTACACTCGTTAATTTTACTGCTTTAATTTCGACTGCATCATTAGCTTTGAAGTCAGTAGGGGCAACTCCGGGAATATAAAAGCAGTCATAATAATTAATAAAAAAAAATAAACAGAACGATACAATATGAAGTCTGGTTGAGCTGGCCATCAAGAAACGCCTGTACAGGTATACTTTGCTTTCAGCTCTAAAGTAATTTTTTGCAACGGTGGACCGGAAATTTGAATACGGAAGTAGAAATATTCAATATGGGCGACAAAAAAGACGCCGCCTATCGGTTTCTAGGCTTTTTGCGCGCGTTTTTTTCAAATGCTATTTACTATTAGGACTCTTATCTGGACATAAAAAATTAATAAAATATGATTTGTAATAATAATGTTTTAAATATAAAATTAGTGATATTTTTTATTTTATCCAATATCATTGATAAAGCAAACAACTAATAAAGGAAACTGTACTATTCTCTTCCTTTAATCATGACACATCAGATTTTTTAATAAAGTCCAATAACCTATACAGAAAATTCAAATCTTGTTTGATCTTCAAGAACAAAATGAAGAAAATGAAAATTGAATCAAGAATCCTAATTAATTAAATATCTTAAGGACCATTAACTATGAATACTTTTATACTATTTTTACATGAAGAAACGAGTTTCCTCATATCTTTAGGCTTAAAATAAACGATAGGGACTTGAATCTCTTTTGTCAAAACTGTTAAGAGAAAAAGGGAAACCTTTTTACTAAAATGAAAAGTTCAATTATAATATTGAAGAATTTTTCGGCTATAATTAAGATAGTTATAAAAATAATAAGTCTTCACAAATTCTCTGAAATTCTATTATTATTATTGTTTAATTACGCATTTATTCTAAATTTTAATTAAATTCATTTCTAAAAACTACATCTAGCCGATTTTCGGACGGATCGTCCCCAGGGTTGACCGAATAAACAGACATTTATAACTTCTATATCTTCTAACAAAGCTCAAATACAACGGTAAATTAACAAGCAGCTAAGCTCTTCTAAAGAATCTCTTACAAATGATGTCGTCGACTTGCATCGTCTGAAAAATGTATACAATTTTTTTGAAGTTCAAAGAACATTGTTAAAATTATTACTTGTAACATTTCTTCTCCAACAAGTTGACGTTTGATAATGTGAATCTTTGCTTCATCGGGATTAACAGGGGTAAACGTTATAACTAATTTATCTCCATCCCAGAAAGGTTGACCCTGAATGTGCCAAAGACAATTAAAGTTTTATATCACCAAAAAAAAATCCCTTTATACTTTTTATAGGGAGATATAAAGTACTAACTTTGGTGCGAATTCCACCGTGTGCCTCGTAATCAAACTCTTCCCCAACTGTAAATTCGGTGTTCCTAGTGCACATGACGTTTAAGATCTTAATAAGGAACTTATCTTCATTTTGATGAATTTCTACGTCCTGTTGAACAGAAGTTGCCATTCGAATAACCGCATCGTCGGCCCCTAAGGCATTGAACGTAGCACTAACAAGCTTTATAGTTTCATCTCCACTTACCATTTGCCCTCAAATAATCTTCAAATTTTTCGCTTTTGTACATAGACCACTTGCCGTTAAAGTTCGGTTTTCCCATACTCTCTCTTAGAACTCCTCACTTTAAATGAATCAGGTGCGCATGTAATTAGAAATTAAGATACTTCTTGATGCACCTGCGCAAAGCAAGGTAACCATGGTAATCAATTCGAAATCACGTTCGCGGTCACCCCAAAAGCATTACTCACATTTCATTAATTATATGTAATGGAACATGTTCTTCCGGATTTTTCTCACTACTAACAATTCGACTAGACAGTTTTACTTTTATAATAGTGTTTGATATATTTATTCCCTTAACAATCGAACAAGACACACTAAACAGAAAAAAGGAATACTATTGTTTACTATCTTTATAAAAATTAAAAGGAAACATAGGGTGTTGTAACAAAATTTCATAATGGAATTAACCAACTTGAAACGTGACAATTTCGCAAAGGTAGACGAAAGCTGAAAAGTTTTATATTAACGTATGTAAAACTTACCTTTCCTTAATTCTCTACTAATATACGTTTTTAAAGCCTCCACGGTTAAATCTTCTGCCTTGACCTCCTCTAAAACGTTGACCTCTTTGTCCACGGAATCCCCGACCTCTACCACGGTCTGGAAATTCACCATTTAGTTTCTTAATCAAGTTCAAAAATAGTACAAGTAAAGCAAAACTTACTTTGGTGTTGAAAAGTACCAGCTCTTTCGCTGAATTTTCCGGTTGGTGGAGTATAAATAGACTGATTAGATTTTGCTTTCTTCTTAGGTGAAGAATCATCAGAGTCAGAAACAAATTGGCGTCTATGCGGATAAAAAGGAAATCAGTGTCTGCTAACGAGCTAAATATTAAAAACTTACTTTGTAGTTCCTATATAAGAACTCTAAGAAGAAGCAAATTAAAAATAAAAGAAATTATTGTGGTATCTTAATAAAAAATTGTCAATCTCACTTCGCTTGAAAGTTGGCAATTCGATTTGTACGATGGAGGAACATGCATTAGATCACGAACTAAGACGTCGATATTCTTCACAGTTTTAATGGCTGTTGCTCGCCAATGCTTTTGATCTTCGTCCATTTCGGTTTCAGCTTTTTTGCTAGATGTTAAAACTTTCAGATGATTGCGTGCGCAGTGGGCAGCAAATTGTAACCTATGAATTCAGAGTAATCAGTCAATCTAATAATTATTCGTTCTGGATCTCAAAAAAATAAAATAAAAAAGGCATTCACTTTACCTTTTACGAAAATCTTTGACCTTCTCTCCGTCCATGAGAAATTCTACTTGTTGAGATGCTAATTTGTGAAAGGCGAAGAGATATGATTCAACCACATCGAGCTGTAAGTTTGAATGATCCTCCAAGTTTTCTAAATTATTGTCTTCTGGTAGAGGCAGATACAGCTAAATGCAGAAAACAATTTCTTTATAAATTATTTAATTAACACGTTCAAAACATTTCATACTAATAGTCCATTATACATCGATTGCAATATTTCAGAAATATTTTCTAAAGTCCCGCTATAACGACAGAGTAAAGCAAGGGATGTCAAAAGTTCCAGCTGAAATAGATGGTCAATTGTTAGTATTATACATTTAAAATAATATTATAAAATTTAAAATGTAGTAAATAACATTTTATTACCTGAAGATCACTATCATCAATCTGAAAGTTAGAAATGTGATCTATAACATTTAGGCACGTATACTCCACTAATTGGGTAGAAGGAACTCCAGTCTAGAAAAATTAATGATTTAAATTACAATTTTTATAAATATATCATAAAAAATGAAACGTACCGAACAAATTAATAGCGATTGTTTTAAAACGAAAGCCAACCATTGATAATTTTCCTTAGTAGGCTGAAAAATATTCCAGTTAAACAGATGTGTTCGTTAATATAGTGATTTTTTACCTCGAATGGGACTGTTAGTGCACTTTTCTCAATGAATTTTTCTAAAAGCTTTACTTTAACAGGTCTATCAACCACTCTAATCCTCTGGCATAGAGACGGTATCAGGATTTCTAGATCTTTCTTATCACAGTTAGGAAGTACCTAAAAATTCGATAAATTTAATTGAGATCCTGGTTCCCTAAAATATGCATCGTATATAGTTGATTTAAAAGCATACGTTAACTAATTCCTGGACGAAGAAAGTTTCAATGTCTTTGGTCCATTTTTCAGTTTCACTTTTTTTACGAAAGTCATTAAGTATTAAATTAATGAATTGCGACGGAACTGATGCGTCTAATTTAGGATCTATAACAGTAAAGATAGCTTCTAGAGTAACTGCAAAAGAGATAGTAAAAAGTTAAATCAAAATTCAAGACGTATTTTGGTAGCTAACCTTTTGGATGCTGGTTGAAAGATTCAGTCAGTGGTTGAATCCATAGAGTTTTGTCAGATACATTAACTCGCACTACAAAGTCAGTTATTATTGTAGAAACAAGGTCGGCAATAGATTCAGAAAACTTCGAAGATTGCACAAGACTACTTCTAGCAATTTTCAATAGCTAGAAGTAAGAAATTATTAGATAAGATTGTTTCGATAAATTTTAATAATATACCAAAGGATCATTCGAACTTTTGTTGGTAGCTTCCAAAATGGCGTTAAATGCCTCACTTCTTAAAACTGGAAATTTTTTCAAATGGCGAATAATTAGCTGAATTGCTAAACTCTTCTGTTTATTGTTGCCCTTATAGATTGTAGTGATAAGCTGATTCATCAATTTGTTGTTCTGTTAAAGATTATGTCTTACTATTAATACTGGCCAGAGGGGAAAGTTAAATATTTTATGAAATATATAGGAGAATGTCACAATAATTAACAAGGTCCTCACCTCTTCATTGTTAGACCCGGCATCTTTCTCCAAAACGTTATTTGCTTCGTAGATATCCTCAATACTAATAGGGTTGCCTAAAAATTTAGTTCCAACCTAACAGAAAATTAGAAATTTATAAGCTAAAAACATCAACTTTCTCTTGCATGATTGTATAAATTTTTATTCGAGCGATAATACCATAACTTCGCTAGATAACGACTTACTTCATCTGCTAGATTGTCGTCTTGAGCCATTATGAATTAGATAGCGATTAAGAGTAGATTGCTCGTAGATGTTTATAGAAATTGAGTCTATTTTAGTTTTGAACACCAAGGTTCTAAAAAACGCAAGTAAGACGAACCGGAAGTATGCAGTTGATATTACTTTACACCAATAACGCTTAGCGCCCTCTACAAGATTCTATTAAACTAACATTTAAAAACATAAATTCATTTATTTTAAAATTTGAATTAAGGAATAGATTCATTAAATCTACCGCAACAATTGCTTGGTAATACACTCCAATTGTATATAAAGCTCAGATGTAGTTTCTTTTCTCTTAAGCCACATAGTCTGTTAAATTTTTTCAAGTTTTCAAATTTTTCCTCCATCATATTAGAACTTTGTTTGTGTGTTATTATATAAGAATTATCACATCCGCGTGACCTCCACTCTGTGTCAAATCTTGGATCATGCTCTCGTTTTATGTTAAGTGGAGAAAGCCATGCTCCAACACTAATATCTTCACTTCTATACATTTGTAAAATATCGCTATTAGTTGATATAAATGTGACTAGGTCTGAAGTAAGAATGTAACCGCCGCCCCTTAAAATGAAAAGAGTATATATTAATTAGAGAGTTCACTAAATGTTACTCTAAGAGGACTATACATAACATTTCTAAATTACTTTTAGTTTGTTTACCTTGCATGGGGAAGATATCTGTCGCAAAGAAACCAATCTTTCTCTGACCATTTCCCTGATTTTTTTACTTTTGCTCTTCCATCAAAAAATCCATAATAAAATTTTACTTTTGGTTTATCATCTAAAATCTTTGCCAAAATGTCTAATCTTACAAATGAATCATCATCTACTTTTAACAAGTAAGTAAATTTAAATCTTCTATCAATCAATTTAAAAGCTTTCATCATCTTCTCAGTTAATTTAAAATAAGATTCATTAAAATCATCTAATAAAATCAAATCTGAGGATGAACTTCTTTCTTTAAAAAGTGCTTCTTTATCACTAATTGTTAAACCCTCTATCCCCATCACAAAATATAGACACGTTTCACTATTTGCATAGTTAAACCAAGTCTTTCTTATTATTTGTCTTCTGTTGTAGTTGAGAATACCACTTAAAATCAGTACTAATAATGTACATGTTGGATGCTTAGCCTGATTATCGCTCAAGTCTTTTCCTACTCTTGCTGCAGAACTTGTATATGCTATTGGTAAACATATTGTTATCACTAAAATATAAAAAAAGAAGACAAAGATTATTGCAGCTCCGAGTATTGTACAGTTCCTCCGATTTAATTTCATTGTGCTTAAACACCATTAAGTATTAAAAGACGAACGCAAAGTTAGTTTCGTACTTATTACAGAAGACCATATTCTCACTAACACAAAATACTTTTTGCTGACACTTGCATCTAATATCATCGACATATTCTTTATGAGTATTTCTTCAACAAATTATTCAAAATTGTGCTAATTAAAACAAGTAACTCTGGCAGATGTTAGAATATTGAAGGAAATATCATTCACAGACCATCTGTGTGGATTCTTGACTGATATAATTTCAATTTCACCATAATGATCAATGGAAAACGCATAAAATCGAAATTTTTGTATATAAAAATAATTCTACTTATGTAAAAAGCTCTATTCTTTTTCTTTGAATAGACCATTTAGTGTTGATATTTGCTTTTTATTCTCTTTTTCATTTTGGGGGTAAATACAACAAAGTTCAAAAGAATCATCTTAACCTAATAAAGTATTATTTTTTAGCTATAAATAAATTTATATTTATCTTCAAGATATACTTCACTAGCTTGATTAGAAATCAATTCGATTAGATAAGATATAAGCGTATTGCATAAAACCTGTTATATCATTTTAATTGATCCATTAATCGAAGATATTGGTAAATGTTAACCAAACTAGAGTCCCATGGCTGTAGGCAAATATTATGCGTCTATAATCTTGTCCTAATCTTCTGGAAAAAATGCTTTAAGGATCTAATCAATTTTTACTATTTCTAGCATATCGGCTGTTATATACCGGATTTTGTATAGGAAAGAAAGATCCTCTAACTAAATTAAACTATGTAAAAATCGGAAATTTCCTTTCAGTTCAACTGTTTTGTTAGAGTTGAAAACTTAACGTACAGACTGGGGTAATTAATTGTATATCTTAGAATGTATATACAGTATATATGTATATATATATATTGTATGTACGCGTGTTTGTAGTTTAAGCAAATATCGAAAGTCAATTAATGTCAAAAGAGAACAGTTTTCATCTTATTTAAAGATTTTTTAATAACAAAAATATTTTTCGACAAGACTGGCATGAGCGCAACTGCGGTTAACACGAAAGAATGCAAAAAAAAAGGCTTCATCTTAAACTGGCACTCAATTTTTTGTCGAAGAATTCTTGATTTCTATAAAGGAAGAATATTAACTATTCATATTAGGTTCAATTGATTCTTCCAGCTCTTTTTTAGCCTTATTGAAAGCTAATTGAAATCCTCTAGAAAGAGGAAGAAGGGGAAATGACGGCTTCCTAGGCTCATCAGGTTTTTCAATCCACGATTCTATCCTCTTTAGAAACTTTCCTCCAGTTTCTTTTATATGTCTCTGAACTTCTTCCTCAAAACCAGCTGGAATTTTTCTAGAGAGAACAGATAATGACTTAGTTAAAGTTAACAGCACCATTTCATTGTACATGCGACTATTCTCCATACCATTTGCAGTGTTTCTTTGCAGTTCGTATCCTGCTTCGTTGAAATAAGGCTCTTCAACTAGAATCAACGATTGAATAGATATCAGTAATTGTAACAAAGTAGACTTGGGTGTCCATTTTTCCGTTCCTTTACCAGACCAAGTTCCTAACAGACTTAGGCACACTTTTCCATCTACGTACAAATTTGGATTTAGCCTCTCGGCATACATGGAATGATAATAAACTTCTGGTGGAACAAGGGGATAGGTTTCGGGGAGGTAAATATCGAAAAAAAAAACACCATCTTCATAAGGGGTATCATGAGTTCCTTGTATTAATACACGTAATTTATGAGTATCGCTCTCATATGCAATCAAACGAATACCCTTGGGAAGATCCTTGGATAACTTTTGCATTTCAGAATGATAATGTTTAATAAATCTAGGATTAGTGCCTGGATTATGTCTTTTGAAGTAATGATCGTCTGGCACAATTTCTACGAATTTTATTTTTTCGTCGTCGAATTCATAGGATATACCCTCATCGTCGCTATCATCTATAACTATAACTCCATTTTCCTCAAGCACCTCAGGCACTTCTGGCTCCACTTTTTCTTCTTTAATTTCAACAACCTCGGAACAAAATCCTGTACTGGAGATCTCTACTTCACTTTCGGCATTGATAACATTCTGTTGAAATGTATCGCTAATATCTTTTAAGATTCTAACCATCTTTTCTCCACTCAATTGATGCTTATTAATTTTTTTCAATATCTTCGTTAACTCAACCTCTTTTTTACCCGTAGAATTAATCAGGAGAGGGGCCACTTTGTAGATGACGTTTTCTAATATCTCTTCCAATGCGTCATCAGGGAGCTCATTACCTTTTCCTAATGAGTTAATTAACTCACAGACATCTTCAGCTGTTTTTTTAGCTTCTTGCAGGTGTTCGAAGGCAATACTAAGTGTTAGACACAAATTAATAGATTTCCCTTCCCAGACTTTAATTTCTTCGCTGTCTTCTTCTTCTGTCTCCCAAGATGAGTTTGAATTGTTCAATTTTTCGCAGTCATCATCACTGTTTTCCGATTCAGAGTCAAAATCTAATTCTCCGTCATCGTCGTCGTCGTCATCATCATCATCGCTGTCATACTTTACTATAACTTCGGTTGGGTACACTAAAGATTCAGTATTACCGTACCAAGTTATTTTCATTCTCCCATCCGTTAACATTTCTAAGACCTGTCCAACGTTTTCAGAATAAGTGTCATTATCACTAGGGGAGTCTGTATATTTTTTTGATCTAACAACCACTGTTCCTGGTCGGAATGTAAAAGTATCGTGTTCTCTGAGTTCATAAACAGAAACTTCTTCGTCCTTGATTACTTCAGGCTGTTGAGAATCGGATATTGTTTGAAACCAACGTACAAAACAAGTTCTGCCTAAATGATCAGCTCTTTTCACAACTGCATATTGCTTTGATGACTTTCCTTCCCGAGAATAAACGTAATCCCCTGGAAAGTATTCGTTATCATCTGGATAATTAATGGGATACAGTTGGCAAGAATTAATGTCTTTTTCGGTTGTACCATCCTGCCACATAACTCCTACATGAGATTCTGTATAAGTAATAACATAAGGCGCCAAATTTTCAAATTCTGGCATAGCATAACGACTCCAATTTTTATCTTTAACTAACTTGACGAACTTGTCATAGGGTGAACGTATTTTTTCCGGATTATCCACATTTGGTGGATGGGAAGAGAAATAGACTATATCTCCCAATTGATAAGTGGACGCATTGAAACAATCCAATTTCTTCAGTTTTCTCAAGCTAGGACCCCGAATTATTCTCTTCGGTCGTTTATTCTTTTTCCCTGTAATTGCACATGCATCCCATTCGACTTCTACTTCTTTAACTCTTATGTTGATTATTGTTACTTTACAAGTTTTTTTTCTATCTGCATTTCTAACTGACTTGGAATTATGGTATTTTGTTTCCCTCGTCCATTTGGCATGCATTAAATCGCATAAACAACCAGTCAACGTTTGACTGACATAATACAATACATCAGCAAATTTGTAACCTCCTGCCACAGTCTTATCTGAAGTATCCTTAAATCTCTCTAAAGTTTCGTCCGATAAGCAAACCTTGCACATTGCACCGTCAGAAAATGCCAGGGTAATTTCTTGGTCAATGTCCTCAATAACTCCAGCCCAACAGTCCATTGCCACAGGCTCATTTATGTCAATATCGGAAAAAAATATCGGTATCAGCTGACTTGTATCGACTTTGGAAAATTTCCTGAAACCATTTATTTCCTCCAGATTGCATAAAATTTTCGTGGAGGTTGCATAGCCCTTAACACCACCGGGATCATTCATACGTCGAACAATATCGGAGGGTAGAATAGAACGATCTTCTAGGGTCAACTCTTCTGAGGAAACAACCGATGTTACTCCAGTTGGAAACCATGCAATTCGATTCATTCCTAAAGCAAGACGCATTTCACTCTCCTCAATATATATATCGTCATGACCAGTTTCAGCTGTTTCTAACACCAGGCCATATTTCTTTTCACCCGTTTCAGTTAAACTGCTGATTTCATCTTCAGCGAATAATTCCCTATCTCCTTCCGCCGCCATTTTTGATCAAGACGTCTAAAGGAAGTTTCGTATAAAAAATTTCCCAATCGATTCGTGTTCCCCTATCATTTACAATACTGATTTTGAGTATGTAGGTAAAATATCTTTTTTATCAAATTATATATAAGGTGAAGGTCATAAATTTTCCCGCCATTTTCTCTCATTTTATTTAAACTATTAAATTATACAGAAAAGAGTTGTATTTAAACCGAAATAATGTATTTGAATCAGTATTTACATAAAATATTTATTTTTAAATTAGTTCCACTTTAAACTTATAAAAAGGGGGAAAATTGTTGGAAAAAAATAAACAAGCAAATACGTAATGTGTATAATTATACAGAGTTTTTAATTTGTGTATATATTGTAAATAGAACGCTTATTATTTGGCTTTTCTTCTTTACAAGAAAAATCTACAGCGAAGAAAATGCAGACAGAATATATGCAGTTTTCAACTAACAAATATTACAATAAGAAAACATCTCTTTTTTTTCACCAAACTGAACATTTTTTCACAGGATTCATGGGAGAACCAACGGGGCAGTTGTAAGCCTTCGAAAATTCTTTCGAATTTGATAATGAACCTTTAACCCTATATTTTATTTTAAAAAAAAATACATTAAATTTATGATATTCATTTATTATATAAATCAAACCTTATTGGTCCCGGGCTGTGTACGCCATTTGTAGTTTTCTGATAGGCCTCCTCTCGTCTCATTATTCCGCACCAGATTTGAGCGAAATTGAGAAAGAAGAGCTGGTCATGACTGAGATTTATACCGGGCAAAAGTGCTTCCGGCCCATGCTTCTTTTCCCATTTCTTATAGGCCTGTGTTTTTTTTAATAGACAAAGAAATACTTTACTTATACGCATTCAGATAATATTTAAACAATTTAGGATCGTTTCACGACCATCTTAGAAACATATTGCAAACTTTTATTACTTGATTGTAAGTTTTAAAATAAAGAAACCATTAGGTTATTTAGATTGCGAGAGTATGTTTTCTTTCAAAAAAAAAAGAAAGAAAACTATATAGTTTAAATTAAGAGATTTGTTAAGAAGTTTTAAAGCAAGATTAACAATTATTATACTCTTTTATATATATATAATCTAGCCACCTTATTCCTAATGGTTTCCTTTTTTATACGCATCAAAATCTCTAAAATAATTGTCCCGTTTTTACGTATAAACGTAAATTTTTTATATGTAAATACACTTAAGATAAAAGGGGTTAAAATATAGGACAGGAATTGCTTGTAAAATGTTTTTTATCTAATGTTATTACACACTTTGGATAGAGCTAAAATGTATTGCTAACCCGAAATGATTCCTTCAATCCTCCATTATCGGCAATATTCTCTCCTTGAGTGAGTTTTCCATTAATTGAAAAGTTAAAAGGTTTTAACTCATATTGGCTATATTGATCGATCATACACTGAGCCCTATCCCGAAACGCTTTTACAGTACTATTTTTCCACCATTGTTTTAGATTACCGTTTTTATCATATTGACGTCCTTTGTCGTCGAATCCATGAGTTATCTCATGGCCAATAACAACGCCTATACCACCGTAATTAAGAGACCTGAATGTTGAAAGAGAATCAAGTTAGTCAATTATTCCCTGATGAATCGGTCCGAAATACTAACTTTGGAAAGTTTTTACTGTAAAAGATAGGTTGAAGTATTCCTGCTGGGAAGAGTATATCGTTCGTATTCGGGTTATAATAAGCATTTACTTGAGCAGGTATATGAGCCCAGCTGAACATGAAGAAAAAAACTTAAAGTATCATTCTTAATCTCTAAGTTAATCCCTTTATTATGCTTATAATATAAATATATTTATCTGATAATAAAACTACTATTATAACCATAATGGGATTAGCAAAAAAAGAGAACGTTTAGTGAAAGGAAATGCTTACAAGTCACTATCGACGGGTTTTCTCAACTTCCGGTATGTTTCGTAAGAGTTAAATTCCTCGACGTTAAGCACGTTTTGAAAGTAGTCGTTCTCACTGACAACAATTCTAGAATAAAATTCATCGAGTTTTGTACTATTCAGAATAAAATCGGGATAGCCTATTCTCTCTTTCATAGCATTTGCTTTTTCCTCAGCTACCTTCTTCGTTTCTTCGTCCATCCAGTCATTTTCTTCTAAAATTTCATTAAAAGCCTCTCGAATATCACTGATCATTTCACTTACCGACTCTTTACTTTCTTTTTTGAAATTTTCTTTAACAAACATTCGACCGACGGCTAAGCCGAGTTTGTCATTAATATAGCCAACGCACTTTTGCCAGCGGACGACATCTCTCTTTATTCCCATAGCTAAACGTTTATAAGTTAAACGAGCATCTTGGTACTTCTTAGGCAAATCAGGTATAAAACGCAGCAATGTTCGCCAGATTAGGTAATTTGCTATTGTTCGCTTTGAGGTATTTTGCAAGAGGTCGCCGAATTTCACAAAATATTTGGTTGCCATTGAGACCACTGGTTCACTTTCATCGATCTTCACTAAGAGAAAACCATTAAAGTATTCCAACCAATTAAACTGAGGTACGACTTTTTGTAGTTCTTCAACCGTTTTCTTATCGTACATTTGACTTGTATCAATACGATCATCTTTTGGTATGGTTATCTACGGAATGGTTATACGATTTGAAAATGGGAAAGATACTATAAACTTTTCTTTTTTACCTCTGCTAATCGCTTTTCGAATTTGATTACATCATTCATTTCTCTTCTAGCTTTCTCAGGAGTCGCCCCCATAAGAATGGCTATTTCGATCATGTATCTGTGGTAAGCTTCAAAGACTTTTCTTTTCTCCGAATAGTACTCTATCCCAGGCATACCAAGATCGCCCTGGTCGATTTGTAAAATATACATCGAGGAATTCTTGTCATCTGGTCCGACTTCGGATCGAATGAGAATCTTTTGACGATGACTTTTTCGAAGTTTAGTTAACACCGTTTCTAACTTCCACTTGTCTTCATGCCAATTGGGATCAACAACAGGCCAACCTCCCATCGATTTTAAGAACTTCTCAAGTACTCTAACGCCTTCTTGTTCGATTCGAGCTGTAGGGTAAAGCAAATATTTTCCTCGTAAAAGGCGAAGGACGAAGGAATTAACGCTTAAATCGCCGAAGGACAAAGGGAAAAAATATTAGGGGATGAAATAAGGGAAGGTTTATTCTGGCTTGAAAGAGAAACGTCCTTACTCGTATTAATGCAGGATCTGTACAAGGTCTTCGCCTTCACAACAGCTGTACTGTCAACAGGCCAAATTGGCTGCTGTAAGAGACGTCTGAGTTTCAGTTGCAATTCATCATACTGCTTTTCAAACGTGTTAAATGTTGACTTGTCATCAGGAATCACGTGTTTTTGGTTCCATGAACCGCAGGCGAACTGGAAAAAATCCTTACAAGGATCAACCATTGGATCCATGGCGTCTAAAAGCAAAGTTGCGGTCCTCACACAATTTTCCGTCAAGCATTCTCGGCTGGCGGCTAAAACATAGTAAAGAAGCGTTGTTAAAGGCTACTCAAAAGATTATTCTCTGATATATTTAATCATAATTAATTGTAAACAAGATTAAAGTTGAATTGATAAAATATCGGACAAGATGAAGATAACATCCGAAATACACATACAATCTCATAGAGGGACTGAAAAAATTAACACATCTCTAAAACATACATATTAGTATATACTGTATATATATATATATATTTATATGTACATCCGTACACAGGGAATTTGATATATTATCACTCTATATGCTATTAATACATTAACACTGACCAATTAGTATGTTTGTAAAAATCGGAAGTTTTTAGAACAAAGGTCGCTTAATTGCTGTCCATATGTTTATTGCTCTTAAGATAAGAAAAATTTTTGTCTTTTCACTTATCAGTTCTATTTTTATATTTCAAAGTATTTAATTTATCCTAATTATTCTTTTGTACTTAAAGTGAAATGTACGCGTTAGGTTTTCCTTATTTAAAAAAATCATTAAATAAAGAAAATTAGTTCTATAAATATGTGCACCTAATGTTAAAAGGGTCACCAAAAATTTTAATAAATCGACAAAGATGAGTGAAAGATATAGAGGAAAACTGTAGAGAACGGAAGAGGAAAGATAAAAAATGATTTGCAAAAGAATATATTATATACAAGTTAAACGAGAGTGAAAGTGAGCGCGAGAGAAAGAGAGGCCGAGCGGGAGAGCTAGAGACAGAGAGAGAGAGAGAGAGAGAGAGAAATATGCTGATAACAAGAAAAGAAAGAAATACTCGACAAAGGAATTAATTCTATATATATTGTTTTTTTTGTGTTGAGATTGTAAATATAACAACATTAATATTTGTAACGTAATGAATAAACTATATCAGCACCAACATAGTATTATCAGGCGACATACTGGTTTTAAAAAGCATTATGATGTTCTAATCTCTGAGATGTGTAAACTTTAAAATCATATTAAAATCATATATATATATATGTATATATATTAGTGAATATGCTTACACAGTGTATACTATATAAATATATATAAATATATATCATACGGATAATTTTTATATATGATATATTATATAAATATATCTATTTATTGGATATAATCAACTAGATGATATAATGACCAGAATTTGGTTTGCCGAAAACCAATGGTCTGAAACGTCAGATATTTTATTATTCTAGCAACATATTATATATACGGAAAATTCCTATATACATATTAGTTGCTCTTCTTTACTAATCTCTCCCCTATTTCCCTCATGTCTCCCGAGTGTTTTTTTGCATAAAATTAACTTAATCTACTTGTTTTTTTTTATGCCATGATTTTCTTCACTTTCTCTTGTTTTTCTTCCTCTATTTCTTTTTATTTATTTGACAAAAAGTTTCTATTTGATTTTCATGCGTATTTGATTACTTATAGCATTTGTGTAAGGGAAAAAAATAACAAGACTTTTTTTTATAATCTATTCATTACCTATCAAAATCGTAGTTACGACCTTATTATATATGCTTACATTTACTAGAATATAAACTTTCTATAGTAAAAGCTACGGACTCTACCGTACATATGCAGTATATATATACTGTATAGATATATAAATGTAAGTTTATTATATATTCTATGTGCATACGATGCATATAGAAATTTTATAGATATATATGCACCATATATTTCTATTTACACACACATATATTTATATATTTATATATGTACTCCATCTTACATAATTGAATATATACGTACACGTATAGATTAAGTTATGTATATAGCAATGATATTTGTAATTATAGCTACATATATATATATATATATATATATATTGTATAAATGGTTTGGCAATTGATAAGATAATTAACTTACGCGTCCGGCGCAAAAAGGCGATAATCCCGAAAGCGATTGAGGTAGCTAAGAGTAGTATGCAGATTAGGAGCAGATAAATATTGAATGTTTGCCTTCGTTGGCCTCTAGCCGACTCTGGATTGTAAACGACCGTCAAATTTTCTTTTTCGCTCCTCAGCTCGCCGTTCTTCTCCTCCTTTCCACTCATGTCATGACTCTTCACCCAAAACACGCCAACCGAAAAGAGAAATCTAGGGGCGTTCCTTTCGACGTCACCAACGCTAGTGGCGTTGCCGCACAGAAGAGAGTGAGAGAAAAGTAAGTGGTGGAGTGAGAGAATGAGAGAGAAATGTAGAGAAATAGGGAGAGAGAGACAGAGAAGACAACTCTTCAGCGGCAAATGGGAACTGCGCCAAGAATTATTCGCACACGGCGCCGCGTATTGAACGAATTTTGAAATTTTTTTCAATAAGAGCGATAAATAAACGATCAAAGGCCTTTTACTTTACCTAATTATCTATCGCTTGGAGATTATTTTTATAAGCCTATATTAATGACTACGAAAAATGTTTATCTAAGAAAATGGAACAGTTTATTATACACTGTTATATATATATACATATATATATATTTATGTATATAAAATTTATATACTTTGTCTGAATATACTGCTTAGTAGATATTATAATATGGCAAAAATATGATGTAACACCTATACTTTATAGTGTAATCATAAAATATAAAAGAGATATCTTAATATATATCTATTTTAACACATTATATATATACATATACATATATATTCTATAAATTATATACATGGCTAACCAACCATCAAGATTTTGTCGCCCCGTTTATTTTGTTTTTACTTAGTCTATTTCTAATTACGAGCAACGCCATCTGCAGACCTAATCAAAAAGTGGCTCGAGGGACCCTCTAATATTTTCAGCTATTGTCGTGATACGAATACTAACTTTTCGAATTATTTGTTCCATATTGAAGTAATCAGTTCTACCTCTGAAACGATTTACTGATATTAGTTTCTTTATTTTAAGACGTTGATTCTCTTCTAAACGTATTTACTTAACGAAATACGCGTCTTGTGTACTTGATTGTATTCAGGAATCTTTTTTGACATTCGGCCTAGTTTTGTTTTACAAATTTCCTATCAAACTACTTCAATTTGATTTCGGAGAAATTTTTACCGCTTCGTGATTTGTTTTATAATTAAGAAAAGAAAAGAAAACAACTAACTGCAACGAAACTCGCCATTCTCTTTTCTCTTGTGAGCATCACTTCATTACTATATGATATACAGTACACGTAAAAATAAAACGTAGATATGAATGGCTATGTTTTTCTTTTATGTAGCTATTCGCATTAACCTATTTTTTCCTCTTAGAATGAAGGTTAAGTATATTTTACTTGTCTTTATTGAAAATTATCAAATAATTGACATGTTATACTACAGAAGGTCTAAATTCAAGGATTTATAGTAGAAGAAAAACAGCAATTTATAATAATAAAATTCTTTTATTACGTATTGTATCTAAAAACTTTTCAACTTGTAATAAATGATGATGAAATTCTATCGTCTCTTGCATTGATATTCTTTGAAATTTAGATCAATGGCACATTAACTAGACTATCATCTCTCATTCGTTAAATAAATATAACCTTGATTAATTCTTAACTATCAAAATATTAAAGAATTTTTTCTCTTTTTAAAAAATAAACAAAACTAAAGAGAAAAAAACATTCATGAGTTCTTTTAAGAAAACGAAGAAGAAGATAATAGTGGTGATAATAATGACGACTAAAGTGACGAAGAAAACACGATGCACTACATATTTAAATAAAAATAGCCAACTTTTTTTAAAGATATAAATAAGAAAAAAAAATCATTATTCTTGTTAAATGTCTACACACTTCAAAATAGCATCAGCTGGTATCAAGTGCAGTTTTCTCCAATGAATAAAAAACATGAAAACTAACTTTTTTTTCTTCCTTTCTTTAAAATATTCAAATTTTCTCTTTTTTTCTCCTTATTTTTATTAAGAATAAGTGAAGTAAAAGAGTAAAAGATGAAAAGCTTGATAGAAGAAAAGGTTAGAAAAAAAATGTCTTTTTTTGTCGCCTTTGTACCAGTTCATCGTCTTTTACATGCGATATTTATATATATATGTACACTGTATATAGTATATAATATATATGTAAAAAATCATAATTACAGATGCAATACATGCTTTATTGATATTATACAATGAAAATAAAAGAAGAAAACATGTTTTTTCTTACTTAGAATACGAAATATAATATTTTTAGATTATAAAAATAAAAAAAGGGCGGAATATAAGATGACTCTTTCTTTCTCTCTCTGTACAAAATTCTCATTTTTCTAAGGGAATCAGATACGTTTTATTAGATATTAAATGGAATTTTTTACATTATTAGTGATTATTAGTTTAATAATGCTTTCAATTCTGCATACGGTATGTTTATTTGAATGTTCCAAGTGATATGGAATAATTAAACTTTTTTTGCCAAGTTTTTTTTATCGCTAGTAGTTGTGATAATATTGGAAAATAGTCGATGAGGTCACGTCACCCTTTTAGACCATCTGGCACCGGTTTCCCTTACATATTGCGGAAAGTAAACACATCTGTATAAACTTTTTTAATAAATGTATAAAAAAAACAGGTAGAGCTCCATCTATCGGCAATTCAACGTTAAGTTTAATAAAGCCCCCCATCTGCTGGACGATAAAAGTGCCAAGGAAAAAAATTAATCGTCTTGAATTTCACGGTCGTTCGCTCCGTTCAATATACTTTGTATGAAGAAATAAGGCGGTTTATTGGTAAGGGCGCAAAAGGGCAGGAAGCCATAAATGACACACTTTTTAAACAAGATAAAAAGGAACAAAACTTTAGACATAAACAACTCATCGCTTTCGAATTAAAACTATTTCCCTTCCTTACGTAGAGTTTGCATAGGCTATTATTATTCATAAAAACAACAAACGCGTGCAACAATATCGAACCGCAGCTTATTTTTTTATACTTTGAATAAGAAAAAGGTAAAGAGAGAGAGAGAAAGAGAAAGAAAGAGTGCATACGATAACGATTAAAGGAAGAAGAATAGCATCGGCATTACTCAACCGCATAGAGAAAGAATGAAGAAAAAGATGGAATTTATATAGAGTATAATAGGTTTTCGATATATACATGTCGAACTTCTTTACTTCACTTACATTCGACTATTTGTTGAGTAAATACGTATCAAATTGAATAAAAAGAGACAACTTTTTCTTTTTTCTAAAATTTTCTCACTTGTTCGACGATACCAGTATACTATCAGTAAGCCTCCTTTAAAAACTTTCTCTCAACTCCCCTCTTTCTCACTTTACTCCTAAATACTCTTTAAGTATCAAAGGTTACAGACAATAGTTTCTATATTTAGCCCTTTATCGCTATTAATTAAATAACATATAATTCCAGTCAGCTAATTTTTTTTACGGCTATACTATAAATTATAGACCTATTTTAGCCCCATTTTATTCCAAATGGCTATGCGATGTCACCGACAAATAGCATATTTTTATAGCGGATTGTTAAAATTGCGAATAAATCATCCATATTTGTGTTTTATTGTTTATTAATAACAAAATTTATTCATAAAACCTTTATACTTCAAAAAAATGAATCAATTATTGGACAGAGAAAGAGAGAGGTGAAGAGAGACTGAAGGAGGAGAAAAAAGACAGAGAAAAGAGTGTTATATCTATTTATATAAGATAAAAAAAATATAGATTCAACTATCTTGACTGTTATAACTCTTACTAAAGCTTATTTAAATTATATTTATATATATATACTGTACATATATAAGAACTTGTAAAATAAAAAAGCTATATAAGAGGCCTAAAGGTAAATCCAATTGAAAATATACAGTATGAGTTGTAAACAGCAAGGAAAAAATAACAAATCCGTGTGACAAAGTATGAAAAATGACACAATACATATTATTTATGAATCATATCTGTAATTTTCTCTGACTGATTCCTTTTCAAGAAGAATAAACGAACTATTTTTATATTAATTATTAATTTATCATGTTTTTAAAACAACTATGTTAAAATAATTGATATTTATATTTAATTAAATGCATATGCATATATACAGTATATATATATATATTAAATATTCACTATACATGTATATATTTATAAATATACATTTCATTATTCTATTGTCTATTTGCTACAAAGTTAACAACTTTGAGGGAGGGTGGGAGGGGGGGAAGGGGGGAAAAAGACAGAGGGAAAGAAAGAAGGAATAAAAGAGGAATGAAAAAGAAAAAGTGTTACTTTATATTCAATTAAACTTTATTTTATATTTTATTTTCTAAAAGTTTCTTTTGATACAAAAGATAAAACGATTTGGAAATAAAACTAAGAGATTTATCACGGTCCATTTAGAAAGGAATTTATACCTTATTAACCTCTGTGTAGCGTCTAAAACATTGCTTGTTGTCCCATAAAAGTTTAGACAACTATAGAACAAAGAAAACGTGTTTTTATTGCCTCCTTGAACTGTTTTTTTAATCGAAAAAAAAATTGATAAAAGTAGCCGAACGTTAGACGTTTATAGGCCTACAAGCTTAATTAAAAAAATTTTAAATCGAGTCTAGAATTACGTCGGAAGATCGAATTTCTGACTAATCCGCCGTACGAACGAATTGAACAGCTTGAACACGGTTTTTTTACGTTCCGTTCCGAAAATTTTTATGGAGGTTCTTTGTGCTTGAAAGAAGACAATAAAACGATAAATTCGTACGAGCCGGCCATTTCGGTCAATATTTGTATGCGGAAAGAATTGAAGAGAGAGATATATAAAATGAGAGCAATATATCGCCAAAGTGCTTGTTTCCAAGTGTTATTCGCCTGTTATATATTGTTCTATCTTTGAATGATTTATGTATATTCTATTCTATGCGTATATCAACTTGTTTAAATGTTGTTTTGCTTTTTCCTGTATTTCTTTTCTCTTTTTATCCCTATTCACTATAACCTCTTCTCAGTATTCTCATTTGCCTATAGACTAATGGCAAAAGGTCGATAGGCGGATAAGCTTTAAGCGGAGAGTTTGTCTTCTCTTTATACATTTTATATGTACCTAATCGATATTGACGATGCTTGAATCATTAACCTAGGGCGCATGCGCAACCGAAAAATATTTGCCTTTTAGCGGACGCCGCTCGTAAATGGCTTTGTCGCCGGGGTGCGGAGAAAGCTGTTAGATTTTATGACTTTGAACGTGAAAAAAACGGGGTCAATTAATTCGAATTACGTTAGAAAATGTACGTGAGGAGGATTGTATATACACTATACGAACGTAAATAAAATAAATGGCCCTAATTTTTAAGTCTCCACCCTGTTCTTAAAAACTATTACAGAGACCGTTAATATTGTCGATATAGGCAGTAATCTTTGCCATTTATAGTCTGTTAATTGCCACTATCGTTTACAAGGGGAAACATTCTGTTTCATACTTATAAAAATTTTCTTTATTCCTTTATTTTCTTCTTTCATGCGTATCATTCACCACATCTTTTTGTTTTTCACCATAAAAACTGGTATAATTATTGGCAAGTTCAATGTGATGCGATGAAAGAGAGTCAAGAGAAAGAGGATTGTAAAAAGAAAAACAAAACTTTACGTAAACATTCACTTAAATATGCGTGTGGTGAGAACAGTCGTGTAGGCCTTTACCTGAACGACGTTTATCTTCTGATAAACTCTCTTCTTGTTTATATAACAACAAAAGGCTGAGCTAGTATACATTGTGGTATAATTGAAAACATGCAGATTTTAGTTAAAACAGAAAATAGGACACACCTGGTGATATACCGATAGCTTTCATTCTTTTGTACTAAAAGTATAACAATTATGGAAAATAAGCTGAGCCTATTTGTCTTTATAAGTGTATACATATACATGCACGCGTTACTGTTTAACACAAGTATAAGATAACTATCTATAGTAACAAGAAGCCATTGCTCTATTACATTAATCGAATATAATTCAAATAAAGAATGTAAAGGCGTATAGCTTTAATTACTTTATTTAGATAATAAAACGAATATGCTCTTTATAACGTACAAAAGGGCGACAGTGTTGTATGTGTATAGAAAAAAAAAATGTTGCGTAATAGCGTAACGAATGCTATAGCTATAAATTATATACAGAAATCCGACTACCCTGTCATTTTATCACGCGACAACCTCAAGTTCCTTATTTTTTTCTTTCACTTTTTTTTTTTTTTACCATTAAACGAAATAATTTCCCATCCCCTATACAGTGTAATTTTACCGTTATGAAATTATTATATAAAAACGGGTAGTTTTACCGGCTGTTTATGGTAAAATATACGGTTTTTTCTGCTTTTTTTTATGTGGAAATTCCAATGTTTATCACTGTATATTTTTCCATCTAACTTTCCATTTTTGAAAGAGTTTAAGCAATAAAAAAAGCGGCAAAAAAAAAGAAGAAAGAATGTTCTTTATGTTCTTCTACGCCTGGGGTCCAAGCAGGGGGCGAAAGATTTACGATGTACATGTTTAATATACATTCACATAGGCCTAAGGGGCATTCGACTCCTAGACTAAAGGGGATTAACTATTCGCCTCCGTAAATCGATATTATTCACTCGATATTGTTCAAAAGAACTCCACGGCGATGGCGCCCCCTAGCGACGAACGTGCTTACGCTTTAGCAGAAGCTAAGTTAAAAGGCAGTTGGACGAGTCGGCTATATTCGCCATTGTTTTTGTGTATACTGACGGCTCAATTCTAAGCTCTTTATTTTATTGTCTACATGACCGTGCACTAATCGAGATATAAAAATAAAAATCGGAAAGAAGGGAAGATACTAAACCACGCCCCTGTTCATTGGAAATTTGATCTGGAAATCGTGATGACGCTACGTTACTGTTCTTTTCGACAGCGTTCGAAAAGAAGATGATTTCGTTCTACAGTCGATTATTAATAATACTACTATTCAATTTTTTAACTAATTTGCAAGCTGACAAATCGAAGACGATTAGGATCCTTATGTCGGCCGAAGATGACAGGTATAAGATTTCATAGACAAATGTAAATATATTTTTTTGTTTACACAATCTCGAATTGAACAGGTTCGAAACGAATGAACCGAGATTACTAGTTCGACACGGTGATTCTCTAGAATTTATTTGTCCAGAGAATACAAACGTTTCATTAAGATATTCAACAACTAAAGGACTTTATTCTTGTCCTACCAATCTCGATTCTCCAATATTGGTTGATTGTTCTCCTGATATGAAAGCAAAATCATATTTATTCGCTGTTCAAGGATCAGTATCATCAAATCCTTTCCAAGATCCTATAAAATGTTGGGATAGTGTATATTTCACTATGGGCACCAAAACGGAAACTTGTATTAAACGCAATCTCAAATTAAATGTCACCGTTGACTGTAGTACAGCAACAACTGCATACACAACAAAGGAAACAACTTCTTGGACAGTGACTAATACTCAGGAATCTCAAGGTGCTACCGAGACATTAAGTACGGCTTCTTCATCTGTGACAATCGTTCCTACAACAATCTCCAGTGGCTTCCCCTTAGACCGGGGCAAATCGAACGGTACTAGTGGATTATCGGATAAATCTGTATTGTATATAGCAATTGGTGTTAGCTCTTCTTGTTTGATTATCCTTATTGTAATCTCATCGGTTGTCTGCTTAGTCAGACGACGGAGAAGAGAGTCGAGAAAGCCTACTTCCGGCAAGACGTCATCCGACTATTCATCGTCGACGGATAATAGCCGATTTGGCCACTTGTCGCGGCCTGACTTTCCTGAGAGGTTGGGCAATGAACCTATCCCCAGGGAACGTTCGTATTCAAGTGTCAGTCTAGATCTTGAACAACACAGGAGTTCCACCTCGCTTTCCTCCTTACCAGACTCTACAAAATCGGTTAGTAGGGGAGCAAGCAGTCGACCTTTGCCCCCAACTCCTGTAGATGGCGCCACATTCAGATCAGTGGCGTCTAGTGAACACCAATATGAAGAAATACCTGATTGGAATAAAGGAATGGTACATAAACAGTTCAACCAAAGAAATTTTCCAACGGCCCTTAGTCATTCCATAGTCGTCTGATTTGATACATTATAAAAAAAATTGACAAACAAAAAACACAATTTTGATAATTCTCTTTTCTTCTCGTTTACCGTTTTTGTTTGTTGTTTTTACAAAATTTTGTGCTTCAATATGTTACGCATAATTCGATTATTTATGATCTTTACTTCTTCATTCTTGTTTTTATCTAAATGAGCAAAAAAGAAAAATAAGAGAGAAAGAAGCAAAACCAACAACATTCGTTTTATTTTTTCAATTCTATTTTCTCTTTCTCTTTAGTTTTTTTTTTTCTGGAAATATAGGAAAAGAATTCTTTCTATTTAAATATTAGTATAATACCATACACACAATATATATATAAAAGATATATATATAAGTAAATTGAATATCTTTGTATAGTTTATTTAGTTTTAATTACTAGGATGTACAATTGAAAAGAGAGGAGAAAAAGGGAAGAGTCATTCTTGGCTCTTGAACAAAGGTCTCTTCTTGATCCAACATTGCATTATATTAGTCTTTAGATTACTATATTTGAACGAGATTGAAAAATATCTTCTTCTTAGTCAATATTATATCAAATTACAGTTTATCCCTTCGCTTAATATTAGCAAATATGCTAGGGAGTATGGAAAATTTATTCTGATAAAGAGGGTTCTTCTTCACCTATCAATCTCTTCCTCTCTCTCTCTCTCTTTCCGTATGTGTATATACAGTATATAAATTTATATACTGTATATATATATTTATCAATATAGTTTTGGTCAATATGTCTTTCGTTATCATTGCGTATTAATCTAGTTTTTTGATAGATTTTATCCGTATTTCTACCATTTAGAAATCAATTTAGCTAAACCTGAAAGTTTTATTGTACCAGTATAAGAGAAACAACATACGGGCGCTATTTTTGTTGTTGACCAGTGAACACACAGTTTATTCGCTTTTATGTCTTTATTACATCGTTTCGCAGACTTTGTTCTTTAACCAAACTTATTACTAGAGGGCGTATTACTGTGTTTAAGGACTTTTTTTTTGCCTTGAGTCTTCAAGCGTGAAAAGAGGGAAAAAGAAAGGAGGAGCAACGAATTAAACTTAATATATGCAATGACAGAAACGTAAAAAATAAGGAAAATCAATTTAATTTATTAGATGTAGCGTAATTCCATTCCGGCCGACCGATGCCGGTTACAATTCGTTTCTAATAAATCTTCCACTTACTAACGCTTTTGGACGGGGTTTATGGTTATATAGTTTAACGCTAGATGGTAGCACCATAGGTTTTTTATATGAAAACTGCGATACCTATCGGATAACTGTTACATAATTTTGTCATTACAATGTAATAAATATCTAAGCTAGAAGGAAGAAAATAACATTAAAGCGAAATGAATATAGTCGGTTTTATTCCCTTAACTTTTGGCCTCATTTTTCATTTTGTCGTTTTTTTTTTGCATTCAAATAATTCACTACTCATCTTAGGGATTAAGATTCTAGACGCAGCTGGAAGATTAAAATAAATAGACGCTAATCAACCAGTTAATTTAAAGCTGATGAATATGGCGCGCTAATTGCTGATTGGATGGTTCGGAAATTTTTTATTTTTTTTTCAGCAAAGCATAGAGAGGCGCTGGAAACGCTTTAGGCGTTATTTGGCGGCGGGACGTCGAAGCGTCGAAATTGACCTTTTTATATAGTTGGCGTTTTTCTAAATGCCACGTCGTTCGGTTGAAAAATATTACAACGACAGCTTTTATGGGTAAAGTACGGCAGAAAAAGTTTAAACAGAAGACAAATGGAAAGGATGGGGCAATTAGGGAAGACAAGAAACCACTTTCCACCTTTCTACGTAAACCGTTTACTCCAGCAGCTTTCCAACCAGGTTAGTCTATAAGTAATTAGTTGTTTATAACGTTATTGAACGTAACGGTCTTTAGGATTGTTAAATGACGTGGTACCAATCAAGCTTAGTCTAACTTTCAATTTTCTTTAAAAATCCTTCTGATCTTGTTATAGTACGCATGCGTACGGATTTGTTTTTTCTAAATATAGAGAACACTCCGCTGATAAATGTCTGTATTTAGTATTTATATTTCAGAATAGCATTTATATTGCAAGTAAAACATTTGGAAAATGCTGCGAAATATAAATATATATACTCTTATTCATATTTAGCATGAATATTAGACTGTCCAAAATATATTGACAATAGATTCTGAATATATATATATGTATAAATATGTATGATGGCAACGATTTTGGCAACTTGCAGAGGCCAAATTAAGAAGAAAGTGGTGGAATATATATTCTCTTATCGCCTCTCGCCACTGACGGCGATGAAAAAGGCGAACGTTCCCGGCGGGCGTCTCTTAGCTTTTCGAGCGTCGTCGACCTTCACTTTCCCAAACTAAATATATGCGGTGCGTTAGATTAAGGACGTGACTCGCGTATCGCATACAATATTAATCGAAAAGAGAAGAAAATAATATGTGGTTGGTTTTAGTTGGTGAAAGAAAAAAGGAAAAAAAACAGAATGGAACCGCAAAAATTTTTCCAAGTACAAACATTACGAGTTTATCGAAATACAAACAACGCGTACGTTATTGCCTCGTTTTATGATGGTCTACCGCCGTGTATTTATATATACGTTTACGTAAATACGAGTTTAACTTCCGGTATCTACTGAAGAGTGACGCTTACTAACGAAGCTGACAGCTCTTGAGGCGGCTAGCAAACAGACAGCTAGAGAAGTGGCGTGCGGAATTCTTAATAATGAACGCTATTAAGAACCCGGGAAGCAAGTGGCGTTTCTATTACAAGCGATGATTCCAGCTTTCCTAAACTTTTTAATCGGTGGTACGCATGCGCAATCTGAAAGATTTTTAAGGGCTGCACAATTGAAAATCATCACGCAAAAAAATAGACTTTTAGCTTTAAAACGAAACTACGGAAATTGGTTTTTAAAAGCGGAACTTAACTCACGCATGCGCGACGTAAGTGAAAAACTTCGGGACTAGAGAGGATAGAACCTTGTACTGGGTTTTGATTTTTCTATTTTCATTAATAGCTGAAATTTCTGCTTCTTGACCGAAATAAATGATAAGTAGATAAAGGGCACGAAAACATAGTTGATATACATATCCGATTACCATGGCAACGATAACGAGCTTTGTTATAAGGTAGCCGTCTAAAAAGGCGCCATTGCTAACTATAATAATGCTTTCGACTCTTTGGTGTAGGGAAATCGACTGCAATCTGAGCGGACAGGCTATTTAATGCAGTGGCGAAATAGGTTTTCGTCTTAGGCCTACTCTCTCTGAGAAAAAATAGATAGACAGATAGCAGGAATAAAAGGATACAAAGAGAGAACGAGAGAGTGAGAGAAGAGACAAGAGAGCAAGATAGATAAAAGAGTGAAAACGCTTGGAAGCACAGCACGTCCGTCGAATTTCTCGCTTGCATGCGGCGTCTCTTTTCCCACTGACAGACAATAGACGCTGTGTATAATATTGAAGTTCGATAAGGAAACGCTTCGTGTGTCTGTATTGCCGTACAGTTTGCTCAGAGTCGAGTGTTTAGCCGCTTGAACTCTGCAGGTGCTTATTGATTTTTCGAAAGCGTTCAAAAACTATATTGATTTTAACTTTTTTAATGAATATTTATGAATCGGATAAAGCGTCCCAATTTCACATTCAATAGAAGGGAATGCATTCTTTAAGCCTTCTTCCGTGATTTAATCTTTGTCCGTTTAGTTTATAAACGCTCGAATAAGTTATATTTCAATAGTCACGTGAGAGTTTTCTCAATGTCATTAGCATTGTCTGAATATGTTCCCTTCAATAGACAGTAGAGAAACCTTATTAAGAAATCAAAGAAGACTGAAGCGTAAAAAAATCTGTAAACTAAGAGACGAGTTAGTTTTCGTATTTAGATAAAATTAAGCCTTTTCATCTTAGAAAAACACTAATAATGCCTAAAAAACTTTATAAATATACCCTTCTGTTTGTCTGCAAGTACATATTCATTTATTGCCGTAAGATCTTAGTATGTAATTCATCTTATCTTCTTTCATTAAAGACAACATTTTACGCATTGCGCAATGAATGTATGGCATCTTTTATATAGAATAAGGAGAAATACATAATGCATATTAGTCATTGCTTTTACGTTAGTTGATTAATACCCGGTAAGATGGAAAATATGAAAAGGTATATTTCCCTCTTTACAGCAATTCTAACATTATAATATTATGTAGAAGAGAGAGAGATAGATAGAGAGAGAGAGGATAAAAGAGTCGTTCGAGAAGAATATACTTGATTAACATGTTGTCTGCACGCAAAAAAAATACCATAAAACAGTGATTAATACTCTAAATTTCATCTTTTCCTCCTTCCAAAGGTGTTTTCCAGACCGGAGTTGATATTAACAACTAAACAGTAACAAAATCGACTACTTTCTTATCTAGAATACATTATATACTGCAAATATCCTGAGGATTCCCCCAAGATCCTCTCGCGATTAGAATAAATAAAGCATAATTAATTATAGGGAATAGGGACTGTGTGAAAATGAAAAAAAGTAAAGGAATAAAATTTTCCATAAAACAATCGAACAGGAATAAAGACATCTAAAAAAAAATAAAAAACAGCCTTGTCTACATAATAGGCGTCTATATACAACTTTTCATTCGTTTGGTAGAGCGTTAAATATTCTTTGTCACTCGATCGTGATCGACTAGATTTAGGGTTATGTGACCTGTTTTTTTTTGACACTGAGTACATAGTACTAGGAACTTTTCGTTTATGTTTAGCTTCCGTTTCCGTCAAGTTAATTGAATTTAAAAAGAATAGTAATGGGAGATGGAAATCGATTAACTGAGAACGTTTCAGATTTGATAAATGTGTCAAGTAATATATCTATATATTAATATATAAGAATGTATATACATATAGAGATATATAGAGTATATATATATATATATATATATATATATTCTAATATATAAAGTTGATATTCCGTCTTTTATTTTTGACATTGAAGGGGAAAAAATCTATAGACTACGCAGGATATATCAAGTTTAGGTACAAAGCTGAAAGAAAAATGGAAAATATGAAAATATTGGAGGATTAAGAAGATAAGCATAGGAATCAACAACTTTATGGATATGTGATATATATAAGCAGAAATAATCTTTCAACCCAAATCCTGCCTTAGTAGCAGGTCACAGCGTATATATCGATTAACGCATCGGAAATCATTACGACGTCTAGTATCGGTTTGTCGGCGACAAATCTATAATTTGCATAAGCAAATAGCATGTTGAATATTAACGAGCAACGATTAAGCGGTGAAGAATCAATCAGTGTCGATTTCCTATTTTACTTCTATACAACTTCCTGTAGAATATCCGTGTCTTTTCACATGATATAAAATAAAGAGAGATACTCGTAATAGCTCATTAAACAATCCTCAACGCCGTCTAACGATTGCCTCTATACCAGAGCAATATGTTTTGTAAAGTATCTAGAGTGTTTTATCTGTAGAGTCTATATCGGATTAAGGGGCGTTTATATAGAGCTTTTAAAGCGTTCCCGAGGCGTCGAAAAAACGTCTGAATTAGTGATGATTCCGTCTACCGCAGGCCACGAAAAACGACGGGGCGTCAAATAGCAGCGCGTTTATAACAAAGATTGATTGCTTTCGTTTTATTTCTTCTTCACCTCTAGCATTCTTCTACATTTAGTTTTTTTTTTTTAACAATATGAACAGAGTATCTCGACGAAAAAGAGTTGGGAAGTACGGAACACAAGCAATTAGAAGCCATAGTAGAAAGCTCTTTTCTAGACCAACGTTTTAGAATAAGATGGAAGACCTCCAAAATCCAAACAGTGACGAACAAAAATATAGATGACGAATACGAAATGCTTAGGAAGGAATGGGAAGAGGATGAGGAAACAGAGAGGGACATGGGAACAAAATATGGCTTTGCAATCGAAAACGATGCCTCTAAACTCGAATCGATAGTTGCGAATGGTTTGGTAACGAGCGCCGCAGGCGATAGTTCCTACCATCCTTTGGGTTCTTCTCTGCTGGGGGTCTACGTCTGCAAACATGCCGACGTCTGCCTTAGGCATGCTTCGATTAGAAATGGGACAGCGCAGGTGATGCGGTTGATTATATTCAAAGTAAGTTGACAAAAAGAAATATGACCGTCATTTCAAATTTCATCAAGCTTTCTGCCTAATTTTACAGTGTGACGTAAACTTAAGACAAGTTTTTATATTGAATTTGTCTGCTATTTATTACGCAAGTTTAGATTGAAAGTCGAAAGTAAAAGGAAGGCTTTTTAAATAAAATACTTGTATTTATTTAGAAATAACGCACTTTCGTAATCTAAGCTAGAAAGCTCAAAACAACAGGGAGAGATAGAAAACGAAAGAGGGAAAAAGAAAGAGCAAGAGAGAGAGAGAACGAGAGGAGAGTGAGAGAGAAAATTCTATATGCATACTTTTTGTCACGATAATTTTCTCCCTATTTTTGTTTGTCGTACGAAAAACCGTTAGGGAAATTTTAGACGCTAGTAAACTCGCTTTGTTTTAACAACAGTAATTTAGAGTACTACTTTTTGTTCTAGTCACGTTATTTCCTATTTTAAGAATTCACTAAAAAGAAATTTTTTTTAAATGAATCACTCTCTCTCTCTCTCTCTCTCTCTCTCTCCTCTCTTTTTCTCGTTGTCTGAAATTGCCGAGAGAAGTTTCATCCCAATACTTGTAATATAAATATTAAAAAATATAAGCTTTAGCATATTTTATATCATTCGTTAATATAGTTAATAGAACATGCGACGATTTGTAAACGGTTGATTAGGCGGAATAACTTTGTCTGAAAACTGGTTACAAATTCCAATTCATTCGCTTTTACTGTTTTCCTTCTTTTTTTTTCACACTATATTTTCACACTGTCTAAATATAAGCGTTGTTTCGGTCCTTTGAGGATTAGAGGGCTTAGAAAAAATTAGACGCCTTAGAAATATTTCGCTACCGAAAAGCAACACAAGTTATTTTTTAGCTAGCCATTAGTATAAAGTTATTCTAGTAAGAAGGCGTCACTTTAGATTTACCGGAAACTAGGAATATAAGGAGATATTATTTGGATCCTGTACAAAGAAATGGACTAGATTTAATAGGAAAAAGTGCTTCCTGAAATCTGCCAACGATAGGCTTGTTATGGGTGACGGTTTTTTCTATCAAAGGCTTCAGCTATGCGTTTATCATAAAATTTTAGCTGTTTCTGGGAAGCTACGTCTATGTCAGCATAATAGTGTTGTTTCCAACAGTATACCATGGGGCGTCTAACAACTGCGATTCCACGGACGTCGAATATTCGTGAATGCATCGAACCGACTCAAGGCTGCGACGCTCATGTGTCCGTACTTCCGGCTAACGTTGATGATGTTTTACAAACGCAGTTCGATCGGTCACAAGTCTACTTATATGAGATAGACACCCTACTTTTTCCTTCTAGACGACCGAGACAAGTTTGCCCTTTGGGAGTGCTCACTTTTACAGTAGACGAGGAATCGATTCCAACGTCTTCCAAACCGGAAAAAGAATCAGTACAAACTGCAATCACCCCTTCCGGTCGACAAATAACGCCGCTCATGTGCGCAGTTAGACCAACACCAACTCCCCTCATCCTTAATTATCCGCCTATGGAACTATTAGCGCCACCTACAGCCTTTTATAACAGTCAGCTGCTACCCTCTAGCGTCTACACTGTAAGACCTGCATACTCCCTTTTACCAAAAGTTGGTCTTTTAAACAACGTAACTAACAATAGTAATCCCTATTTGCAAAAATCCAACAGTATTATGTAATAATTAAAAGTTCTCTCTGTATACAAGTATATACTATATATATATTATATACATATATATATATATATAAACAGAGTATACTAAAGGAAAGCTTTTACCCAAAAGGAAGCTTCTTTTGTCGTGCCTTGGTCGTAATGAATAATTTATTCCTATATTTTTTTATTCAGTTTTGTAAAGTTATAAGAATAATAATATTTCAGCACTAATTGTTTTATGAAAGCACAATATGTATTTTATTAATAACTTTCTTTTTTTTGTGGTTTTAAACATGCTCATATTTTTAGTGACCTTCTGTAAAACGTGTATGTATATATATATATATACATATATATATATATATATATATATATGTACGTTTATAAATCACAGGCAAATAAAAACAAACGGAAGGGAAAATAGTACTACTAAAAAAATTGATTATTATGCAAGAAGAAAACAAAGAGTCAACATATATACATATATACATATATATATATATATATTTATATTATATTTTTACTATCCTACATACTTAAAGATGTAGTATAAATATATTGACCAAAGTAATACAATTTCGAAATATAACAAATTAGTAAACAATTATTATTATAATAAACATAAAAGAAAGAGTAGTTGTGTCTCTTTTTCTTCATTTATATTTTTTCTACGTCCCTTAGGGGAATTAGATTATCAATTTCCGTCATCAATCCTATAAACAAGTTATTGTGGCACTTGTTCAACCTCTTTAAAAGAGCATGCTCTGCCTTCTTTGCTTGTTACCTATTGGGGAATTGATTTGTTTTATTGAATTTATTGGATTTTTCTTTACTCGAAAATATCCGATTGGATTTCGAGTGATTGCTTTTTTACTTACCGGCTGCAGTGGGTATATTTAACGTTCTTCTTCCAGGATCCTTGTGTAGGCGAATTCCGGGAACAGTGAAAATGGAAGCGACTACAAAAAGGAAAAGGTATTGAGAGCTGTCATCTCGGTGCAAAGCTGGTACGCGGAACGATTATCGTTGTAATTAATGTTATTAGCGTTGTTAGATTCTATAGATTTTTTTAAGCTAAGAATTTGTTAGCGAACTTACTGTCGTCTAAATAATGAACTTCTGTGCCCAATCCCGAGAAGAAAGGATCTTTCATAGATTCGGTGGCTGATTTCCTTTTCTTGGGCTCGTACGATAGATAACTGAGTAGCAAATCTAATCCATTTGAGTCAAATCTCGGTGCAAGTGTCTTCAACGACTCTCTTTTATATCTTGGGAACTCGTATGATAAAAACTCTTCATTCGTCGAAACCCCTGTCCATGTTGCTTCCGTGGGAGTACCCAATAATTTAAAGATCATAGTTAATTGGTCCTCGGGACTAGAACCGGGGAAGAGAGGTCGTCCACATACCATTTCAAAAAAAATACACCCCACACCCCACATATCAATCGGCGTCGAATATTCAGTTGAGCCAAGTAAAACATCAGGTGGCCTATACCATAATGTAACGACCTCGTTTGAGTAAGTCTTGATCGGAAAGGATTTTGCTCGAGCAAGACCGAAATCGGCTAATTTTAATTCGCCTGTCTCGTTGATAAGCAGATTTTGAGGCTTCAAATCACGATGCAGAATTCTCCGGGCATGGCAGTATGCTAAACCTCGCAACAGTTGAAATAGAAATAGCTAAAAAAGAATGTAAAAGGAAAAATATTTAGATAAGTATTTTCTGAAATGAGAATCTCTTCCCTAAGGGCTAGTTCGATGAAAAAATAGATAGCTTATCATCATTTTGATTATTCCCTTTTAACTAAAAATAAGTAAAAGAAAAAAAGAAACCGAACAAATGGGATTTTCTTGCAGGAATTGGATACTAGAATTCCAAGTCTTCTAAAAAATTCATTTAAAGGGCAACCATCTAAGCACTCTCTCTCACTCTTTCGTTGTCCTCCCCCTCCCTCTCCTCTTCTCTCTCTCTCTGTCTGTCTCTCTCTTTCCATGTCTCTGTCCTTCTATTAATTTTTCTTTCAAATGCTCACTTACTCCACCTGTCTCCGTATATTTACCCTTCACCTTCCCCACTTTATGGCAGTGCTCTTCTGCGTATAGAGCTATATACATAATACGGTTTATATCTTTAAACAACGTTAAAGACATTCTACAATAAACATTTGGTGTTAATTCCCCATATAATATATTTGCTACACTTTATTACAACAGTCAATATTTACACGCCCCGATCGGATATCATCGGTTCTGCGTAACGATTTTTTAATTTAATGCTAGTATAAACAGTAAACTGTAGGTGTTACTATCATATTAAACTGCTATACATGTTCTAGTCGATAATTTTTTTAATAATAATCTTTCTCTCAAACAATGAGGCTCACATAAAAAAATAATTATCTACGTATCTCTTTCCCTCTCTATTATTCTATCTTTTTTTGCTTTTTTTTTCTCTATTTTGCTATTCCACTAGTCTTTTTGTTGCTTAAAAAAATCCTTTGATTCTATTGTTATTACCTTTACGTTCCATATATTTAGAATGCCGCCGCAGTCGTCCATATACAATTTGAGATCCTTTTCTACATATTCGAAGACTAGAGTAAGGCACTGATCGGTATGAATAATATCATGAAGAGTTACAATATTAGCGTGCTTCAGATCACGGAGCAATGATACTGCAAAAAGGAATTAAGAGTAAATTTAATTTAATAAGGTAAGATGAAAATAAACCCTTGTCGACATCGGAGGGGACTTGGGCTTGAGAAAATAGACATTCTGAAGGACTCTACTTACTCTCTCTAATGGCTGTACAAGGCGCTCCTTCCTCGTGCTCCAGTCGTATTTCTTTCAAGGCTACAACCGCGTCTGTAACCAGACTCTGACCTTTATATACTGTAGCATAGGTTCCCTCACCTAGCTTTTCTAATTTCTTGTATGATTCAACCTTTCCATATCCCAATTCAGACTAAAAAGTTATTTGGATAGTAATTAGATAGCTAAGGAAAAAAGATTCTGTGATTATCTAAGTTAACGAACCAGAGACGCTCGTCTTTGGCGTCTGTTCAAAGGTACTTCCGGAGAAAGTGTAAATTGTTTGTCGATTAGATTGTCGGCAGGCAAGGAGAGTCGTTTGTTAATGTCCTAAAAATGATGAATAATGAAGGTATAAACAAGAATACACATTCAATATATAGAGAGTAAATATATGCATCGTATACTAATATTTTATAAATTGTCTATTTAATCGAGCTACAAGTCTAAATGTTTATATTGTTTTAAAGCAACGCCATACTGAATTTATATAATAGTCTAAAGTATAGCAATAGCTAGTTAAAATGATTATGTATCCAAATAGCGAAAGAACTGGCTAATGGTAACTAAAAAGGATCTGGTCTCTTTCTCTTTGCATTTCGTTGACCTTTACGGTAATAGCATAGGGAATACAACTCAGGAAATTCGTGGTAGGAGTCGTTTTAGAGAGAACACTATGGAAATAGGTGTTTTTTCTTTACATTAGCAAGTATCTAACCTCCATTTCGTATAACAGCCTTATTGCTGATTTAAGTGAAAAAATTGGTACTGACAGGAGTCAATGGCAACCGTTAAGTTGTCGCTTTTATAACTATATATACACATAACGCATATAACGCCTTACACACGCATGTATATACTGTATATATTAGAATATACAGTATTTATATATATACTATATAAATCTATATACAGTATAAAAATATGAATAAATCTATGTATATTCGCCACGATTAGCTGTTATTTGATTAAATGTTACAAAATGAGGTGAAAAAGAGGAAAAATAGCTAAACAAATAAGCAAATAAGTAGAAGTAAATCACGCCCTTGTTATAGAATAGAATGGTAAATAAGCAAATAAGCTGTATAAATGATCGAAGAACAGTAAGAAAGAAAATGTATGCTATTGTGAATTTCCTTCGATTTTATTCAGCTTTTTGAAATTTATACTAAACTATATAGGTATTTTAAAATAGCCAATCAGTCAGTATAATAGTAATTTCTCAGTACACGTAATCTATAGGATCAGAATCGTATTGATTAATATACTTGTACAAGAATCTTACACTATTAGATTATTTCGGTATAAGTAAACACTTTATTTTAGTTTTGTGCTACCTTAATCACGATTTTAATTAATATCTCATTTTTATAACTTATGATAATATATATTTAGAATTATATGATTTATCGTAAACTATGTCTTCCATAACTCTTGAAGGCTTCGGGTGTACGTAGCGTAAAAAATGACTACCATATAAAAAGGCGTTACTATGGAAACGAATAACCCACCTCACTGAATCGACGTTGACGATAGCGTAATTTTACAGGGGAAGAGTCATCTTTGTCATCTGAAGTTCCACTAACTTCTTCACTTTCGCCGTCCGAACCAATTTTAGGATTTTCATGAACGATTCCTGCAATAGAGAAATATGAGTAAAGTTGTACAGGTATATCGAAGAACGCCTTAAAGTTCTCTTTTTCTAGCATGTAATTTTTTTTTATACGTCTTTTTTTTCCTATCTCCTTCTATTTGATAGTAGCTTGTCACTTTTCACACCTTATAACCTCTTACATCTCGATTAGCATACCTCTATGTCTTTCATTTGATAAAAATTTCTCCTTTTAGACTATGTTTAATAAACAGCCTAGTGATTTGATTTAAATGAAAATGCAAAAAAATAAAAAAAAACCGAATCGATCATTGTCGATAGGTATAGAAACGAACTCAATTCGTCGTTCTCCGGTATGTCGACATGTCCGACACTACGGCGTCTGAACGGAAGGTGCTTGACGAAGAGCATAGCTCTCCTTTCTTATCCGGTACCTCCTCTGTTGTTTCAGGTTATTTCCTATCAGTCCACCCTTTTTTCGTTTAAGCAGAAAATAATATAAAAAAGAAAAACACGCGAGGCGAAAATCAATCGCGGCGGTAAGGTACAGCACTAGTTTCGTGACGGCAACGCCAACTGAAAATTTGCGTCCCCTGGCGAGTGACGCTTCGTCTAGAAGGCGTCGTTAGTTGTAATGATTTAAACGATTTATAGATAAGAGGTTATACAAGTAAATGGCATTGTCCTTCACCTCGCTGCCCTCGCGTTACTAAATAATTTCCCTAGTTACCAATATTTTATTTTTTGTTTCAGATAAATTATAAATTAGATTTGTGGTCTAACTAGACGAAATAGCCAAAGGTGTTTCGTTAAGAGACCAATAACTTATACCTAATTGAAATTATGCCCTAGAGCATTTTTATTGAATTTTTCGCTTGCAGACACTTATTTTGCTTGGTAAAACAGACAAAGGTTATCTTTTCTTCAAAAGATACATTATAGGCCGCAGCCTGACATCATGAATGTGTTTTTTAGTTTGGCGCTAAAGGAGAATAGGAAGGAGGTACAGGATAAAACCTGCATTGATGCGATAGCGTCAACCTCTAATTTGTCTAGATTACTATTTTTCACCTCTTTTCGCTCCTGTTTACTTTCTAACACTTATGAAACGGTATAAGCATTTCATAAAGGAAATTAGGATATGATCACAAAGGTAAAATTTTTATCACCACATTATTCGCATCACGTCAGATACGATTGCGATCGATTCTTCTAAATGAATTATGTTGCGGATTTTATTCCCTTATCCCCTTTTCCTCACTATCTCCCGTCTTTTCGTTTATCTGACTGGCTCTCTCTTCCTATGCATATCCAATTATCCAGCAAAAAACAGATTAAGTCGTAACGTACCTAAGGAATTATGCCTCCCTAACGTAGGTCGTTTAAAATATAATTCGAAAGGAACCAAGGAAGACGGCGGTGATGTGAATACTTGTTCTGTAAATAGATAAAAAAAAAAACCCTTAATAACTTCAAGTGTTGACGGAAAAATAATGATAACAAAAAAAAATTTTAATAGGACTTTAAAGAACGCCATCTGACGGTATGTCTACTAGATGAGGATATAAGCTATATATAAAAGAGCATTATTAAAATAGAATAATACAAGTTTTTAGGAAATTCGTAAACAAAAGGATATAATTGTATGTTATATATTAAGCCATTATTCTATAATCTATTTACGTTCGGAGTTTCGTATTTCGTTGTCATTATTTTCTATGCTAATATTCTCCGTTAAATCTGACAAACTGCCGACACTCTTCGATTGACGGAACTTTAGAGAAAGCTTTCGTTTAAGTCTTTTCATGTCACGCAGCAGCATTTGGTGATCTGGAGTAAACAAAGAATCATTTACATATTTTTGGAAGTCGCTGACTCATTCATCGAGTCCGGTTGATATACATTAACAAAACATTTGATATAAAAATACAGATAAGATAGATAATTTTGTTCATCAAAATGTGATAAGCATATTTTTGATCGTTTACCTTTCGGATCTTTAAAGCGGTTAAGTTAATTGACTAAATCATCAAAATTCTTTTGCAATCGCTGCTAGTTTTTTGTGACCAGTATAAAAAGGATATATCCTTAAAATGAAGCTTAACTATGAATCGAACATTTAAAACCACAATTTTTCTGTTCAGGATCTTGGTTGCATTGATTGTTTTTAATCCCATGCAACCGTGCACTTCCTGTTCGAATTCTGTTCGAATTACAACTTTTGCATATTCAGTGCGGAAATGAGTTCCAGACTACGTTGGACATCGCAAATGTAAAAAGCTGTTCCTATCTTTAAATTTCCGCCTTTTTCAAAATTATTCTCTCAGAGATCATCTCTTAAGACCTACATTTCCCTAATTACTTGTTTGCACAATTCCTGGAAAGCTACTCTAATATTAATTGAAATAAGAGGGTAGATGGAGATTTTTATATTAATCAGCAGTATTTTACAACAATAAATTTAATAGCCTCTCTTTCTTGGAAAGCAATAAATACACTTATTTAGGTGCCGTATGAGACATATATATATATATAATCTTTAAGACAATCCTTGTTTTTATTTTTGAAGTATTGAATATTTGTTGGTATTATCCTACTTGAATTGTTAAGAAAATTAACGCTTAATCGGCTATAATTACCAAATTGGTACTGTGAAATAGTATATGTTTAAGAACAAATTTATCAAATCTAAGCATTTTCTTAAGGGTTCTAGAGTTAGCGGAAAAGAATACAAATAGACAAGAGACTGATACTCTAGCTTTTATAAAAATAGAACAGCTTTGTTTCGAGTTAAACTAAGAAAAATGCTTTTATATTAAATGAAACAATATGAAGTAATAAAATTAAATAAATCCGCTTAAATAAGCCACTTTCTCCTACTTTTGTGAGTTTTATTTGCTAAAAAGATTGGAAGCTGAAAGACTAGCTGCGCCAAATAATATCGATATATTTGTTGTCTTGGTAACAACGCCCACAAATCGATTCATTAATAGTTGATTACTTGTTCGATAGAAACTATGTCGGATGAAAATGGAGAAGATCAAGAAAAAAAATCTGAACCGGATGACTTGTCAATATACGATCTTTCTCTATATGAAAGTGACAATGCTCTAGCCGATAATGAGTTTTTTAGAAAGTTTCATAGAGGAGAGCTACAAATTTTAAAGGAAATAAATTGTTGGATGGAGAAATATGACGTAAAAAAAAGTAACGACAATGAAATTGATGAATTTTTAGAAGATTCATATTCAATAATTGATTTGAGCGAATTGAACGATGAAGAAAAATCTCTTCTGCAAGATGAAAAGAGACAAGTCGAAGAAATGACACTACAAGAAATTCTTGGAAGATTAGCGAAAGACTTGGATTGAATTTCTCCTATTATATACTATGTATATATAAATCTCTAATTATTTTTAAGGCAGTATCTCTTTTTGTCTTCAATTGTACTAATACTAATATAGAAGTTGTCCTAATTAAATACTGTGCATAAAACTTTCTCTTCTTATTGACGACACTTGAAATACAGCTGCATTACCGTTATTATCTTTAATTTTTCCATTTAAAAGGTATTAACAAGCAAATAAGAACCATTTCTTTTTCATATAAGATATTTATTTTTAAATGACTTCTAAAAGATATTCTCTGCGATACTCTAATAGTTCGTACGTCTTTTTGTGACAGTTATAGATTTAAATAGATATGATAACCATTAAGTAAGGGCAAATTGATTTTTTCCTGAAGTAGATAGAAGCAAAAAAGACAGATATACTAATTTGTTGTAGAAAGAGATGACAAACATGTCTCCATTGTATTGAGAATATATTGTTATATAGTACATATTCATATACAATATATATATATATTTATATATGTGTATAGAGTAAGAGAGAGAGAGAGAGAGAGAGGGAGAAAGTATACGCAAGTACATATATATATTTGCTCATTCTATCAATAACTATAGGCATTATATGAAACTTTGCTTTTTTCATTTATATCAAGATAAACAAAATAAACCATAATGGACAATTATATGAAAAGAAATATCGCAAAAATCGGAATTATATACTTTTCGTTCAATAGCAGTATTGAAAGATAATCGATAGTTTCATTAAAGAAACTACCATTATTTATAAATGTACCTATTTTAGATTTCTTCAAATAGTTTATGGAATATTTATATCTATAAAAGGCTGATAGAATATGTTATTTCTCTTGTTAATTTCATTTTCAAGTATGTTCTAATGTATATATTTATGTTATAGATTAACAACATGGACTGTATATATACAGTTATACAGTTACAGTACACTACACACACTACTATATATAATATATATATATATATATATTCTAATATATATGCATCTATTTATATTTATATTTATATTTATATTTATATTTATATTTACATTCATATTTGTATTTATATATATATATATATATATATATGTAAATTTATATATAAGTGAATTACGGTTTAAAAGGTTAAGCTTTAATAATATACAGATTTCATCCTTTCTACTCAAATTATCGAGAATTGTGAGCTAAATTATTCATCGCCAGATGTTTGTTTAAAATGCCAAGATGGATTTTCTTTATCTGAAGAACACACCTCCTGCCGTAAACGTACGTTTATCATTTAATTACTTTTTATCAATTTGGCCTTATAAGTTGTCAAAATATAAATATAATAAAGTCAGAAGGTGGAAAAACGTAGCATTAAAAATGTTGTATTAGATTATATCGGTATATCTCTGACCGTTTACCGGTAAATTAATATCCTCTCCTCAGGCAACTTAGATTTTAGTAATATTATGAAAGATTGAAGGGGCGATAGGGAAATGAGAGAGGGGTGAAAGGTTCGCCTTTTAGAGGTCTTGGGTATTAGTTTCATATATTTTAAAGATCGCTTAAGTAATGATTTTACCAATTTTGTTGAAACCATATAAACTAACTAGAAAACTGTTGAGAATATTAATAACATAACATTGTTTCTATCGGCGTTTTAATCAGCTTGTGTAGCCTTCTGCAAAGTTTGCCAGCAAAATGGAAACAAATGTTTGGAATGTGAAAGCGGATTCTATTTGGATACGAGCGACAACTTCTGTTACGGTATGTTATAAAACTCTGGAGTCGTATTATTTCATTATATTCTTCAGGTCGGATAAGCCGATTCTGTTGAATTTTTTTTCTATCGAACGTATTATTATTTTCATAGTTCCACACCCATATATTCATTTTTATACAATATAGCCTGTCCGGACGGATGCGAAACTTGTTTGGATAGCAAAAATTGCTACATCTGTTCCTCTGCCTTTATATTGAAAAGGGAATCAGATAGAGTAGCTAGCTGCCAAAGTAAGTTGATATTGAAGTTCTTTGTTTTTGTTTTTATTTTTATTCTTGCCTTGAATAAGACGGGAAATAAATAAGAGAGGAATTCTGTTTTTTTTCGTTAAAAAGAAACCTGCGATTCGAATTGTTTGGAATGTGAAAGCGAAAACGTCTGCAAAAGATGCAAAGATGGTTACTATTTTGATGAAAGAACACAATTCTGCCAGCAGTGCCCATCAAGATGCAGAAGTTGTAGAGTAGATGGCGTTAGCGATCTTTCATGTACGCAATGTTTTGAAGGAGCGTTTCTGGATAATATAAAAGGATGTTCAGGTTTTTTCTATTCTATTTAGGTCTACGTAGATAATTCTCACATCACGTTATTATTCCAAAAAAGTCTGGTTTATATTTCTTTTAGCATAAACTACAAGCTTATTTAATATTTGATAATCACGTGAAAAGAAAACATTATTGTATCTCAATAGCCATCTAAAAAAGTCAAAGTATGTTCATTCAATATACTTCATTATTCTTTACGCGTGCATAATAAGTGAATATATCCTATTTATTTTTTGCACTTCTGTATGTATCGTAATATATCTATATATACGTATATTTGCTATAATAACAGACTTTCAACTTGATTATCTTCATGTATATAGCATCCTAGCACTCTCACTCTTTTACTTTCTTGCATATTCTATCTCCTTCTGTCTCTGTCTGTCTGTCTGCTTGTCTGTCTTTCTCTTCCTCTCTCCCTCCTCTCTCTCTCTTTCTCTCTCTCTACGTCGTTTTCCAGATAATAAAAAAGACTAATTAGACTAGAAAACTATTCTGGCGATAGAGCTTAATACAGAAAATTGAAAAAACTTCTATTATATAACAATAAATCAGCTGATCCTTTGTTTCCCGGTTTTTAGTTGATTTTATCTCAATCCTTGTAGGTCGCTGGCAATCTTTTTCAGGTATTGAATAGTTTTTTTGATTATTTTATGTTCGCACATAATATCAAAGGAGTAAACCACTGGTGTAAGGATGCATTTATGGAAAGTACTTTGCGAATATTGTATGGAATAAATAAAAAGAGAAAGAGACAGGAATTGAAAGGGAGTGGGAAAAGAAGAGAATAAAAATAGAGAATAAATAATTTTTAAATGGCTCTAAATATATTCTCTTTATTCGGCCGATTATCAACTAAAAAGGTTATTTCATAGGGAACAGTCGAATTGTAAATCATCAACAGTTTATATATTTAGAAGCTAAAGGAAAGATTCCCGGTTTCTTTCTTATTATATTTTTTGGTATTATGAACTATATTATGAATTATTTAATTATTTTCTCTGGTTTATTAAATTCATATTGCCTGATATATTAACCAGTAATAATTGTAAATGAATGTAGGAAATTAAAAGAAGCCATCTAATTAGTTTGTATTAGAAAAAGCTATTTAAGTGGTAATCGATAGAAAACGTTTTATTAATATATAATAAATATTCGATAGTTTGTCCCCATGGATTGGGCTGTAAAACTTGCAGCCAGAGCCGAAAGGAGGAAGGATCTCCAATACAATGCGATTCCTGTTTATCGGCTTTTGGATTGCATACAGATTTCGATTATCCGATATGCCTTGGTAATAAGATAGTCTCTATGTGTATAGTTAAAAAGTATATAATGATTGTTTTTCTTTTATTAAAGCTTGCGGAAACAACTGCAAATCTTGCACCATCACTTCGTTTTTTAGTAGAGAAGTTTATCTAACAAACTGTACGGTTTGTAACACCGGATTTACGCTTGATAGCGGTCAATGCATAGGTAAAAATTATACTAAATATACAATATTGATCTGATGTGATAGACCAATTCAAACAGCCTGTTTAGAACCCAACTGTGAAAGGTGTAAAACTGCGGAAATATGCTCTCAATGCTCAGAAGGTTTCTATTTATCGCACACTAATGAATGCAAAAGTAAGTTAAAGGCATGAAAAGTCAACTCTTTAATTAAGACTTATAACCTTCACCTTACTCGAGTTCTCCTCTCTTGCAGCCTGTCCATTCAAATGCCTTTCATGTAAGTCTGCAAACACCTGTACGGTTTGCAGAAGTGGATTTTCTTTAACCGCAAATTGGCAATGCAAAGAGTGCGGCCGAATTCCCGGTTGCAAAAGTTGTTTGGCGAAGGAATCTTGTAGAAAATGTAAATCCGGCTATGAAAGTTCTAACGATGGATTGGAGTGTAAACGTGAGTTATTCGATAAATACTCTCATTTTTTATATCTTTAGTTGATATGAGAGATCCTATATTTAGACCAATAGTCAACTGCAATCGTTCGTATACATGAAGTTATATTTGTTTTGTATAAAATAACATAGATTTCTATTTCCCTGGGTTTAATTATTTTATTATTCAATTAGAAGCCGTTACAAAGTGTCAGTTGCCATACACTCTTAAGGTATCTAAGACCTATTTACTCCTCCTCATTTCTTATAAAGGGGAAGCTAGCTCAAAAGAACCGTTTTATCTTCGATAAGTCAATAGGTCTTTTTGTCTCGTATATTATTTGCCTTCTTTTGTCGAATCACTAATTCTCTGTTAGCGTTCTTTCTTTCCTATCTTCTCTCATTGTATACTATAGTTGTATAATTAGAAATCTTCTACTTTGTAGTTTATTTTTCCCAGCTATAAATATTTTCCCATTTATTTTTGCATTTAAATTACCCAAAATCCCAAAATACATTACGAAATGTATTTTAATAAAAACATTACGATCATTCCCAATGCGTTTTTCTTCCCCCAGTCCCTCCCAAAAAAAGAGAGAAATATTCTTTGCTCCGGTCTATTCGATATGTATTGATGTAACTTGTCATTTTTTTCCTGGGCTAGTCGATAGTATTTCCGTGCTGGGGTCACGTGACTAAACAAAAAAAAATATATAAATTGTACAGTGATGGACTGCGAACTGTGTATGTAAATATAATTTATGTACTATAGTATTGCATATGTACAGTATATTGAAATGGACTTGATACAATTCATATATAGAAGACTTAAAATGTAGATACTAATAGATTTTATACATAAATTGCGTTAATTTATGTATTGAAAAATTACGTCTTTGACTTGCTTTTTTCTCAATTAATAGCCACTCACAGATGTTACGCTTGTAAAGGAGATGAAAAGACTTGTGGTAGAAACTTTAGAGATTTCACGGTTTCCTGCCCAAATAAGGACTGTTGGGTAGGGCTTTATATTTTATCTTCTCTTCTGTATATTTTAATTAAAAGTTCTTAAAATTATTACAAAGTAAATGGAAAAAAGGGAAATGAACTGCTTACTCCTTTGCCTTTATCTTGTAAGCTCAAATAGTAAAAAATATTTTTTGTTCACCTACACTAGACGATTACGCTAGTGGAAGCGGGGCTGACTACATACATCCGGAACTGCAATCTGGGCATCTGTACAAAGGACGCTACCTTCCAGGAATGTTTTGTTTCCAGCAGGGTACAAGTTAGTATATTACATTTGAAAAAACTTTGGTCAGGGGGAGCCACAGTTTATAATATTTTCTTTTCCTATGTTTTTCAAGTAAAGCTTTCATTTTTACCTGCAACAACTTTTCTGCTTTGAATATACGTGCAAAGGAATGTAATAGATTATTCTAAATGTACAGTATCTATGAAAATGAACGAGTTATAAGCACCGCAACGCATTACTAATGTAGTCGTTTTGCTGCATGATATTTAGTCTCAATGGGCTAAAAGCAAGGCATGAGAACAGTTTGCAAATTCATGAGTAAAACAAAGAGATTTTTTTGATAGTCTACGTACGATGGTTGTCTTGAAACAAAAGGTTAATGAATAATTACAAAAATTAATTGCCTCCCAGCAAAGACGCAAAAATAATGAATAAACTCTTTACTTTCTTTAAATATTTAAAAAGCTCAATATCGCGAAAGTAACTTAAAATTATGGACATTTATTGAAATAATTATTATTCAAGAACTAGCTTGATATGAAAAATGCATGTTAAACATTCCTATCATATGTGTTCATAAAAGGATTATCAATCAAATTATGCTTTTCACGTATAAACTTAAATTTATTAACAAGACGTACGACGATTTATTCATACAGAAATGTCAAAGATGCTGTAGGAGAGACTTGTGCAACAATTCAACACTCTACGATTTGCCCGACAAATTGACGCCGTACGACAAAATATCGCCTGAAGGGACGCTCAACATTTATATTGCAGCCACCGTTATATCTCGGCCTTGAAGAAATAGAAAAAAAAAACAAATTTCATTATGTACATACACGTTGCTCTTTAAATTTTAATATTTAGACGTCGATGTCTATAAATATGTATAATATAGAGTATATACATATACATATACATATATATATATATATATATATATATATATATACATGTAATACTGCAATAGTACTTCGTGTCGTTTTATATTAACAGATTACTTGTACAGCATTTTAAAGTTATTTACAATTACGATAGCATCTATATTGAAAACATTTAAGGTCAAATAAACTACTGGATTTGTTTAAAAGTCTTAGAAATTTATCTCCGTGTTTCACCTGTTATCATTCTCATATCTTCTTCATACCTCTTTTTGATCATCGGAACAAAGGAGTATGCAGGACGGAGAGGAAGACCCTAATTAGACTTTAATGAGGGGACTCCCGGTGAAGCTGATAAAAATACGTTCAATGATGAAAAGATAGAAGGGAAAAAGAATTCTTTGTTTTTTTTTTGTTTCTTTTGTTTGTTTAAAAAAAAAGGTTCAGAGAAGAAATTAATAGCGATGTTGATTTCCAGTGCTTCACAGATCAGCTTCAGTTGTAGGCGAAGCTACAATAGGAGCCTTATCTAAACGACGAAATTCCATTGTTGGATCAGCATTGGATTGTCTCCGCGCAGAAAACATCCTGTCCGATACGCAATGAAAAGCGGAGATGAAAGACTCCTTGAATTGATCGTTTGTAAAGCCATATAAAACGGGATTAATCATCGAATTGGCGTAGGCTAGTACGTTCGAAACCTTAAAGGCTACAATAGCTGACCTAGTTGGCTTTTGTTTAAGTGCATGAGCGAAGGAAAAGTAAAGCTGAAATGACCAGTAAGGCAGCCAACAGATAATGAAGACAGCAATAATTATCGTTACTAATTTTGTTACTTTCTTATGAGATTTTTTCTTCCTCTCTGATCTTTGCGTTGCTCGTCGGAGTTTACCAACAAGTAGGCAATAAAGGCATATAATACCGATAACTGGTATAATGTACCCGAGGACCACTGAATAAAGCATATAAGCTGTAACACCAGGAATTGAACCTACCGAAAGAGAATAAAATTACTATAACGATTAATTAAATAAATATATAATTACCAAATATTGGAGCATCTACTCCACAACTGGTTTTATAGGTGCAGTTCGACACTTTCCTATTGACCTTGACATAAATAATTATGGGAGCAAGAGCTCCGATCGAACCTATCCAAATTATGGTCAAGGCTAAATAAGCTCGACTTAAGGTTCTCCAACCCATTGACTTTATTGGATAGCAGACGGCCAAGAATCTGTCGCCAGCCATTACCAGTAATGTGAATGCTCCAGTAAATTGGTTCACGCACTGAGAGAAGTAATATAAATAGCAAACAATATCCCCGAATATCCATTGGTTTTTAACGAACATGCAAATAATAAAAGGCATTCCACAAAGAAATATCAGATCAGCTACACTCAAGTTGAAGATATAAATGTTTGTCACCGTCTTCATTTTGGAGTAGCGGAGTATAACATACAGAACGAGAGCATTTCCAACACTTCCCACAGAGAAGATGAGAGTGTAAAATACTATATTCAATACATCGTCCCCTGTTAAATCCGATTTTGCAGAGGGACGTAATTCAGTGCAGTTCATTGGAGTCGAGTTTGTCATTTTAGACGTTTCTGTAAGTAACGGAAATCTACAGTATTGTTCTATAGTATATTTATATTTTTGGAAATTAGAAAAGTGCCTAATTTTCAAACGGCGCGGCTTATATCATCAAACGTGAGCTAATTAGACTAATAAGTTCATTGCGCTTGCGCAGTATGGGTTTCTTACTGTATCAGAGCATAAATAATAAACAATAACAGTACAGTAATAATATTAATTGAAAAATTATTAGAGACGCAGAAGAAGATGATAAAGTGATGATAATAAAGAAAAAAGAAATGAATAAAAGAAAAGAACAGTAAACAAAGAGACGGAGTCGAAACTATTCATAAAATGTCTTTCTAGTAAAAAAGTATTATATTAGACATAAAGATAAATATGATTTTGTGCTACACGTCTCCAGCATATATTTAGTGCCACCTCCGCAAAGTCGGATGTCAATTATTTTTAGAGCCAAAAAAATTGGACAAAAAACCCTCCAATACCCTGGCTTTATGAAAAGGTCAAAGGATCAGATCATGTAAATTTCTCTTCAGACTAAAAGAAAACCATCCACTAGCTTAAGAAAGAGAAAAATAGTAGGCTATTTAAAATTTTCTCCGATAAACAATTGATAAAAATTTGCCAGCAACAAGATATGAGGCAATAGGTTCATATAGTTTAATTATTGTAAGTACTTAGTAAGATATTTATTCTTTGTGCCTCAATCAGGTTTACAAATGTATCATGTTTAAGCTTGGTGATAAAAGAGAATGAACTTACCTGCTTTTAAAACTCGCCTCTAGAAAATAATTTCTCAAATTTTTTTAATTCTATTTCTTTAGGCTCATCCTTACAAATAGACCATGATTATTTTACTATAGTCCATCAATTGTAGCTTCCTGCGTAATTTAAATAATAGAAATGAATTGCTTCTTTAAGTATTAAAATCGTAAACGCAAACTCGTTGGCTATCATTTACAGAAAATTAAAGCAAGAGCACTTCCTCGTCTAATTGAATGAAAACTATAAACTTGAAAATAAACCGACGAATTGTAACCTTAGAGTAAAAAGTTTTATACGATACGAGTATAATTGTCAATGGCCAAAAGACGTCTTATAGTAAAAAGAAAAAGAAGAAGTAGACAAATTGCAAATGAAAAAGAAAATTAGAAAAGAAGCTTAAGAAATTGTTAGTATTTTAAGCAATAATATAATAACAATGAATGATTTTTAATAAGGGAAAGAAAATTTTTCTGTGGAAAGTGTAGAGTTAAAAATGATGTTAAAGCCTACCACCCAGGATATTCACGGATCACTAAATATACAAAAATATCAAAAATATCGATAAAACTCTATTTGATTTCTCTACGTGAATATAATTTATGGAACTCTATACCATCGATACGGATATCAATATATATATATATATATATATATATTATATATATTTTTATATTCACAGACGTACGAATATTAATGAGTCACCTTTTCTATCTTTTTCTATCCTCTATCTTTCTCCCTTAGGATGATTAAAGGTACAACAATGCAGGAATTCAAGTTTATTCTTATTATATATATATAAATTCAACAATATTTAAATCGATATTATCTCAGTTTTGATCCTTTTTAACCTGTTTAGTAAATACGAATAGAAGGGAGATGAGCTAAAATAAAGAAAGTCAAGCTAGCAACAACAACAAAAATTATCTATAAATGTAGAAAACTAACATTTCTTATCTTTAATCCTTTGTGCATATATATATTTATACATAAATAATAGATATATATAAAATGTATAGAGATAGTTTGTTCCTCTAACACTAGAGCAGAGTCTATGCCTAAATCGAAACTTTAGAAGAAATCCCAACTCTGTTTGCCGAATAAATATTACGATGAAACTTGGAGAAAAACAAGACAAAGAGAACGCGAAATAGATGGTGGAGAACTAGAAATTGACTGATTGAATATGCTTTGGACAATGACGCAAGTGTTTGGCGGGAGAAATATTTTCCCAAAACAACGTTCACAGACCTATAATAAAACATAAACAGACATAAAAAAAATCTCTAGTAATACTGCAATATAACATAGAGCAAGAAGAGAGTAAAAAGGAATAGGATATTAGGGTAGAGAGAGCTAGAAAGTGTGGAAGGTCGGAAGAATAAAGTTAGATGGTAATTTTTCTATCTTTTTTAAAATGTTATAAATTTTCCATATAAATATCATGGTTTATTCCCATTAATCTTTTTACCTATTTTTAATATGGTAAAGTATTTAATCTCATTATACTTTTAGTTATAAAATATATCATTTTAATTTCAATTTCCACCCTCCTTTCTCGCTCTCTCTCTCTTTTTTTTTCTCTCTCTCTCTCTTTCCTCATTCTTCCTTCCTTGTCTTTCACTGTCTTTGTCTCTGGACTCTTCTAAATATATTATTTCTTAGCTGTTAAATGACTCTTTCGTGATAAATTCAGAGAACTTACTTTAAAACGGAAAAGTTGGATAATCTTATTCTCATTATACTCCCTTTAATTTTCCTTATTCTCTCTTAGCTTTTTTCAACATTTGCAGTAGAATTATATACAGAAAAAAGTAATAACAAAGAGCTTTTCTCTCGTGATATTTATAGAGATTTACAAGTTTTTAGCACTTCATAAATACAGATGATACAAAGACGTTACAGTATCTATATAAAAATATACGGATGGCTGTCTTTTTCCTATCAGATAATTAGAATTTACAAAACAATTCTCTAGTTAAGCTTAAATTCTGTTTTCTTGATAGTTTATAAACAATTATTTAGATTCAATGAAATCGTACATATACGTACCAACAATAATTTTCACCCTTCACCAACGCCTCCTCCTAACTGCGATTGAGGGGCGTCCTGAGTCAGAGGCGCCACCTAGGGAAAGATAAATCCCTGTTTAGAAATATACTGGATATATAAATATAAATAAATATATGAGTGAATGAATATATATATACAATATATTTATATAAATTTTATAACATAGATACAGTATATAAAACTGAATATTATGAATTTAAACTACTAGATGTATTCTTATTTGAATTTATCCATGGAGATCATAATCTAAGTGCACATACTAAATATATATGTGTACAAATGCTTGTATAGACTTGATACATTGTATATAAATACATATACATATATATATACAGTATATATATATATATGTGTGTGTATAAACTGTATTTCCATATTCAACCTATAATATAAAGTATAAAAAACAGAAAAGATATTGGGTACGGATCACTTATCTCTATAATATAAAGCATTAGAGTTGTGATTCAGATTTTCCAAGTTTTAGGGATCAATTAAAGATTGACAAGCCGAATCTAAAGGGAAGAGAATTTATACTTTTTTCATCCTTAGAACACAAACTATTGGGCATTGTAAAAAGTGGAAATATATACTGAAAGATTCACTTATTATTTCCTTACAATCCTCAATCAAGAATAGAATTTTCTATTGATCGTCATTTTCTTTTCTTTGAATTCATTGGTTGTAAAGAGTTAATATATTTTTATAAAAGATTTTTGAATTTTTTTTTTATCTTTTTTTAAATAGAAAATTAGTAAGATGCTCCGGGGCAAAATGGCTATTCTTTAATTAATTACTAGGAACAAACATCAAAAGAATCTGTCTCAATCTCATACACGCATCAAATCAAGTCGAGAATGAGATACACTTAAGTCGTCTTTTCCCTCTTGACAATTCGATGCCTTCTCTAAATAGCAATATATGCGTTTATCTACAGCTTTCAGTTTAGTTCCATTAGTTTAATTTTTGCATAAAACCTAGGCAGACTCAGGCTGTAAGCCATTTCACACCTGTCATAACACTCTTTTCTATTGCTGGATTAACCGCAACTGCAAAAAATTGACTTCTTTGATATATCAGGGCTATTTCATGCTATTCTTTATCGTTCGACCTTTAAACTTGTATTTTTGTATTTAAGTTACCATAAATAGTAGAATATAGAGCAAAAGTGATTACTACGTTTCTGAACAACCTTTTGAAATTGCTAAGACTCTTATTTTTTAGTTAAATAGCATATAATTACTAGATCACGAAAGTATGAAGTATCATAACAGTTTCTTTTTACTTTCATTTGCACAAAGAGAAATAGATTTTTTCAATGGTTTTTAGTTTCACTCTTTTAATGTGATATATGAAGTTCTAGATATTTCTGGGTCCATTTGTAGACCGATAAATCATTAGTGACGAAGGTGAAACCACGAGAAAACAAATACACCTGCTCACCCTCATAACAATTGTCAACATAATAACAATGCAAAATCTTACAGAGATCTTGTCATGTATTTATGCATTGTATATTATGCTGAATAGGCTGAAAATGAAAATGTTTTATAAAAAGTAAACCATTATATATATATAAATATATATTACTTGTACAGTATATATATGAGTTACATTTATGACATTTAGACTGCAAGGAAGGAGTACAAAAAAAGCCAAAATTGCAATTATCTTATGGGAAAAATTTGAAAGAAGATACTCAATTAAATTGTAGAAACAATTAATATTAGGGAGAAAAACTGTATTTATGAAAGTGTCGTTCAATATCTGCACAGAAAAAAATATAAGATTTTTTATGACTCGAATGGGAAAGCAGCCAATTAATTTTTTCATCAATACGCCTATATATCACCATTAGCCTTTAGCCAGGTTTTGATAATCATAAATAACAATTATTGTTTTTTTTTTTCTTCTCTTTTTTTTTCCTTTCCTTTTCCCTATCTTTTCTTTCTCTTAGTTCCTTCCTCTAACACGAAGTGTATAATTCTATATTTCTATATCTTCGCTTTTCATCTTAACCTCTTCACATTTTTTTTTCTTCTTTTGCAGCTTCAGTATATGTGTCTCCCTCTCTTGTGCTTTAGTTCTCTGCAAGTAGCTTTTCTAATACTCTTCTATCCTTTCATTTCCCAGCTTCGAATTAAAATAAAATTTTCTTTTTATGGAAAAGAATAAAGAAAGAAAAAGGACCGTCTTTCATAGTATAAGAACAAAAAGCGCCTTAGAATAAAAGTCATTGCAGGTGGTAAAATTCTCACGAGTTTAAACGGATGATACCTCTTGAAAGTTTTTATACAAGATTAGGCCTATTTTCAATATAAAAATCTCATTTTAAGAGAAAACTTTTATTAACATGAATTGCTAGTGTTACCCTATGGAAAATATTAATTAAAACTCAAATCAAACATAATAAACTGCGGAAAACATTTTACTGCTAAACATAGATTGTATAACAGCCAAGAAGAGAGTATTATGCCATCTGTCGGACATCGGAATGAAGTAAATCTGTTCTTATTGGCCGAGCGTAGAACTTGATTACAAAGTTTACCACAACCTTGCGTTGTTTGCTGTCAATCAAACAGCAAATGAAGCAATTAAAACCATGATGAAGAACTAGGAGAAAGTCTGCAAAACTGGAAACAAGTCGAACCTGCAGTCTTACATGTATATCTTGAATCTTGCACAGGAGAGCGATAAAACTACAAACTTTAGAAGGTGTTTGTAAAATAAAAATGAGCATCAAGTTAACGGAAACAAGAATAACGGCACGTTTCACGGCTTTTCTGGCATTTCTGCTACGAATTTTATCGGATCTAAGAATTGAAATAATAATTGTCATACAAGTAACAAATATGATAATTGGAAGCAAATATCCAATAAATAGCCATGTAAAAGATACAATTTGTTCAGATTGTCCATTCAAGCTTCCAAGGCTAACAAAGTACGCAACATCTTCTTTATCTCCTTTAAATTCGTGAAATTCATATTTGTATAATAAGGGTATATGTCCAGCTCCCACAACAATCAAAGTTATGAAAATTGAAAATGCTAATTTCCTAGGACTTACATAAGTATGAGCCTCTTGCAGTTTCTTTATACAAACACAGTGCATAATAACAGCAATAACAGCCAACCTAAATTGGAAAGAGAGATTGTAAAGTGAAAATTAAAAAAATGAATAAATCATAAAGGAAAAAAACTGAAATTTTAACTAATACTCTCATTGCTTATTTACTACTGTATTATATAGTTGTTTATGCAATATTTATTGAGTATTTACCAAATTCCTTCATGGCTAAAAGCCGAATGAAGAGCTGAACCATAAAGTTGGTAATAAAATCCAAATGACTTCTTTAAAAATACCAATTCAGTTTTGGCTAATGCTATTCTTGGAATAAGCAATAAACAAGATAGAAAATTGCATAGCGACCAAGCACTCAATTCAACAAGAGTAGCTTTTTCAATCGCATATCTCGCTTTAACTAAAGTTGGTAATTGTATTGTTGGTGTTGTTTTTAAATTAATAATTCTCCAAGAAAACGCAACCAAATTAGCTAAATTACCAAATATCCCAAGGGCAGCGAATAGAGGAACAAGTATTTGATTTAAAAAAGTATCAAGGCGTTCAATAGAGGTTTTAGGCGCAGCTGAAATAAATGGAAAGATTAAATAGAGGAAGAGTTATATGTTTTAAGGTAAGTTGGCTATCTTGTCAATGTTAATTCATTTATTATGTTTCATATAACAAACATTATATTTCATTTAATAACATCATATTTCCATTTTTAATATAATTTCCGAAAATATTAATCAATTGCTAATTTGAAAGATATAAAATAGCTGAAAAGAGGAGGAAGAAAGATAGAAGAAGTGGCGGTATATCATTTAAATAGATGACCTTTAATGAAAGGAAATACATTATTATTTTTTTTTACAATTATCATAAACAAAGTCTCCTTTTGAAAGGTGTTATTTTCCTCTTCTCTTTTTTATCCTTTAAACAATTCTCCTTCACTTTTTTAGTTGAATAAAAGTATCTGTAAAGTACTTGTACAAAATCCAACTATGATATAATAAAATCATATTTTCTTCTCTTTAATCCTTTATCCTATTTTATAGTTTTATACTGTATGTCATCCAAACATATAATTATTTAATAATCCTCTATAGAGTTGGAGATTTCTTTTGCAGAAGTCATTCATTAACTAATTAAATTTATGATTTCTTATTTATGAATATTAATTATAGCTTTCTAATAAAGATAATGATTTTCCGAAGAAATAGTTCATACTGAAAAAATACCTACATCTGTATTAATTTAATTATAGAGCACTCATAACAAAAAATACTAATTGTTAGAGACAGGATGCGCCTTAAGCACCATACCTAAGAAACTTTTTTACAGTTATGAATATAGTCTGTGGTTGATGTCATAGATAGCTTAAGTTTTATAGGCTAACTTTTTAATATCTACAATATTCTCCTTATATCTGTTTTACTCTTCATTGAATATTTTTTTGAATAAATAACTACAATTATGAATGACTTTTAATGAATTTCATTCGAAATTAGGTTAAGGTAAATTTTTTAAATATGATATTTGAATAGTTAAAGAATAATAAGATATTGAAAAGAATGAAAAGGAGAAAATTTCTTGTTTAAAAGTGCGGTTATCTCTAAAAAAACAAGAACATTAGGGATATAAAAATAGAAATATTTGATTTTCATATTATTATATAATTGTTTTCATTACTTTCTTAATAATTCTTACCTTTTTGAAGATTATACATTGACTTCATAAGATTATATGCTTCTGCTGACCTATTTCTGAAAATAAATTCCATTTTTAAACATCACACGAGATAAATTTATGTAGGAAATGACTATCTATATTTTTCTCTTCGCAACGAAGAGCGTCGCTGCGAAACAGATGAAAAGTCACGTGAGACAAAATATCATGTCCTATATAAAAAAAACTCTTATTTATCTATAACTAGCATAAATTTTTCATTTTGCCTTTTAAATATTCTTATCATTAATTATTGTATTTTTTTTAAGAAAGCAAATTAGCTATGTTTTGCTGTTACTGCAGTTTTATTTAATCCAAAAAATTGACAAAGCAACCTTGATCTATCAAGTTATTTTTAAAAGAATTATCAAAAATGTGTTTTTATTATATATATATATATTTGAAATTATGTGAAGGGGATAAGAGTCAAATAATTCGGATTGTATTGTAAATTTGATCATTTATAGTTTTATTATTGTAAAAATTTAAAGAGAAATTGAAAAGAGGGGAAGAGAAGAAAGTGAAAGAAAGAGTTAATCATTAAAATTTTATTTATTTAGAAAGAGTGCTCTGTCCTCCTCAGACTTGCCGTTATCGTCGTCATCGTTTGGGTTTGTGTTACTTTTGATTTTGTACCCAATTTACCAATGCCTATTAAAATAGAGAGAAATAGTTTAATATTTAAATATAAATTCGTCCAATAAACATTCTAAATCAAGTAGAGTGTTTAACGAAACGCTAGTAAGTTACAACCGTTTTAAATATAAACCTATCTCCATTGAGGTTTTCGAACTAAGTTACGTTGTATATCAAGGACACCTTACTAAGTGTGATAAACTCATTATAGCATAATAGAGATCGATGAACTGTTTCTTACAATTGATATTTACTAAATTGAGGACATACACACTTAATAAAACACAACATACTATTTGAACGAAAACACTTGTCGACCAGTAAATAGGATTAGACGGTTGTAAAAAAGAGCATCTCCTAATAAAGGACACCTAAAAACAGATTACTTTTGTATCCTTTCTTATTAAATATATTATACTGGTAAACAGTTTCTCCTTATTTCTACCTTACTATCAACTTTATCAGAGATATCTTCAATTTACTTCTTTTAATAGAAGAAGAGAATAGAGATCAGTAAAAGATTCTCTCATATATATTAGTATATATATATATGTTTTTATCCTACCTTTATACCGTTGCACATATCGGGTATATACTCTTCCATAAATCCTTTCGGTAGTGGATTATCTAAGCCTATTTCACGACTTTTTTCCAATGGTTTCGTACCATCAAAATTTACATAACAGAATCTTACAGTAAGCTCGTTGTTTGGTCTTAGGAAAGCTGGACCTCCAGACATTAGCTAATTCGTAAATAGTAAGGGAAACCGTTAATTAAATAAATATATATATGTATATAATTTAAAATGCCACACAGCAACATTGCATTCGTCCAGCATAGCATCGCACATCTGTTGGCCTGTATGAATATTTCGTCGAGATAGTGACTCCCTTACGACCTCGAAGTCTGGCATCATATAGAATCCACCACCAGATGGCACTACTCGTACACCAACATCGCAAAGAGCTTCTCTGCAATATTTTTCTACGCAGGCCAATACTCTGCTACAGTGCTTTATATAGCTGTCAACTGCTGTTTCGTTCCTCAAATACTGTTTAAAAGATTATTAGAAATATATAAGTAACTAGATTACCACTCATTGATCTGTTATATAAACCTCAGTAAGAGCGTATTGCATGGGAGCAGGAGCACAGGAAAATGTGTGACTCGCAGCGCTCTTAACCCCATTTCTTAGTTCATTCAACTTTTCAGGATAGATATGATAACCAACCTAAAAAGAAAATTCTTTTAAAATGTATCAATCGATAAATATTATTTAATTATTTTTCTTTACAAACCCTCCATCCTCCAGCACTGGACCATTTCGAAAAACCAGAACTTAAAATTGTTCCTTCTGGATAAAACTATTAGGAATGAACGAAACGAAAGATTAGAGAGGATGAGAGAGAGAGAGAGAGAGAGAGAGAGAAAAAAAGAAAGTACATTTGCCAAAGTACAATGCTTCTGCTGGTAGTGTAACCGACCGTAGATTTCATCAGTTAGAACCAAAATATTATTCTCTTTGAATGTTTCACTAGAAAAATGAATGAAAAATGTATTTAACAGCATTTTTTGTTTTATTCAATTAATATCTAAAATATGTTTTTGTAGAGTTTTTTGGTTTAGCTTTGTTTTGTTAATTACTAATTTATTAGATTAACATTAGAAATGATTTCATTAAGGATTTTTATTATATTAATTAATATATACATTAACTTACGTTAAAGCTTTCAATTCAGTTTCGTTATAGGTTGCACCAGCTGTAAGTAATATATATATATATAGTATATATATATTGTATATATTGCATTAGTACTGTATATATTATAATGTACATATAGATGAAAGTGTCTACTGTATAATACGGTTAATTGCGAAACAATAGAACACGTCATTCTACTGATAAAGTAAAGATTATCCTTGAATGTACGATAAAGAATATGATATCTCTTAGGTATAGATATAATATCTTAATGGAAAAATACCGTTTCAGTTAGAGTTTAAAAACTGCTTAAAAGTATAAAAAGAAGGGTAAAAGAAATCAGCTCAACTAACTAGGATTATCTGGGTTACATAATACTAGCAGTTTATTCTCTTTCATTCCATCGATGTTTGCTTCAACTAGGGTTTTCTTAACCATATCTGGTGTTATCTTCCATTGGTTTTCATAATTTGTATTTATAATGAAGCTATCTCTACCGGCTAGATGTGCCTGAGGTCTGTAAGTTGTCCAGGTGGGCGATATACATAGGATTTTACCATTGAAAATCCGAAAGAGTAGGAAAATCAATTCTTTGGAGCCTGGCCCCACAAGAATATTCTCAGAATCTACCTTCAAACCATCGTATCTTGAATGGAGGCGGGCAATTTCAATGCGTAGCTCTTCATTACCAGCAACTGGCAAGTAGGCGCTTCGATATGTATTCTCTTTAAGTGCTTCCTGTAGTTCACTCGGTACGGGGAAGGGCGATTGACCGAAAGCGAAATGATAAATATTATTTCCGGCCTCTCTGAGACGTTTAATACGTTCATTAAACGCTAGATTGGAAGCTGGACAATAGTTAGCTAGCTCTGGCTGAACAAGGTTGGCCATTTTCAAGGCGATTGAAGAATTATTTTGTCGTATGACTTTAAATAATAGAGGTCAGTCCTTGACCTTGCGAAAATTATTACAAGCAAGTTAAATGGACGCCATCTATAGTGCATAATAATAATCCTTGATATAATTAAACGAGATGGAATTAATTATTTAAAATCCAGCACAAATCCATAATATAACTTTTAGTTTAGTGTTCAATAACCTAATCCTCAACGAATTTCTATTAACGACGATCATTAAATTCTAATAGATGTTGTCTTTCCGATAATCCATCCTATTCGGTTTCTCTATTGGAAATAGTTTGTAATCAACAAAATTCTTAAATTATCTTCCTTTTAAATTACATGCATATCAGTTGTCATAAAAGAACTATCTTTATTCGTTTCACATACTCTCTCTTTTAAGTTTTTTTTTTATCAACTAAGGTACATTTTATGAATATATCTATGAATCAGGTCAAACATTAAAGAAAGATGTAGACATCTAACTCCTAGGGTACTATTCTATAAGACAAGTCAAATAAATTTCACAAAACTACGGACAAAAACCTAAACACCGCTTCAAAAGAAATTGATTTTCAAAGGAAAGATAGAAGGAGGATAGTAAAAGGGAGAAAATAAAGATTGTAGGGAAGAGAAGAGAGGAGAGGAAAGAGAAAGAGAGAGAAAAAAGAAAGAAAGAGAGAGAGAGAGAGAGATATGAACTGCTCAAAAAGCATTTTTCTTTTGTATTAATAATTTTTTCATCATCTTCAACTTGTTGGTCTCGTGTCGCATTTAGGAAGAGTAAACAGTCTTCTGTACGTGAGTGGCCCTATCCTGTATAGAGTTATAAGGTAATACGTTAATTTGTATATTAGTTTTGGCTTGATTTTGTCGTAATTACTCTGTTATTTGAATTAATCATATCTTATTATATTGGAGGAATTTGCTTGTTTTGTTTGATTAATTAAAAATGAGTTAAGAAATGAATTAAGAAATCACTTATTATATATAATTTAAGAAAAATACTTTGCCTCAAGGCATCTAGCTTTAGACTATATATGCCTTTGACCTTTCAATGTTTCAAGGAATTAGGTTAAAGTTCAGGGTAATTACGAAACAAAAATGGTAATCTAAATTCTCCATTTGTATTTTACTTTTGGTACAAATGGGAATTACTATAATTCTTTATCGATCTTACTTCTCCAAGGCTATTAATAAGCTTGGTTACAACATTTGATCCAATTCCAAACGATCCTAGACCAGTTTCAACATCATTAGGACCTGCTCCCGCTCCCTTTATGCCGGCCCATAACTATAGTAATAAGAAAAAAGGCAGAGAATCTATTAATCGTTAATTACAACTATTATAATTAGAACACGAAAGTTTATATTCTATGAGAAATTTAATTAAGATAATCATCCAGAAATTTTTAAAAAGAAAAAAAAATAAACAGAAGAATACGGCAAAGGAGATAGAAGCGGAAAGATAGATATGAAAAAGAAAAGGTAAAGAAAATGAGAAGAATTATAAGAGCATGTTGAGAAAAGTAGCTTATTAAAGGAAATAAGAAGAAAGGGGAAAGAAGATAGTAAGAAAATGAACAAGACAAAAGAGTAAAGGAGTAGTGAGAAGAAAAACAGAGTAAAAAGCAAGAAAAAAAAAAGAAAAAAATAGGGAACCTTGATCCTTTGCCCAGGTCGGAGTGATAAACTCGAGAAGGTATATTCGATACGTTTCTTAGGATCATTATCGATATTCCGTACTAAACGCCATCCCGTTAACTCTTCTAATTTCTTTCCGGTGTTTTCTAATGTTATATATCGCCCGTCGGACGAACAATCTGATATTGTCAGAGGCCCTTTCGCTGACCTTTGATAGGTGGTTTTAGCGGACATTTCACCGCGAGTAATTTGGTTGACTTTGAAGGAATCTGATAAAGGGATACCATTCCCTAATAAGCATATGAATGGATAAAAAACAGCCTAATCTACAGAGCAAAAAACAGGCGGAGCATATTCCGCTTCTTCGTCAAAAGATACCGGATATTACATCAATTTCGTGTACATCACCCTTAATTCTTATATTCTTTGTTAACTTAACCACCCACTATCTCTTATGTGGAATAAGCGAAAAAATATCGCATACACTCCTCTTTCTCTTCCTTTTTACCTTTTATCTCTTTTTTTTTTTCTTACTTAAGTAACATTACGTGACTCTTTAGAAATGATCTAATACGATCGTATTTGTCAAGTTTTTTCAGACTTAGCAGGAAGGATAGAACGTGTTTCCCGTAAACAGTATCATAAACAATAATTATTATTCTATAAAAAATAGTTATTTGCTAGTTTTACATGCCATTTTTATACAGTAAACGTATAAAACTAGCAAAGGTTTAGAAATTGAACTACGAACCTGAAGGAGTTCTTGTCAACCTTTTCGTAAAAAAGGAAATTGGAGGGGAAGAAAACAAAACAAATAAGAGAATTAATATCTTATAATCTATCATAATATTCTTTTAATAATAACATTTCCAACATTTACCCGATGTTATGTATAGTTATGAAAAGGTTAAAAAACTAACCTACTTTCTTCCCCTTCTAATAACTTTCTATAGGCAACGATCTCCAACTCCAACCCTAATTTGGTATTCATTATGTTCTGAAGTTCTTTCAAGATAGCTTCCATCTCTGCCTTAAGTTTAGCTACATCTTGTTTTAATTCATCATTTTCCATCATAAGCTCTCTTTCTTTTTCGTCGTATTCCCTTCTTAGAATATCCATCTCCTTCTCTAGCATTGTATTTTTCGCTTCTAGATCTCCAAGTTTAGCTCTTAGATCGGCCAACTGCTGCTTTAGCCTCTTTGCCTCGTCCTTTGCATGTTGGGTCTCTTGGTTCTGCTTGGCCGCTCCAGTTCGAAACTCTTGCATCTTCAAGTTGTAGTAGGCCTCCAACTCAGATCTTAAAGCGTCCAATTTTTCATCGTAAGTCAATTGGATCTCTCTTAAGCATTGCGCCATCTCATTCTTCCAGAATTCTCTATTTTCGGCAGTAGTGTCGCGGTAGGCCATCGCCGCCAACTCTTTCATCTCTTCTTCATGAACCTTTAAAAAGTTAATTAATTAATCAATAATTATACTGTTTAATCAAAATTTTCGCATGCAGCCAATCGGTTATTTCTGCCTGACCTGCTTCATGAATTCAATCTCTTCCTCAAGGGTTTGTCGTCTATTTTCCGCATCGATGTGTTTCAAAGTTTCAGAGTCAAGGTCCTGATGAAAGAAAAAAAAAGAAAGTCGTGTCAACTCTTTTTGATGGCTTTCCAAGAAAAAGAGAAAAAGTTTTTCTTTTTCTTTTTACTTACAATCCTTGTCCTGTTAAGAGCGTCGGTCAAGCGTTCGATCTCTTTCTTGTCCTTATCCCGATCGCCCTGAGTAGAATCAACTCTTCTTCTAAGTAGGTTTAATTCACTCTCAAAGTCGGCCAACTGCTGGTTGAGCCTTTCAATTCTGTCTCTATCGGCCAACCTCTGTTTTTCATAGTCCTGGCACCTGGGAGAGGGTAAAAAACATAATTTTAAACACACCTGCAAATTTTATATACAATAACCAATCCAGATGCCGCATAGCTATACATCGATTTATGAAAACTGTTTTTAGAAAAAAAAAGAGATTGTAATCTTTACTTTTTACGCAAATCATCCAATTGCTCCTCCAAATTTGCACACTTAAGTTCCAATTTAGCTTTTTCCTTTTCAGTTTCGTCTAATATCTTTCTCGCTTCGTCCAATTCTGCTTGGTACATACTCTTTATGGCGGCAGTTTCCTTACCCCATTTTTGCTTTAGACTCTCCAGCTCTTGGGCCAATTTTCGATTTTGAGCTTCCAAAAATCGTACCTTTTCTATGTAGGATGCAAATCTGTTCAAAGGTTATTTTCGTATAGAAAAAGTTACTATTAATAAATCCTCGTGCAAAGATTTTTTGATTTTTCTTTTTTTAGCATTAAAAAAAATCGAAAATATGATAAATCACTTTCTAACCTTTCATTTAAATCCTGCATCTCTCTCTTTTCCTTTTCTCTAGTAGTGAGAACGCTATCAACGCCCGCCGTTGACATTGCGGCATAGGCACCACTTACAGCTTGAGGTTGTATTTGAGTAAAAACACTGCTTGTTTTACTTGGAGCAGCTCCAGCCGTGGTCCTATAGATTACCGTCGTCCGTCGACCTACGGTAGGCTTCCATAAATCCTCTCTAGACATTTTGAATTCTTGCTTGCTTGATTTAAGAATATCGTCCAAATGGAAATAAAGTTTTCACTCCGTCTCTCAAATTCAAGCTGGCGCACAGACGGTTGGTAGCAATGTTTTATTTTTATTCATAAACCTTTATTCAAATTGTTGAACAACATAACCCAATAGATGGCGTTCTTAATTCCTATTCACGTACTTACTTTTAAAAAAAATGGTCCTAGAAATATGCGAAATCAACCAACTATTTCAACACGTGTAGCTGAACAATCGTTTAATGTATTAAGTGCTATTCCAGTCTATAGAGTAGGATATATATATATATATATACAGTATATATAGTGTAAATGCATGTATATATCAGCCTTTTTTTTATAAAATGCATATGTACAGAAAGAGATAGATATATGACATATATAGGGTAAATTAAATCAAAGCCCCTTAGGAAAGGTACCCATAGGTTCTTGTTTTAAGAGTTATTGGTTATTTTCTTTGTATGTTAATACTAGTAGTGTCGTCAATTACATTCTTCTTATTAGAATTCGTTGCAGTTTTCTATTTCAAATGTAAAATGTCACACACACACACATATATATATATATATCGTATAAATGTATCACTTAGAATGTGATACTATTGTGTTTCAGTCTTTTATTTGAATCATAAAGACAAAAGCATATGGATTTTCATCTATCTACATATGATATTAAGCATATTTTCGTTTATTGGGTATTTTCATACGAATTTAATCTCGTACATAATTAATGTTAAAGTATTTAGCGTAGCGAGAACGATAGAATCGAAATTGGTATATCTTTTAAGTAGATAAATGACGTCTACCCCCATTAGGATTTTAAAAGAAAGAATATATATATATGTCTATATATTTTTACTATACAAAAGATAAAACAAGTATAAAATTGCCATTAGAAACGACACAAAAACGATATTAAACAATATATGTTTAACACGAACTTCAGACTAAATTACTACTGATCTTTACAAATTTCCGTATTAGAAATCGTCAGTAAATAACGGAAAAGTAATGAGATTGAACGAAAACAGAAAAATATTATCTATTATTTCCTTTCTCCTCCTTTTAGAAAGGTAATCAACATGTTGATATTATGAAATAATAGATGGAGATTTTCCTAATAATTTACATTAGATACACTATGTTAACGGAAGGAGAAAATAATGATTAAAAATAGAGAAAAATGATGAAAGGAAAGTTTGTAACAAAAAAAAGTGGTTGTACAAGACTAAACAAACACTGTGAATATGATATAAGTTTTCAAATAATGCATTCCTTCAAACGTAAACTGAAGGTATCCTCTTCGAAATGAATTAGTATTTTAAGCTGAATAAGCGACTTTCAAAGGTTTCTTTAGGATATTCTAGTAAACCTAAAATGTATTTTTTTACATCTAAAAATGTTAAAAGTTCAACTAAAATAAAAAAAAAATAATGAAAAAAAAAAAAGGAAAAAAAAAAATAAACCGAAAGGCTGATGAGGTAAAGCTTCAAGCGTCAACTCGTATCCCACTAGAGGTGTCGAGTACTACAAAAAGAAAGGCGTCGATAGATGCTACACTTACTAACTGCTGAAAAACTCTTTACCGGTAAACCATTCATAATTTAGCCTATATCTAAATTTTTCTATAATAAAACAGCATTGGTGTTATTATATTAATGTAATAATTTTTTCGTTCTCTTATTATTATATATATATATATTTCTTTTAACCATAAAACATATTAAACATTGACAGAGATGGCGCTTTTAACAGTATATGAATGCGGCAAAGAAAGCGTTTAGTCTCATTTCTCATCATCGCTTTGCGCTCTTTTCTTTTGTTGCAATTGTTTTTTTTATAATATACAAACATATAAAGATATATATATATATATATGTGTATATTAATATATATAAAGATATATATATATATATATATATATATATATATAACACAATTATCATTACAAACAGAAGACTAAAGGTTTGTTTTTTTATATTTCTCTAGTATTTCCTATTCTTCTTTCCTTTTTTCCAATGTTTCTTTATTCAAATAACGTCTGGTTTTACATTGTTTGTATCGGTTCGTTTCTTCGTTATCATGTATATACAGCTTATGCAGAATATGAAGGTAAAAAAAAAAGTTTATAAAGACTGAGATAGTTCTATTTGCTTGTCTAATTTGCATATGTAAAAAAGAAACAATCTTCTCTTCTTCTTAAAAGGTAACATCATAGGAAAAGTAGAAACATTTCTATTATTCGAGATAGTGATGGTACTTTGATGGAAGATTTTCCTTTTCTAATTATCGTCACTCTTCTTTGTCTTCGTACTTTAATAATTAAGATGCAAAAGTAGGTGATAACGATTATTGGAAATAGATAATCGACAAAAAGCTTTACAAAGCTTATGGCTGATTTCTTCATTGATCATAATTTTTCTATTATTTATTCAAAGGCTTAAATAAGCTTGTTTGTTTTTTTTTTATATAGCAAAAATAATTTGCGCTTAAGTGATAGAAGCCTCGAGGTTCTATTACCTAAAGTTGCTCGTTTTATATCACATAGATTTACCTTACAACAAAAAAGAGCATAAGGTTTTCAGCTTTCTCTTTATAATGGAAAAGAAATGACTAAATTATCATCTCTCATTTGAATATTCATGAAGAAGTATCGTGTAGAAAGTAATTTATATTGCATAGACTAGAATCCTATATGATTTATATAACAATAGTAATATATTACTGCTCTGTTTCCTAAAATATCTCATCGACTATATAAACCAATAATCACAATCAAATGTAATATGTCGTGTAATGCTTAATCTTCCGATAATTTATTCAATGACGAGAGAGAGAGAGAGAGAGAGAAAGAGATGGAGGGGGGACGGGTGGACAGAGGGCGGTAAAGTCCTCGCTTTATAGTTTGAGTATAAAAGGTCGAGCTAAAAATGTTCTTGTTCATGACATCACTGCTCTCTAGATTGAAAGATGAAAAGAAATAATTTACAATGAGTTTTTTTGCGGTTGAAAAACACTGATAGGTGAATAGATTGTGAAGGATATCATCTCTATATATATATATATGTAATGTACATACTGTAGATATAATGTGTATACATTTAATATATAAACCTATGTTCATGTAAAATATTTCTAAAAATTGCTATCCGCCTTATAGGTTAAAGAGATTGGCAAGAATGAAAACTATCGACAATTCCACAATTCTGCAAAATGCTCTTCCAGATCTTTTCAATAGGACAGAGAGTTCTTTTATCAGAATCTTACGAACGTTCGTTCTTCCTGCTTTGATATTAATTGGTGTATTTGGAAATATTCTCGCCGTGATTCTCATAAGAAGAATCCGGCCTGTTTCCGGCACAGCCGCTTTTGCATACATCATCTGTGTAGCTAATGTGCTTATACTAGTAATGGGAGCTGGATTAGACGCTGTTGCGGAATTGAGCAAAGCTAATAAATTCTCAGTCCTTAATGATTGGACTTGTAAATTACATACCGTTGCTGATAAAACATGTGAGCATTGGATTACCTGGTGCTCAACAATTATGGGGGCGGAAAGAGTTATAAAAACGTGGAAAAAATCGAATGTGGCCTGGAGCGTCTTCAAGTCGAAATGCGTAGCCGTTGGAATATTATTTGGTGTATTATCCATCGAAATTCATATCATGTGGTCGTATGCTATCGTCGAACATATGGGATGTTATATTGACTTGGAATTCCATGACTTTCATAGGAACCTGTGGCCTTTAGTATCCGCCTTCATTAACGTGTATATACCAGTGGTAATAGGCATAGGGGTTTCTACCGCCTTAACAATAGGGCTAGCCAGAAATCGATCGAGTCAAGGAGAGGAAGACTACCTCAGAGAGTGTCGAAGGCAAGAAGCCTGGTCTCGGTGTGCTCTTATTCTTCTCCTCAGTTACATCCTACTGAAAATGCCTATTCTTATTATAAATATTGTCCAATATAGTAATCCAGAACGAGTGTCTACAGATAGCCGTTGGTTTGCTCAACTACAATTTGCAGATATAATAATTCAAGTCGTGGCTCTGGGTCATTACACTTTCGCTCCTTTCATGATCCTTCTAACAGCCCCAGGTTTAGGTCGGGCCTATAGTCGATTATTGGAAAATATCCAATCAGCTTTTGTCTCCAGGTGTCTTACAAAAAATTCTGAAGAAACGCAATCCAACCTAATAGAATCTACAGTTGAAACTACAGTCAAGATGAACGATCGTGGAGAAATGGTCAATTGCAGTAGTGTTTAAAATGTTTTATAAAAAGGGAAAAAAAGAGAGCATTATTTTATTATTCATTTCATTTGGAATATTTCCCGTTCTTTCTTTGTCCCGTTGTAATGTGGAAAATGAAATTCATTCGTTTAGTTATAATGGGAATTTTAAGAACAAGAATGTAACCTCATTCCTGTGCAGAAAAGATATCAATAATTCTTTTCATAACAATCATGATGAACGTACGTGTCAAGACAGCCAACAGCATTGGTGTCTAACTGCCTAATGAGATATGACAGTAGAAAAGGTCATAGGATTTACGTTTCTACTAGCAGAAGACGCTCTTATGAAGATTTTTCTTATCATCCAGTCTTTCTCTTTATTCATTTTAATCTCTTTGTACGGTAACAACCAACTTCAAACGTGAATTTGAATCTGGAATTACATTGATGGATTTGGAAATAGTTCTTCCAGGAAGCAATGGAATGAAAAAAGAAAATAATCTTCGCTTGAAAAGAGATTCCCCTCCTATAAAGTAATTACACAATTACAAACAATTTATGACCCGTAAAGTTAATTTAGACATATGCATAAATGATTCCTATGTACTTTATTAGTTGATAAAGAATAATATTTTTCAATGTGTAGAGTCACATATAAAAACTACTGCTGTGTTTTACATTTATATTTATAAGGTTTATATACATATATCATATAATATATACTGTATATATTCATTAGTATCGTGTATATGTCATACTCAAGACTAGTTATCGGTTATAATATTGAAAGATGCGATGATGTTGGAACTATGAAACCGGAAAAAAACATGCATTATTTAAAGTAAATTTCTGCGTTAGAATCTTCTTTATAACTGAAAATTCATTAACGCTATTGCTGTCATAAAAAAAAATGACAAATGACAAAATTCCAATTAATGACGTACAAGACGTATATTTTATGATAAATATACATTTATATGCATGTATATAAAAAAAAAATATATATATATATATTGAAAAAAGAATGAAAGAGGCTTATCTATATAAAGTTTTTGGTTTGCGTGTCTTTCGATTGCACTAGAATAGATTTCACTTGTTGATCACTCAGCTTTTTCGTCCTGTACTCTTTTTTGGAGATCTGTCGCTAAAAGATGTAAAATTAATTAATTTTATAAAACTTCTCAAAAATAATCTAATATGTTATTTAAAAACAAAATCGAAAGTCGACAGAACTACAAATCCAAACGTTTCCCTTAAAAATAACTTCTCAAACACTGTCTTATAAATAAACGTTGAGAATGTATATATTAATAGTTTAATCGAGCAATAAGATTTCTTAAACTTGTTAACGCCATTCTTGATACTGAGAAGGTAAAACAAAAATTCGAAAAATTTTAGTGATTGTAGATCACGTGTCATTTTTTAACGGATACCGTATAGATTTCATTGTGTAAATAATAATTCATTATCTGTATTATCCACTGAAAATTAGGGGTCAAATGTATACCTCGAAATACGTCGAAGGGAGTATCTGGTTACTGGTCTTTCGGAATCAACGCTTCCACCTCTTAAATTCCTATCTGTTCTTATTTCCGTTTCAGAGGATGAGAGTATATCCGGCGTTAGCGACTCTCTTTTTTGTCCTGATCATATATAATATTTAAGGATTTTGTTAAGCCTAATACTTAAATTAACTTACTTCTTCGATTTCGAGACGGAGAACTTGCAGGCTCTTCACTTCCACCCCGTCTTCTGTTATCTGAGGTTCTTGAACAACCTGGTAGTGGATTTGACTCTTGTGTTGTTGCTACGATATAAAATCAATTGCAAATCTTTATTTTATATATACAGTATATATATATATGTATAAAAATTAAACATATTTATATTAATCACGATCAACTTACATGTTTTTCTTGGTCGACCACGACCTCTTTTTGGACGATCTGAGCTGTGATCAGATAAAGCTGACCTAAATAAATAATTTTTTGACAATTAAATTTAACTTCAATTTGTTTAAAAACATACTCGGAAAGACGTCTGGACCGGGGCTCTGAACTCACTGATATCCTATCCAAATCTACGCTCTCGCTCCTCCTCTGCCTATATGATTGAGTTGATTGTCTATCGAACGGTACTAACCATTCGGAATTTTCAAAAATTGTATCCTCTGCCACTATTTAATAAAAATTCAACTTGAGAATCATATCACTGTCTTTTCAGAAATTTAACACTTACGACTCTCTAATTGCCTAGTTCTACTACGAGTCATTATGGTTAGACTTTTTGCTGGAGACGCTCTCGACTGTTTCTGTTAAAGAGAAATAGCAAAAAATTTTCGTTTACAGGCATTAAAAATATTATTTTATAGAATATAGAATTTCGTTAGAAATGACTAACCAATCTATTTTAAGTAAATGTGTACAAATAGATGAAAAAAAAAACTTCTTACCTTTGGTGTTGAAGATTTTATTGGAGTTGTGGCACTGGATGTTGATCTTAATCTTCTTGTGGATCCCGGATTGGACACTCCACTGGCCCCTTCTTCTATATCTTCAGCCTCTTTTTTCAATTTTTCTCTGGTTGCTTCATCGATCTCTTCCGCCGATACCGCCTCTTCTTCGCATATTCTATTTTCTTCCATAAACTTTTGCATTATAATTTTCTTTGTAGGTTGAGTGCTTCCACTTGGAGGAGATACTCTTCGAGAGCTGCTCCTTGTAACGCGGTCACTCTTCTCGAATATTCTCTTTCGCTTTCTTCTACCACTTTTTGAACTTGTCACAGAGGAACAAGTTGACAAGCAATCGTACATGTCGTCTATAGGTGGTTCTGGCTTTTCATCGAATACTGAGTCATCGCTATCTGCTTTGACTTCGCTAGCAATAGGCGTTTCTATCTCAGGTAATCTTGATGAACCAGCTATGCTAAGAGTACTGTCAGCCTTTTCAATTTCAGCATCAACTTCTTCAAGTGTAAGAGACGGCGCTCTGTTAATAACAACAACAGTATTTTCAATTTCTTCGTAGTCTTCCTCGTCTATTTTAGGTAGATCTTCACTGGAATTTTCTGCATTGTCATTGCAATCGATTACTTCATCTTTATTGCTATTACTGTCATTACTCTCATCATCGATATCACTTTCATCTTCATTTTCTTGCTCTCTATCTTCCCTTTCCAATGATTCTATTTCTCTCTGATCACTTGTACTATGCAAACTACTTTCTTCCGTTTCGCTTGGTTCCTCTTGATTCCTGCCTAGTGTAGATTCAGTTTCAATATGCGATGGAGTATCAGCTGCATCGTTATCATCGGAATATGTAAAAACTAAATTACTGGCAGAATTTCCATCCTGTCTTTCTTGGTCGTTTTTGGATCTTAAGTCTTTAACAGACTCATCATCTTTAGGATCGTGATAATTTTCTACTGGAACATCATATTCTGTTACTGTTACATTATTTTGTTGTCTGAATACTGAAACCGTTTCCACACCTTCCATAAGGTCATTTATTGCTGGAGAAACAGAAGGGGCCGACGATTCAGAGGAGCTCTCTGCACCTTCAACAATTTGTCGAATCAAATCATCATTTCTATAACGAGCCTCTCCCAAATTCTGTTCAAAAACAGGAATACGCCTCGTTCCTCCCTCATTTGATACAGAATCTTCAGGAGAAACGTCATCTTCAACTTCGATCACTTCATCAGCACTTTGTTCACGGGAAGATGTTGTTAAAACGTCGTCTTGTTCGGATATATCACCAACGTCTTCCATGGCACTGTAAGACACCATAGTACTTCCGTCCATAGCAATATGACTACCATTTTCAATATTTCTCATATTCGATAAAACTACATCATGTAAATTGAAAGGCTGCATTTTTTCACTCTCTTCTACAACACTCTCTTTGACCTCTGAAGGCATGTTATTTTGTAAGGTTGTACCGCTAGCATTACAAAGAACAGAGTATGCGTCAGTTGTAGAATTCGATATCTGCTCCCTATATGTCCTTCTACCCTTGACATGTCCATATGGCGAAATATCATCTTTGGAATCGCTTGCTTCGTGTTTACAGTAGTCTCGAATATGAGAATCCGCACATGCGGCAGTGGAAGTTTCTGGTTCACCAGGCATGAAAAATTTCTGCTCCTCAAGATTATCGTTCTTTATGTCTTCAATTGTATTTTTCGAGTCAACTACATCCAGATCAGCTTCTGTATTTACTTCTATAATTGACGGTTCACTATCAATGTGGAGCCAAGCCCCATCACCATCACTTTCTACATCTATTTCCGCAGACTTTAATTCTGTCATATTATCTTCTATATCACTTGTTTTCACATCGTCGTCCTCTTTAGATTGACTCTCTGTGTCTGCCGTATTTTCCTCATCATCCTCAACAGAGGCAATAGGTTCAAAGGAAATTATTTTTGTCTCTCGTTTAGATTCCTTGAGCAAAAATTCTTTATCTGTTTCCATGGGGTCTTCGACCGTAATTATTTCGTTATTTTCCAGACTATCATTTTCATCGTCGTCTACATTGCAAAAATATTCTTCTTCAGCATCCTCGTACTTGCTATCATCTTTAGTTGTATCAGATTTCTCACTATTGTCGAAGCTTTGAGTAGTGGAGGGGACGGCAGAGGGAGAGAAGGTTATTTTCTTTTTTATAAAGTCGCTGTCATCTCTCTCAGGGAAGGCTAGAAAAAATATAATTAAATCTCACTCATCTCTATAAAACACGGGAACTTACTTATTGAAGAATCACCAGGATAGGTATACGATTTTTTCACTTTTAGTATGGATGACAATTTGGGTAACATCTTTTTCACAACTTTAACTGGTGTTCCCTCATTCATAGTATAATTTGTCTCCAAGATGTTACGAATATCATCAGGAAAACGGTTACGTCTTATTAAAAAAGCATGAAATGTTTAATTATTAATTTCAAAAAGCCAATGGTAGAGAAAAACTAACGGTTTGATATCCAATATTATGGTATCGCATAGGACAGGGCATTTTAGAAATTTTCTCTCAGTATCAACAACCACCGTTTTATCAGAGCGAACATTTAATTCAATAGCCTTCTTAATAAATAATGCATTTATTTCGTCAACAGACCAGTTAACTTCGGGCTTTAACAAAGTTGTAGACAAGGGAGTCGGCTTCTTACCTTTATAGAAAGATTCATATTCTATTATTTTTTTTTTCTTTTATGAAAATCCGTTTACTTACGTTCTTTAGCCGATGGCAAGCAGTCATCGTAGGCTATGTGAATGGAATCTTTGAAATAAATTGGCATTTCTTTTTCTATTTTACTCATAATTTCATTTCTAATTGATTTGCGCTTCCTCGATTCTTCGTCTTCATTCTCTGTGCTATTGGAATTCAAAACTTGATTCAAGCGAATAGCCTCAACAACACGATTCCGTAGTAAATAAAATATAACTAAGCAGTCTTTCGAAAATTCCTTCAATGATCGGCGAAATTGTAGTGACTTTTCTATCTCTTCCTCTTCACTTGTTCCTAAATCGGATGAGAAGAAACTTCCCAATTGTTTATCTGAGCGAACATATTGTCTCATTAATAAAATATGGGCGAGATATTTTTAAAATTAGACAGTATAACTCTGCTTACATTCTTCGCATTCTGTGAGAACGTGATCGAACACGGCTGAGTTAACTTCCTTGTGATGCCTTTCCCTATTTGTTCTTATTAGCGTTAACGTTTTCCTCATATCCCTATTTGATTATGAAACAATTTTTTATTCACTCTTATACCATTAATAATTTAATAAAAAATCAACTTACCCAGCTCTGATACAAAGACTTAAATAAATTTTCAACATATTAAAATCGCATTCACTGTCTGGAGTTCCACTTAAACATCTTTCAAAATAGTACAGAGCTTTTCTTGGACATAAATTATCGCATAATATTTTAGATATCTTGACGTGAGACCATAAACTATTTTGTATTGTTCCTTCAGATAAAGAGCACATTAGATGTTCATAAGCCGACTATGGATAAAAAATTAATTATTAAAATTACTAAATTTGAATAAATCAACAACGGTTTACCTCATATAGCTTTCTATCTAATAAACTTATAGCCTTAACAAATTCCATTAGAGTCGTATGTATTTCGTAACAATGGAAATACTTGGACATATCAACCATACAATTTTGCTGTTACAAATACAGGATGTAAGTCTTCTGATAAAATTGAAAGAAATGCTTACATATAAATCAGTAAGATTCTCATTATATTCCATAACGCTGAATAAGAAGTAGATTAGGCATTGATACTTGACAACGGGAGACATAGTTTCGCATAAGATACATCCAAAAGTTTTCTATTTATAATAGATATAAATGTATACAAATATATATACATATATATACTTCAATTCTAAGTGTTTCTCTTACAGTCAATGAACAGGGAGGATATTTAAAGTTTTCTCCACAGAAGAAATCTTTCAAGTCTTCGTATTTTTCAAGTACTTCATCAATGAGCAGAACACTAACATTAAAAACATAAAAATAGTATGACTTATAGAATTAATAAGATTATCAAAAATACGAACTTGTCATCTCTTAAAGTGTCATAGTCACTTTTTATTTCCTCGTAAGAGTATGATATTTTTTCAAACTCATCACTTTCTGAATCCAGCATGTCCATTTTAGCAAATGTTATAATGACTCCCAAATAAATAACAATTAAATCTACAGTTTCAGATTGATTTCTAACTAAACCCTTATCTCCTTCAATTTTCGGAAGATATATTGAACTAAAGCAGTAGCTGTATAGTTGTTTTATCATTTTAAAGCTCCTCCATAATTCTTTAAGCTATAAAAATAAAAGAAAATTGACAATAACGATGAAGAAGCACGGAAAAATAATTTACAATTTCAACTGAAGATACTTTTTCGTTAAGACAATAAAAGCGTCGCATCACTTCATTCAAGTTTAATTTTAGCTGTTTCGTTATATTCCACAACCAAACAAATATATCCTCCAAAATGGCTACACTAAAGAGATTTTCTGTCAAGTAAATGTGAAAGATGATTAAGCTGTCATTAATTTGCCTGTAAAGATTTACCAACCTCCCCTGAGCCAAGACGCAATACATGTATATATAGTTTCAAATTCGTTATATTTGAAAAGAAGTTTGAAAAGTTCCTCTCGTTGTTGACTCTAAATTAATATAAATAGATAGGTGCTAATTAATTAAATTTATTGAAATCCTCTTTTATACTTACTATATCTAATTGAAATACTGTCGAAGGCAATAAAAAAGCCTCCTGGCAAGCTACGAGGACCTGATTAGGATCTAAGAACCAGCTAGTTGTCTTTTCATAGAACATTGCAAAGATTTCGCACTGAATTCCACGTATTACATTCTTAATTTCACAATTTTGTAGAGTTAGAGCGACATCTAGGATTTTTAAGGATAGAATAGAAATAAGTAAGTTTTGATGTCATTTGTTAATACTCACTTAAAGAGAGAGAAGCTGGCCAAAGATGCTGATTAGGTTTAATTGCTTCTCTACTTTCAAAATAAGATATATCCTGAAGACGAGTCGACTATTTCAAAAACAAAAACAAAAAATTAAATAAATATTTTCTAAACAAAAAACAAAGAATACAAAATATACGTTAAGGAAAGGAAAGACAAGAATTAAGGCGATTAAAATTAGGTGACTTACTAAAATACTGCTGCAAGGTACATTTATCGACAAATCGTATAATACCAGAAATCCAGATGTTTCCAACAATCTAGGTTGGTATTAATTATATATAAACAGTTAATATTTTAACATTCATGTAACATACTCGGTTTGAAACATCTCTTGATACCAGACGTTCAAGTCGAATATTGCCAAGAAAGTCTTGCTCTCTCCAGAAGAAGATATAGCAGCTTCCCATAACCAATAGCCCAACTTTGTTATAGGAGATTTAGGATCTATTATAAAGAATTTATTTGTATTTAAAAAAATTACAAAACAGAGAAACAGGATTTATTAAGTTATATGGTTTTTTTAATTACTAACTTTGATCTGGCAATCTTCTACAATCTATTATGCGTGATCCGTACCATTCTTTACCAGCATTTTTATCTTCGTAAGCGTAAGGATTCGAAGTTAGAGAGTGCTCGAAGCGTTTAGTAATACTGACAAGCTCCTGAGACGATTAAAAAATAGATTACGTTAATGCAGTTATGAAACTAATTTATCAAATATTTTACTAACAAAAAAGTTCATTCGACCGTTAATAATTCGACTTTCTTGATAACTGCACTGAACAATTTCAATTGAACTCGATACAGGATTTCTTCAATGAAATGAAAGAAATATACATTTCATAACAATACAAAAAGGATTTTATAAATGAAACTATACTCAAGGTGAAAGGAGCTATAGCCAACAACTGTGTATAAGCAACTGAGTGGATCATCCTCAGGAATCAAATGAAAAATATGTGTGATTGATGGTATATCAGTATCATATTTGCTGCTATATCTGTGACGTAAAAATAAAAGAATTAGTTTTAATATTGAAAGTTTTTTAGCAGCTTATAACAATTCGGCTTACTCTAAGTTGGCATCAGTTAAATTCCATACTTGATAACAACCGAAAATATATCCAACCCATAGAGATTTAGACTCGGGAATAAAGTGGAGACATGTGACATCTCGATAATCTATTAATAAGAAAGTGAAGTTTTTGTTATATCATTAGCTTGATCATAGCAATTACCCCAGTTGTCAAGTTCAGCTAAAACTTCGCCTGATGGAGAACAATACTGCAACGAGTTCGGGGATCTTTTTTCTTCCTTACTTTCAACTATAAATAAAATTAATTGTATAATGCATCTGTAAGGAATAATTTAACTATCACCTTTCAATGGAAAACATAAGGGAGAACGACGATCTCTTTTCTCATTGATTTGGTCATCCGGAAAAGCAACATTTATAGTGATAAAATCCTCTTTCCTTTTCCTACTTAATCTCCATATGCTTGTGTGTACATCTTAGTAGAAATTTTACAATAGTAGAGCAATAGTTTGTAATTATTTCGAAAGTACCTACCAAGTAGAAACAACTTTCCACACTCTGTTCCTAGGGCCACAACATTTTGAAAAAATTTAGCAGAAGAAATTATATCGCTGTTAACGTCCAATCTTATGTGCAGCATACATGAAATCTATAGGTTTTACAGTGATTATTATTTGTCATCGAAAACATATAAATATACAAACGGCATATGGAAAAAATATACGATATATTACATCTCCAGTCTTATAATCGTATATATATATATGGGATGTCTCAGAAGTTACAGTACTTATTAATAACTTGTCTTCCAATTCACAAACTTGGCTTATTTTACAGGAGTGAATAATAAATTCACTTATTACGTGTAAGTTTGACGCTGATAGAATGACAACTTTGTTAGGATAGACTCTCCAGCAAAAACTGCCATCTAAAATATGAAATCATTTGATATGTTATTTATATACATACAATTTACGTAGATTTTAGATTATGAATGAAACAATTTTTTTAGAAATCAGAATGCAGACTTACGTTGAGAGTAACTGCAACTTAAAACATCATTTTCAAAATCGGCTGGAATTGATTGCTTTGATATAGAGCTTGGCAGACGTACATTTTGCAGCTTTGGAGTCAATTCCATTCCGTAAAAGACTTAAACGGCGTGGGTCAACGATAACGAAGAACTCTACGATTTCACGCGGTTTCCAAATTATGCAACTGTTGAATTCTCAGCGAGTGTACCGAGGGGCTAGCCGTAAGGTTAATAGCTCATGAAATTTTAAAATTATCCAAGAATCTGGGCAAATAGCAGGAAACGCGGCAAATTTAGCCGCCACATCAAGGACTGTAGCTATTTTCGCTATATTTCTATTTCCGTTTCCTGTTTGGAAAGTACTTCCGGTTACGTATATAGCGGCAAATTCATCTCCAATAAACAATAGCATTTATTTACTATCTTGTAAATAAAATTAGAATTAAAAAATCTTACTTTTTAAGAAAAATTCTTATTTAAAAAATTGTAAATATTAAAAATTATTTCTTTTCGCCTGATTCTTTACCATTTCTATTTTATTATGAACATTTTAGCATTTTTCAATTAGAACTATAATAAGGAATACATTTGACTTTTTATTTGATCGAATAAATTGATTATTAGTACATAATATATATATATATATATATACACCATTTTTTTCTGTTTTGATTAAGTAAATTGAATAATCTATTGAAAAATAACAGTCTATGCTATTTATATACTACATTGTGTGCTTAATAGTCGATATAAGTGTAAACTATTTTAAACAATAATTTTTTGACCTAAATAATAGCCTTTTTGTCTTGTAGCATATCTTTTTTGGTAACTTTCATTCCATTACCGCTATCTCGTAACGAAAAACAACAAGAATAATTGAGATTGATTCAAGGCTAAATATATTCTTAAACGGCCTATAATTAATATAGAACAAGATGTTTAACGATTCTTTTCCCATGGTTTAAAACGTAATTTAATTGTCATTGGGATATAATTTATGCATATGTATTAAATTGAATTCAATATCTATATATAGCTTAAAAGTTATCGCTACATTTGACGTTAGCGAAATATTCGGCATTAGACATTTCACATATTTGGTCGTGTTTACACTCTTCATCGCATTCACCCTCTAGATCACTGTCAGAAAATTGATGTCTATACCATTTTTTGAAGAGATTATCATCTGTTTTAAATTTCTCTGTCAACTGTTGCCAAGAGGCAGCAGAAAGATCGGGAAGATTATATTCGTCTTTAGCATTATAGTTCATTCTTAGAGCTGGTGTACCATCGGCTATTCAGAAATATTTGTAATGATATTCAATCAACTGTACTTGTTACTATAAATATTTTTTATCTCACCTGGCTGTGTTTTCAAGTCAAGGATATAGTTTTCATAATTCTGTACTTCGTAGGTGCTAGCATCAAGCTCGTAAACTCTGACAGCTGGATTTCTATTAGATCTTGGTGTAACTGAGCTAGATATATATTGAATAGCGACAGATTGGTTATTAGCGTTGTTAACAAGACGGAAATGATCTTTATGGGTATGACCAAATACTTGAAGAACGATAACATCGGCAAATTCAACAACAATATTTGTGTACCAATCACTGATAATAGAGAAATTTTAATAATTAATATTTCTGCTTGATACAATTAGCTATCTTTACCTGTAAAATTTACAAGTATCGAATCCAGTGGGATGATGTCCAACCATAATAACCTTTTCATTACCATCTTTAGCCGCTTGTAGATTATCTCTTACAAATTTTTGCATATCTTTCCAGAAATCTTGGTCCTTGTTTAAAGCATTGTACCAGTTCATGTTGTATCCAAAATTTGAATTGTAACCAATAATTCTCAATCCTGGTCTTCTCATTGTTGAATAATAGCCGGCTTTTTCGATATTTGTTATATCTTCGTCATTCCATCCAGCCAATTCTCTGAAAGAGCTGGCAAAAGCTCTATTAACTTCTTGAACTTTTTCGTTTGTTGGATCGTAAAAGTTAGCAGGGTAGGTTTCGTGATTTCCAATTGTAGGATAGAAGGCCAATCCTCTAAGTCTCTCGGTCATCATTTTTCCGAGGAAAAATGTATAATTCAATTGAATTTCTTGAGTCTCTTCCCAAAGGGAATGTGGGGCATTGTCACCAGTGTAAATAACCATATCAGGATTCAAATTTTTTACTTCTTCTAGGAGGAAATCAACAGTTCTTTGGGGAGTATTGCAGAAATACTCTCCAAATCTTCTAGCAGGGGTCTGTAGAGTACATAAAAGATGGACAGCTATTACAAATGAGTATTAGCTACTTACGGTTCCGTCGTAATTAGGTCTGCAACATACGAAGAGACCACAATCCTGACTGTTTGTTCCCTGAAGCAGACACAAAGATATTAGCTACTTTACCAAAAAAAATGGATTATCTCGTTACTTACAACAGTGTATTTATGATCCATATGAACATCTGTAAGATGAACGAGTTTGATGGTATTCTTTGAAGCAGACTTCTTTTCTACTTTTGGATTAGGTTTAGATGGAGTGGCGCTTCTAGTTCTATTTCCAGGATCAACGTCTTCTGGAGTGCAAAAGTTAAAGAGAGCGCATCCCTCATCGGCTTCCATATTGGATTTTTGAACAACGTCAAAGAGCTACAATATAGATTTTATGTAATATAACTTACGAAATATATATACTAATATATTAATATGTAAGAGTTTACCCCTTTAATGTAACTATTAGCGATGCCTGGACACATAATGTCTCCTCTGAAACCAGTTACATTTAAGCCGTTTTCGCAAACTTCAATAATAAGCTCACTAACATCCTCATAACCAAGTCCAAGACCTTGAACATAGCGAATCGTATTGATTACGCTCTAAGGAAGAAATACTAGTTAAATATTATAAAAAACATTAGTTTTTAATGAAATTACTATGCATAGTTCGCAGGTAATGAAAGACGCTCTATTATCCACAGAATCGGCAATAATTGGTTCCAAATCGGTAAGCTTTCTTTCATCTAATAAAGGATGAGCAGCAGTAAGAACAAATAAGATTGAAAATATTATTAAACTCTTCATGATTTTTTTGTGAGAAATTTGAACTATATATATTAAAATAAAAATATTTATATATGTATAAACATATATATTTTATAAAAGTTGTTAAAAAATTAAGTTTAAAGAGTCTTTGAAAGTCTGATGGAAAGATTATTAATTTTCTTTTATATAATCGAGTCAAAGTGAAAAAACAGTTGGTTCTTTTTTTTAAGAAACGCGTAATACTTTACTGAGATAATTTAATCGAGGTCACTTATGAGGCTGTTTTTTTTTGCCCTATATGTACAAAATTAGTCTCTTATAAGAATATGATGTATTAGCGTTCAGGCGTGTCCTACTCTATTGATTATATAATTAAAATATAAGAATAGGGTTAAGCTATAATCTATAAAGAAAATACTAATCATTCAATATAAAATAGGATATTAATTAATTAGGCAAGTGATCCTTAAGTGTATTTTATAGTGAAATGCATGTATGCATACCTAGAAAATATGCTAATGTATTTATAACTAAAAGATAATCATAACAATACGACTACAGACGGTAATGTTTCAACAATTGATTAAGTAATTAATTATTATATATGAGTACTATTCTTCTTAAAAACTATTCTTACGAAATATACAAAAAAATAGATATGATACATTAAATTTCTTATGAAAGAAACAGGTGTAGCTTTTCCCATAGATCTCGCAAGTAAATTGTAAATATATTGAATTCTTACTTTGTCTCGTATGTTTATTATATGATATTTATATTAATTCTTTAGATCTTTAAGTATTTTTTATATATTCACGTTAAAATTTTGTTAATTATTAATCAATTCCTTTCAGGAGAAAAACACAAAATTATCTCTAACTTTCATTTCCTGTCTTTACTGTTGTTATTGGCGCTAGCAACCATAGAGATGATGATTATGATGATGATAATGATGATAGTATTTCTATGCGACTTTATCATTTCCTTTTTTTTTTAAAAAAACAAAAGTCCAAATGGAAGTAACGAAAATACTTTCACTATTAGATTAGTAAATTAAATTGTCATTATTGCATTAAACTAAAAATAAAGAATCACAAAATACATTATAGATGGCGTTCTAAAACGCTTGGTATACTTTACTTAGGATATATATTTGTAATAGTGTTAGTACTTGTAAAAAATAGCATAGAAAAGAAATATATAAAGTAATAATGAAGGTGTGTTTATCTCTGAATTGTTAAAATGATAAATTTCTTTAAAATATTGCTATTCAAAAGAATTAGCTATTTAATTTAAACATCTGTTCATGAAAAATAAATGAACGAGAGTTTATTGTTGATAACCCTTATGTAGATCAGACAATATTTAGTGTATTTCATTCATGTATTAATAATTTAGGGTAAACTTTTAGTACTGAGCGAAATAAATCCATAATTCATCCGCATTTTTATTATTACATTTCAAAGTATTGAGTATTGGAGTTAGAGAGGGAGATTCTTCAACTTATTGAAAAACAACAAGTAAAAGTAAGACATTTTAAAATATAGTATATTTATATAGACCTGTATATTCATATATATATATATATACTGATTGTTCCATTATTATCTTATTATAGTTATCTAACCTATACTGATAGTTAGAGAACTAAACCGATATCGTTATCGCATGGTAATTTCTAGTATTCTACTAAATATTATATTCAATTTTTCCAGTTTTCATCATTTATTTTTTATTTGTAACTGCTAAATAAGAATTGACGAATCTAGGTTGATATTCGTATAATTCTTAACAAACTAGTCATTTGGGATAATTGAAATAACTAGTAGTTTGGTACAGTTGAAACGCCGAACATCTAAAAATTTATGGTTATTCTTTTTTTTTGAATGAAAAACCGATTGGTATCGAGTTCACACATCCGCCATTGTTTCTAACATTTTTTTTTGCATAGAGTATTGTAACCAAGTGATTGAATAGCTGTAGTTGTGCATGCGGCTTTAATGAATGTATAAATTGTAAATATAATGTTTAAACATACATATATGAACAGGTGTCAGTCCTAGATTCGTCAATTCTTGTCAGACTGGCTTTTTTGCAGAGGTATACTTCTAACATTTACGCAACATCGTTTGGCAGACGCAGTAAAAGATAATGGTATGTAAATTGCATGTTCTTGCTTTTCATTAAACTCCCTTTTCAATTACGAAAGGCTTAGAGGGCAGATTTAGCATCCTCAGATAGATTATAGGACATTCATCATTCTTATTTTGTTGCTGTAATTTTGTTCTGAATGTCTATTAAGGTTTATGGATATGTCTCTTTTAAGTTATACTTAAAAACTAAAAATATATTTGTAGTTGATTTAATTATTTTTCTTCTACCTTAGCTCTGAAAGATGATTTGTGGAGCTATTAAAAAGTATACCTCTTTGCTCTTATTTCTTGTGCCAATTGCATTATTTCTCTGTTTAAAACGGATTAAAGAAAATAAAATTATAGAAGATCTATTCGTCAAAGAAAAACTTATACCAAAGTATCTTGTTAAGGAGATTGACTGTTCCAGGATTTTTAATAAAGATTACCACTATATTGATCATTTGATTTCGTTAGAGAAAGAATCAAATTTATCTTTTAAACAGAAGAGCGATAGTGAATATGCAGAAGTTGAAAGTAACTGTGAAAATTATAGGAAATCCTTTGTTACTGATTATCTAAGTTATGAAGAGGCGAGTTTCCCTATTGCATTTCAAATTGTTATGTATAAGGATGTTGCTCAATTAGAGATCTTATTAAAGGAAATATATAGACCCCAGAATGAATACTGCATCCATGTTGATAGGAAATCTAACATTGACATTCAATACGGTGTAAGATCTATTGCGAAATGCTTTAGTAACATTGAAGTCATTGATCCCATTGATTCTGTTGATGTACGTTGGTCTAAATTCACTAATTTGGAGCCAGAAATAATATGTGCTAGAAACTTATGGAAAAGAAAAACCAAATGGAAATATCTTATAAACTTGACAGGTCAAGAATTTCCTCTTCAAACTATGTACGATATTGTTCAAATTCTCAAAGCTTTTAATGGTTCAAATAGTATACAAGGAACAGTTAAAGGTATTATTAAGAGTAGGTTCGAAGGGGTGAAAGATTTTGGCCGAAATGTAGTTGTCATGAAGGGAGCAGTACATATTATTGCTCAAAGAGGATATATCGATTATATTCTTCATAATAAAACTGCTATCGATTTCCTCTCATGGGTTAGGCAAGTTAAACATCCAGATGAAACATATTTCGCTAGTTTAAATCATAGTCCGAAACTTAAAGTTCCTGGTTCGTATCTGGGAAAAGTCGATAGTTCAGACTATCCTTTTTTGACGAGATACAAAAACTGGAAGCAGAATGGTGAATATTGCTATGGAAAGAGAGTGCGTTCAATATGTATATTTGGCATGAAGGATATTCCAGCTCTTAGTACCCTAGATTATATATTTGCTAATAAATTTCATATAAATTATCAACCTTATGCTCTACAATGCATGGCCGAACTTATAAGAAATAGAACTATTTACCAACATATTGGATTGAGAAAATTTGATGTTCAACTATATAAAAATCTCGATATGTCTCATAATCATTATGGACCAAACGTATAATGAGGATGGCTTGCACACTAATCAAATCTATTGAACATTTCCAACATTTTATCATTATGTACTTGTCTAATTCTTTCATCAATTCTCTTTTCGTAAGGTGTATTTTTAAAAATTCTACTTTTAGCTTCAACGTCATTCTTATATACTTTATAAAGGATTTTACTGTATATGGTAAATCCTCATTTTTAGTTCAATACGTTAAATACATAATAAGTTTATTTAGTAACGTCTATATTTAGAGTTTAGAAATCGGATAATTATTACATCTTATTGCTTTTAGCATAATCTAGCAATTCATTCAGGTTCATTCTTACTGTCTTTTCCATAAGAACATTAATAGCTTTTGCAGCAACGCCTGATAATCCAAAATCTTCTGGCGATAAGGATTTTTCCAACATTTTCTCGGCTTGTAATGTTATCATTTGAACATCTAATTTATACTTTTCTTGCCAATGTTTTACAGATTTTATTAAATAACAAGAGTCATTTGTTATATTATTTATATAATCAGCGTCAGTTAACTTTTCTTCCTCTTTTATATGATCAACATCCAGTACTAGTGAATTATTATCACTATCCATATCGCTACTATTTTCTGAACAAGTATCATACTCACCAAATGTATCTTGACTATCATCTTCATCGGTAGTTAACATACTGTCATCACGAGGAATTAACTTATCCTGTTTTCCATCACTTTTTACTTTGCTCATTATACTAATATTATTTTCTTTCTTTATTTTTTGCAGTTGTCGCAATAAATTAAAAAAAAAAAATAAACAGTTCACTTCTATGCACTCAGTGTCAACTGAACCTTATACAAATCAGTAACATTCAATATATATCTTATCCACTTTTCTATATAAGGTATGAAGCAAAAATAAAACAGCAGCAGTGTTCACTTCGATCGAGTCCTAATGAAACTTGAATAGAAAATTACTCACTTCGATCGTATCCTGTAGGCGTTACCTTTTATCATAAAGTAACCAAGGTCCAGGAAAGTTGATACAAGGTAACTCTGTAATTTTTTATTGAATAACTGTAAATTAGCTATTAATTAACTTAGAAATTGAATAAAATAATTATCTTTTTAATGATACTAATTTAATTACTGAATTCTGAAAAAGAATGCTTTTATTCATTGATTTCCCAACTAAGCTTTTAAATTTATAAAACATCAGCAGTTAGTAAAAAAAATCATTAAGAATAGCAAAAAGAAAGTTGTTTTGACAAGGACAAATTGTTCGACGCGGGTAAAATAGATTATGCAAACTTTTCTAAGTAATCGATTAATTACATTTTATACGATTTTGCGTATTCTAGTAGCTCGTTCAAGTCCATTTCTTCTGTTTTTGACAGGAGAACGTCAATTACTTTTGCGGCCATACCGGTTAACCCGAAATCAGCCGGTGTTAAAGATTCTTCTAAAAGCTTATCAGCTTCCGCTATTAATTCGCTTATATCTAATTTATATTTTTCTTGCCATTTTTTAACTGATTTTATTAGAGAGGACGAATCATTAGTTATATTACTAAGAAAGTCGGCATCGCTTAAATTCTCTTCTATTTTCACTAAATCCGTATCAAGAATTACTGAATTTTTATCTTCTTCCTCTTCCCCTTCCTCCTCCTCATCCTCATCCTCATCCTCATCCTCATCGTCGTCCTCGCTCTCATCGTCATCCTCATCGTCGTCGTCGTTATCATCATCATCGTCTTCACCGTCATCGTCGACTTCTTCGTTTTTATTATCGCTCTGTTCGTCATCGTCATCGTCATCATCCTCGTCATCGTCATCATCATCGTCATTATCTTCCTTTTTTTCAGGTTCGTCATCCTTCTTATCCTCTTCTTGATCATTTTTCCCTTCTGACTTTCCATCTTCTCCTTGCTTATCGCTCATAGCTGTTGTGTAAAGTGAACAACACTAAATAATTACTAATCATTGAACAGCCGACTAATAAAAGAAAGAATTGAATTTTGAATGATGTGGCAACAGCATAAAACTGTTCAATATTTTTCTCTTCACTTCCTTTCAGAAGCGGAAGTTAAAGCATAAAATAAAGAATGATCTATCAAAAGCCAATAAATTTTTCTAGTTAAACGTTCGATTTTTTACTCAATGTTTCTTATTAGTCAAGTATAATCTAGTTGATGACTAGCAAGAACTCTAAATTGTAGAATAAACATTAAATCTCCTACTTTTAAAAGTATTTTCAAATGAGTGCGTTAGAGAAAAAAAACTAGAAACAATATTCATTTCCTTAGTAACCAATGGTTGTATTTATAAATTAGTACTATAAGGTTTTAAATTGGCTTGTAGTTCTTGGATACAGAATATCTTCAAGCTTAACAGAGTAGCAGGAACGTTTAGCTTCTTTGTAGGCCTTTACAAGTCTATTGTTAACAACCAAAGTACAAGTCTTTGCATCTCTTTGGATAGGGTCAACAAAAATATATTCTTTATTGCCAATATAGCCCAAAATTCCTGTGTGCTGTTTGCTCAATAAGTTCGTGTTGCTGCCAATATCTTCTATCTCAATGTTCAAGAAGCCTTGTTTATAGTCAACAGGAACTCTTGTAACTCTAATAGAAAGAATTGCTTCAGCAGTTTTAGATTCAATAGAAATGCTATTCTTCAACACGGATATTCTTTGAACAAATTGTCGTTTATTTAGAGTAACTTCCTTTTCAATTCCCCAATTCATTTTTGATTCTCTTAACCCTTCAATATGACCAGTAGAAATAGTTAACATTCCCAAAATGCTTTTAACGAACACTTTACTAATGTAGAAATCGTCACGAAGCTGGAAATGAACAGTCACCCCTGAAAAGCAAGACATTCAACAATCAAATTACAAGTATGGATTCTCTGTTTATTCAACATACCCAATTTCTCATCACCGATAAATTCCATAATTTCACCAGCTTTTCCCATAATATCATAGCAAAGCTTAGCTTTCACTTTCTGATTATTTTCATCTACACCAGCAATATTTTGAATAATATGAGGATCTTGACACATCTTTCCAGTTGTTGTATCATGAATATCGGCATGAAACTTGAAAGGAATGAACACTTCATCAAAAGGATCATTTTTAGCAATAACTTTACATGCAATGTTCAAAGTAAAAGTATCTCCTTGATGACAATTTGAATCTTCCAAAACTTGAATGGAAATGTCAACAGTTACTTGATTGGGAAAAAGTTCAAATATCCCAGGTGTAACAATAACTTGTTGGCCAGGGAAAGATGATTCTCCAGATAACTGACATTGGTAAGTATGCGTGTCATCTACAGCTAGAGTGTATTTCAGTTGAAAATTATATTTTACTTCTTCATCAAGGGAATTTGGAAAGTTAGCTATCTCAAAAACTGTTGGAATATAAAGAACACATTAGTATATTAGTATTTTAATAGATATAACAAAAATATATTTAATAAAACTTACCATTTGCGGAAGCGCATACCAAGAAAGATACAAAAAAGAAGAACTTGTTCATCTCGATAGGTAATCAGAAAGTCTTTTTGTTCTTAAACTATCACGAATGAACACTTCAACTTTGCTGTAAATCACCAACTGATTCAACACAAAATTTCGGCTCCTTTTATACTCTAATTACTACTCAAAGTAAATTACCAATTCTTAAGAAATCCGTGATAACTGTACTATTAAAAAAATTTGCAGATACTCAACAACGTTCTGGGATGTAGGTTTTGTTTAAAAAAAGATGAAAGATTACTTTTTTATGTCTTAGTTTTTATGGTATTTTTTACTAAAAAATATCTACTTTTCTTAATAAAAATAGTAAAATTTGCTATTTTAACTATATTTTATAGTTAAAATATGAATTCTTAACCTTTATAGAATATTTTAAATCAAAAATTATTAATATATTATATCTATTTTTAAGTTTTCTTATATGGAATCGTCATCTAAAAATTCGAACAGTTTAGTACCGGCTGCAAAACTTTAATAAAAAGATGAGCGTTATCATCGTTTTTATTAACAAACAAACAATTTTTTATATACCCAAATTATATCCAAGCTTTTTATGATAAATTTTAAAAAAAGAACGCTTAAAGTATGCTTTTTCTATAGTTTATTCTTTAACTTAAAACGTTTCCTCATTATTTAACAATCTTCTAAAAGAAGATAACGTCTGTGGATATAGTACATTTGACAATTTAATAGAATAACAAAACGATGATGTAAAAGATCTTTTCTTCTTAAAAGATTCAATATATCTCTGATTTATTAATAGTTTATGATCTTTACTTGATTCTGTTTTCTTAATAAACTTATACGATTTGTTCCAAACACTTCCCAGAATTCCTTGGTGAAATTCATCGAATGTTTTTCGATTCATTCCTGTATTTTCTATAACAATATCAAGATAATCGTTCCAAGCATTCTGATGAATTATTCTAATCTGAATGGACAGTATCCTTTCACCTTTATTCATCTTAATATATAGATTCTTATCCATTTTTATTGAATAATGGATACCTTTCCTAATTTTCAATTCCCATTCCCCACCCCATTGCAGATTTTTAACACCAAATATACTTAACTGATCAACAGATATCTTAATTATGCCTTGTTCGTCCTCTATAAAAATTTGTCCTATGTAATAATCATCACGAAATTCGGACAGAATGGAGACGGCTGCAAAAAATGTTTTTTACGTGTTTTTTTTTTGTTTTTTGAAGTAAAAATAGATGTAGAGGGTAAATAAAAAATTTAAAGGTCATTACTTAGCAGTTTATCTGATAATATTTCGTAAATCTCCCCACCAAGACCGTAAAAATTATAACAAATATCTTCTTCAATAACGTCGTCTCTTTCGTTTGAACCCCTTATTCTTTGAACAACCCTGGGATCTTGACAACTAGGTCCGACTGTTGTATCAATAATTTCTCTACTAAATAAAGTATTCTTTTGTTTTATATAAATTGTATCATTTGCTTTATCCGTCGAACAAGATCCTACAATTGTAATAATCGGACGATTATCAATACAATTACCGTCTTCCAAAACTAGCAAATCGATATCATGTATAGGATTATTTTCGCTTATTATTATCTCATTTGGACTGATTGAACAGTTCTGACCAGTGAACTTTAACCAAGTTTCAAACTTGCAATATAACTCATTCCCAGCCAATTGCGGGGGCCAGATCCCAGAGGGTAAGAGACCGAATTTAAATGTGCTTTTCTCCGCTTCAATAAAGAATTCTGGGGTACTAGAAAAACCTAATTCTACAGAAAAGAACACTATTTGAAGATAATATGTTATAAGAAAAAAAGGATATAAAAATACCACCTACGTCAGCTGTCGCCCACGCTGAGAGAGCAAAAAGCAGCTGGATATTTACACAAAATATATGCATCTAAGAGCCTTTGTATGTCAGATCTGAGCTTTTAAGAATATACAGTATATTTAATTATTGCGGGTGGCAATCTTTAACACTACTCATCTTTTCTAATGTCATTTAAACGTTCAAATAACAAAATAAAAATAAAAAACATAATTTCTATATAGGGCATTGAAAAAAGTAAACTTGATATGAATTTCCTTATTAATGACTGTTTAATAGAAATGGTCGATGGCTGCCTATGTTTAAGAAGCGAAAAAAAGGCCTTGAATAAAAGCAGGCTATTGTAATAGGTCCTAGTCTATTCAAGTTGATTCACGTCACCTATAGATATTGTGCGTGTATATATAAAGAGGGCGTATGTGGGATTGAAGGAAAACAATATTCATAGTTTTTATTCAGAACTTTACTGATCAGGATGGAGGGTTTAAAGCTAAAAGATTTCTCTGAAAGTGCTCTACCAATAATGGTAGAGAATTGTTTAAATAATAAAAATATAGTAATTATATCAAAGAGAAGACGAACAAAAGCTATAGCTCATTTATTAAATGAACGAAATAGAAGATTTGAAATTCCTAAAGACTATTCGGGATGGTTTGCCATTTCTAAACAAGATTTTGAACCTCAAGTCGAAAGTAATAATAACTTAAAAGAACTTATTGAATCTGGATGTAAAAATTTTATGTTATTTAAGAGTTTAACTGCAAAATATGCTAAATTAGTCAACGACGATATTATTGAATTACTTGAGGAGAAAATATTATATCCGGGTGAAATTTTAAAGGTTAATAAATGTTGTAAAAGTTCAGTTCAATCGAATAATGAAAGGTAGTTGAATTTTAATATCAAAAAGTAGTCTATAATGTTAAAAAATCAATTTTTACTTTAGATCTCAGAGTTTAGATGAAGAACTACTACTTTGTACTGACAGAAAAAATCGAAATATAGCTATACCTTTAAATTCATATGGTGAATTTAATCCTATTGGTGATAAGAATTATCTTAAACCAAATGCCCTATTCCAAATGGAGTTTATATTAAATCACTTTGAATTTCCAATAAATATAAAATTGGCTTTTTCTCATGCTCCAGCATCTTTTTCACCGACTTTTAATGGTTTGTTACAATTAATTGAAGTTCAAAAAGAAGATTCCTTCGTTATTGGCTATCCTCTCCAATCTGAGAAATTATTAGTTCAAGAAATTCCAATGAAAGAAAATCTAAGATTTAGAATAGCTTCACAATCAATCAATAATTCTTGGTTATCCGATGTAACTTCAAATTTATTTAAATATATAACGAATATTAAAGAATTGAAAGAATCATCTACGCTTCCCACATGTAATTTAAAACTCTTTGACGAATGTGTAATTATGTTTCCAAAAGTAAAGGAAGAGAAGAAAATGTCTACATCTTGGATGTTTCCTTTTTACGAGGAGAACAAGGAGGCAGAACCTATGTTACGGGAATTAAAAAATAACTATTCTAATAGAGAATCTACTGTAGCCTTGAGAAATGCTGTAAAGAGTGGTATAATAAGACCAATTTCAATTAGAGAAGAAAACCTCATTGATGCTTATTGTTAAAAGAAATACTCTATTCAAAATCACAATATAATTATTCGTTTCTATTACAGAACATATTACTGTATTGAATTATTTTTGTATTCAACCGTTCGCTGTTCATATTTATCATAAAACATGTTTTCTGTACGCTTATTTCAATTGTTTGTTTTGAATCAAGATCTTTTTCGTTATATACAAGAATAATGAAACTAATTCCGGTGTAAATGTTCACTGTACGATCCGTTTACCTTTCCTCTTTCCTCTTCGCATCTCTGTCTATGTTACTACTGACTACTATCTGGCCTCTTAGCTAAACATTTTGTTTTCTCTATAGAGTATTTGGAAGCTTCTTTTTCTTCTATTTAGGTTGATTTTTTCGCGTTTATTTTATCATATCTTTTTTTTTTTCTCTCTCGTGAAAAGAATCTTAAAATTCAACTATTTTTTCTTTTCAAATAACAATATAACAAGAGGAAGAAAAACAAATAATAGCACAAAAAAAGGTCAATAAAACAGATAAAATTAATCGCTTTTGGTCCGCTTTTTATGGCTTTGGAAGAATTCTTTAAACATCGTAGTGTACTTTTTGTAGGCATATTTGAGAATTGAAATCCAAAACACCACTCCAACAAGATAAATTGCAATACCGCCTGATTTATGAATTAAATTAGGTCGCTTTTGTGGAAGGTATGAATATAATAAACAGGAAGCAACTCCAATCCTTAAATAGCCGAATAGAACCATAAATATTAAATCGTTAAGTTCTCCGTACCAGGTTTTATGAACGTCGTACTGTTTCAAGAAATAGCGCATCTGAAGGAAGGGATTAGTTAATTCTGACCCAAAGAGACAGGCAATCATTTCCGTACCAGCTTCATTTGTAAATACAACTAGAGACAGGCCTAGAATACTGATAAGATGATGACAAAGCATGACGATACCTGTTATAAAGAGATAGACTTATATATTTAAAAATTTAATCAGTTACATTATTTAGTCAGTCCAGTTGTTGAAAAAAAAACCAAGATACAAAAGGAAGCGATTTGATGAATCATTAACTTTAGAAGACTCTACTTAAAAGTAGAGATTTATTAAATATTACATAAGTTTATCGTTTAATTAATTATTTTTAGGCTATGAATTATTTTTATGGAGAAAAAACGATTGATTTCAAGAAAATTTCCTTAGAATATAATAAGTTTAGTAATGAAATGAAATGATAATACATTGACTTAAAAGTTTAACTATATAGGTCATTACCTGCCTTTAGATATTAGCTACTACCAAGGTATTGAAATAGCAATAAGTAATATATTTTACCTTCGTTCCCATCGTGTAAGCACCATCCAAAATCGAACAAAAAGTAACCTAAAGATAGGCAACAGGTAATATGTTGAAGATCTGTATTTTCTCCCCCGGGATCGGTAAAGGGCCAAGGTCCTTCTATGAAGCCACACCAATAACTTAAAAGACTAATAATAACAGCGTGTACAGCCGTAACAACTCTACAATGCCATTCACCGCCTAATTTTGGTTTAGTTTTTAATAATATTCTATAAACACAATACCATACGATTGAGGAACAACAAACAAGGCAAATTGAACCTCCTTGAGTATGTAACATCTTCCTTAAGTTAATCCACTTAGTTGAATCTTATCACAGATTGTAGAAATACATCAGCCTATTCTATGGTTCTCGTATAGGATTGTTCAAAATCACCTTTGAAAAAAGTAAATTTGTTGTTGGAAGTCGTAACCTGTTTTTTAGGTTGTAATCAGGTTCTTATCCTTTCCAGTTTTGATCTAAAAATTAAAAAATCGGAAGACCTCTCCTAAAATAATTAGGTTTGTTCAATCAAAATACGGCTGGTCTGAGCGTGCCCGGAAAATCGAACTCAAAACAATTCACGCAATTTTCAGACTACATAAAAGAGGAATTTCTTCTCTTCAAATCATTAGACATATGGCGACCAAGAGAAAAGCAGTAACTGACGCGGAAAAGAAATCGAAGAAAGTTTTCGGTGAAACTGATTTGAAGTGGAATCTAATATGGAAGAGGATAGGCGAAGAATTAAAGGCAGGAATTCCACCTGTAATGGCTCTTCTTTCTGATACATTGGAAGGACGAGAAAAAATAGCTGCTTTTGATATTGATGGCACTATTATTAAAACCAAAAGTGGAAGGAAGTTCGCCACCGGTCCAGCTGATTGGTTGTTTTGGGATAAGAGTGTACCTAAAAAATTGAAGGAATATGATGAAAATGGTTATAGAATTGTGTTCTTTACAAATCAAGCAGGTGTAGAAAAGGGTAATACTAAAATTGAAGATCTTATGGTAAAATTTGAGAAAATTGTCGAATCTATAGATTGTCCAGTCTTTGTAAGCAATAATTAAATTAGTATGTGAAGCATTGGAGAAACTTACTAATTTTTTTCGTCAGGTCTTTGTATCAACTGGGACAAATCATTATAGAAAACCTTGTACAACAATCTGGGATTTCTTTACAGCAAAGTGCAACGGCAATCAAACGATTAATAAAGAGGATAGCTTTTTTATTGGTGATGCTGCCGGTAGACCAAAGAATTGGGCACCTGGTAAATCTAAGGATTTTTCTGCATCAGATAGAATGTTCGCAGCTAATATTGGAATAAGTAATATTAAAATTTTTAATAAAACCAATTACATAGTGATGTCAATACACTTACAGCTTTTAAGACACCTGAAGAATTCTTTTTAGGTCATAAAGCATGTAGACAATTTGAATGGGGTAGTTATGATCCATCAAATATTGTGGAGAATGCAAATGCAATGGAAACCTATCACAAAGAAGTTCGTAGTTAAATTAACAATCAATAACTTGAATAGTAAATTTAAAACAGGAACAAGAAATTGTAGTGATGGTTGGTCCTCCAGCTTCTGGAAAGAGTACATTTAGTCGGCGAAATTTCAAGGATCATAATTACGTGATTGTTAATAGAGATACATTAGGTAAACAACAACTTTTTTATTATAAAATAGCATTTACCTATATTTATGACTTTCAATATCATCTTCTCAGGAACTGCAGATAAATGTTTAAAAGCTGCCGAAGAAGCTATAAAGAAAAAAAAAAGCGTTGTCTCAGACAATACCAATCCTTCAAAACATGCTAGAGCTGATTATTTAAAACTTGCTAAAAAATATAGTGAGTTTAATCGACTTTTTATATATATTTTACTGAAAAAGTTGTTTTTCCAAATTTTTCTTTTATAGAGCTTCCAATTAGGTGTATACTTATAGATACAGATATCAAGTTAGCAAAACACTTGAACATTGTCCGAATGAATCAAACAGAGGGTAAAATAAGAAGAATACCAGACGTTGGTTATAATGTTTTCAAGAAGAATTATGAAGAACCTCACATCAGCGAGGGTTTTACGGACGTTTTAAAAGTGCCAATTCAACTCAAGTTCGAAACTGATAGAGATAGACAACTATTCCAACAGTGGACCTAACCTTAAGTGTACATTATGTGTTCATAGCCAGAACAAGTTTTTTCTTTTAATTTTTTTTTATATAAACGCTTTTTTAAAAACTTGTTTTTCCTTGTCGTTCCGAGTGCGAAATAAAAAAAAATACACAATAAATTAGGTCATTTCTATTCAAAATGTAAGTGTTGTATTTGCAAGAGATTAACTGGAAAATTTAACAAACAATAACAAACTGTCCAGTTAAAATGGCAAATTTCCTAACCACATTTTATTAGCTTCGTTCATTGGCAATCGAGTGTTGCTTTCCGGTCTCTCACCATCTCTGCAATCGTCCATCTTCTCCCTTGCGCCGAAGGAATCTTTCTGAGTACGAGTTTTATCGCTGCTAAATAGTTTGCGACACTTTTTCATAAGGATCCAGGGATTTTTCAATTCGCTACCCTTTCGCTTCGATTTGCCTTTGACTTCTCTCTTCGCTTGATCTTCGTTAGTCACGGGTTGTCTTACGCTTTCATACATTGGCAAATCGGATTCGTGACTCTCCATATATACTCTCTCTGAGGCTCGTACTCGATCGATTCTCGGCGCATCGGGAGTTGATATGATGGTTCGGGCTGGTGGAGTCGAGAATGGAGTTTGCATAACGATTCACGTTCTACCAATTATCTTCGTAAGGCAACTAACTAAAAATTCTTCCAGTCGATGGAAAAGGGACGAGCTTAGTGCAAATTCAAGCCTTTTTATACTTTAAATTTTAAGACGCCACCTAGTGTTCGACGCTTGAGCACTACTCACTGAGTTCGAAAGTGATATGTCGACTGAGTTCGTCGGAAATCTCGCCGAAGAGGCAAAAAAAAGAAAGGAGCGCCTTAAAGCTCTAAGAGAAAAAGCAACTGACTCTAACGATCAATTGGATGATGGAAATCGTCCAAAAGAATCCCTACCAAAGTATAAATTCATAGTTTTTCACAATGTATACTCTTATATCGCTCAATAACAATTATACAGACCTCAATTTCGAAGTTACAAGCCTCAAGATGAGAACTTGTCATTTACTCAAAAACAAGTCGGTGAACCCGTGGACAGTAAGTTTTTTATTGAGTTTTATCCCAGATAAAATCTGATTATAACTTGTTTACTTGCTCAAATTTGACAAATATTTGTATTATCGCTCATCGTAAGTGTAACGAATTTCAGTTGAGCCCGAAGTTAAAGATCAACTAGAGTCGGCAAACTTTTCAAACTTAGTAGAGGAAGTTGACCTCATTAATTTGGCTCCAAGAAAGCCAGATTGGGATTTGAAAAGAGACATATCGAAAAAACTAGAAAAACTAAATAGAAGGACCCAAAGGGCTATTGCTGAAATCATTAAAGAACGTCTTGAAAATCAGGGAGCAGCAGAGAATCTTGCTGCAGCTGTTCACAATATGAAAAATGAAGAGAGTAATGATTAGAGCATGCACTTTTTATTGTACAGTTTATTAGTCTTTTTTTTTAAATAAAATTTTTATTCATTTAAGTCATCAAGGAATTTCAGGAGTAACATTCAGTATAACTGTTTCACCTCTAGGTCTCTTAGCAGTAACTTTTAGTTTAGTACTTTCTTCGACGGCCGAATAAACATCCTTGGCTGATTGAATATCCTTGTCGTTAACATTTGTAATAACATCTCCTGCCCTTAAACCTGCTTTCCAGGCTGGGGATCCAACTATCACCTTATGTAATAGAACACCATGGTCAACCTCAGGAAAAGGGCCATCCATGACTCCTCGTATCTTTAGCTCCATTATTAGTCTAGGATTTAGTGTAAGCATTGTAACGCCAATATATTTTTTAACTGGTGACAGCGATGTTGAACTAGAAGGTTTATCAAGTTTACTAGCTCTCTTCAAAAAGGGCTTAGCGTAATTGATAGGAATAGCGAAGGAAATTCCAGTAGTAACCTTCATAGTATTAATTCCTATAACTTCCCCATCGAGATTGACCAAAGGGCCGCCTGAATTGCCAAAATTAATAACTGCATCTGTTTGAATATATTCCATATCGCTATTTCTTAATCCTAATTCCTTACTTCCTCTACCCGCAGAGCTTACTATTCCCAATGTGACAGTATTTGATAGTTGAAAAGGAGAGCCCATAGCAATGACCCATTCTCCTGGATCTAGTTGAGAGCTATCTCCCAATTGAAAGATAGGCAAATTAGAAGCATTTATTTTAATCGTAGCCATATCTGTTACTCGATCGACCGCTTGTACTACACCTTCGAAAGATCTACCATCCTGTAGTCGGACTAAGACAGTTCGTCTATTAGCTAAGACATGGGCGTTTGTTAATATCACTCCAGACGGATCAACAATAAATCCAGAACCATTGGATACAGGAATCATTTTTCTACCTGATGGATGAGGGCTTTGAATTTCAATGTAAACAACCGCAGGGGATACTTTCTTGACAACCTCAGCTATAAAATTATTATTACTTCTATTCGATATAGCATATACTGGATTTACTTGTAGTTCTTTTAAACCTACATATGATGCAAGACCTATGGATGAGATGGTAACTGTTTTTTTCAGGAGTTTTAAGAAGCGTTCATATCTCTCTGAGTGAGGTTGAGAAGAAAATTTCTTCCTAAAAATTCCATTGGTTAGCGGTAGCCGAAGATTTTTAAAAGTTTTACTTTTTAAAAGTAGATTAAAAGATCTAAGGATAAGTGCAGTCATTTTTTTTAAATCAGTGAAATATTCTCTCAGTGACCTGAAAACTGGTAAATGGCTCCCTTAACAAGTCATGCTTTACGAACAATTTGCCAAAATAGGATCATCCTTGGGCAATTAAATCCAAAAATCGTCCAAAAGTAAGCTTTATTAATTAAAGATAAATTTATTATTCAATTTTCTTTTTAAAAAAAATTTCAGTTCATCTATTTCTTCAATTAGTTATTGTCAAAGTCGCCGAATAGCTATTTCATCAGTTTCTTATGACAGTTCAAAAGATATAAAGACTCCTTCAAAATTGAAAACTGTTGCTGTTAAAAAATATGTTGGATTGTTAGGAAAATTCGAACAAACTTTGGAAAATAAGTATCCAAAGGCTCATAAAATATTTCTCTTTTTTAGGCAGGGTAGGTTTTCTATAGATTCAATTACTATATATTAAGATATCAACATAAAACATTTCATTAGGTGTAAAAGATTTTTTTGCCGACACAAAAATGCACTATAAAGTGACAACAGACTTATGGAAAGGCCGTAGTCCAAAAACATTTACTTGGAGGGAGTTGGAAAATTATAGAACCGTAAGCCATTGTCTATAAGTCTTTCTCGATTTGTAGGCCATTTTTTTTTCATGTTAACATTTTAATGACCTTGGTTTTTAAGAAAAATTATCGTTTAGTTTAAAGTTTAGCTATTGAATGCTGTTGTATATCTTTATTAGTTTCCTAAAGATTTGATGAAAGTCGGTCCATCCGTTGTTCTTCTCAATTTGCCAATCACAGATGTTCTTTTTCCTTTTGTTATGTAAGTTTAACCAAGAGATACTAATCTAGATAGAAGCTACAATTAAGTGAAAAAATATTAGTATGAATGCTTGTAGTTTACAAAGGGGTTATAGATGATAGCAAACAGGTGAAGTACATTTTATACCTAGTAGAGGATAAGAGTAATTGATAATAAAAAAAAACGTTTAACAGCATGAAATCTATAGAATTTACTACAAACGTTTTTTTTTCGGAAGCTGAGCTGATAATTAATAATGTTTCTCATTTCAAACAGCATTTATATGACATTATGAAATCTGCTCCAGCTTTAGTAATATTCGCCGCTCCTGGCGGTTATGCTTTGCTTCCGATTGTGTGAGTGATGGGATAGTAAGACTTAATTATAATCAATAAAGTGATTCTGGAGAATTCTCTCAAAACTGTTTTAAATCAATTATTACCCAACTATTAATAATTATTAATTTCTTTCTAAACAATTCTACTGATTCTTTCTATTATAATCAATTTATCTATTTGGAAAATAAGCTGAAACCTTCATTGACCTTGAAAGAATGATAATGTAAAGTAGAACTTCAGAGTTACTTATAAGTTGATCCTTCCATATAATCTCATTATTATGGAAATTTATACATATATATATATAAATGTCAATTTTATTTTAGATACTTCTTTCCGAGGCAGCTGTTGTGCAAACATTTCTGGACTGAGGAACAGCGAGAAAAATTTGGATTGTATTACTTTAATCATAGAATTAAACACTATCCTAATATCATGCACTATATGGAGCAACATTCAAAAGATATTAAAAAAGAGGATCTAAAGTTGAAATTCAATAATTTATTGCAACAAGTTTGTATCTATACTTTTATATTGCGGTTGAACAACAGAATTTGTAAAAATATAAATTGTTAATCTATAGATTCAAGGGGGAAAGAATGGAACAATTGAAGATCTTCTTGCAATCGAACGACTTTTTGTTAATAGACCATTTGCTTTAGGTTTTTTATCTAAGGTTCATAGAATACATTATTGGCATATTGCTAAAAGTTGGTCGTTTTCAACTTGGAGAAAATCGAAATTAATTCAAGATATTCAGCTTATACATTATATTGATTTGGCTTTAGATAAGGAGAATTTAAACGAATTGACCAATGATGATTTAAAGACGGTAAAATATGATTAATTAATTTCTGTATAAGATTGAAACTTGTTTATTTTTCAGTTGTGTTTTTCAAGGGGTCTTTGCCCTGTAGAGGTCGATAGAGATACTTTAGTAAACTACTTAGAAGAATGGATAAAATTGAGCAAAAATATCAATGGTATACTAATTCATATTATCATTTGCCTGAGAAAACTTTAATAATTTCTCTTTTTGATTTATAGAAAATAATTTATCGTTGCTGTTACACGCTCCTGTTTTGCTAACCTACAGAAGTAAATCAAATCAAGATTTGATAGAGAAATGCGAACCTATTAAAAATAATTAACTTTTTCTATATTACGTAGATTAATTATAATTCTCAAAATATAAGAGCAAAATGCTCCTATTCTTTTTCTATGTTGAAGATATTATCTGAACGAAGAAAGTTTAAGTAGACAAGTAGTTCACTTTAGAATGACATTTTTTTTCTTTGATTCTTTTCGTTTTTTATTGAGTTTAATTTATTTTTTAAGTGAACTTAAAAACTTGTTTTTGAGATCTAGTAAACTTTGACTGAGGACTTTAACGATAAAATCTGACCAACTGACCTACATATCTTGAAGGAGATTTTTTTATACAAACAAGACTACAATACGGATAATAGTATTAATTTTCCGAATCTCTGGCAGGAAGTGTGTAGTGGACTGTTTATATTTTTTATTTCCGGATATAACTCGAAACGAAATTTTTGTCATATTTAGTCCAAAATAATTAAGTAATACAATATTTTATAACGGAATTATCAGTATTAGTTTAAATTAGTGTATATATTGAGAGAGTCTAGAGGTGCGTTAAAACAAAAACCTACTAATAACTGTAGCAGAAAACATAACATGTCAAAATATAGTTAGGCCTAAGGAATCAAAATTAAGAGAATATTCGAAAAATGTGGAGTAATGGTATTCTGAAAGAAGGGCCTCTATTATTGTCTACTTGTCTTTTAGCTGACGTAAGTATTACTATATCAAAGATATACCATTTAACCTCCTGTTGAACTCTATCCTTATGCATATTTCACTAGAATTCCAAATTCAATTTTACAGTATAATCGGTAATATCTAATATTTTTCCTTTCATTAAATATATATATATATATATATAATTAGGGCAAATATTTAACAATGATTAAACAGCAGTCATAAACCGTTATTTTTTTTCGCTATCAATTATATATAAAAAATCTCTTGAATCTAATTTTATTCCTGATATATTCATTCCTCTGATATCAATTATTTCTATTTAAATATTTTACATACATTTCAGAATCAACGACTCTGGGAAGAATATTATTTCGTACTCTTGCACATAGATAAAAGTGAACCTAGACTCAATTACTATCAAGTAATTAATTAATTATAATGATTAATAACTGTTTATGCATACTATATAAAAAGATATACACTGTATATACACTAATGTATTATATCATAGAACCAAGAGGAATTTAAACAATACAAAATTGGAAGAAAGAATGAAGTTAAAAGTATATATGTTCAAATTATTGAGAAATTAGAAGATATTCCTGATGAAGATCAGCAATATATGTTTCTGTAATTAATTAAATTATATTAAATGTTCATTTAATCATTATTTTTTTCTTTAATAGGGCTAAATTAAAAGATGGAAAAGCTTATTATTTTGCTGCTACATCTCTTGATGATAAATTATCTTGGATTGATTCTATAAGAATCTGTTTAAAAAATTCAATAAGTGATGATAAACCAAAAAGACTATGCTCTTCTGCATTTTCAAGTGCAGACGATCTTGGTAGAACTTTGGTTTTATATCTTTATCTTAATAATCTTTAAAATATTTTAGGAGTGCTCATCAAATCCTATAAAGTTGAAGTAAAAGAGACAACTGCATCACAAAGGTGTAACATTGAAGTTGGAGCCGACATCTACGAACTTAAAGTCTATACAAATTCGCTGTGTTTACATATTGGTGATCAAATTCTTTATAAATGGCCGTTTGCCTTCATAAGACGTTATGGTCGAACAACGCATAAATTCACTTTTGAAGCTGGAAGAAAGGTGATATTTAACACATTTGTTTATTTATTTGTCAGAAAATTTATTGAAGATAAATTACTTATATATTTTTAACTAATACTAATGCTAACGCTAAGGCTTAACTTCGCACAAGTACTTTCTAGGTATGTTACAGGCAGATAATTTCCAATTATTAGACAATTTGGAATACCAAGGACATCCTATAGTGTTATTGTTCGAAAATCCGCTTCCTATATCCCAATCTTGGAAATTTAGCACAACCCCTATAATAAAGAGTAATAAATAATTGTAGACAAATATATACACTGTATATACAGTATATATGTATATATCAATTTATACTGTATATATACATTATATATGTCTATCTTAACCTGTTTCAATCCAGTACCAAGTATCGTTTACACGATGTAAACCTAACCAAAAATCATCAGTAGGTCCTCCTAAGTTAATAGATTTCCATAATTTATACTTGCTGATATCATCGAACGACGCCTGTTTAGCTGGCGAAAACTCGAAACATTGTGATTGTCCATATTCATTAGAGCCATTTGTCAATTTGTAGCAGATAGTATTATGAAAACCACTGCATTTCCAGGAGCTATCGATGACCGTTAATGTTGTCTGTTTCAAAGGCTTTGTTGTGGTTTTCTCTTTTGTCATTAATTCTGAAGTTGACAGGCTATCTGATGTTGTTTTTAATCCAAGACTAGTAGTCTCTATTGAAGTATCTAGTTTATGTATTTTATTAGGAGTCGTTGAAATAGCCGATTCAGTTGTTTTTACAGAAGTTTCTTGTTTATTGACAAATGTTGTCTTTAAATTTGTTGTTTTCGTACTTATTTCCGATTGATCAGTGATCCCAGTTTGACTGCTTGTTACACTAGGATATTTAGTTGTCTCAAGAATATCTTGATTGCAAGCAGGCTGCCCTAGAAAAAAATAGATAATTGATGAGCTTTTATCGTAAATTTATATTTGATTCTGTATATTTTAATAAGAATACTGTATAAATGGCAAGCTCTTGGTTCTTTGCAATTTTGACAAACCAGATAGTTGATGTTAGAGAGGTTTAAGTGATGCTTTAAGTAGAATCCTTCAGGACACAATTTGCTATAACAAGATTCAGCCTTTAGACATTCTATAGCACAGCTTATACTGTTAACGGGTATTTTTAAGGGAGGGATTTCTACTCTAAAGTATCCATATGCATAATCCTGCGATCTGTAGAGACTAGGCACTGTGGATAGCGTTGCGTCTATAAAAATTAGGATTAGTGATAAAAATGCAATATCAAATGCCATTGCTGGATAAAGAATGATTCGAAGTTTATGAAAGATGCTCTACTAATACGAATAAATACGTAATAATAATAATAATTTCCTTTTGTCCCTTTAACAGTCGGACAGCGGAGAAGGGTTATTCATTTTCGGATTAAACCCCGAGATCGAAGATAGACGAAACAAAGGCGAAAATGTTCCAAACGATTTTCCAATAGGCGACGAATTATTTAATTGTGCACGTGATCAATTCTCAAGTAAGGGAAAAAATACTGGTTCATTGGAAAAGCCTAAACTCCCACCTAGAAATGATGCTCTTCATACAAGCAAACCCCTACCTCCAGCTCCAATTTTGCAAGAGAAAAAATCGAATTTCCAAGAAGACTCTAGTCAAGACAGTAGTCGTAAGTGACATAAAACGTTTAACAAATTAAGCCTTAAGTAGTAATCTCTTATGTAACTTATTTTTAGCTGTCGGTACAATGAGATCAATGAGAGATTTGATAGAACTAACAAAAGTAACGCCATTCGAATCAAATTCAGACTATTCAACAATCTCTTTGGCTCAAGCAGCAAGAGGTCAAACAACAGATCCCACTGAAATGCACGAAAATCCGTACGTCGACCCAGAAGAATTAGATTTTAAACGCTTATGATAAAACTCCCATAAAGAATGTAATCATAATCATGACACTAACAATAAACTTTACATAGGTGCTTTCTTACGTTGTCCTCTAATATAAAATTAGGAAAAACTTAAAAAAAAAATTCATACAAGTCGCTTTGTAGATGTTTTTCCCCTACTTTTTAAAAAAGTTTGTTAACCTTTTTGCTAAACGTCAAAGCTTAAATAAACATAAACAGTTATTTACATACAATATACGTTATATTATTTGATATTAACCTAATTTTTGTTTATACTCTTTGTTATTAGCTATCTTTTTCTTATAAATAAAAAGAAATATTTAGCGTTATTAATTTTATATAGAAGAGATTGAAAAAGAAAACAAGTATATTTAAAATGTTTGTCTCCAAATTATTCAAGTCAGTAATACGCAATTTATTCATAATTGTTAATGCTGAACAGACCTATTATACAAGTGACAAACGCAAGATCAAGCAGTACTTTGAACATTTTAATTACGCTATTATGGCAAAATTTGCTTTAGTGCAACAAAATGATTAATCAAAAAAAGTACAAATAGAATTCATAAACGTCGTCTAAAAGAATTTTTAGCTGAAGGATTAAACTTGAAAAGTAATGCTTGTTTCTTTTTTATTGTTTTTTTATTACTTATTCTTTGGCAGGGTTACGATTTTTCAAAGCACTTAATAAATCTACATGAAGATTCTCTCTTTGCGCGGTATTGCTTTCCTCAATCGATCTTAAGCCATTGACAATATCTTTCGTCTTTCCGAAGTAAATGTCATTCATTGTATTACGAATTTTGTTCTCCATATCCTGAATGAATGAATAGGTTGTATAAATAATCCATAATTAAGTACGTTCACATATATACACATATATATATATATATATACTGTATATATCATAGAACGAAAATACACATAGCAATAAAACTTATCCTAGAAAATTCAATATGCTTACCTCAACCATTCTCCCCATGTTTACAATGTGCGTTTGGGCTTCGCTGATGGATAGATCATCTTCTCTTTGTCTGGTAATTTGACCGCCCAAGTGCATGTTTCCTGATGCCTCCTTGTTTGTATTCAACCAGAGCATGGCCGTGGAAGTTAAGCGATAATGAGCACTCTTGCCACTTGCCTTTTCCTGAACTTCAAAAACGTGCATAGAATCCCATTGACCGGTAATCATTTTTGAGCCATCGCCTTGTTTCTTCAGTAGTACACAAGCAGCAAAACAATGATCTAAATCCCAGAAGTATACAGAAGAAATTCCTCCTTCGAAATACATTTCCCTATATTGGTCGAAAGCTTCATTACCTTCTAACTCCATTTGTCTTAATCTATTCGACGGGACAGTACCATCGTCCAAAGGAGGAAAATAACTATTAGACCAAGGTGACCTATAAGAGTCTCCATCTCTATTATAATCGCAAATCAAGAAGTCTTTTCCTATAACCGTATCACGCATAATTTGTAGGGGCCTGTCAACAGCGGCAAGTAAATCTTCCAGAATATCTGGGGCTAAATCAATTATTTTCTCTATATTATCATCAACTTTTTGAGGGGGAAGCCTCCGGAATAAGTCTAATGCGGAATCTAACTTTTCAGCCTGTCGATAAAGAAATTGTTGTTATGTAATTACAGAGAGGAAATTAGTGACAATATATCTAATATCATACAAAATACCTAATAATCAACAAACAAAGAGTAAATTTTGAAATAATTAAATTGAAAACAATTTTTAAATGAATTTTTAATTCTATATTTAAATATGTTGATCTCTAATTAAAAGCTCTTTATCCTTCTGAAACTTTCCGTGAACCGGTGGATAATTCAGGAAATGAAAAGGTGAAATAATTTTTTGAATCATTGCATTAATAATTATTTTTTGTCCGAATAAAATATAGGAACTCATGCTTATTAAATAGAAAAATGATAAAACAATATCATTAGCAAAAGTCTTACCATTTTAGCTTCTTAATACGTTATTTTACTCCCACCTCCTATAGAAAAACCGGATATAAAATTATCGGAAGTTGTTATGTTTTTGATATGGAATCCTGTACCGTTTACACATCCGCTATGGGAAATACGGCTCAGAATTCGCTACCTTACTATAACAACCACGTGACTTTAAAAAACCTTATCAGTGGACAAAAGTTTTTAATACACCGCTATGTTTTATATAGGTTTTTTTTAAAGGATATCCAATCCTGATAAAGCATTCTTCCGAATTTATGATCAGTTTCCTAAAATAGATGAAGTTATTGATATATTATTGCGATTACAAAATACAGTAAAAAGTATCCTCCGTTCAAGAACTTTTTTATTAAACTTTAATTGTCAATAGAATTAGCTGAACAATCACATTAAATATATTAATTATTTCCTTATTTTTCAGTTTGTTGTCATAAATTTTTTAACTTTTAGTATTAACAATAAATAACAATGGTAAGTTTGAATGAATGTTTTCTGCGTTCAAGTGATACAGCATAATAGGCTAGTCAATTTACGATTGATCTAAACAAGAATATCGAAGTTAAGCCAGTTAAAATGGAACAAACATAAAGAACACCCCTTAAATATTTATTATGTTTGTAGGGATCATAGATAGTTATTATAAAGTCGTCACTTTGACGGAAAGCTTCGCAAATTCGTCTAGCCGATCTATGAGAATCGGTAGCTATAGTCGCTGAGTTTGCGTCAATTTTACGTATGTTAACAAAACCGTATGAACCCAAGATTTTAGTTAAATCTTCAATCGAAGTTCTATTTCCGTAACGTAAAATTTTAGCATACAAGTGAGGAGGTCTTCTGCTTGAGGGTTCAACCCCGATTATATTCAAATGATCCGATTTAGCTTGTATAAGATTAATGCGATTTTCACAATTTTTAACGGAAGATAATAACTCAATAAATCTCATGGGCCCAACTTTTGATAATGCGTTGTCGTGTTGAGCTAGAACATGTGCTAATCTTAAGAACACATCACAGCAAATGTATGCATCGCAACCTGCCTCATGTAGAACAAGTTCCGTTTCGTATTTCTTATTCTTTGTATGACGAACACGAGGTTTGTTCAATAGCTGATCACCAGCGTTAACGAGACTTTGATGAAGTTCGATAAGACCGCCTGTTGTTTCAATCTGATAGGTTTTGAGAGTTTTTACATTCCTGTAAGAAATCTAAAGAATAAATAAAATAGATTTATTAATAGAATACATGCATACTATTGAATATGTTTTTAAATAAATATAGAATATGAATAATTACTTGTTTTGTATCATAAATAATTGGAAAAAGTTCGTGTAATTCGGCTTTAAACAGCTTTAAACTATTTGGTAAAGATTTATAGCATTTTTCAAACAAAAATATAAGATCAGCCAAACAGTTGTGTCCTATTATTGGTTTTTTTGCGGCTATCATCTCTCTAAATACGGTTGTAAAGCCAAGGATTCTTTCAGTTTCGATTTCGGAATTAATAGATTCCTTTAAAGCTCTCACGTCTTTTTTATTCTTTTTTATAACCTGAACATAGCCTTGGGCAGAGTCATAGGTCCAAACGTTATTGAATCTCTCGCGTATTTCTTCATGTAAAATCTCACCAAAGGCTTCCTGGCGTTCGGCAATTGTGATAGACTCTCCTTCCTTAGCGTTTGTTACCCATTCGCTAATCATTGAGAAGATAGTATTTACGGAATGGCTTAATCTCCTATTACTCTCCCAATAGAGCTCTTCTTCGTTATCATTCATAAGCGAAATACCATTCATCCATTTTTGCATATCGAATCCTAAATAATTGTCAACATTCAGTTTCTTCTATTCAATAGAAAAAATTGAAACTTACCATTTCTTGTTAGAAATTCTAACGCTTCCGAATCAACCCTAAACTGTCTTCGTAAACGGTTAAATGTTAAAGGGAAAGTGTAAAAATTATAACAAGTAACAGTAAATATCCCTGGAGATTCTTCTTTAAGACAACAAACGCCTGCCTGAATTATTTCAAATGCTTTCGCAATTTCGCGAAGTTTACGATAACGGTCTTGAGCAATATCGAATAATGAAGTCGATTCAACATTTTTTATATAAATTCCTGAAAATTCGCAATCTATTGCTAAGGCTATAGATTCCTGTATGTCCCTACGAATTTCCGGTAGTAATTCAATAAAGTTGCTGTTTGTAATGTCGCACATAGTCGGTCTATTTCTTAAAAGGTAAGTTATTTATTTATTAAAGCCTCAAACAAATTTTTTTAAATTTGGGATAGGGAGTAAACCTCGTTGTATGAAACTTTTTACCAAAGAACACTGAATAAAGATAATTAACACCCTATCAATTTTTTCCATCCTTAAAGTGATAGTGGCTCCCTCTATAGTGACATATTAAGTCATTCTTAAACGACTTTGATGCATAGCAATCTTTGTTTTCAATTAAACGTTCATTTGTGGCGTATTAATTTATTAATGATTAATAAAATCATATTGCAATACTTTTCCATTTGAGTATTTAAATACGCAGAATTTTATCATTAAAATGGTAAATAATACAAAATAAAGAACATTTTCGTAGGGTGAGAAGAATAAATTATATATTCAGGGAGCTATTTAGTTGCCATCGTGCCTAAATTAGGTAATCAGCTACAACTGTATTGCAGAACTATTCCATTATCACTAATTCACGAGAAAGGAAAGGGTTTGTCCTATATCAGAAAGAGACAAAAAATCAAGAGATTCCTCCAGGATCTTTCGAATACGAATACGAAAAATAGATTTTTGAGAGAAAAACCAATATATCATTAAGAAATGTTCGAATAATTAATATGTAGAATAGAATAAGTGATAGAAGAGATAGGACATTCCCTCTAGACATAAATTATAGAGCAAATGAAAGCAGAAAAATAAATAATAATAACTAGAGTAACTGTAATTATAGATATATTATTATAGATGTAGATTGCTCTGAAAAAGAGCCACTTCCCTTGTACTGAATAAATAAAGACTAAGATTGATCAACTGAAACATTTTAGCAAAATAGAACCATCATATATAATACAATATCGGCTATAAAAGCAAGGAAACAAACTATTTTTAGATTGTGTGTACGTGTATGAGATTGTTATGTGTCACTTTAGAAGAATAAATACAGCATATAAGAACAGATTATTATTTTTTTAAAAACTATTTAGAGATATTAATCCTATTTTCTCCTTGTTAATCTAATCGATAGTATTATACCTATCAGAAAATTAGGATTTATCGAGAAAAGTAGCAATATATAGTATATTTATGTAGATATATATATATGTCTATAATGTACAGCATATGCCAAAAGAAAAAAAATCCAAAAGAAATCAAACACCAAATGGATTTGGGCCTGTGACCCAGCTAAAAAAGTATTAGGCCCATAATATTATACCCAAATAGCCCAAATAACATTGTTAATACAATTTATCATTGTAAACCTATCTATCAGTCTAATAATAGCGGTATTCAGTTTATTGAATATTGCACAGTCTTTTTTTGTATACAAATGAAAGTTTCTTTCCTGTTAGAAAACTTATTAGTTTAAAAAAATTAAAACTAGCGAAAACTTTAACAATATACATAAAAGAACCTTATTCAGAATATTTATGCAAAATTATTACCTAACCTTTCACGGCACCACGGAAATCAAATGAAAGAAAAATAACATAAAGGAAAGAATTGACTTTTCTACATCTACACTCAACGATACAGGCGGAATAAATTGTGAATTAACACATTTTATAAAAAATTGTTTAATAATTGAATGGTAAACGCTAAAGATGGGGGCTGATGTATCATTTTTTTTTGTGTTGCAATACATTAAGTATTTTAAGTATAGAACTCTTGAGGGAAGAATCAATGGAATGAACAATTATTTTTTTTCTGTTTACTTCAACAGCATGATTATACTGTATGTATATAATTACAGTATTCTTATACGATTATCAAAAGTGAACATTTGGCTATTTTACAATTAGAAATTTCTACAATCCGCCCAGAACCGACAAAGAATTTCAAAACCGATATTCTGACATAACTTGAACTACCGTTATACAAAAACACAAGGATTTTAAAAGGTCAATTTAGAATAATCATTAAAAAATAGTTACATGTATAATATATATACTGTATATATACATATATACTGCATATATGGATATATACGTAAAACTACATACAAATTAATTTACATGAAATGTACAGACAAAAAACAGTTTTCTTAAACCCACCAATTTTGGAATCTTCATGAATCCGTTATATCAATAAACATCTGTTTATCCGCGTCTATTCTCTCCAAACGGAATAACTTAACCTGACCAAACTTCCCACCCACCGCACAGCGATCCGTTTGTTTGTGTATGCTGATGATATTCGGTCTGATTATTTCAGATTGGGCGGTTGGCAACAAGCTCTGGAGGACAATGCCGGATGGTCTCCAGACTTCGATAACCCCACAAGACTGATCGACAATAAACATGTTACCCACACTGTCTGAGGAGATGCAGTGAGGAAGAGAAATGGCTGAACTTTGAATGGCAGACGGCTGAAGCGTATGTGACCAACAGCCCTCTGAATTGAAAACATGAATGAGTTTAGCGTGACAATCTGTAACGTAAAATGAATCATCATCAGCTGCTGTGACGTATAATGGCCAAAGAAATGAGTGATGTGGTGGAGCTTCAATATCCTTGACTTTATTCCCATCAATGCCATAGATTCTAACTTGTTTTCTTCCCGGATCCGTCAGAACAAAATTGCCATTAGATAGCGAGGTCATTCCGGTTGGCTGAAAGTCATCACAAGACCATTCGGAGCACCAAGTTCCATCGGGTTCGTAGAGATGCACCTTATCAAACTGCCTGCACGCTATAGCTATTCTTCCATCCTTCAAAAATGTAGCACAGCCAGGTAGAGATACCTTGTCCAGTTCTTTCTTAGGCAGAAGATTTGGTTTACACAGAATAGCAGCTTTTGTAGTGCACACAATAATTTTGTTATCAGACATAACTATGTCCCACACCCCACTTCCAAAGTTTCTATCCGACATAACCTGAAGAATATAATTCTCATTCCTTCTCTTTCCACCGGGGCCCAGTTTAATCGGAGGAACTATTCGCTGGCCTGAGCCATTATTTTCTACTTCTTCAACGTAATCTGTAATATTTTCAACAGGCGTTTCTTTCTTCTTCTTGTATTTTGTATCATTTCGAACGCTTGGTAGAAATGAATGAATATCGGATGGAATCTTTAATCTGTTTGAAAGATTTAGACGAAAAAAAACTTTAAAACTTCGTTTATAATTTTAGAAATGATAAAGAATAAGTATTTAATGAATAAATAAGCATAACATATCATTCAGTGGATAAGAATTTTCGTACTAAAAATATACGAACATGGCGCCTGAAGAAAACAAGACAACGTTTGACTCTCAGTAAACAAGATAAAACAAGAGATGTCAAAAAGGGTTTATTTTAAGTTATATAGACAAAAGCTTTTGAATTGTAAAGAAATAGATTCCGTTTAATCCTCATATCTAAGCCAAAATAATGTAGTTTACACCTGATTCTAAAAGTACGTCGTAAATTTGCTTCCATGACCACTATCAAGGTTAATCAAAGTCTTCTTCAATTTTATACTAATAGAACAAGAATAAATATAGATTTTCGAATTAAAAACAGACGATGTAATTAAATAGAAAGTTCAGTTCGAACATGACTACTAAAGATTAGTTATACAATCAAAATGGTTTCTTAGTAAAGAAGGACTATCTATATTTTTGTCTAGGTAAACCAACCTTTTAAGTCCATCATTCTTTTCTACACTTCTAGAACCTTTATTTAGTCGAGCAGACATTCGATTTTCTCCCCCGATCATTGTGGTAGGTGTGGAGTAGGATCGTTTGAAAGGTACAGAGCTTCGGCTGAGACATCCTCCACGACCACATCCTCTCCCTCCTCTGGTCGGCGGCATTTCTTTAGGATTCTATGAATAATACAAGATTAAACATGCTGTTTTCTAATCCAACTGCCGCCATACTGGTTCTACAACGGTTTCGTGGGCAGTGCTTTTTTGTTCTTAAATTTCGGAATTTTTTTCTCAAATTTTTTGTATACAGTTGAATCACGATTTATTCTTTACTTTGCAATAAATGAAATTAATATAAAATAATTCCTTAGTGTGTTTTCAACACTGTCCAGGAAGCATAACAGGCATAACAAAGACTCTTTAAACAGTATGAAAATGGCCGTTTTGGCACTTTTTCATTTACCTATTGTCTTCCGAAAGTCTATTAAGACTAGCTGATCGACTTGAATAGTGGTTTTAAAGTTTCTACATTAACATATATAATTATTGTACAACGACTTGTTCCCTGCTCCGTCACGTAGGCTTTTTACCAAGTGCGCATGCGTGCCTCATTTGCATTTTAAATTTGGTGACGTCATTTCAACTCATGTAAACTGGTGGAGTTTTCCTGCGGATGTTTCGCTCGAAAATATATAATTAATAACAGGACAAAGGATTATCTTCTTTTAGCGCCAAAACTGTTCTTTTTCTTATTTTTTCCGACTGCATATGATCAAAAATTGTTTTGAGCGAGATTTTTTATACCCTGACATCGACTATTTATCCTATCTTTCGTTAGAAGACATGCCTGCAGTCAATCTGAGTTTTCGGATTGCTCTACAATGAACAAAATCGTGATTTCTACTATTTTTGTTTTTTGGTGCCTAAACTTAGGTCTGCTAGTTGTCATCAAGTATTGACATTTTTTATCAAAATTTGCTTTCAGATTTGATTACAAGCGGCCCTGTTATCAAGAATGATCGGAAGAAAGACGAAATTGAAATGGGTAAATATCTCTTAAGCATCTCACTAAGCTTAGTTATAGGCGTATAACGCATTTGGATAAATAATCTAACTAAATATTAAGTGTCCAAAATGTGGTACACGGTTAATGATCGATGTATGTACTTTTATTTAAAACGTTTCAAAGGGAAAAGTTTCTTAAAAAACAAAGAACATTCCAACTGTAAGCTAGGACTTATTTAATAAAACGAAAAAAAACGTCAATATGGCAAAGCAGATTAGACTGTAAATCTATTGACTAATTTCTCATGCATGCCTTTCGCCTATTTCCTTTTTCAGTAGCGAAGAGGAAAGAGCCTGTCGAGAGAGCTCCAATAGACGATGACGGTTTGTGGTGGAAATCTCGTGTTATTATAGCGTGTACCGGTAAGTAATCGTATACAGTAACGAGATATATAAGCCCAAAATATATGATTTCTTTTTTTTTTTAACGATAAAACTTTCGAAAGTTATTCTACTAATTAGTATAAAAATTCTCAATGAAAAAGAACTCAACGAAAACACAAAATTCAGCCTAGTAGTTTAGTACATTGGTTTTTAAAAATTACATTTAACGCCTACGAAGTTTATCACACCCTTTTTTATAGAATCTATTTTTAAATCGTATTACCATTCGTTCAAGAATACAATTGCTGTTAATTAGATAGCCAATACTATTGCTAATAAAATGGAAAACTCACACTTCCCTCACCCCCCTCCCCTCTCCACGTGATAAAATGAAAGTTGTAATTGGCTCCAAAATAAATAAGAAATTTTATAATTTATTAAAAGATTAATGCTTATCTTTGAAACAAACTGTTACAAGCTTTACGATTCCCAAGTTGAAATATTACATAGGCAAAAAAGTTTGGTTTAAATAAATAAAAAGAAAAACCCCATAGCTTAGTCTTTCAACAACTGCGCCCCCTCTCTCTCCTCCCTCTCTACCACACCCCTACAACTGACAATCTTTGTTTATAATATGAAGAAAAATGCGAAATTTCCTCTCTTTAATTAACTTACCTTTTCCAATAGACTTGTTAATTGTGATAAATCTATCGAAATTCTAACCATATTGATGAAATATTCTTTCGTTAGATCTGGAATTTTGCTTTCATTTTAATTAAAAATTGTGTCTTTTTTTTTTCCTAAACAGTAATTGCCTCCTTGGAAATTGTTATTGTAATTGTCATGATTATATATTGGCGACAAATTCGATTCTATTTTACTAAAATTCATTGCCCATGTGATGTAAGTTTTTATTATTGTTATTTTAAAATTATTGTTATTAAAAGTAAAATAATTGTGCTTTTATTCTATTAAATACAGGACTATCTGTATGAAAGGAGAATGAGAAGAGAATTGAATAGGGTTGTGCCACCTTCCGACATCACTATGGAAGATAGACAAAGTCGAAGGACTTCCCAGAGGCCTATACCTACTGTGCAGCTACAAGCAAGGGCGCTTTTGGTTAGTTTTGGAGTGTTTATTTTTTTTATAGCATTATACTCTTTCATTATAGGCATTTTGTTAAATGATGATAAAATTTATTGGGCATTTATTTGATTGTAAAAGTCCCTTCCACTTCTTTCAGTTGCCCCACTTAGTATTCTGTTCTTTATCGTTTTTTTCTCACTACCTATTCAATACCATTTTTATTGAAACTTTTTAACCATAACAGAATAATCCTTCGTCCGAACAACGTAATAATGCTTCTGAGGAATCAAATCAGCAAAGCGTTAGCGCTCAAGTTCACAGAGAGGCCGATCTTGAAGGTGAGCATGCGCAAATAGTTCGAAGGTCTATACGCTAGTTCACAGCCATACTTTCTCTTAAAAGTAGTCCAATAAGATAGGATACCTGTTTAATTTTGTCAGCTCGACAAAAATATAAACATTACCTACTAACAGTAGCAATAGCTATTAGTATATTCTGTATAAAAGAGAGAAAATTATAAAAAAGATAATTGAAAGTTAAACTTTATTTTAATGCCATTGTCTTCCTTAGAAAGATATTTTATTACTCTTTAAAACGAAATATATATTTATTATTTCTAATTTTTAATTTATAATAAAATCAATACGTTATAGGCGTAAGACGCCTCTTTATATAACGGTTAACACATGTTTCTAATATACAATAATATTTTATTAGTATATCTCGATTATTCTAATTTTTAACGATCTTTTTATTACAGATTCGAGTCATTAGCTATTATATATTTAAATACTCTTTATAGCCAAATAATTTACAACATACAGCGTTGTAAAACCTTTAAATTAATAATTTGTATCGTAGAGGTCTTTTTTTTTGTATAACTAGGAAAAGAATAAAATAAACAAATAAACAATTGAATTAATGATAGGATATTAAATGATAGATGACTACTTTTATCAACAAAATTCAGTCACTGAAATAGTTGTTATTACTGCTTTTATTACTGATTTTAAAAGATTTGCTAGCCTAAAGGAAGTAATTGGAGCTACAGCTATTTATTTTATAGAGATTTTTCGTTTAAATTAACAAAAACAGAAACCCAAATTTTATCATTTCCGTTAAAATTTAACAGAAACTGAACATCCTTCCATAACACATTCCACAAATGTAGAAAGCTGCAATGAACAAGACACATTCCGTGACTTAAGTGTGAGCGATATTAGTGACGAAGAATTCGAAAATCAAGCTGATGGATTCCTTAGCAAAAAAGGTTATGAAAATGCAAGTTTTGAAGAGGAACCTTCATCATCATCATTGTCATCTATTAAAAAAACTATGCCTATAAATAAAACCAAAGAACCTGAATGCCTTCATAGACTTCTTACAAAATAGAAAAACATTTTCTTTACTGATTTCTAGAAGAAGAAAAGAATTTAAAAAAAAATAAACGGCAAATGAGAAAAATGAAAGTAAAAGTCTCTTTTTGGTTGGAATCAAAAAAAAAACATCTCTCTAGAAAACGAAAATAAAACAAAAACTTAACAACGTGAATATAAATCAAAAATTCGTGTTGTTTGGAAAAGATAGGTCACTTTTTTTTTTTTTGCGGCTAAATACTTAATCGCTCTTTGTATTTTCTCTCCTCGCGTTTAATTTTTGTAGTATTCGCATGCCATTGTTTTTTCGTATTATTTTTCAGTTTTTTTCTTTTTTTTTGTATTGCTGATATACCTGGTGCTGTCATTCATCGCAAATATAAGGCAGTGTTATTTTTTTCAGTTTTTTTTTTTGCAATGAATGTTCTATCCATTTTCATGTTTCGCTTGTTTTATTCTTTTTTATCATTATATAAAATAGTATATATATATATATACATATATGTATAAGTGTTTTTATATTGAATTGGAAAGAATTCTATTGGTATTATAGAAAGAGAATTGTTCCATTTTTATCGGCGGGAAAAGTTACATTGATTGTTTACCTCTTGTTTTTATTGTTTTCCTCAAAATTCTTAGAGGCCATTTTTTTTCGTAGAAAAGAAAAAAGAAAATATTTTGTACAGTTATTACTGGAAATCAATTTTTAAAAAGAATAAATGTTAAAAAAAAGAATTTTTTAATATTAATAATGTGGTTCTTTTAATTGAGCGATAATTGCCCACTTTAAAACTTTTAGGAAATCGACTTTTTTTTAATTTTCTTTATTAATAATCATTTAACATCATCGATAACTAATAAATTTTTTTTATTGATGGTCAATGCATAAAATGTATAATATTATATGTTTTATCGCTTAAAATTTCTTCAATATATACAAAATTATTCTTTTTGTATCCATAAAAGTATAACCTCTTCTTAAACTTCCGTCAATAGTAATTAATGATCTTTTAATCGACTAAACAACAGCAAATGTATGTCCAAATACAAGCAAAACAACAACAAGCATCTGAATCAGCCTGCGCTTGTGCCGCTCTCTGAGCAGCTCCATCATCAACAACGACTCTAAAGAAAAATATATAATCATTAATCTTGATACAAAAGAAAGGAAGTAGAAATTTTATATTACTAAAAGTTCTTGTTTTTATTAAAATTGTAATAACAATAATAATTATAATAAATAAATAAATTCCCTAAGAAATTCGATGTAAATTTGGTTAATTATCAAAATTTGAAGTGATATTGACTAAATTGGTAAGTAAAAAAACGATAATCTCACTTCATTCGTTCTACCTATGAAGCTTATCTTTAATTTTGTTTTTTTGTATGTGTGCTTTACGTCAGAATAGAAAAAAAAAGCCTTTATAGTTTTAATTATATGAGAACTCGATATGGACATTCAATTAAGATTAAAGGAGAATATTATATTGAATAATTAATAATAATAGTAATACTTGTTACTATATGATATCAAAATCCTTTACTGGTGATTCTAAATTTTGAATGACTCATTGTCATATCGTTATCAAAGGAAATTGCAGACAAAATATGAATATGGAAAAAGAAATTGTTATCAACTGTAGCTCAACTTACACTGTTGTCGGTTGTTGCTGTTGCTGTCCTCCATGATGGTAAACGGTATGGTGTTCATGGATAACTTGTGATGGTGGGGCTTGGGGGGCGTAACCTTGACCATATTGTGGAGGATAATTTTGAGGAGGAGGATATCCTTGATTTGGAGGATAGGCTGGCGGATTATGAGGATTGTAAGCCATAATTTATCCTAAAAAACTTTATCCTGAAACAAATAAAAATTTAATAAAAGTTGACTCTGCAAGAAATATTTATTATAACTTAAGTAGATTATTAAAGTCATTTCTCAAAAATTCTGATAATCAAGATTTGAAAGTTGAAAAGTTTCCGTTAATTTATCAACGGAATGAAACATTTCAATACATATATATATATACTAATATATAGATCTCTAACAGCTTTTGTATATACATATATATATATGTATACATCTATATTATGGTTGCTTACCTGCAGTTGTCTGACTAACTCAAAACTAACTCTGTTAACTCTTATCTTTCTTCATTGATTTAAAGATAACGAATGCGTGTGTTAATTATCTTTATCACTAGGGCCTATATATGATATTGAGAAGAATGACTAAAAACTGGAAATACCATGTATACGAACAACTAACTTATTACATTTATTTGATGAGTCATTAGTTATCTTGATATTGTTAATATTCATTAGAAATTCATTGTTATATATAATTTGCATTTATTGCAGTTTTTATTAACATCTTTTACTGATATTTGTAAATAGTCAAGGAAATTATATTTTTTGTCCTTTTCATGTATTGATGAGATAATGTCCTGTATGTTGAACTGCTGATAACGTTGCCATTGAATCATCAACTATTACTAACCATCTCTCTTTGCTTATCATCACTTCTAATGAAGGTAAACTGTACAGTTTTCTCAGACTTCTTTATTAAATCAACCACGCTGAAAAGAGTTATCTGTTTATTCTCTAAGCCTATTTAGATTGTTATTTCCTCGCCCAAATACAATGGTTGTATAGTATACATATGTACGTAATATGTGTACCATACCATCTAAAATGTAGGAAAACAAACCTATTGTACGCCAATCCCTCAATATCAACATTATTCACAATGATTAATTCATCTCCTACACATATTCCACTCTTTATCGCCTCGCCATTAGGAAGTACAATTCTAACAAATATTCCACACCTTTTTAAACTTGTAAACTAAGAAAAAAAATAAATTTAATTAATCACGTGATCAAGTTAAACAAGTATAATTTGATTCATTGCGCGAAGATGAATTTATATATACAAAAGTGAGGAGGAAAGAGAGAAAGAGAGTAAGAGAGAGAGAGAGAGAGAACACGTGATTATCTTTGTTAAAAACTATATTCATCAAAGTAAAATAAGTAAGATATTATAAGAATTATAGACATAAAATGAAGAAAAGAATAGATTATAGTTCATATTCACACAAATTTCAAATTAGTTCATTTAATAGAAAATATGTAGAGAGTAGTTTTTCAATAAATATTTAAAGTAACACACTTTTCACAAAAGCGTTTTTTTTTAACAATAATTCTCTCTTACCATTCCATCAATTAGGCCTAATCCAAATCCATTTTTACCCTTACGTAATTGAACATTATAATACCTTTGCCTTTCTTGTCCTTGTTGTAGTTTTTTGTAGAAAAAAATAAGAAAGAAAAATACAGATACATATAAAGTATATATACGACAATAAGAAAAAGGGTAGTTAGAAGACGATAACAGGGAACGATAGTATGTGCTATGGTTACGCTGTATAATTCTCATTGACTTGAAAGAGTTCGCCAGCCTGTCTAAGCATAATCATTCTCTGTAAAGGAGTTGGGTTATTATGATCTAAAACTCTATTATCGATAGAGGAACGTCTGCTTTTTAGTTCCAGCATTTCTATATTAATATCGCTAATTGATTTTTCAGAGTTAGAGGAAAGTACTGACTCGGTTGGAGAGTTTAAAGTATTTCTAATATTTACGAGAGAAATTCCAGGCACGCTTAGACATGATTTACCTGATGATGAGCTTGTTTCAATTTTCGTTTCTTCATCTTTTGCTGTTTCTGATAAACAACTAGACACCGACGCTTTTTTCTTTCGTTGCGGGACAACCAGTTTCTTCTCTTCTACTTCAGAGTTAACCTGATCGCTCGTGTTTTTCTCTTCTTCTTCTCGTTCTTGTTTCGTGACATTTGAACTTTCTGTATTTAGTTTTTTGTGGTTCCTCAGTCTAGGTGGTCTGATTGGTTGAGGTGAAGAAATAATAACTTCTGGCATATTGTCTATTTGTTTAGTTGAAGAGGGAATTTCAAAACAATTTTCCGAGTAAGACATTGACCTGGAAGGAAGCTCTAACTGTTCTACTCCAAGATTTGCTTGTACAGCTGACGATGCTCGAATTCTGCAAGAGAATTCCGGAGGAGTAAAGCTTTTTTCAATTTCTCCTAATTCTTCATCGACGATCGGTGCAGCAAAATCTGTTGTGCTAGAGAAAAAAGTTAAATCAGCGTTGATAGCCGACTTTGATGATTTCCTATTATATTTTGCTGTTATTAAATTATCATTGAAAGAAACCAAAGGAACTCTCGATAGAAGTTCGTAAAAAGATTTATCTTCAATTCGGGCATATAAATCTAAAACATAGCCTCTTTTCGGTATTAACATTGTCGGATAATTGGTGAAAGTTTCAAAAATAAGATCCTCATCTTCAGCTAGAAGAAAATTATCTGGCCTCCACGAATCGGGCCTTTTCCTATTATTTTTCAGCTGATAATTTTTCAAGATGAAATTCAATTGAGCAGGATGTAAAGAAGGGCATTTCTTCTTCAATTCAAACCAACTATTCTATAAGTGAAGGTAACTTTTGCAAAACAATAAAAAAAGGCTAAGTCTTATTGTATAAACTAACCCTTATAAGTACAATATGTGACGTACACAATAGATTACTTAATTCTATCAATTTCTTCATTCTATTTATAACTTCAACTTGAAATTTATTCTTATTGGCCCATTCAAGTATTAAATCCAAACGAGACTTTAAATGAACACCGAAATCCCACGTAAAATTTTCTTCTATTAAAGAATAGTTCCTTTTCAATATTCTTATTATAGAACAAACATTTTAAATTGACAAACCTTGCTTAAATATTTCATTTAAGAGTGTTGCATTAGTAAAAAAGAATATAAATTCAAACATTTGATGAAGAATATCTTGATGGATAAGGTTTCTTTCGGACATTTGAAGTATTTTTTGAAACAGGCTTATCATAGGGCTAAATTCTTCTTCATACTCGTCCTCTTGACATTTTCTATAATTCTCTACTTGAACGGTTTTAATAAGATAATTATATAATAGACGAGTAGTATAGAATATTAATGATTGAATAGTATGAAGTACAACTTCGGTTAATAACGTTTCTACTCTCTCTTCAACATTCTTTAAATGTTCGTCTTCAGGATGCAAAGATACTGAGGGATCCATTAAGTATTGAGTTATATTTTGAAGAATAAAGAACCGTACTTCAGAACTATTCGACGACCATTGCATAAGCCTATCCAAGTCATTCTCCAGATGCTTTATCTTGTCATCGCTAACCACTTTCTTATATTCTTCGGCCATCGTATCAATTAAATTCTATAGTAAAAGAAAACGCAGAATACATTAACGTTACACTATATTGGGGAATTATATGTCTTTTAGGCCTACCACAACTTCGTTATGAACATATTCAGCGATAGTAAGCAAGAGTTGTCTTGTTTTACTTTGTTCCTTATGTATTGCATAGTATTCGATGGTCATTGCTAATATATAAGCTGGCGTTAGTTTGTAACCATGATTTCCTAGTTTAATAAGATTGAACGTATATTCAAGAACGCTTTCCACATTATCCGTATCAAAATTCATCTTGAATCTTTTGTCATCTTTATCATAGAATTCACGTTTCATTGTGAACCATCTTTCAACTAATTCCTCTTTACTGTATTCTTTTAAATCTTCCTCAAATGATAATTCCCTTAAGTACTGTCTGTCTGTAGTAGGTTGCTTTGGGTCCTATTGCAGGTTTTTTGTATATATACATATATAAATTTATATATATATGTGTGTGTGTGTGTTAAGAGAGGAATGGGAGTCAGTATAAAATGTATGTTTATAAATGAGATATTAATAAGATTATTATCATTATCCCATTCCCCTCTTAAACCTTAAAAAGGAATGAATATATATTTCCAAATTGAAGAATATCCCCTGAGTATACATTTGTCGAATCTTTTATTCGGCGACCATTTATACGAACTTGGCAATCGGCCAGAGGTTCTACACTTAAGTATACTTGTTGATCTTCTCTGTGAACTTTTAACCAACAGTGACGCCGTCCAACTTCTGGACTATAGAGTCTTATGTTGCATCCATTTTCGTCGTTACCAACAATGAGAACAGCGTTGTTCAATGGATAAATAACTTTGTCTACATTCTCATCTCTACCAGTCAAAAGAAGGAGATAAGGCTCTTCGGTAGGCATCATAACAGTTTTATAATTGGATGGCTGATTGTCTAAAGAAGAAATGGCTTCAACGGCATCCTCCAATTCTAAAAGAAAGGTTTTAAATGCCAAAAAAAGAAAAACAAAAGTAAAGAACAAAAGAGGAGCGAGAGCGCGCGAGCGCAAGAGAGAGAGAGCGAGAGAAAAAAATAAAATAAAAGAGCAGGACTTATACGATCAATAAACGAAAAGTACTTACGACTATTTCGTCGTCTCTTAACCTCTTTAACACGTAATTCAAATTTTCTACAGAAACCAGTCTGAGGTTTAAAAAACTTCTGTAAAGCTAAAGGTTTCTCGTAACTACCAAGCTTCCTTGAGCACTTTTCAACCCATCCATACGCACTTTCCCTACCAATTACCTCAAATAGTTCATAATCGTCAGCCTCACATTCACTAATAGTATACTTTTTCAAAGATTCTATTAATACTCGACCAACGTTGGTTTCCTCATCAATGGCAATACTTTTATATTGAACACCATCAGATGAGAAATTTGCAAAGACTTTAATAAAATTAGGCTCCGTAGACGGACCAATATGTTTATCCGTTTTAGGTTGTTTAGGTAGTTTATACTCGTACTTACTATTCATTGAAAATGACCATTAAGAAGGTAGGATTGGCATAAAAAAGAAAAAGTAAAAAAAGAATGAACGTTTCTGCAGGTTTTAATCAATCTAGTTGAGTCCATGAGTTATAATGAATTTTTAAAAAAATCATATCCATGAAAGGATTTTATGATATTTAGGTTTTAAAAAATATAAAATCCTTTTTTTTTTTACTCTAAAAATTAGGCCTAAGAGATATTGATTAATTCCACCAAATATTAATACTTAGTACTAATAGTCTATAATGCGGCACTCGATCATTGAAAAGCGTACAAACGGCCATGAAATAGAGCCATTTTACTCCATTTTTTCCACCCCCTGTTGTTAATCGATATGTATACTTAATTGATTTCTCATTTATCGTCGATTGACTGTTAAAACATATATGAATCTATACCTTTGTACTAACATTTCTAGGATTATCTCTAGATATATAGGAGAGTAAAAATATATATGTTCTATTCTATTATTCTTCTTGTTCTTGTTCTTATTCTTCTTTCTCTTTGTAACTTAACTTCTTTTTTAACATTATAAAGTTCATTATTTATTTAAAATATACAATTATAAAATATACACGAATTATTAGTTCTCATATTCATTGCTATGCTGTTATCAATTGTAAATAGCCGGGAAGAAAGAATGTGGAATACAGAAATAATTATTCGTCTCATTTAAATAGATTATTAATTCTTTAATTGAATATTCATGAGACAGATTTTATTTTTTGAAACAAATTTTTTTTTTCAGTTTGTTTTTTTTCTAAAGAGTTGTAAGACCTTGCGAATAGTAGTCGCTATCTTTTAGATCACTGTCGTAAGCCCTGTTATCGTAGGCAATAGAAACCGGTTGTTTTTCGATAACACTGTCTTCTTTTGTCGGGGTTGCAATTCCATTCTCTTCTGCTCCTTCAAGTAGATGAAGTGGAATGTTTTTCATTTCGATGGGAATATCTTCGTCATTCCAGGTCATACGACTATGAATTGCAAGTGCGACTAATAGAGCTGCCATAAGAGGGAGGGAGGTAGATAATCCGACTATTGTGGCTTTCTTATACTTTCTCCAAAGGTTACCAAAATAATAGCCGTTATAATTGAGACCTTTCTTAATTACGAATTCCTCTCCATTGGTAAGAGATCCAACGCAATAGTAAAAGCCAAAATGCTCCTCCTGAACTTTCGAAATCAGAAGAAATTCTCCATCTTCAATGACTTTAAGGTTGACATCTCCATCAAGCGATTTATAACTCTTATTATAGTTTTTATCGGCAATATCCAAATTTGGAAGGATCCATTTATAAATCGTTCTCTCACTTGGAAGTGATCTAGAATCGTTACATTGCAAACTTATATTGTCGCCAAATCTTGCTTTAGTGTTGAATTCATCATTATCTCCGTATGGACTTTTCATCCAATCATTACTGTACGCAACGGCGAAGAAGCAAAAGAGAAATACCAAAACTTTCATGACTGCCTACCCTATTCCAACGTTTACAATGTTGTGATCAATCTCTTTGTATAGCTTAAGAATTTATAGAATGATAAGATAAGTTTCTGAGATAATCTGTTCTAAAAATTTTCTAGATAATATCCTTAGTTCAAAATAGGCTTACAACAGTTTATTTTGAAAATTAGAACTTGAATAACGAATAAAATAATACTAATCAGTAAAGAAGATTAGAGGGAGAGTGAGAGAGAGAGAGAGAGAGAGAGAGAGAGAGAAAGAGAGAAAACTAGAATAATAGATATAGACAAATTATTCAACTAGTAATTAATATATCTTATAGGTGGTTTTTTATTATTTCTTTAGCTTGATTTATTTCTACGATTTCAAGAATTTGTATTGTAATTTTTAAGAGAAAAAAATTTGATACAACAGATAAGATAAGAAAGAAAAATGTAAACTTTTATCAACTTTCTCTTAGTTACGAAGGTAAAATTTCAATCAAACAAATTAGATTTAATGTATTCAAACTATTACAGTTTGTATGACTAATTTATGCATATAGGTATTTATAGTTTTACCAATAGATTCTATATGAACGATTCCCTTCTCTTTCCCCAGATCAGTAAAAGTTATACAATGCTAAATAATTATATATCCTTTAGCGATCTCTTTGATAAGATAATTCGATAGGAGAACTACGTCACAATTAAAAGGCATTGTGATTTAAGTTTGTCTTATTGGTTTTATTATCTTAATAGCAAATAAAGAGAAAAACGTCTTTCACTACGTTTTAATTAAAAGAACATAAATAAAATCAACAAGAGCTAACAATATAAAAACAAACAAACAATTATCCCTAATTATTCACAAAATGATGTCACGATTCTACAGATATAGTCCTATGTTTCTTTAAGATATGCTCGAATAAGACGTCAACGGCTATTGGTAATATCTCGTCTATCTTTTTAGATTGCAAATTATCAAAACTATTCAAGACGTAGTCGGCTACTTCATTCCTCGATGTAGGCCTATCAATTCCAACTAGTAACCTCGGAGGACTCTGATTATTTATAATATCATGAACCGATCTAACTCCATTATGTCCTCTTGGACTACCATTCTCTTTTAGTTTATATTTACCAACAACCAAGTCTAATTCGTCATGAATCAAGTATAAGTTATGATCAAAGACTTGGTAAATTTTTGAGCATTTCACAATTTTACAACCACAATTGTTCATAAAAGACTTTGGTTTGACTAAGACAAGTTCAATATCATTATTTTTAGGATGAGTCATGGTTCCAATAGAACATGAGCATTTTTTATTCATTTTCATTTCAATGTTATACTGAGTAGCTATGAAGTCTATTAATCTCATTCCAACGCTATGTCTAGTGTTAGGCATGCTCCAGTTTCCTAGGCCAACCAACTGAAATATAAAGCTAAACTTATTACAAATGCTCCATTAATGATAATGCGATAAAATTGATGAAAAAAATTTGGCCGATCATCAACTTTGATCTACTTGGTGTTCATTACGTTGAATAATAATTGAAGGCCAAATCCCTATTTAATTAAATAAATAGATTAGCTACAATTGTACTGACCATATACATGTCATTTCTAGGTGATCTTGCCATTTCCGAATCATTTGAGTAAGCCAATCTATTCCAGTATCTATAGATTGATGTCAGTCGCCTTCTACACTCGGATATAATGATACTCATTGTCGGAAAGACTTTTATAATCGTTTCCACGTGTGGCGCAATAGGTGATTAAAAAGAACCAAACGGAAATCGGTATGTCTGGGGAAATCCCAGGGCGAATCCTTTATTCGACGTAGGCGGAGTCAAAATCGAATAGGCCAAGTGAGTCTTTTTAAGATTTACACTTTGACCCAACATACCAAAGGAACTCGAGTTCATCATAACTATCTCGATCATTGGAGAAGTACTAGCTAACTTTAGCTGCAAATTTAAAAGGGGTAAGTTTATTTAAAAAGTTAAAGTTAGCATTAATCGAATAGGTCTATTATTTTATGCAAATACATGCAGATAAAAAAAAGCAAGTGACGGTGTAGTTTAACTATTCTCCCATCTGTTGAATAATGGTGAGTTTTATAGTAAAATAATGAACTAATTTTGTATAGCATGAGTTAGCTTAATTAAGAGGCAAATTTATTATACCTTTGGAGGTTCAATAAGTATGCTCCTTGATAAAAAAGTTCTAAATTTTCAAGTGGTCTTTTTAATTCGCGATAGACCAAATAATTAGGAATTGGATAAAATGTATAATTTCTATTTCTTTATAGGAATCTGTTAGCGTTGACCCAGCCAAAATAACAGCTTTTCGCGAAGCTTTCCTTAAAGAGAAGGCCGGTAAGATTATTATTTAAAACGTAACTAGGGAGCTTTCATGTGACAATTGCATATTTTATCTTTTTAGACGCTATTAAAAACGACGAATATGACCAGAGAGACATTGATAGAATGAATAACGATGACGATTATGTATCTTGCTTTGTGAAATCTGGAAAAACTGAAGGAGATCCCGTAAAAGGTGTTCAGCTGTTCCACGACGTTTTCACTTATAGAAAACAAATGAACATATGGGGTAAGTGGATTTTATTTAAATTGAAAAAGGCAAGTGTCACTACACTCTTTACATTTCATACAAATCTTTTACAAATTCTACTAAAAAAATTTGGTATGATAGAACAAGGCGATACTCCATTACCGAATTTATTACAATACATTATCTAAAAATGGAGGAAAGAGAACAAAACGGGGTAAAAGAAAATAATGACCTATGGGAAAATATATTATTTTTCTCACTATTTTCCTTCTCTTTACATTTATATACGTTCTGTTTATAGAAATGATATCATAATCATATGACATTAAAATTCTCTTATCTCCATCTTCTTATCATCTGATAAAGAAATATGTTCCCTTTTTTTTGTTTAACCTTCAAATACAACAATATAGGACTATTTTTCATATGAGGAAATGAAATGTTCATTCAAAAAAGAAAGTATGAACATTTGGAAATTTTGTATAATAAAAAGATTTTATCTCTCTTTTTTTATTATTCCACATTTAATTAACTTTTCAACAATTGCATTGTTGAGGGATATTTTTAATTTTTAAATAAATAACTCATAAATTAATATATATTTCTTTTAAACCCTCCCTTCCCCTTATCCCATTCACTCCTCTTCTCTCAGATTTTCTTTCTATTATTTATCATCAGGCCTATGTTAAATATTGATTATTCATTACTTTTATAATACAAATATTAATTTAATAAGATGAATTATAACAGCTAATTATGATATATTTGTTACTAAATTTCCACCTTAATTACATTCCATTTCCAATTAGGCTGTTTATATTTAGAATTATTATTAATTGAAATTATTATATTGTTTTTCTTCTTTTTAAGATTTGAAACGTGAAGATATCAATCCTGAATTATTGGAAAAAGAGATTTTCATGTACAAGAATGTTGACAATAAAGGACAAAAGTTGTGTAAGTACTTTTTGTCTCTTCCTCTACAAAAAAAAAAACTGAGAAAAATTTGTTTTTCTCTTCTATTTGAATAGTTCATTTCCAAGTGGGCAAACACGCCAAAGGAACGTTTACTGATGAGATCAAGAAGTTATTGGCTTTGCTTATGGATGAATTTCATAGAGAGAATGCTGGAAAGAATTGTTTTGTTCTCATCTTTGATTTTACTAATTCCGGATTAAGCAACGCTGTAAGATTACTTCAATTTTACGACACTTATTACTAAGGAAAATGTAATAATCTTTTTATATTTATTATTTAAAGGACTTGGAAATTGTCAAGTACGTTATTAGCTGTGTAACTGTCTACTTTCCAAGAATAGTTGACTACATTCTACTCTTTGAAATGCCATTCCTTTTGGGTGCCGTATGGAAGATTGTTCAAGCCTGGTTGTCGGCTGAACAAAAGAAGTTTATCAAGTTTGTCAAAAAGTCCGACATTAAGCAGTACATAGACGAAGATAATTTAGAAGATCACATGAAAAAGTAGATAGTTTTTGGTTCGAAAGCATTAATCTTTCTTATTCTCTTTGAGTATGCATTCTTCAGCTTTGAATTAATAATAAATTAAATTTGATTATTCCAATATTTATTATTCTCTTGAACATTAAAAGACCAAAGAATATTCATTCACACACTATAAAGTCATTTGGGCCTAAATTTTAGCTTCATTCTTCCATTTGTAAGTTCCTGTATAAGTGAAATTATACTTTTTGAGAAGGTCGTCGGATTCTTTTGGTCCTCTTGATCCAAAGGTGTATTTTACAGGTTTGATCCTCTCTTTGTCAATTTTATGGAGTAACGGTGTAAATATTCTCCAAGCTTCGGCTAATTCGTCGGATCTGACGAAATGGATTTGTGATCCTAAAAATACGTCTAAAATTAAACGTTCATAGGCATCTGGTAATTTCACTCCGGCATAGCGTGATGCATAAGTCCTTAAAAAATAAATAAATCATAATTCATTCTTTAAATTTACAACTTAGTTCCACTTACAAATCAAGCTCAGTTTCTTCACAATCAAAAGAGTTACCCGGCTTCTTTCCCATTATCTTCATATAGACAGCTTCGTCCGGTTGTACACGTATAACAAGTTCGTTTCTTGCTAATTGACCTCGAGTAAAAATATCACCAGAGACATCCTTTAACTGAACTCTAACTTCGGCTTTACGTTCATTTAAAGCTTTCCCGCAACGAAGTATAAATGGAACTCCGTCCCATCTTTCATTTTTGACAAATAAGACAGCGGTAGCGAAGGTTGGCGTTACTGAATCTGTTAGTTTTTAGGCTATTTAATAACTTCTATATTACTTTTAATATATTTGTATATACGTTACCTTTAGAAACACCAGGATCGTCTAAATAACCTGTTCTTGAATCTTCATTAGGTCCATTAGGATCACCCATATATTGCCCAAGAACCACTTCAGTTATTTCAATAGGCTTTATACATTTTAGAACTTTTACTTTCTCATTACGTATATCTTCAGCGTTTAATGATACAGGTTTCTCCATTGCAATCAGAGATAGCATCTGCAGTAGATGATTCTGCATCACGTCTCTATTAACGAGAGAAAAAAATCACAAATTAAAAAACCTCTAAAGGTATAGAAAACTCCAAGAAATGGAAATAATTAAATTTTTAAGTGAAAAAAAAAATAACAATACCTTATTATTCCAAAAGTGTCGAAGTAACCTCCTCTACCGAATGTTCCAAATGGCTCTTTAAATGAAATTACAACTGATGCTATATTATCTCTATTCCACAATGGGGCAAACATTCTATTCCCAAATCTTTGTATGACCAAATTTTGAACCATCTCTTTACCAAGATAATGATCAATACGATATAACTGATTTTCCACAAATAGGCCTATATGAAAAAGAAATAGACTATATATAGTATAATTAATTTGCTTATATTATTATATTGCTTACCAGATAAATGCTTAGATAGTTCAGCTGAAGATTGAGAATCATGTCCAAATGGTTTTTCTACGATGATACGAGTCCAGCATTCCCTAGAGAGTATTCAATGAGTTAATTCTTAACGATAAAGGCGGGAAATTATATTATTTACTTTGGAGCCATACAATAGTCATGTATGTTTTTCGTTATGCTTTGATAGACGGTAGGTGGTAAGGCAAGATAGATAATTCTATGAGCCTTACAGCCTATGCATTATAAAACATAAGGAATATTTAATCTAATCAAACAATTATATTTAATATAATTTTTCTTACTTAAGCCACGTATATGGCTATCTAATGTTTGAAAGTCGGGACCCTTATCGTACGAACCAGCCACGTATGAGTTCATCTTCCAAAATTCTTCCAACACTTCATTTTCATTTGGGCCTACCTTAAAAAAGGGTTCAACTTTCTCACGAAGTTCCAATATTGAAAACTTTGATCGAGCATAGCCAACGAAAAAAGTCTGTTTAGGTATTAACTGATCCTTATAAAGTCCCCATAATGTCGGATAAATTTTCTTCTTGGCCAAATCTCCCTATAATTTAATAAAAGTGTAAAAAGTTAATTAATGCTATAAGGAATATCTTGATATTGAAAGGATAGAGTAAACTATAATTATTTAATGAGATAGTCATGTGATGCTGAACGTGAAAAAAACTACGAAAATAATGATCGATTAGATATTGTACACCTATCCATTTTTCATGTAGAAAATAATAGAGTATCTAAGAAATTATGCATCCTATATATCTTACCGATGCACCACCAACTACAAACACATGAGGAACTTGATAATCTTCAGTCTTGTCCAAACTCTCCTTTAGTAATCGAATACCTTCTTCCTCGAATTTGATAACTTCTTCATGATCACTCATCACTGCTTTTCGTACTAAGCTATAGGTGGAAGATGTTAGATGATCCATAGAAGAAGACAGACAGAGAATATGGATAATACTTTCAAAATTCCATAGAATTTATTACATTAAAAAAATTAACTTCTAAAATTGAAAGTAAAAATAACAGGGAAGAAGATTGCAAAACTATTCAAGACGAATAAACAGCTCTTTATATAAATCAATATAAAATCGTGGTTTTCATCGACCACATATACATATATAGTATCTATTTTTAGATCTTATCCACGCTTAAAGAATAGTTCTATCCCGATAAAATCGTCTTATATTTTAGGGTCGAATATTGCCAACAGAGAGCACTAATGGTTACAAATCGATGGCGTTTAATGATTTACATGATCACTAGTGGGGAAAATAGCTGAGTAATCTTACGTATGTTTAATCTAATATGCAGTCACTATGTTTAATATGAATTTTAAGAATATTGTTCCCAATTGTTAAACTTCTTTAGTTGAATGCGTTTTAACGCCTGGAAGAGGTAAATTGATCTCAAAGTTCACCAAAAGGGCACAAGCTATTACTGTCAAAAGTTTAAATAATATAAATCTAATTTAGAGAGTTTGTAAAAATTTCGAAAATTTAGGCGTAAAATAAAAAATTAAGATGAATTTGGAAAAAGAACAAAAATATTCCTAAATCTTTTAATTAAGAACTAACTATCTTACCAAGATTTCTCGTAGCGTTTATACATTGTCGGCTTAAGTTGGCTATATCTGCTTCGGAACTGTATCAACTATAACTCTGAGACCTTCAAAGCTAGACCTACATAAGTTTTGCAAAGTAACAATGATCTCATTTATTACACTTAATGATTAATATAAATTCAGTCATGTTTGGATAATTTAAGTAAGTAAAAACTACTAAAGAGGAAAGATAGCATCATACTGCTTTCCTCTAATGTCATTAAGATGTAGTAAATCAATAAAAATGCAGCATATTTCACCTGACTACGGTAGTTCACTCGATCCTAATATCGTCCTTGACACGGTGCTGATATATCGCGAGATTCTCACCTCATTTTAATAGAATTAACTAGCGCTAGAACTTCAGAGATTATAGTTAATTTTAAGCAAGTTAATATATCTTGATATTAGTTTTAAGGAAACCGTCTGGTGTAGATATGTTAACAAAGTTTATTATTGAACATTTTAGATTTGTAAAAACTAATATTTTTTTTCTATAATATGAATCGACATAGAACCAATAGTAGGATATAATGGATTTGTTACAAAAAAAATAGCAAGGATATCTAGAAAATGCAATTTCAACCGTACATTCTACTTAAAATGTTGATTTTTAAACATTTCTTTGGCGCTAGGAAAATATTCAAAATTAGTACCAGTTATGAACTTATGACGTCATAATTGTAGACGAAACATGGCGCCTAGCGCAAGTTATGTGAAAGAGCAATTTTACCTCGTCGTAGGGCAAAGTAGCGTCGTTGTTAAATTTATTTGTGTTGCTGTGACAATAGGTTATTCCCTATCATTCAGTGAATCCGCTGTCAACGTCTTAAGGTACGTTAGTAAACTAGAAAACGAACGATAATAAGGAAATTCTTGTTATATTGTTTATTTACATGATGTCAGAGGTTGTACATCGAATGATTAAGAAAAGTATAAGTAAAAGATAATTATATAATTTGCATATAATATTTTCTGGTGTAGATTTTAGGGGGAAGGAACAAGAGTGTTGTGTTGAAAAAATTAATATTTATGTTTTATGTGTCTTAGCGTAACCGCTGGACGGATAATACCTCCAAATTTCTGGATATGGACATTTTTAACGCATAGTTTAATAGAACGACATATTTGGAATTTAATTGTCGATATAGCTGTAATTTTTCTCTGTGGGAAGCTTTTGGAACCGTTATGGGGTGCTTTAGAAATGCTCATCTTCTACAACGTTGTAACAATAGGAGTTGCAATCAACACAACATTTTTCTATATGTTTATCTATCTCATAACGAAAAATGAGACTTATTTATTTGGCACTCATATTCATGGAATGGCCGGTTATCTGGCTGGCTTTGCAGTTGCCTCAAAGCAAGTAATGCCTGATCATGTTCTAGTCAACTCACCATTTGGAAAATTGCGAAATAAACATGTTCCCATGTTACTCTTTTATACATTTATACCTATTAGGCTGTTAGGCGGAGTAGATGGTCCTTTTCCAATTATGTTCGGTTTTGGTATAATTGTTAGTTGGATTTATTTAAGATTTTATCAAAAACATTCCAATGGTAATCGAGGAGATTACGCCGAGAGTTTTTCATTTGCTAGGTAAGCTTTTATAATATTAATTCTATATTTTTCAATTCATTTTTCGTTTCATATTTAGTTTCTTTCCTACTGCGCTTCAACCAGTAGTTTCGGTTATCAGCAATAGCGTATTCAACGTTTTTGTAAAGTTAAGAATCTGCAAGAAACCCCAGAGGAAATATGACGTTAGCAATCCAACTACCATTACTGTGACACTTCCAGGAAACGATCCGGATGCTGAGCGACGAAGGTTAGTCAGCCTTAATTCTTTTTAATTTTATTAATTTTTGAACAATTGTTTTTTAATCATAGGCAAGTAGCTCTAAAAGCGTTGAATGAACGCTTAAATAAATCCGAACAACCATCGGATGCTCCGTCCTGGCCTGCAATGGATGACGAGGGTACCGAAGAATCTGGATCAGTGCCTAACGATTCATCCCCGACTTCAAAAGTAGAAGGTAAAGAAAATACATCTTCCAGTTGAAGGGTGATAGCTCTCTGATGTTTTTTTAAGAAATGAAAACTGCAAAAAAAAAACAAAACAAAACTAACAAAAAAAAAGAAAATTTGACATAAATATATTCCTTAAATTTGTATATATCTATATATATATATTTATATATCTCTCTCTCTTTCCATCTCTCTCTCTCTCTATATATATATATATATAGATATATATATATATATATATATATGTATATATATTTGTATATGTATACATATAGTTTTTTTTATCAATTTTGTTTTTTTTCGTGCCCTAACCTCATTAAAACAAAAAACAACTATTATAACCAAATTGGCAGACCTAACTAATTTGAGAAAAGAAACAGAATAATAACACTGAAAAAAAGAATTATTTATTAATTTTTAGTTTAACTAATTATCTATTAAACTTGTACTAATAGTTTAACGTTGACTTTGCTCGAGATGCAAGTATTTTCGTCATCTGGATGGATTTTATAAGCGAACAAAAAAATAAACCTTTTTTTTTATAATTCGAACACGCTTTTTGCTTTTTCATTTTACTATTTCTCTATAAGTTTATATCTGCTTCCATTACAATTATCACTAACGCGTAAAACCCGCCTTATTCGTCAATTTCATATTTTACTAAGATTTCTTTCTCATCTTACTCTCCCTCCTTTCCATCTTAAAAGCTTATAGAAAGAAAAACACAATAGCTACTTTAGTAATAGAGATGTTTTATTTTTTTTATATCATTGTCTTTTATCTCTTGTCTCAAGTATTTTTATCTGATAACAGCTTGTAAATATGCTAGGTAAAAGACAAGAGTTAATGAGAAACAGTTGAGCCATTCAATTAAATAATTAGAATAAAATTATTGACTATTCTTTTTTTCATTTAAAAATATAAAATGTAACAAAAATGGCTTATGAATTAAGAAATGTCATCTTTTCATTTATTGTATCTTTGTGTCTACTAGAATCAAAATTAGAAAGACTTCTAAAAATATCATATATAAAATATCCTTTATATAGCTGATGGCAGATGTTAGCAGATGCTACACAAAAAGAAAAGATATATTAAAATAAAAAAAGAAGTTTTAACAATTGTCTAAACGCATGACGCTTTTATTGATCTCTGGAACGAATAAAGTACACAATCAATGACATTATCACATAAAGAAATCATGTTTTTTTTTTAAATAAAAAAACCGATCACCTGTTTTTCTCTTCAAGTTCTTTTTTTTAAAATATTTAAAGCGAAATTAAATTTGTTATGTCTACAAAACTCGGTCATTAAAAAAAAAAAAATAAAGTAAATAGATATTAGTTTGTATATGGTTAGTTGAGAGAAAGATAAAACGGACAAATGTGATGAATAAAATGATAAAAACTACTTGAAACATGAAGGTTTCAAATATTAATCCTTTCAAAAGAAAAAATTATATATATGTATGTAAATGTTTTTTTACGACTATAAAAGTATAAGTATACAAAAGAAAAGAAATAGGAAAAGAAGATAGGTAGGAGGATATGTTGAATTTCTAGCAATCATCTAGTATACCCAACTAACTGGGACCCATTGGTTGTCAGCATTTAATTTATCAATTTCCGCTCTTAACTTTCTATAAGTTTCATCCATGTTGTCATTGACGATTATACAATCAAAATATGCTTTATACGTCTTTTCAATCCTTGCTGATTCGGCAAGGGTCTTCTGAAAGTCTTCTTCCTATATGAGGAAAGGAAAAATGTTAATATATAATGTATACAGTAAATATACTGTAAACTTACAGTTTTTATTTTATTAGTTTTGCCCCTTTGACGAGCAAACTCGTGCATATTTCTCATAATCTGAACAGGAGGAGCCGCAATGAAGACGATAAATGGTAGGAATTCACCACTTTTTATTCCCTTAAGCGCCTTTTAAATGAAAAGAATAGAAATTATATTTTAAACTATTAATATTTCGAATATTTTGAATCCACTTACAGCTGGATTTATATCGAGAATGCACATTTTATTCTGTTTCGTAACGTTTGTTATACTCTCGAATTTTGTTCCATAATAATTGCCTTCGTACGCTCCCCATTCAAGGAATTTGTTACCTTGGATTTCTTCTTCCATTAGTTCTTTATCCATAAAATGGTATTGATTACCATCTATTTCATTCAAACGTTTAACGCGGCAAGTATGCGGTATAACACTGCCGAACCTATGTGGTTCAGCTTTCAATAAGAATTGTTTCAAGGTTCTCCTTCCGACACCTTGGGCTCCGATAAGAACCAGAGTTTTTCTATGGAATGGCGGTAATTTTGTAACTTCTTCATAAATGGCCAATTCGTATTTATCGAATTCGGAATTCTGTTTAGCCTGATAGAGCATTTTCTTCTTCTTTTTCGTAACTATACCGCATAGATAGGATTTTTGCGTATGATCCAAATCAGGTTTAACGAAAGCTTGTCTTTTCTCTTCCAATGTAAGTGATGGTATAATACCTGTTTTTCCTGATCCATCTACTTTAGCTGCTTGCCACCACTTAGAATCTTCCATATTAACAACTTTTAGTATATCGCCGTCTTTAAAGGCCAATCCAGCGTCACGACAAGGTATAACCGAATCCTTTTTAGGATCGTAATTAAAATGGGCTTTAACATACATCTCGGTACGTCCAGTTTGTTCATCAAAGGCGGGAATAATCTTGATTTTTATATTTTCACCACTTTTACGAATTAGCTCTTGTAATTGTTGAGGAGTTGTAACCTCCTCTCCATTAACTTCCTTTATTAAATCACCAACGTGCAATAATCCTATTATCGTTGCATTGAGAAAGAGTAAATGGAAGGGAGACATTTCGTATGAGTAAAGATGATAAACATCATATATCAATACATGAAAAGAAAATAAATATTCATTGATTAAAATATTAAATCATAAAAGGCTAATAATTAAAAAAACATATATAGAAATAAAGGAAATCAAAGGAAAAAATAACAATCTGTAATAAAAAAAAAAACAGAAAGAAATAAGAAAGTTCCTAAAATAATATCTTCTCTTAGTCTTCTTTAATAATACATTTATTCTGGATAGAGAGATAGATAAATAGAGAAACATTCTTATTTCTTTTTTCGTGTATCTAATTAATCATTTCACTAATTTTTTTTTCACCTTGTTCATCTATAGGTGAACCGGCAATAACTCGAGTTATGATTAAATCACCCATTTGACTGACACGTACAGTAATTCCCTGTATAATTTATTATTAATTTTGGATAGTTAAAAACACTTGATACTTGATAAAATGCAGAGAAATATTAATGAATATTAATTATTATTGTTCAATCATGCTATTATACTTAATAAAATTGATAATTATGTGGAATTTTTTTAAAAATCTAAATAAAACTTAAATATTAATCAATATGGCCGCATTTAGAGAGGAGGGAGGGAGGAAGAGAGAGAAAGAGAGAAAGATAAGCAGCAAGAGATAGAAATCAAATAAGCAAAAAATGTAATCACCGCATTTAGCGACAACACTTCCTTCAATAATTCTAGCAATCATTAAGCCATTTGGTTCTTGTTGCAGAGTGATACCCTGGTTCAAAAGATTACAATTATGATATATATATATATATATATATATATATACTGTATATGCTAATATATAGTACTATAATACTATTATATTATATTACTACTATTAGTAATAAAATCATATTTTTAAATTGATTATCATAAAGCAAGGAAGAAAAAGCTTAATTATCTTAATCATTTAAATACATTGATTATACTTCATATAGAAAATCTCTCTTTTGTTTTGTGTCCTATTATATAGATATTATAATAAAAGTCGTACGAGTGATTCTCCAGGCTTCTTCTTTATTCCAATCATATTAAGAGCTAATTTGCTTTGTTGAACAGGAACAACATCTTCCGGAGGGACGAAATCATTTGATTCGTCTGGTTCCATTTCGAACTCGTAATTTTTCCACGCAACATCATCGTGAACTTTCAATAGAGCCTAAATTAATTACAATTTTAATAAATACAATTTAAATATTGTTTCTATTTCTAACAAACCTCCAAATGAGGATCTTGTAGAATTGTTGTCAATTCAGCAGCACCCTGACTTTTATGATTAAATGGTTCGAGGTCGTACAAGATTTCATCAATTAAATTCTTTGAATAGCCATCTTGACTATTCGGTTCATTATATGCAATAGTTAATTTATCGTACGTCTATGGAAATTGTTAAAAATAGTAATAAAAGTATAGTAGATTATTAAAATAACTAATAAAAAACTTACATTAACCAGAGTTGCCAAAACTGGATTACTTAATATATTACCAAGTTCATTAACTTTTTCTTCATCATTTGGTTCATTGACCAAAGAATCCAAATTTTGTAAAATATTCTCAAGATCACCTAATTAAGAAGAAGGTAGAATTAACTCCGTAATGATGGAAATGTTTCTACTTACTCAATCCCGTTTCAGTTGGTTCGGGCATAATTTCTCTCCTTTTCAAAATTCTATAACATAATATAAACAATGATATTGAAAAGGCTAAAGAAACATGAAATTACAATAATTACAAATATCAATCTAATAATATAATGCCTTGAGAGTTTACTTATATTTATTTATTTAACTATATAAGCAGTAAAATTACAGAGAGTATTTCCAAATAGTTAAAACAATATAACGATAAAATTATTACAAAATATATGTAGAACATTAGCTAAAATCGATAGAAATGTCGTTTTCGTAGCCATTCTTATAAAACCTTATTACAAACACATATTGCAACCTTTTTTTTGTATTCATAAAAACTATAAAATCAGACAATGAAGAGAGAATATTACGTTTATAAATATTAAATAAAGTGCTTAATTGCTTATTAGACATGATTTCTATGCTTTTCTGAGCAAACTCCTAGTTTATAGGCCATAAAAACGTATACTACACACATAACGCAAGCTATAAAGCAACCAAAAGCTATTAAAAAATATCGATAACTTGTATCCATGATGAACGGATTTGTTAACATTCGAAAATCAAGTTCTATGGGATCGTTAGGCATTTTTTCTTTGTTTTCTTTTTTCTTTTAATTCAAATTTTTCCTATATGACATATATTATTTAAATTACAATCAGGATAAAGTTCATCTTCATCGTCTTAGGTTCAGGAGACAAAAAAATTAATATAAGTGCCTCCTATATTCACGTTAACTAATTTTATACTTTATAAGTTACGAATGAGTCTAATTTAAAGTGTGGTACATTCAAAGCTTGAAAAGGTAAATCTTCGGCATTCGTTAAAAATTGTGCTGAAGTTGGTTCAAATGTTTCCGGTACGCTAACATCCTTTTTTACAACTAGTAGTACATCGAAGATACCTGCAGTTTTTGGGGAAAAAGAAGGGAAAACAATAGAATATCTTGCTTCGTTTTTTGTTACTTTTCCTTATATTTTGTAGGAAAGTTTTGTAATTGAAAAACATAGCATATCATATTATATGATAATTTTCATGCTCATTTATCAGGGTGCAGGGGGGGGGGGAAGAAAAGAACTTACATTTCCCATCGTGAAGTGGTAGTAAATTCGAAGAAGCCTTTATTTGTTTTAATATGTCTGAAAATTTCTTCTTAACTTCCTCAACGGTAGATTCATGCTCGGAAGATACTTCCTCCCTCTCATCCAAACGGATTGCCCACCTTTCCTTGGGCGAATGGTCTAAACCATCGTATATAACAACGACAACTTGTTCTAATGACTTCTTCAATAGTAATTCTATACATTACGTTATATAGTGTGAATAATAAAGATAATTTCCATTTTAATATAACTACTCCCTTACCTTTACATTCAATTAAAATCTTATTTAAATAAGAAACAACACTCTCTTCGTCGCATTTCCAAACTCTCATCTTATAATCATCCTTTTCGGTAAAATATTGGGGAGGATAAACACATCTCTCGTACAATATAAAATTGATGAACGTGTCTATTCAATACATTAAACAGATATCATTTACACTCTAATCGATTTATTAATTAATATAAAAAAGAAAATGAATTTTTTTTTTTTAAATTATTAAACCAATAATTTTCTTTTTTTTTTAAATAAAGAAAAATCCAACATACCTAAGAAATTATTTATCAGCTTCGTTGATAATTTCAATGAGTTAGGAAGTGAATAATTCATAGTTTTTTTTGTTTATTTTTGTTTTTTTTTTAATTGTAAATATTTTACCTAAAATAAAAAAAGAAAACGTTTTTTTTTTGGCGAATCGATCCGTCTATCCGAAAATAGAAATAAAAGAAATTATTATATAGAAAAAAAAACATAGGGATATTAATAATTTCATATAAAAAAAAGGAAGGTGATGGGTGAAGTGGAATGTGAATAGGAACTTTAGATAATAAGAAAAGAATAATTAGAGTAAAGTAATAAAGGTAGATTGATATATATATATATATACAGTATATATATATCTGTTCTATTTAAATATTTTAACAATAAATAACAGTTTATCAATATATATTGATATTAGCATTACTACAACAGCATATTTGTATACATTTCCTATTTCTTTATAGCTACAAGTTAATTTCTAGTATATTTGAGTAAAACTGATTCATTCAGGTGGAGAAAAAATCCTAAATACTCATCAAGTTTACTATTAATCAGTGCAATATTAAAATATTTTTATATCAATTTGATGGAAAATTGTATGTATCTGCTAAAGCCCAGAGGGAGGGAATGGAATTTGAACTTGTCTTATTCTCCTCATATAATTGTTTCATATATTGCTCATTGATGATAAATAATATACCTAGCTCTCCCAAATTTAGGTCTTTTTTTAATCAGGGACTAGGCTGGATTAATAAACACACCGGTTAAAAATTCGATAACACGGACAGGTACCTTCAAATACAACTCACATTCTAACGACTGAATAAGCTACGTAGCACCAAAAATTATGTCAAATAACAAAAGATACATATTATATATACAAAACACTCAAGGCATAATTATTAATACATAAATAGCTATATAACAGTATGATTAAATTCAAAAACTTACTTTCAAGCAGATCAACACCTGGCAAAATGGCGCATTTATTTTGAAATGAGAAAATCCACCGGTTTCCTACTATTTCAAAAATGGCGCATGTTTGATAATATAAACAATACGCCATTTTTATTTTCTATACGTCTTACTCTATCAGTTTAGTAATACCTGTTTCACAACCCACTGTTCAGCTATTAAAATTTAATAGAGCTAATACATATGGAATGTATATTGCATGGTTGCCATTTTTAAAATTCTGTTACATTCGTTTGAATTAGTAGAATAGGTGTATTAACGTCGACAAAGCTATATCATATTCAAAATACTTAAGAAAGAAACTTAAGAAAGTCGATATAAAAAAAACAATTAAAAAAGAACTATGTCAAGATTAAGCAATTGTTACGTTATTACCATTTCAACTGACCCTCAACTTTGGTCCAATTAGCAAGGAAAATAGTTGTTCCGCCTATTTAGTAAACTATAAAATGTTGTTGAGGAAAATCAGAACTTTTTTAAATAAAACACAATTTTTACTTAAATGCGTTTCGAGTATTCTATATATCAGAGGAAAGTGACTCCAAAAGTCCATCTTCACTAAAATATTCACGAACCTAAGCAAGACTCAATAACGATGATTGGTCAGGGGCTAAAAGTTCATGCTGTTGATCAAAAGATGCTTGAAATAAAAATTTCTTAACTACATCATTCGAATATAAATTTCGATAATATTGGAAAATATTTGGTTTCCATTTTTGAGCTTCAATTGTTTCCATAGTAACAAATGATAGAAAATTTATAATATCTCTCATCCTCATTGCGTAATCATTTCCGTAAGCACTCTGGAGGTATCTTGTAAAGCCTATAGTCATTTTATTATAAGGTGACTGAAAGTGAGGGTATTGTCGATTTGGTCGTAGGATGGACAGCATTACAATAAGTGTTAATTCTTCAAATGTTGGATGTAATTGACGATATCGCTCAAAAATTCTGCTCTTCATGGCTGCATCTTTTTTATGATAAAAACAATTTATAGTAACGAAGAAGCGGTGATCACGGATCATTAGAGTTAATTGTTCCTCATCCCAAGTATGAATGTTAAATCCCAAAACAGTCACATATATTATATCAATAAAAGACCTGAGGTGGTAGAAAATCTCATTTTCTGTTAATTCAGACACTCCTGGTATTCTCTTTGAAAGTTTGATCCACCTTTTGATACTAAATGCAATAACTTTTTCATCTGCTATGGTAAACTTCTTTCTATCATTTTTCCAATCCTGCTATATGTAATATATCGTTGTATTGGTCCAATGAACAGTTCTGGTCCACACTGTCAATTCCTTCTTTTGCAGTTTTCAAAATATCTTCTAAATTTGGAAAATCATTTCCCCAGTCAATGTTTCGTATATCACAAAGTACTTCACAACATCTCATAAGCATTTCATCAGCGTCTGTAAAACTTGGTACAGACGGTATAGCATACATCATTCTCTTCTTGGAAATTTCGGTTGCTCTTTGATAATTCACCAATTTTTTCTCTTGTGAATAACGTCCTTGTTTTTTATTATTAACAGACATACCAACACTGAGACATTTCTGAAATCTACACTATCGACAAGCAAACACGGCACGTTGATTTGGACTACACTGAATTCTTCCATTACGTTTGTAATGTTGATGTTTTTTTGAACTTCTTCTAAAGAATACTTTACAAGCCTCGCAAGTGAATGCGCCGTAATGAGATCTAACAAGATGAGTTTTTAAAAAGTTAGTGTGTCATAGTATGATAAATAAGATCAGAAAATAGAAAATATATGTACTAAATTATAAATATTTACCCAGATGAAGAACTGCCACATACACAGCATGGGGGAAGAGATGTCCTATCCACGCCTAGAAATTCGTCTATTTTAATAACATGTTTCGTTTTTTCTGACTCCATTTCTTAAGGTACAACATATATATTGCGAAGTAATACTGAAATTCTAAAACACATATTCAAACAAAACAATATTGAAGACGAGAATGAGACTTTCCGAGACGTCTGGAAGCAATGTATAGAAAAGATTTGCAATACTTCCTAGGAGTCTTATTTCGTGTAAGGATTTTTAAAAACTCGTTTTCATTTTTCAAATTTTATTACAATAATTAAAAAACCATGAAGAGAAGATAAAATCTTTGAAAGAAATAACAGTCGAAAAAAATACGAAAACAACTTTGATACAACAGAATAAAAAAATGAAACAAATTGCTTGTAGTTGCCATGCCAAAGGAAATATGCATTAGTGTTGATACTTATGATTTGCTTGGTATATATTACAGTAAAGTTAAGGCTAAAAGATCGACACAAATAATATTGTTAAAGTATATTGAAACATAAGTTTAAAGAAAAATTGAATAAAACAAAAAACGTTTCTATAAATAGCACTGTTTGCTATTATATGTTTATGCTATGCGTATGCACAGTAGGAGATACAATCAATTTTTTTTATTTATATATTATATGTATATATTTTAATCACTGACAGTAAAATGTTAAAAATTTTCCTATCCTTTAGTAAAGTTCGAGTCTTTCACCAGCTGTCACTTCTTTGCGTTTCAATATTAAAATTCTATTTATAAAAGGTCTATTGAACACTTTTAGGTTTTCATCATACTTTTCCCGCTATTCAACAATTGATAATTATTTTACTCATTCATAAAATGCTTAGATAGTTTACCTTTTGTCTAGCTATTACTTATAATCTTCTCTTGCTGTATTCTATAGTTTAAAGGCAAATTACACAAAATAAAAGACCTGGGTCATTTGGAAACAGACCGAAAAGTTGTATAAGCTAGATATATGATAGATGAAGCTTTCTTCTATGTTATCGTTTAGATTTATTATTTTTTTTATATTTCTTTGCAAATTTAATAATATTTTAATGAATTTCTTCTCAACAGTCAGCTCAAGTCTTTAGGTTCAATTAAATAAAAGAAAAAAAATACTTATTTGGAGAGAGGAATTACGTATTTCCATTAGAGGGCGCTTAATGTTTAAACGTTAATAAGATGCAAATACGATAGGCGCCCATTAGTAGGAGATAAATTTCTTATTTAATAAAAGTCATTTGGGGCGCGGTGTTATTAAAATTATCCTTTTACCACAAAAGATTCTAAAACCGCAATTTATATATAATAATCATAACACTGTATGTACAAACATCTTTTCCGTACGGTCGAAAGGAAAAAAAACTAGCCATTAACAATAAACGAATTCTTCAATAGCTATACAACAAATAAATCGTTGCCCATTAAATGGATATCAGGCGACTTTATGCAAGTTCCTGCCCAAAATAGACCGTACATCCTGAACGAAACGCAGAGCGTCGAGAATCGGTAATAAATTCAACAAACAAGTGTCAGTAGGATCGGAGAACCATGATTTAATAGGAATAGCATTAAGCGGGTAACTTCGGTAGGCGGCTGGCGAATTATCAACTATAAAAACCCCGCTTAGGTCATCGCTAACCGCTTTTAAATCCTTTGAATATGAACCGTTATCCATATGGCAATGCTGCCTATAATATCGCCTCTTGAACATGCACTTGTTATGATCGAGTTTGTCGGCTACTGCTGAGCCATAAATCTCCATGCTGGCCGTGAAGACGACCAATTCGTACCAGTTAGAGACGGTTTGCAGGAAGAAGTCGACATGAGGTCGTTTATGGACGAAGAAGCGAACAGGATGCTTGTCGATGGTCACTCTTAATACAAAATCTGCAGGCGTTCCCGGTTTCACAGTTTGCCGAAAATTACCGTCATGATGAGAGTGTATAAGAGTTTCGTCCAGATCGAGAATCAGCGTTTTCTTCCTTACACAATCTGTAATTGTAAATATGTGTAACAATAATTTTAAAGTCACTATCTAGGACTGCCCTCCCTTTTTTCAATTCTCTTATCATACTTAAGTCATTATGTAATAATTCTTTTCAAAAACAATAATCATATATATATAGATCACTTGATAAAAACGGATTAAGGTTAAAAATAGTAAATCATAACTATTAAATAGTCAGCTATTAATGCAATTTTTAATATTAACTGACTTTTAAAGGACACACTCTTTCTTTGTTTCGTAAGTATCTAGGCGAATTTGCATAAGAGTGAAATTCCAGACCGATTGCATCTAAATAAATGTTGCAATTGTAAAATTAAGAGATGTTCTAGCTAGACTATCAGATAGATATTAGTAAACCTTTCTTAAAATTTCCTATTTCCGTGGTGAGGTAAGCTGATGCGTCTAGTTGAATGTACGATATTGCTATTCATCATTTAGTTCTATCATGCAATAATCAGTGTCGGCGCGGACTATAAAAGTAAAATACTTACTTAATTGCGTTTTAAATGAGACGCTAAGAGGAACCATTTCATAGCGGACGGTCTGGTGTTGTACAACCTGGAAATATAACATACAATTTTGTAAGTGGAGTAGGCCTAATATTGACAATATATGACGTCACACGTGGAAAGTCGATGGCGGTAAAAACGTTATATATTCCGTTGGAATATAAGAATTTATAGATTTTAAGATCTATATGTAAACTAAAGTTTCTTTTGCTGAAGTAACTATAAAATACGTATAAATTGCTTTTGTAAAAAATCAACTTACGGCTCTAATTTGCTTCTTAAGGCAATAGCAGAGGAATCCCCATATTTTTGAGGCAAATAACAGGAAACCACGAACCCCCATTACGATGAACTTTAACATTTATATGAAGTGTAATTAGGTCATTCGGTAGATGATTAAAAAAAATTATGATTTCTCGAAAACGCTGTTAAAAACAGTAAAATTTCGTCAAGAACCGCACGGAGGTTTCCCATGTAGGGTCGTAACAGGACCGCACTGACGTAATTTTTAATTTTTAATGGAAATTTTACCAAACTATTAAAAAATGTAATTTTCTTTAATCAACATGTCAAACTTAAATCAAAATATTCAAAAATTTTCTTTACGAAACCGAGAGCTTATAAAATCTAGTTCGAAATTGTAATTATACAGTGTCCTTGTCTTTGAAATATTCCTTTCTGGAACAACTTTTTCTGATTTGGTAAAATGTCAAAGATATCAAATTCAGTCAACTCTAAACCGGTAATATTTTGTATAGTCGTGAAATTTTAACATTATTCTATATATTATTGCGATATTTTCAATTTGTTCTCAAAGTTAACGATAATGCATGCTTTTCAAGTTGTATTTCATTCGACCTAGTAGTTGTTGTTGATCAACAATTGCACGGGAATTACATAAGCCTTACTTCAATGCTACATCTAGAATGATTGGCACCTGTTAATTTTGTTTTTCAATGACAATGCAAACTTTAACAAAACCATTTCATTTATACACTTCAGCCCAGTGGAATAGACTTTAGAGACGAACTGAGGTCCTGGTTAAATAAAAGAATGAGAATAACCCTGACCGACGGAAGAATTTTAATTGGAGTTTTTCTATGTACGGACCGTGACCAGAATATTATTATAGGTTCCTGTGCAGAGTATTTAAATGAAGAGGAGGGTAAGACTAAAAACATGAAAGTAACCTATCTTTCAATAGCTTTTTCAATTTACAGAAAGATTAAAGAGCACTAAAGATGATCAAAGATTATTAGGATTGGCTATGGTTGGAGCTAAGCATATGGTTTCAATACAAATTGACTCCTCTTAGATAGTGTGATAATTGAAATATACAATTTTTTAAAGTTTGCCATTTTTCATTCAATGTGGGAATATATTTATACAGTTTATTAATTTAAAACTTATTCAAAAAATAAATCAGTATTTTTAAATGTTTTATACAATTTTGTGTAAAAAGTAGCTTGTAAACTCGGGCACCAAAATCAATACTATGGGAATAATTGTTAAATACTGCACATTATAAATATCGCACTATTTATATCTTTTGTAACCAGGAAAAACTATTGACAGAAACTGTAATAACAAAAGGTGGAAAATAGTTTACTTGTAACATTGATCCAATGGATTTTGATTTAAAATCCACTAAGCTATTTTTAATATTTTTTCTTGTCCTTCAATATTTGTCTTGAACTAATATCATTTATCTCTCTATTTTTGACCTAATTCTTTAATTACATAAGAAAGAAAACAAGCGAAAAAAGGCTAAATATTATTGACTTGTTTGTTTTTTCTCTTTACGCTACTATCAATCTAATTTCACTTTTAGAAATGTTTTTATAATTTTGTTACAATCTCAATTAAGCCTATCCCTAAGGGAATAAAAAAGATTCAGTAAGACAGAATGTGGAAATGGTTTATCTTTGAATTTAAAATGAATACTCATGAGATAGAATTATAATTTAATACTTTATACATTATACAATTTGATTTATTAGAATTATCTCAAGTTTTTTATCTCTCTCCTTCAGATAAAAGGACAAAAGAAAAATTGGAAAATTAAATTAGATGAAGAAGATTGTCACTGAAATCGAATTTGTAAATCTCCTTTGGTTTTAATCCTTAATAAATGAGTAATTCTTAAAATGCACTTTCCCCATATTAAGTCTCCTCGGAAAGTCTATAGGATAATAAATGATAACTAGTTCTATAAATGATACATTTATCCTGATAAGAGAAAATATCAAAAGGAGATCATTTAATCCTGATCAATAGATTATATTCTCTTTCCCTCTTATTATATTAATAATGTTCTATTATTTTTTATATGTATATCAAACCTTGAATTGTCTTATTGATTATCATTCGCTTTCTATAATTGAAGGAGATCGTCCCAAGATAGAAAAGATTGTGTTTCGTTGAAAAGAAGGTATTTATGTTGAGACAGGAATATTAATGATTACTGGTTGCGATCGATATATAAATAAGAATTAAACGAACTATGATTAGAAGAGAGATGTATAGTGTGTCCTAGATTGCAATAATAGCTGTATCTAGTACTAAATCATAAAACCTTGTCCTTTCGATCAATTGAACGAAAAATCAAAGACAGAAAAATAGAAGAGAGAGTCTTAGCCGGAACTTAAACAGTTAAAAAAGAATATTCATAAATTCATTTAAAGATTTATTAGTCTCTTGTGTATTTCAACTTGATACTTGGTTGAATTAAGAAGAATCAAAGTATTTTTCACATTTATCAAAAAGAAAATGAACTTGAGGATAATTCTTCTTATAACCTTTGGATTATCAATTCGAATTTACAGTTTAAGTCAGTTTTATAAATCGGTTGAAATATGAAATTTTCCCTAATGTTTTTCCAATAGATTTGGGTGATAGAGACTTTAAAGAAGCAATTAGAGCTGGTCCTCTAAATTTGGCTCAAATGGCAACTGTAATACCAGGACATTTACAATCTTTAACTGACGGATGCCCGTTCTTCTCAAATTGGTCGAACTGCTGCGCATCGTTAATTAAGAGTCAAGAAGTTACTATTCAATTAGCGAGATCATATTCGATTTCAACGGTAGTCATCTATTTTCAAACTGGAGAAGAAGGTATGTATCTAAGGTTATTTTAACTGACCACTAATTAAGAAATAACATATATAAACCGTTATTAAACTTTTTATAGTGCAATTCGTTGAACTTCTTGTAAAAGTTGGACTAATCGTATGCCAAGAATTTCATGGAAATGTAACAAATTATCACCCAATTGAGCTAATATGTACTACAGTACTTAATGGAGATAATATAAATCTTTTGGCAATAGATAACGTTGCAGTATGTGAAATTGAAGTCTATTCTGGTAATTACTCCAACTTTTGTTTTCTTTTTAGTCTTAATAATCATTGACAATGTATAGATATAAATTTATACTGTATATACATAAATATATAGATAATATAGCCCTTAAAGCTCCTCTAAGGGCTTGGAGACGTTTGAACGAAGCATTATCATTTAATGATGGCGATTTAGCTAATGGATATCCTTTCTTATCTATTCCACATTGGTTTATGTTTTTTCTCATTCGGCCTTATCTTATTAAAGAAATAAAGGTTTTTCGAACAATGAATAATTTACACGCTGACGGAAAAGTCTTCCAGCTACATCCCCAATACGATAGATCAAATGAAAAACTGTGCGGCTCTAAGATTTCTGACACTAATAATCTTCTTCACATGGAATGCCAACCGAATTCGGAAGGTGCCTATGTAGAATTTACTGTGAGAAAGACACATGCATTTTTCCAAATGGTCAATCTGGTTGAAATTGAAATCTATGGTGAAAGAATTGATAAAGAAAAATACCCCGTTAATGTGGCTTTTCAAAAACCAATTTCCGTTTCTAAGCCATCATCATCTTGCATCTCCGCTCTTACTGATGGTTCAATTTTTACTGCTGCTGATGCAGTTGTAGAAAGTGGCTCAACTTGGATGTGTATTGATATGCTTGCCGTATATTCCGTAACTTATTTCATATTATACAAGACATCTGAAAATGATAATAGCGTAGAAAAAATAGATTTTAAAGTGTCAAAACTTCCTACAAATGATCCTTTTTCATCTCTTTATGAGCTTTGTTACCGACATGATAGTCAAACTACAGGCTTTCAGTACAACTCCAAATGTCTTAACCCTAATCCAATTGGTAGATACTTTCTTATTCTTCAGAGAAAGACTGTCCAGAATAACATAGCCATTTCAGATATTGAAGTTTTTGGCATTTTCTTACAAGAGTGGAACTCTCAGTTAATCTCTCATAAGATAATCCAACGAAATCGAATGGATTTTCAAAAGTCACATGTACCTAACGTAAACCTGTGGAAAACTTCGGATCATTTTCCGTATAATCCAATAAACATAGTCCCTCAAACTTGTGTTGAAATCTCTACATGGTTCTTAATCCAATTCTTTAATATAAGTAGCGTTCATAACTTTACAATAGTCCCAAAGTGTTCGCAAACAGAACTGGCATTCGATAATCTGGAATTATCTGTTATTAATTCAAACTCTTACGATATAGATTTAAATAATTATCCAAATGGTATTGCAAAATGCCTTTGTTGGAGATCAAGTGATCATGAATCATTAAAACCTGGTCGTTTAATTTATGGTAATTGTATGAATACTTGTTATGGTCAAGCTTTATTTGTTCATACAAAAAGTTCAAATAAAATAAAAGTGTGTGAGATATACGTGTATGGAAAATCTGTTGACTTTATTCCTATTGAACACAAACCCTCATACTTTATTTTCAATGATTCTTATCACAAATGTGAACAGAATAAATCATTTTACTCTTTGGGTAAACCATTTACAATATGGTTGGAAAGCTATGCCAAAGTCTATGGTTTGACTTTGAATTCAAAATCAGCTAATATATCAATATCCCTAAATCAAACAGATTCATTTGAAATTTGTTCTAATTACGATTTTACTGATGGAACGGATACGGAAATATTTTCGATATTTTGTAAAAATTTCCAAGTGGTTCAATATATTAAAATAGAAAGTAACAATATTGATATTTGTAGTATAAAAGCTTCAGTAAAATTTGTCAGATTATCTAACTATTTCAAACCTATAAGTTCATTTGGAATCTTTCCATTTTATAAAAGGGATGAAAAGGAAAATGTGATGGAATGTGCTCAATCATGTCTCTCCTTACCGTATTGTCTATCTTTTGGATGGAATATAAAGAATAAAGTATGTTTACATTCAAAATTCTTAATACCGAAGAAATTAACTGGTCCTATTGATAAATCTGTTATAAAATTTACAAGAGAAATGAATCATATACCAAACTCAAACTGTATTTGAAATAATGATTTTTATCTTTAAAAGATTAGGAGAACAATCATTCAAACAACACAAGATCAAGTGATTAAAGACAAACTGAATATTCATATTTTATACTTTCCAGTATAAAAACACAAAAACTACCTTTTATAGTTATTGCAAGCCAGTATGATGTTAATCATTTATGTAAATAAGCATTATTATTACCGTTAGAAAAGATTTTTTCCACTTGGCGTTGGAATATCAACACCAGCTTTTGTTGCAATAAATAGTGATAAAAACAAGGCTCCGATGAATCCTCCGCTTGCTAAACAAGCTAAAATAAATGCTTTTAATGACCATTTGAAGTTTGGTGGACCAAATATAGCCAAAAATGCTGTACATGCAGTAAGAGTATAAACAATTGATATAGTAGTATTAATAGCAACAATTTCCCCAAATTTTGAGAAAGGAAGAATAACTGCCTGTGTTAAGGGAATGGAAGCGGCGATGGTTGTGACAGCTGAACTTATAATAGATAAACCTATGTGTTTTACTGCCGCTCTAGCGCGCCATTCTCGTTTCTCCTTGTTAGTTTTCAATTTTGGGGGTAAGTTTCTTGCTGACAAAAGATAACCTTCCACTAAATGAACACAATAATCTACAGAGGATCCGACAAGGATGGATAAACTAATGGCTTCTATAGCTCCCATTTCCCATCCTGCGATCCAGAATATTGCTACAACGAAGCAAATTACTCCTAGGATAGTCATGACAACGATTATTAGTAAAATAACGTGCCCAGTAAAAATTGTGACTGCAGCAACGCAAATAACTAAAGAGAGAACAACACCATATATGGCACTCCAAATTGCAATTGTTTCCATCATAACCTAAAAAACATTATGTACAATTATTTATTTATCACTTAAATATCGTTATGTTTAAACACAATTCCACATACCTGAACCCAAAATTCTGATGTGACCTTCATTCCGGCTAGCGGTGAATCGGATCCAGATAAAACTTTTTCTTTAACAGCCGAAATAAATTTCTCCCATTTTAAGTAATCTTCGTAAGCTTTATACGATGCTGTTCCTTTTAGTGTAGTCTAGAAATATTGCATTAATTATAAGAGATTTTTTAGTTGTTAATATTAAAACTTCTATTCGACTTACAGAAGAGAAAGCAAAAGCTATCCAATTAATACTAAAGGTTTTGTAATTAATTGATATTCTTGATCTATCCGGTAGGAGAGCTCCATTTATCTTTTGATTTTTCGGAATATCTTTACAGTCGGGATCGGTTTTCATAAATTCAGTTAAAAAGACGGTTTGCTTTTTAACTATAAACAAAAAAAACATATAAATTATTCTTTTTTAATAGAACAGTAATATTTTAATATCAAATTACATAAGTTCATTTCTTCATCGCTCGGGAAACATTGGCTGCCATTGACCATAACTAAATCTTTATTATTTTGAAATAATTTGCATATTTTACACATTTTCCTAATTAAATCTGGATTGAGTTGGCCATATTGAAATGCATCTTGAAATTTTTTATCATAAACTACTGTTCCTTTATCATTCAGGACGTGTTTATATGATACATTACTTCTATCTATTGTATCTATACCGAAAACTACATAGACTATAGTACCAGAGTCTAACTGAGGTTTTTCTTCGGGGTTACAGCCATTATTTTCGCACGGATCAAAACTAACTGGAGGCACCGGAGAAGGATCAATTGGTCCAGGACGATCTGTAGGCTGAGGAGGGTTAGGTGGATTAGGTGGTATAGGAGAGTTTGTTGTTGGTACCACCGTTGGACGTTTTGTTTTGGGTATAATTTTCTTAGTTGTTGGTTTATTTGTGATAGTGGTAGTTGGTGTAGTTGTTGGTTTTGTTGTCGGTTTAGTTGTCGGCTTAGTTGTCGGCTTAGTTGTCGGTGCTGCTTTTTTGGATGTGGACGGAGTAGCACTTTTGGTAGTTGCCTTAGTTACTTTCGTCTTTACAGCGGTTTCTAAAAGACCCGTTGTTATTTCTTCCGTTTCAGGATTTTGTGTTACATTTGAATTTGATTCAGTGACTACTTGATGAGTTACTGGTATTATAGAATTTTTAACCGTCGAAACGTCTTGTGAATCTATTGTGGTTATTAAATCATTAACCGTTGTAATTTCAACAGTCGACATTTGAGTTGTTTGTTTTGTTGTTGGTATTGATTTAGTAGTAGGCTTTATCGTTTCCTTAACTTTAGCAGTTGTAGGAGATTTTTTGGTGCTTAAAAAAACAGTTTTGGTTGTCGCCGTTGATTTGTTTGTTGTCGGTGAATCAGTGTTTGGTGGCGGAGTCGGTTTTACGGGGTTAGCCTATTTTATTGACAGTATATAAATATTAATATTAGTCTTTAATAGTAAATGCTATCATAGTATGGTCGAACAGACCTGATGAAAAGCTGAACATGTGTCGCATTTTAGATCAGTATGACTAAATTTGACGGATAAATCCAGTAACATCTGCAGGTTTGAGTTTGGATTAAACATCTGAGGTGGTTTAGTTGCCGCTTTTAATTGGGACATTAAACCAATAGATATTATCAATATAACGATGTATATTCCTTTTAAAAGAGAAAATAGATAGTTTTAGAAATACGTTTTGTTTTAATAAACCAAATAAAATAGATTTTTACCTAAAATTACCCATTTCCATCTAACAACCAATGAAGCAGTAAATTTATAAATATATCTTTGGAGGATCATTGATAAGCTACAACCCTCTACAACTCGAATACTATCGTCTCCCTCCGAACTTGTAATTTCAGATGTCTTATCCGACTTTTTAATTGGCGATAACATCACTAAATAAATAATATAAAATTATTTAAGTATTCTTATTAATAATACAGCAAATTAAAGCAAAATGAAGGATAAAGATAAAAGCCAATCTAGGGTAAAATTATTAGAAGATAAAATAATCAAGTAAATTCAGGCAATTCAATCGAATCTCCAAAATAATTAGAATTTCATGATATTATAAATAATTTTACATGCTATGTATATAAATATGATTATCTGAGTATTATATATATACAATGCATCAAAAATATATATAGATATATCAATAATGGAGAAGTTATAAATGGCATTGTTGTCGATCAATTAGTTTTACCTTATGAAAAATGAAAATATCTGAAAAAAATTAACAATAGAAGAAAGTTTCAAGATAAAAAGACTAGATTGTTAAATAAAAACATAAAAAAATATTAATATTCTATTGAAGAGGAGAATGAAAAGTGAAGTAAAAACTTAAAAAATATAGCTAGCTGTGTACAGTATATTCGATATTTACTATTAAGAGCTCCTAGGTATAAAGGCCAACCTCCTTCGGTGATTGTTGCTATTTCTTCTTTCTCTTCCAATTTAACATCACCCAAATCGTCATCAGTTTCATCAATGTTGTATTTATAATTATTAGGATTTGGTGATATATTAATAGCATCATCTTTAATTGATGCTTCCGTTTCATTTTCAATTTCCTCTGCTCTATTGATTTCGAATTTGGGAGTAGTACGAATTTCCTCAGTTTCGAAAGATTTACCACATTTGCAATTATTGCATCTATAGAAGAGGAGGGAACGGGAGAAAATTAGAGAGTATTCGGTCAATAAATTTACAGTTATTTACTTGCTAAAGCACATCTTTTCGCAGTTACTAAATCTATTATACCATAGATTAATGGCTGGAGGCATAATAAAAAGAACCGTTATCCAACAACAGCCAACTATTAGAGACATAAAAAGACCAAAGTCGTGCACTGCAGGAATCTTTTAAAACAAAATTATTATTATATGTAACATTAATGAAAAATAGAGGCTTTCATTTTCTAACTTACAGAAGAAGCAACGTTAGCAGCAAATGCTACTGCGGTTGTGAAAGAAGTGAAAAAAGTCGCTTTTCCAGCGGTAAGAAACATATAGAAAAGCCTCTCACCATGATCGGGTATAAAATGCGATTGTCTGAATGTATTTATAAAGACAAACACGTCGTCAACACCTAGAAAATATTAATATATTTATTTAAATTGATCATTTTTTTATTTTATTGAATCATTACCGATTCCAATGATGACGAATGCAGCAGCTCCGTTTAGAATACCCAAACGTGTCATCTGAAAGACAGCTCTATAAAAGAAGAGTGCCAGCGGAAAACTTAAAAGAATTGAGTATATCCCCCAAAATGTTAGGAATCCGGAAAAGGAAGTTAAAATGAACATGAATAGGACAATAAAACCAAGAGAAAATGCAGCTAATTTAATATCATCCCAAAAGGTTTTATCTACTTCATAATCAAAAAGAATGTTTCCTCCGTACAAGATTCGTACCTCATCATTACTGTATTCTTTAAGAAGGTCAATATAGCCAACTATAAACTTTTCTGCCATAGCCTCTTGCTCACCGCCTTTGGAATGGGAGTATTCGAAACCCGGAAAAGGAGTGCCGAACTGAACCTCAGTTCTAAGGAGAGTACTCTTCTTCGAAACCGAATTAAAATTTTCATCGACATACCAATATGTTCCGGCATTTGTTAAAGCAAATTTAAGAGTTTGATTTATATTCTGTAATTCACTTCCTAAACCATCGTAGTGAATAGTTCCATCGAACCCTTGCGAGGGGTAAAAGTAAGTTAAGAGGCTATTTAGTGGACTGCATCCGTTGTATTTTTTATAAAGAGGATATGATTTTTGCTCTCTATAGCAGAAATTTGTAAAATCCTTTCTGTTCATTATTCCCATTTCTACTTTATGAATTTGTTCAAGTCTACTTCTAGTGAAAATATTTTTGTCTTTTCCAATAGCTGTATAAACCAATTGCATCTTCCATCGTGGAATAGTCTGGCAAAAATTTCCACAAGCGGCAGCTCTTCTAAATCTCTTTAAAATATGATCGAATATACTACGCTCTCCATAAATTTTCTTCACTATCCTTTTAGCTTCCACTCTAGAATCAATATCTTTGATATCTCGTAGTCTATTATTACTAATGATTTTTTGATTGACCGCTGTAAGAGGTGGGGAGTCTAACCAATTATCCCTGGGAATTTCTCGTTTCCTTCTTCTTGAGAGTCCAGTATTTTTATCCCATTCGTCTTTAGCCATTTTGAATGCATCATAATTAATTGATACAGGATGATTGGGAATAGAAAAAGAATTCAAAGATTTATCGATAACAATTTCTGGAGTCATATAAAAGAAAGCATAAATAGCTGGTCCAATGCACACGGCGCTAGCCAAGAAAATTACAACGATTGACAAAATCTGCGACTTGAGAATAAATACAGTGGCTCTTCTAATCTTTTGCCGAAATCTCTTTATTGAACTACCATCAGTATTCTTGGAATGAATCAAAGAATTTGAACTTATCTGCGAAGTCAATTCTGATTGAGATGAATTGGTGGTTAGCTCCTTTGGAGAGTTCTCTTCAATAGTTGACATTCTTTCAGCGTTTCTGCAATAGGAAATGAAATTAGGATGCTTATCCTATCGCTACATAATTAATTAATTATGAAAACGAAAGAAAAACCAATTAATTATTGTTTATAAATCCACATTACCCTAGTTAAAATTCTATAATAAATTCAATACTATATGATTACTACTGTTGAGAAAATTTGGAAAAATGATCTTTATTTAAGTATCATTTTACATAATATCCAATACATAGAATCTTCAATTAATTGACATTCAGCTACGCAAATCGATTGATTATAGCATATATTAAATAGGCCTAGAATGGTGAACATATAGAACATTACAGTTTCATACCAATATTATTTTTCAAAATGGTTAATATATGTAGAATCACAAAATACTAATGCAAATATTTCTTGCATAGAGTACAGATATTTTATTCCTATATTCTAAATAATAACTTCACTGTTCTTTTTTCTTTGGAATATTAATTTATCTTTCTTTTGAACACGTATTAAAAAGGTTGAGGGCGTTATAGAAACTTTTCTTTTAACGACTCTACTCAGAATCTATCGATTTATGACGACTGAAATTTTCCGTAAAATGACTCATTGTCTAATATCGACCTAGTTCATCCTGGTAAAACCCAAACAATATCAAAACAAAACCTATGGCTACCCTCCTTTAAGCGATTTCAATAATCTTTTTTTAGATATTTAGTTAATACTTGAACACAATTACAATTATATTTTCTGCTTATCATAAAGCCGATCGTGATCTGTAATGTTTAATCATTTGTAGGGTAAAAAAATATCTTATGTTACTGTAAAAGAAAAAAGGGTAATGCCTTATAGAGATTCTTTATAAAGAGAAAACCATCCACTTTCCTTATTAATTTTATAGAATCTTAACCTAATTATTTAAACGTGTCCTTTCGAAAAGTAATTTTCCAAGCCATTATAATTTAGCATCTTTTTCTTGGAATTTTGTAATATTAAAAAGGGAGCGAACGAAAAGAGACCAACGAAATATAGAGCAATCTTTACCTTTGCGTAATGAGGTTATACCTTTACACCTTATTATATATTTCAATGAAAAGTTTAATTAAATACTTACTACATCAGCATGTTGGTAATAATTTAAAATCTCCTTTAAGGAGATCTTTTTTAGAATTTAAAGATTGAGCAAAGAAATATTTTGGTCACGTGATTTATGTCTGAAGCTCGGTTAGCAGAGACAGATCATTATTGAGTGAAAGCTGACTGTACGAACCTTCTATAATATGTAAATTCGGCTTCTTAAACCGAAAAAGCTCCCTTAAATAATTTAATAAAATTCCTAGAAATATAATAAAACGGATTTTATTCCTTCCATTAAGTTTATTTTCAAAAAAGAATAAAGAATAAAAAATAGCAATTATTTGTCAATTACATTCTCTCCCTGATAACAAACAAACGACAAATATGGATGACAACCTCTGAATAGGTAACGCCTAGAAAATAGTAATATTCCATCCAAATCCGTTTATTATAATAGCAATGAGAAAAACAATACCAATTAACCATATAGCAGAAATCGCTAAACTAAGTGTTCTCTTCCAAATTGAATTCCCGCCAATTTTTGTGATGTAAGATATAAATGCCGGACAGAGGGTTAGTGATGTTATAATAGCTATTGCCGTATTTATTAAAATAATCTTTGAAAATTTAGATATTGGATAAATTTCAGCTTGAGTTAAAGGTACGGCCGCCATCATTGTTGTAATCTTTAGACATGATTTATAATTATACTCTTAAAAATTAAACCGATTATAATTAACACTTACAGCAGAGCTAAATAATGAAGAACCTATAGAATACATTGCCGATTTTGTTAAACTTTTTCTATCGTGAGAATGAAGGATACTATGAGTAAACGACTGTTCCAAACTGTTAAAAGCTTCAGCAATATGCATACAATAATCTACAGAAGAGGCGAATAGGATTGATAAGCTGACTGCTTCAATTCTACCAATTCTCCATCCAACTATATAGAAAATTCCAATAACAGAACTTATGATTGAAAGTGTCGTAAGTATAACTACAAGCAATAATTCAGAACTACGAATAAAAACCATTACAGTTATTATGCAAATTACTAAAGACAGCAAAAGATTTGATATAGCGTTTGTCATAGTAATTCTTTCGGTCATAGTCTGAAAAGAAAGCGCAAAATGAATTATTTACTGTGTAATAGACAAACCTTATTTGTATATATAGATAAGTTTTTCTTACAATTTCCCATATATTAGATGTTTGTCGGATATTATGTAATACTGAATTTTTCCTTAATAGCTTTAACTTTATATTATCAATTAGTTTTTCCCATTTTAAATAATCATCAGACGCTCTTGAAAATCCAACATCTTTTTTTGTTGTCTATAGCAGTTTGTATTTTATGGAAACATAGAGTAAAATTATATCATATTGTGTAGCTTTAGGATAGTTAAATCAAACCGTAAAAAAGGCGAAAGATAGCCATTTAATTGATGATTCATCATCGCTGAATCCTACTCGGAATCGTTCGTTTAATAATCTTCCATTGACTAACTTATTTGGCGGAATTTTCCAACATTCGTTTATCTTGCCCATAGCTTGGTCAAAGTCATAAAGTTTTTGCGCTAGATCCCGTCTCAAAGCTTCAAGGGGGATTGTGTTAAAAATATAAAACTAATATAAAAAAAAAGGTTAAAAATAGCATACATACTTCTAACGAAATGATTTAGCTGAGAATTGCTGAAGTAGCATTGAGCTCCATTTTTTAAAACTAGAGGATGATTATGAACGTAATTACAAATGAGGCATAATTCTTTAATAAGCCTCAAAGATGTATTAAGGGAAGAAAACTTGAATTTATCTTGGAATTCATTATCGAAAGAAAAAACTGTTTTCTCCTTAACCCTATTATTTAGCTTCATTTTCTTTCGCTTAATTGTTTTAATTCCAAAGTACAAGTGCACTACTAATGACTTCTCCAAGGTCACATTCGTTAAAAAATTCCTTTTTGAAAAATTTTGAGAGTTAAAGTGTTGCTTGAAATAAATATCTAGTAGCTTCTGTTCGTTTGACTGTACTTGGAATAATTTCATGGGATTCGATGACGTTTTCAAATGGACCATAAGACACATCGATATAGCACCAATAGCGCAAAAGATTACTAAAATAGAATGTTATTTTTGTTATTAATTACCTGTTTTAATGAATTTAATTATGTCTTACAAAAGCATATTCCATAATATTTAATAGTATTTTTAGCTACAAATCTGTAGATAAAGGACTGAAGCATGAGATTTACGTGCGAAGTTCTTTTCTTATTATCCACTATATTAATTTATTGTAATTTCATTATATACTGTATAATACGAGTATAATAATGTAGTCTAATTACTTACCAATTGGGGGATTATTATCACTCGATCTAATTGTAAGCTGAAATTCTTCGGGAACCGCAAAAAGTGATGTTCCACAGCATCTAAAAGGATGGAATTTCATATAGTATAATTAAACTGTCTATTTTATTACAAACCTAATTTTTTCGCAGCTTTCCATTAATTTATCATAATTAAATCTATCGTGTAGGTTTAAAGCAGCCGGCATTATGAGAACTACAACTAGCCAGCAACTCGATACGATAATAGACATAAATAGACCAAAGTCACGAACAGCTGGGACCTAAGAATTTTACGGATTATTGAATCTAAAAGAAAGTGATTATTTAAAAACTAACTGGTGAAGACATATTAGCAGCAAACGCTGCTGATGTTGTAAATGAAGTGAAGAAAGTTGTCCTCCCAGCACTTTTCAAAGTTTTCAAAAGTCTTTCTGCTTTATTAGAAATTGAAATATTTGATTGAAATGTATTAATGAAGATGAAAACATCATCAACTCCTGAAATATATAATTTATTTGATTAATCAATATTGATTGTTTAGATAATTAATTAATTATCAATTTACCTATTCCTATAATAACAAAAAGAGCCACTCCGTTAAAAATTCTGATTTCGTACTCATTAAAGATTGCTCGATAGATAAAGATCGATAGAACACAACTAAGAAATATTGAATATATACCCATCAGAGTTAAGAAGAAAGAGAATGATGTCAGAACAAGCATTATTAAAAATACGAAGACAAAGGAGAAAAAAGAAAGCTTGACATCTCTCCAAAAAGCATTTTGCAGGCTGTCAGGTATAATATCTTTCCAAGAATACATGATTTGAATATTCTTAGTATTCTTTAGCTTAACATATTCAATTAGGCTTTTTACGAATCTCTTTTCATCTTTAAAATTCGATCTTGGCGGGAAGCGTAGACTGGAGAATTTTCTAAAAGTTCGTAACAATCGTCCATTATACAATTTCGATGAGAAATTTAACTTTTTCTTCCAAATATCAGGGTTCATAATTCCAGAATCCCGATAAGGTTTTTCGCATACACTATCCAAATCATTCTTCTTCCAACAAAACCTATTATAGCCTGCTAGTTTTTCGATTCCACTTTCAACCTTATCAATATAAATAAGATTATCTCGCTTGTAGATATTATCCTCCGTCTTATATATAATCTCAAATATTGATTGACAAACATGTTGATTTTTAATTTTTTCTCGATTATTATGATTCATTTGCAACATATTTAATGATGGTGTTAACGACGATAAAGAATTATTAGCGTTTATCATTTGAAATCCTTCATAGTTTAAAGCTGCAGGATGACTCTTAACGAGAAATGAATTTAGTGAACTATCAACACGAATTCCAGGTTCCATAAACAATAATGCATAAAAAAATGGCCCAAAACACAAAGTCGAAACGGTAAGAATAATGAAAAACGATATTGACGAAGTTTTCAAGATGAATAGTAAACTTCTTCCTAATATCTTCCTTATCTTCCTTATTTCCATATTCTTTTACTGTTAACAACAAACAGCTACCCTGGTTTTAAAAACTAAGCTCATGGAACAAAGAAGTTGACAAAGTTGCACAAATTTCCAGGCACTTTTTTTTAGTAAAAACAGAATAAAAACGCTGAAGTCTTCTCTCTTTCGATTTTAGATCTTTTATAATTAATCTTGCAAACTATTAAGTATAAAATTTAGATCGAATTGCATCTATTTTAAGAATAGGATAATTCTTGTTAGGTCCGGTTCTTACTAATGGCCGCCTTAAACTGAGCTAAGATAAGCGTTTTGCCTATTATGTAAATACTCTTCTAAGACAGGTGGCTCTATGTTCCCCAAGACTAACGGTTATTAGCAATGCCCATAAAATCTATTACTACGTCACAATAATAATTTAATGAACTAATTCTCTTAGTAAGAGAAATATTAAATTATTTTCGTAATTTTATACATTGAAGGCTTATTACATTTATTTACACTTATTTATATATAATTTTGATACTATATGGTAAAGGTACAAGCTGAAAACTTTAGAAAGATTTCCCACGATAATCCTCCAAAGCAATATTAATAATAATAAAAGAAAACATCAAATTCGATCATTCTTCAACTAAACAAACTTTTCGTGTTTAACTTTACGATTGATGATTGTTACCTCTTCCGTATTTTTTTTAAAAAAAAAACAAGGGCCATTGTTCAAGGATTATATAGGGAAAAGTTTACAGAGTTACCACCTATGTTATTTGTCATCGGATAGGCCTATGTTTTACCAATAAATATTTTCGATTTCTTCTCTCCAATACGTGAAAGAAATAATTTAACTTTTCTCTATAGATTTAGTAATTAAAATAAGTCATTAGCTATCTTTTAGAATAAGGCAGACGGTGCTGAACGGTCGGCTTTGATATGATAAATCTTTTATACTATCTAACACTTTCGGCTTTTCCCATTTGGGGTATGTTATTGTTACTTTTGAGTTTCTAATAAGTTTAATGACCTATATTAAGAATAAGTAAAAGTTTGTTACAGGAGTAGTAACAGGAGTTGTAATAGATGGAAGTTTGGCTGTTGATGATTCGGGATTAAATAATACGTATTGTTATAACGATACAATTAAATACGATTTTAGCTTTAATATCTCAAATTTTAACACCACAAATCAAACGAACTATTCTAATTTAACAATAAAAATTATCGGATCGGAGCATGTAAGCTTTCAGGTAAAAATTTTCCATACATTCTCATCTAATCTTCTATTAAACTTATATAGAGACATATATACTTGTATAATATATTTATTTATTATTAAATTAGGATAATTCCAGTTTGGATTATCAAATTAAATGGATTTTAAAAGTGTTTTTCGACGATAGTTTCAACAATTCCGTTGAAATTAATAGAACTTCTGCTGTCAATCAAACAATTACAATTATTGAAGAACAACTTATTAACTCTTCTTATATTCTTACATTTTCAAATTTAGCTAATATCGTTAAATTCATTCTACAAGGAACTGCTTACTTCAGAATTACTGGTAAATCTATTTTGTAATTTTTAGTTTGGTGCGCCATCTATTGTTTTTTTTAATATTTTTATCTTTCATAAAGATGAGGTTGAATGGGCTTATCCTATAACTCATCCTAATTTTACTGTCTATGGACAATCAACCAATGGAAATTTTTCGGAAAGTTTGCTTTTGACAGATTTGAGATATGGAAGTTTCCCAAACATGCAAACATTAATCGACGGCTACGAACTGGTAAAATCCGGACAAAAGCTGAATTCTAACGTTACCGTTAAGGTTGATCGTGGAAAGGGAATAGTAAGAATTGACTTTATAAGTGGTTTTTACGCTCATTGGTTTGTTACGAATATATAGTGTATATACTGTATATTAACTTTATTATATCTTTCATTTTTGGATCATTTAAGGCAACCTGAATCGACTATATTAAAATCACAAGCAATTGAATCGACTGGACTAAATCCATTTGTTTTCTCGAGGCATACACATTCTTTCGAGTATTTTAATAGATATGATCAACATTGGTTCAGCACTAATACCAAAATCAAAAGACCAGCTGATAACCCCGAACCCGAAGGTATTATACGGGTCGAAGGACTTTTTAGGATTGAAGATTATCGTAGACTGGCAAACCAAACAAAAATCTGGATGAATATTGCTGTAAATGTAAACGGTATGATATGGATAGGAAGAATGGGTTCAAGATTTTTCGACTCTCCGAATAGAGTTTCAAATTTTGATACTCAATTATATGTTGTTGATCAACGACTTGAAAATAACAGGTTGCTCTCTTTGACAAACTTTTGTTGAAAGTTTACAGTTTAAGTTTTTTTTAAGACAAGTTGTCAAGACAATTCTCCATGTTACTCATTTACCAGCATCTGAAGCCTATGGATCTAACTATACTCTTACGTTTTACGGACTACCAGGAACGACTTTCGGTCAATTCGTACAATCCGGTAGAAGTGCACGCTCCACGTCAAACAAACAATATTCAGATTGTTTTTCTATAAGAATTCCGACTCTCGTCTTTGCAGATATAGTTCACGTTCCTTTCGAATTTTCATTCCCTTTAAATTATTCTCTTGGTGGAGATCTAACAACCTATATAGGAGTTGCAGATATCTACTCGTACGTTGATAGTTTTAATAGAAGTGAACTGTTGAAATTCGATAGTATGTTCTTAATTATTCCTATAATAGGTACACTTTAACAAAAACTGCTTGATCTATTTTTAAAAGTTGTACTTTCAGTCCTATTACCGCCCCCAAAGATCACTGATTTTAGCAGTTTAGAAGATCAGGAATGGCGGCAAATTTTCAATAAATCTATCGAGGGTCACGGAAATAGTAGCGTTATGCTAAGAGGGAATCATTTATATATCTGCAAGAAAGATAGCGAAATGAGATTAAGAAAGAACAGATGTTTCCTCCAACTGCAAGATAAAGGAAGATTCGAGGGTAATTTGCAAATTGTTTCAAGGTTGATTGTAAAAAAAGCCGTTCAATCTATAGCCGTTGATTCACAAATCGGAACTATACTCTATAAGCATAAAACTGAAGATCTATTCATAGCTACAACTAATAATGGACGAACGTGTCTCAGAGGTGAAAATTCCGGCACATACTGGGCTGCTGATAATTGTCGAATCTTATCAGACTTTATTGCATCTGATTGGGAAAAGTCTGCTCAAGTTAATGCTCACGATATGAATCGATACTTTATCAGAAATGAAGGTAAGAAAATCAACTAGTTTCCATTTAGGTTAGGCGGTTTTATTTTAAGAATGAAATATATTCACAGTTGTAACGGATAGCTATTTAAGTGCTCAGTGCAAGAAACAAGTTCTTTCCTTCAACAATCGTGACTGTGAATTTAACGGCCTGACTGGCTGGCAAACAGTAGGCACGAACTCATCTCTTAATAGGACTGAAGAAAAGAGAAGATCAGGCGTAAGCAGTTGTAAGCTTGATGGTATTATGAAACAGAAAATTTCAGTATCGTAAGTATTAATAGTCAATAAGTTAAAAAGCTTAAGTATTGATACACGAACAAATAGATCACTCGAATTACTAGTGTCTGTGTATAGTCAACCAATCGACAATCACTTACAGGTCAATTATGGAATGACAGCTGTGGTTAGTAGTTTTAATAAACAAAAGTTCAATAGATACAAATTAGTCAACTTTTTTTGTAATAATCGTGCTTCATAATAATTGTAAATTTCATTCTTATGAATAATCTAAATTATTACGTATCAGGCAAAAACTGCAAGTGAAGAACATATTGTGACCACAAGTTTTGATTCGTCCCAGAAAAAGTGGCATAAACGAAGTATTCATTTCGAAACAGATTCGAAAATGGTAAGTCTAGAATTACAGATTCAAGGTTCTGCATATTTCGATGATATTCATGTGGTGTCGTTGGAAAAGAGTGAATCTTCAATTTGTTTGACGTCGTAAGTGTTGAAAATAAATTTATTCAAGCAACGCAAAAATGCATAGTTACTTTAATCGCTCTACATTTGAAACAAAAATTTGTGTCGACACTTTAGTTTTTATTTACTACGGAGGAAAAAATTACATCCGAACTTATGAAAAAAAACAGAACATCAAACCGGACAGTAGTTCAGATATACCTGTTAAATTAGGTAGTAAATTAAGTTCTATCCAACTTTGCAATGATTTCTTCTTCCAATAAATCCGACATATCATTAGCTTGAACCTCCAAGGATAAACCCTCCAATTTTCTCTTAAGAGCATCCTTCGATGACGCTATTAACATCTTTCGCTTGATTGGTGCATTATCAGGTGCCCTGTAGATAAGTGACAAAAGAAAATTACAAATTTAGTCTTTTAAACAACCAGACTTAATAAACGATCAAAGTATTTAAATTACTACAAAGCACTTGCAAAGCTGGCCAAGTAAATACATTTTATCAAGATGTTGGCAGTAAACGAGCTTGAACGCGAGAACGGCAGGTTTTGGCAACTTATATCATTCGTATATATAAATGGGCTTGTAAATAAAATATCTTTCTTATTAAATTCTCTCCTAGCAATCATTAAGCCTTTAAGAGATACTAAAGTAATAAAAAAGACTCCCCTAAGTTAATTTAGTTTCTTAAAATATTATCAATAAAATATGAGTCATTTTACGCAGAAACGGTAGCCGTTGTTTTACTCTTTTTAAAATGAGTTCAGTGTCAAATATACAAGATATATTGTATCAAACGCTGAGTAGTGTAAACTTTATTCTCTTTATATGTAAAGCTATTTAAAACACTCGACCTTTGGTAAAGAATAGCTTTTTTTCAGGAAAGCTTGTAGATAATACTCTCCGTGGTTGTTTACAATTGAAATCACAACCACAAGTATCTAAATATAATAATTGAATGCATTAATTTAATGTTGGATGCATTGCGGTAAATTGAACGAATAAAAAATTGTGAAAAGCTTTTATCGTATTCTACCATTTTTAATTGGGAAATCCCAGATATTATCGGTAATGATTCACCAAGTCTGTTAAGATTGATTTTAAACGAATTTTTTTAAAAATTAGACCAATGACCTAGTCGGGTCAGTGGGGCGGTAACGCCAACATCTTAGGTGATCCCAAGAACATCCGCCATTTTAAAATTAAAGTTAAATAGTAAATTAAGGCTTACCAGTGAACGAATATGACTTTTTCTTGTTTCGCTCCATCAGACTTCTTATTAAAATGGAAGTCGACTACAGCATAGCGTACATCGCAAGGTGGAAGTTGGTCAGTAAAATCCTTCCATGCGAAGCCATCGTAATTCTTTTTTGTCGTTTCCACTTCAATTTGTTTCAAATCATCAGAAAGTTTGAAAATGACGTACTTATAGTTATGTTGTAGTTGCAAAGCATTATAAGCTTCTAAAACTTTGGAGTTGACGTCAATTCCAGATGACATGTTTCTTGTTTCTTTCTGCAGGAGAAATAAGTTGTTTTAGTGACTTGAAGTTAACTTTTAGCGTAAAAAGACCAAAAATGAAAAGTCATTACCGATAATTATACAACTGAAAACCAAATGACTGGTTGACGATGTAAACGATATATCGATATCGACGATTTTGCCAAATTTCCTGCTAGACAGCGCATGCGCAGTGTTAGGACACTGAATATTTGGCATTTCTTGAAATAGAATCATTTTTATTTGCTTAGCCCTATAACGGCTAATGACGCATCTTGGCATTAACTTTTTCCATATTACAAAATAATATCTTGAAATGTTTATTCATTAATGAATAATAGAGTGCGCAATCTTGAAAAATGCAGTACAATTAGCTCAACTTATATCATACAAAATCTAGTGGTACAGTAACACACAAAAATTATATTTCTCTCTTATCTACTTAACTTCTTCAAATATTTTTATCTCTAAAGCGGTTTCTAAAATACTAAAATTGCCTATTATTCTATAAGACGTATCTCGGTTATACTGTTATCAGAAAAAGATTAAACACAAGAAAATATAAAAAGATATCAAACCGGCTTTCAATATGGCGGAGAAAGTAGAAAAAAAGGATAACACCACGCCAGATGGCAGTGACTAAACTTAACCACGTGACCCAAAAATAATTCAAAGTTAACATCCAATTTACATTGATTTAGGTTAATATTTAATAGAAAAAATAAGAGGCAAATTATTTAATATAATTCTAAATTAAAAAAATATTTAATACCGCCAAAAAATTGTCCTATTTTGCATATTTGTTTATCTATTTGCTGTAACTATGTCTACGTAATAGAATGAGAAATTATAAAAAGAAACATATAGAAATATATAAATTACTTACAAGAATTAAAATGAGCTCGTACGACGTTACTCTTTTGACAAATGGTAAAAATTTTGAAATTCAGAATATAAAGGCTGACATTGGCCAACTCCGTATAAAGAAATTACCATATATGGAAAATTACTGCCTTATATGGTAATTTGGGAAGTGAGTGTGTTTCACTCTATCGTTTAATATTCTTTCGTAACGGGTTATGTTAAAATCTATTGATAACCATTTATTGATTTTAAAACCATTTTTGGTAATTATTATATAGTTGAATGCTAATTATACAATTTAGTAAATCTTTTTACTTGTACAGGTCATAATAAAAACCTTATAGAACAATACATTGTAATTAAACAATAACTACAAGAATATAGAGTTAAATAAAACAATTGAGCTAATGAGAGGGAAACTTTCTTTTAAAACAATAATAGACCATAATTTTACTTATGATTTACTAACAACCTTGTCTATTTACCCACTGTTAATGATTTTTCTTTTGTAAATTTTAACCAAAACTTATTATTTAATCAATAAATGATATTATCTTACTCATAGTGAAATGATAATCTTTAGTAAGAAGAAATGAATAAGTGTCATCTCTAATTAATCAATAAAGGAAGAAAATTATGATAATATTATAGGTGTACTCACGTAATACTGCCTTAAGTCAAGTTCTGTGGATAGCTTGAAAGTCTAAGATATTTTGGCTCTTTTAAAGTTCTTTATATATATATATATATATATATGTATTGATAGATAAGAGCCAAATGTAGTATAAATTCCTCAAGTCTTATCGGAAAACGACTTATTTTTTTTACGAATTCATTTAACTAATAGTCTGTTTAAGTGTTGATTTTACTTAGTTCGAGTGCAATATTAATACCTGAATATTATTTATTATTTTATTGATTACATAGTTTCCTTCTTTTAAAAGGATCTAAGATTATGTATTTAGAGTTCAAAGGAAAAAGATACAATAAAGTTCAATTTAGATGAAAGATGATTTTCAAGTACTTTTTCATAAATAAGGTAAATCGGTGCATATTCTTCTTAACTCTCAAATCAAAATGTTATTTACTCTTATAAATATAAAAGAAAAAAGTAAGCATTGATTTTGAAGAGATAAATACTTTCTTCTGATAAGAATTTAACAAGATATCTATCTTTATTTATAATAAATGATATTGACATTGCCTTCAAACAATCGATATTCAATATTATCAATAATTGTGGAATCATAATTCTAAATATGAATGTTTGTCAATAATTTTTATATTTTCATTAATATCAAGGAAAATACACAAAATCTTATTAATAATCACTATTAATATTTATATGGCTACAAAATATGACTTTAAACCCTAAATTTTTAAGATTTTTAAGTTTTGTTCTAAAAAAAACTTATCTCCCTTTTCAACAGTGGCAGAAATAGTTGGCCAAGTATAAATAGTACGCTGTTTGTAAAGGTTTGTTAACCACTCTATATACTTCGCCTATATAGAGTATAGAAATTTTATCCTTCAGAAAATATACCGAATATACATATATAAACCAGACTACAGGTTATTTAAAAAAATTATAGAATACTATTTCTAGCGTCAATTTTTCTAATTATGAATATTAAATAAATTAATACTTAAATTGCATGGAGTTTTTTCTTTTAATATTTTATGACTGGTTCTTCATAGAATGTTTTGCTGTTGTTTATAAATTACTGCATATTATTAATTTTTCTTAGATTTTAATATAATACAAAGAAATTGATAATATTAATTTATTGTTAGGTCAAGTCGGATAGTATAGAACGAAATCACTATAGAGTTGAAATGCTTCGGTTTGCTTTCTTAGATTTAAATTGCCGCTTACGGAAACGGAAGAACTCAACAAAGAAAATTTTTAGGTCAATATCACAGCGCATGCGTGTTCTGCCTTCCCCTTCGGTCATTCGAGACAGTCGGAAGATTTCGGTAGCAAGTTAAAATCCGTAAGTTAACTATGATTTAAATATTGTTTCTTCACAATTTTACTCTCAATTGGTAGATAATTTAGTAATGCACACTTATGTATTATTCGTATCTTAAATTAATATTTTTTTAATGATTTTTTAAAGGGTTTTTATCAAAAATCGAATGACCTTCAAAGAACGAAAGAACGTTCTGTTAAAATTCACAAAGTCAACTTTATATGTTGCATATAATATTGCAAATATACTTTAATGCAATCATTAAAAGTAATTTTTATGTAATTTATTGCATTAAAATGTTGAACTTGAAGAATTAATTATTTTTTCTCTACTCAAAATAACAAAGCTGTCCCAGTATAATGATAGAGAAAAACTATTCATTTCTATTTAGTATTTTGACAATGACAAATTACCAGCTTTATCCTCATTCAAATTTGTCTTAATTTCAGTCTAAAAATTCATCATGTCTGATTTGAAAATTGGTATCAACGGCTTTGGTCGTATCGGAAGATTGGTTATGAGAGCCGCTTTGATGAAGAACGTTGATGTTGTTGCCATCAACGATCCCTTCATTGAATTAGAATACATGGTAGGCAAAATATTTTACCTAAAAAAAACGTTTTTTCATATAAATTAAAAATTTTTCAGGTTTACATGTTCAAATATGATACTACTCATGGTCGCTTCCCTGGTGAAGTTCGTCATGAGAACGGCAAACTTATCATTAATGGTAAGTCAATCCGTGTCTTTAACGAAATGAAGCCAACTGAAATCAAGTGGGGAGAAGCTGGCGCCGAATATGTCGTCGAATCCACTGGTGTTTTCACCACTCTCGAAAAGGCCAAGTGCCATATTGAAGGTGGAGCCAAGAGAGTTGTTATCTCTGCTCCTTCTGCCGATGCTCCCATGTTTGTTATGGGTGTCAACGAGGGCAAATATGACCCAAGCAAAGATACCATTGTTTCAAACGCCAGTTGCACAACCAACTGTTTGGCTCCTCTTGCTAAAGTTGTCAACGATAAATTCGGCATTGTTGAAGGTTTGATGACAACCGTACATGCTTACACGGCCACCCAGAAGGTCGTAGATGGACCCAGCAACAAGGACTGGAGAGGTGGAAGAACTGCAGCCCAAAACATCATCCCATCCTCAACCGGAGCCGCTAAGGCCGTAGGAAAGGTCATCCCTGACTTGAATGGAAAATTAACTGGCATGGCCTTCCGTGTTCCAGTTCAAGATGTTTCAGTTGTTGATCTGACTTGCAGGTTACAAAAGCCAGCTTCCTACGAAGCCGTTAAAGCTGCAATCAAGGCTGCCTCTGAAGGTGAAATGAAAGGCGTTCTTGAATATACCGAAGATGCTGTTGTTAGCTCCGACTTTATCGGCTGCAATGCTTCCTCTATCTTTGATGCAAAGGCTGGAATTGCTCTAAACGACAACTTTGTAAAATTGGTCAGCTGGTATGATAATGAGTTTGGATACAGCAACAGAGTAATCGACCTTCTTAAGTACATGAAGAGCAAGGAGTAAAGAATGAACATGTATTTAGTATCGTGTGTTTAATGCATGCTTATTTTCCCTTACGTAGGGTAATTTGGTGTTTAGAAACAGCCGGTATTCTACTCCTTTTCGTTGCTAATAAATGTGCACAAAAATTAAATTATGTCTTATTTTACAATATTTCGGAAAATAAATCAGCACGCATGCAATTTTTTTCGGTGATCATAAGTGCACCACAACTGCAATATCAAAGGAGTCGATAAAGGTCGCCCTGACCTATCATTCGATATTGTCAGATGGCGTTTGGTGTCTATAATAAGCGCCATCTAACATTGGCACGCAAGACATGTGAAAATGGCCGTCAATACCACGTGATTGTAACTTATGTGCTGATTGGTCAACTGGAGCGTTTATGCGGAACACACTATGGCGGAAGTTGTTCAGGGTCCTAGTAGCAGCGTTAATTAAAGCAATAAAATACTGTGATTAACGCCTTTTTCAGGCGCGTGCATTCTTAATTGGATTTCAGAATGAAATCAGTGAGTATTTTAAACTATTTTTGCTTGAAAACGAATCTTTTTTAGCGAAGTCCTACTTTGACCCCATTAATATACCTATTTGAGAACAAGTGGTCGCTGTACAGATAGATCTTGAACATTTAACACGTAATATCCAAACGATGGATACTAATTTGAATAAAATATATCACGTGTAAAGCACTTTATTGATTCCCCACGGCAATTATGACTGCTGACGCGATCAATAATTTTCCATACCACAAATGAAATCATAAAGACATCCAAGTTCAAAATAAAATTTTTAATGTATATTATATATTTTGAGTTAAATATATAAGCTGCAACTTACAAGTAATATACCTTATTCTCATCTTGCGGCTCTTATTGCCACTCCTAAATCGAACTATGGAATTTGAAGAGTGTTACGAAAATATTCGCTAGACAAATAGAGAGCTGAAGAATTTTTATCTAATTTTTAATAAATTAGAACAGTATAAATTCAATTTACAACAGCCACAATCCTTGATACTCTTATAAAATAAGATTTATTCGATGCTTTCTAAAAGGAGTAGCATGAAAATTATTTATCGTTATTGGATTCGAATTCCTTCTCGAAAAATTCAATAGATTCTACGGGATTATTGTTAATAAAATAATGCTTAGAAAGCAATCGCAAGATTCTTGTTTATACTGTTTCAAATCTGAGCGATAATCAAGGAATAAAAGTAACTCTCCCTTTATTATCATCAAGTTCTACGTGATGATCACCATGTAGACATTATAAAGCTAAAGGGTCGCTGTATCTACTGTATAAATAAGTTAAATAATATTTAATTACTTTACTAATGTCACTATATTTATTTAGCAAATATGAGCGACGATAATCAACCACCGAAGAAGATGCTTGGATCTTTCAAGTGTCGCCAGTGCAAATACACAACAAACAACGAAAAGCTGCTTCGAAAACACCTTGCTAAGCATGGAATTCATGCTTGCTTGAGTTGTGAGTTTGAGTGTGATGACGCTGATGATCTCGGAATTCATGTAAGCGTCCAGCATCCGGTTCTCAATGGATCTGATCAATATAGATGCACTGATTGTCGTTTCTCAGCAAAGCGAGATGATCAATTAAAGAGGCACATGCAAAAGCATGGGATGTTCTATTGCTTTTCCTGTGACTATTTGGGAGGAAATCTAGCTGATTTGAACAAGCATGCTAAAGAAGAACACTCCGTTAAGGATGATGATTCGGAAGGAGATCAAACACTTTACTGCGCTGACTGCAAATACTCCAGTAAACGATTAAAACTGTTAAAGAGGCATAGACATGCTATGCATCGAGTTTACTGTTGTCCCCAATGTAACTTTGAGTGTGCGTCAAAAGATGATATGGAAACACACAAGTTATGTCATAGAAAAGGGAATAGAAAAGTTGATAACAGATCTGAGAGCCATCAGTGCAGTCAGTGTTCGTATCACTCAAAGAAAATTCAATTAATTAGGCGTCATATGCTAAAGCATGGAATCTATCAATGCGAAGAATGTGGACACCAAGCAGACGATGATCATGAATTAAACATGCATATAGATGCGATACATAAATCGAAACCAATAAAAAGTACTGTTGATTTAAGTGATGACGATGCTGCTCCAACTTCTGGACCGATTGTTTGTCAAAGGTGTAGCATGGAATGTACTAGTGAAATGGAGTATAGACGTCATCAATCTGAGCATGGTGTCTTCTGCTGCACTCATTGCGAATTTATTGTTATAGATAGAAAGGACTACGAAGAGCATATTAAAAATGAACACCCAGATTCTGGAGAAGAATTTAAGTGCTCTCATTGTTCTTACAAGACAAATCAAGAGCAATTATTTAGACGTCATGTTCATAGCAAGCATGCGGATCAACCTTCTGAAAATACTGGTAAATTTCAATGTAGGAAATGCTCTTATTCCAGTAAGAAGAAAAAATACGTTTGGCGACATGAGTTGACCCATCAGCTGTATTCTTGTTACGTTTGTGATGGGGAAGATTTCGATAGCGAAGCACAATTTACAACTCATATGGCTACTGAACATCCAGAAGTTAATTACTCCATTGATGAGCCAACCTTTGCCTGTACCATCGACGGTTGCCGGTAAGTTGAAGAATTTATAAATATAATATACTTTTGTATATACATATAAATTTATATGGTATGTATAACTAATGAAATTATAAAGGAAATTAATTCCGAAATGCTTCTAACTAATTTCGTCATTTGCTGTAACCGAATCTAGATAGTAGTTAAAATTAACTCGCTGGCTATGTTCCAGGTTCATTTTCTAAGTGATTTAAACTGGAAGAGGTTGACTAATATTCATTTCTTTTTGTAAAAGATAACTAAGTATAGCTATAGGTTTTCTTCCAGTTCTATTAATACACCCTTGTGCATCCCCTATTTAAATATTCTACCAAGTTATTCTCTTTTACTGAATTTATTTGCACTCAAATGTCCCACATTTTTTCCAATTAATGATGAAATTGATAGAGAATATTACGAAAGATAATAGAATGAAGCTCAATCGATTTTGCTGTTGTATTTTTATATGACATGTCACTTCGTTTTCAGTTAGCTGAAAGACTTATTAATGTAATTATAAGAAGGGTAATCGTAAACATCAGGGGACTTTGCTGTTATTTGAGACAAAATCGACTCAACATGATTTACAGTTAATTCAGTTTGAAATAGCTATAAATTTGTTTGAAGGATACTGCGCATTTGTTAGGCAGCTATAAATTTTTCTAATCTATTTTGTTAAAGGGAGAAGTAAAACAAGATCTTATTTCAGTCGAACTTGTTTTAGCAATTTATTATTAACAATAGAGATGGTTCGGTTGAATAATAGTTCGGCTATTTTTGGATAATTCATAATTTTCGATATTATCTTGCACAGAAATTTTTGCTCATATTAATGGCTTGTTCTTTTTTCTTTTTAGATATACATCGAAAAGAAAAAAATTGCTGCAGAGACACCAATTGTCGAAGCACGACCACTTAAAATGCTCGGAATGTTCCAAGAAATTCGACTCTATACCTGAAATGGAAGAGCATCGGTGTGGTAAACAGGAGTCAGAAGACGAAGATGAATGCCTCGAATGTGGAGATTGTGACTTTGTAACTCATGATGAAGTCGCCCTGAAAAAGCATCAACATGAACATGGGCTATTTCATTGTCTGCAATGTGACTATTTGGCAGTTCATGAAGATGAATTAGATGATCATATAAAATCCGAACATCAGCATCAAAAATCTCCAAAGACGAAAAAAGTTCGGAAAAGGGTTTATAAAGATGAGCATAAGCCCTTCCCATGCCATCTTTGTCCCTATTCGTCCAAAAAGAAAAAATACCAAAAACGTCATCTTCGTGAAAAGCATGACATTAACTGCTGCATAGTTTGCGACTTTGAAGGATCAACCAGGGAGCAGCTCGATAAACATATGATAGAACAGCATCCTGCTCGATACGAGATAGAAAGGAAATCTGATAGTGTACATTCTTGTTCTCATTGTCCCTATGAGACAAAAAGAATTAAATGCTTTAAGAAGCATGTTAAAAAGCATGGTCCTTATGCTTGTCTCTACTGCAAATATACAGCAAAAAATGAAACATCTTTAGTTCAGCATTCCCTTGAGGCTCATGGGTCGAATGGGGGCCGAACTATGCTATCCGACGATAGTGATTCTTCGGACAGCAGCGACGGTGGCATCGACGATACGAAGACACCTGTGGCAGACTCTCAACCTAAACAACTTTCCAATGAATCTTCGACGTCGAAAACACATGAATGTGCTTTATGCGAATACGCAACACCATACAAAGCACAGTTAGCCCGTCATGTGGAAAAGGAACACGGTGAAAAACCAGCCATGATAGCCTGTCCTCATTGCGATAAGACTTTCCAGAAAGAATCAGCTCTTAAACGGCACTCAAAATGCCACTCAACAGAGACGCCTTTTTCATGCACTATTTGTGAAAAATCGTTTAGAACCATGTCGGCTTTAAACAAACATTTTTCAACGCACAAAAATGACTCAAATAGGGCTCAAGAAGAAGTAAGACCAAAGGCACCAAAAACCAAGGCAGCTTTGAAACACTTTGATGCTTCAGTCTATGAATTTGATAGTGGCGGTGAGGAAAAGAATAAGGTTCAAATACCCAACATTCCTCTAAGTGATTCAGACGGTGAAGATGAAACGTTTTCTCCCAATCGATTCACGAAGAGTTCACCAAAAAGAAAAAAGAAAGAGGAGACATCTAAATCTAAAGGACGGTCAGGTAGAGGGAGAAATAACTCAAAGAAAGTATACTACGACGAGGATGAAGAGGATGAATTCACGGAAGTCTTGCCTCAAAAGAAAAGGAAAATGATACCCTCACCAATAATACCTCCAGCAATGGAGGAAATGGAAGAAAACCAAGAAGAAAATGATGTAGTAGAAATGGAACCAGAAAATAGAGATGACAGTAGCAAGTCGTCATCTGATGAAAGTGATTCGGATTCGTCTGCAGATGAACAACAAGAAACTATGACTGAAACTGATCGAACGAGGGCAGAAGAAGCTCAAATTGTGCAAGACGACGCATCTTCCTATGCTCACTCGCTTGCAGACCTTGAGCCTCCACCTGCTCCAAGACCAAGAACACCCGAGCAATCTGATGAAGAATTGGACGAAGGTGTTCGAAATGGTAGAGAAGCACATACTAGCCTTGATTCGGGTATGGCAGATATGCAACCAGCAAGCACTGCACCCTTAGAGCAAATGCAACAGCAAATTGACAACATACCCGGCTCTGTTCCCCCGGCTAGCCATGATAGCGCCATCTCTCACGCCTCCAGCGAACATAGGAGGGATTCATATAAAGAACCAATGAGTCATGAATATGCTGGAACCGATGCTCACACACCAAGAGACGTCTCGGTAATAATGCATTCTGATGAGGGGAAAAATCCACCACCACTAGCACATAGGTCACCGGCAAGTGCGGGACCCCCGTCTGTTCAAGGTCCGCCTTCGGTTCAGCGTCCACCGTCCGTTCAGGGTCCCCCCTCTGTGCCACCTCCACCCACGCAGGTTCAACAAGGTCCACCTTCGAATCCTCCTCAATCCGCCCCGGACGCAACCCGCTCCGTAAGCGGTCTCACGCCGTCCGAACGCGATTTTCTTGGCCAATACCTACAGCCGACGAATGTCGATCAACTTCCTTATCATCAACCATCTTTATCGAAACCTCCACAATTAGACCTGTTGACACCTAGGGGTAGCGGACCCTCTTCCTGCTCTCTACCAACAAGCTTACCCCCGTCCTTGCAGACCGGCTACACGTCGGATCCACTGTTTAGCCAACCTACTCCAGGGCATTGGGATCCGTCGTTATACGCAAGAAGCGGCTATGGTGGTTATTTAGGAGCGGGCACCACAGCTCCTACAGCGCATGATTTCCTGAGACCTCCACATGCCGCTCCTGTTCAGCATCATTTGACGCCTGGATTGGATAAATACTACTATCACACCCCTCCCTACAGTAATTCGGCCGCCGCCGCTGCCATGGTACAACAGCAAGCGGATTACGCTAGGGCTCTATACACCCACCAAACAGCCGCTTATGGCCTCAACAAGTTTGCTCCTCCAGGTCGGGACTATTTGGGTACCGGGAGTAGACAAGTTCCCGGGCCCGGTGATGACACTTATAGGCATAATATGTCCATGTATGGTAATATGATGCTGAATAGGTATTTTCAGTGAACGATTTTTAATCTTGCAAAAAACATATGAAGAGAAGAATAACGAAATTTTTTCATGATGCATCGGGATTTTATTTTTAATTAATTCTTTTTCTTTTATCTCTTTGTACATATCGATTTATTTTCTATATTAACATTATTTTTCTGCTAAACAATTAATGCGGTTATCGTGTTTTTGTAGAAGCGTTTGTTAATGCAGTGCGATATCTTGTTGCTGACTTGTAAATAATGTTTTTTTCCAGATGCTGTTTGTTTTTTTATTGCAATAATGGCCTAATCTTGTTTGCATACATACATATATACATATATTGGTATATACATATATATATATATATCTGTGTATACAAGCAATTAGTGGCTAATATATACCCACATTTGTCAATATACATATTTATATACTTTTATATGGATATACTATGTATATGATAAATATATATAAATATATATTTATATATGTACATATTTATATCCATATATGCACATTTAAATAGATAATATATGTATAAATAAAAATATACTCACCAATTGGTATGTATATTTATTTATATATAGTGCTTTTTTTCCGTATATAGTTTTTTTAGTCAAGAAATATTTTGTTGTGTTTTAGACTGGTTAGGTTGTGATGTGCAATGAATATCTATTGACATATATATATTTATATATTTATATTTTAAAATATATATTTATATATATGTATTGATATATATATATATTATAAAAGATATATATAAATATATGCATATATACTTTTCGTGTTTACAAGAATAAATGTAATAATACAGTTTATGTGTTTGCAATAATTAACAGAAAAATGACTACTTATTATTATTTTCATTGAACTAAGTGTTTTATTGAAAACCGAAGTGCAACAGTGTTGAAAATAATTAATTTCATTTATTGCCAAGTGCCCATCTTACAACATATTTTCATAATAGAACAACATTGCTCTTCGGGTTCCTTGTGAAATTCTTGATGTAAATTTACCCTAAATCGAAATTTATCGAATTATATATAGCAAGTAAGAAGTAGGTGATTGTCACTAGGGGTCCGAAGAAAAAATGCTTACGATAAATAAGAAAAATGTCATATTTTTATAGTCGCTAAAGGGAGCAAGTTTTAAATTAACCAATTGGTATATTTATGTTAAAGATTACCTAAAGCAGTTGGGAAATGGTTGTAATTAAGGCTTGTTTGTAATATGTTGAAAAAATAGGTAAGCAGTTGTTCAAACAATAATAGACTGGCATAAAAAACTACATCTCTGTTCCTAGTAGGAAAATTTTTCTCTATTTCTGAGAGGAATTATTGATAAATGCCTAAATAGGGAACTGTAACTTAAGTACATGTGCTATACCGGATTATTCTCTAGAAGTCATTCTCTAGATATTGTTTCGTAGAGAAATAATTTTATAGTTGATATTAAATGTTTAAATATGTCTAATAATAGTTTAAATCTCTAGTGAAAATTTACCTTATATCTATTTCTTTTTCGATATACTTTTTAATTTATTCGTAAATTCTCTCGTAAATATCAGTCATTTTTTTTTTCTATTTCAAGTATGCTATGTCGTGATTCTACTGTGTATAGTTCTGGATTCTCGGAATACTATCAAGTAGATCTAGACAGGTGGGGCTCCTTATAATTTTCTTGGCCATTTCTTACTCTTCTCAATTTACCATTAGCGTACATTTCGTCAAACCAGCTGTATACTTTATCAAGCTCTTCTGAAAGATTTCACCTTATTGCTTTAAGAACCTAGAAAATGACTGCTAGAAATTGACTCTCCTAGTTAGTGTACTTTTACATAATGTACAGTAACAATATAGCTATGTAGTGTGATCCATGTTAAGATATAAATATCAAAGTATATATTGAAGAGAGGATAAATAGAGGACACGTCATTAATTCTGTGATTTTTAAATTGTAAGATGTGAAGAAGTATTATTCGAACCCCTAGATAGTAAATGTCATCTATACAATTTCTATATACTATATATATATACTGTATATATAGAAGTACATACAAATATACAAAGAAGCAACGTAAGACGATCAGTAACCGAAGCGCCGTCTGCGAAAAAACAACAAAACGATTTTTTTCATTTTTGTGCTAGTTATTATTATTCCATCTGCATACAACACTCAAGATAATTTTTTGACACTGCACTAGGGAATAACTCATAATGGATATTTAATAATAACATGCAGAAAAATGTGAAACGGTCGCTTACTGCTCAGCCAGGCCAGCGATATCTCCAGTTGAGGCGACAACGAGCATTTTTTTCGGGGCCTTATCAGTTTTCGGTACCCGAATAACTCGAAGTGTATTAGTATGACCCGAACCTTGACGCCATCCAGTAACGATAACAACCGTTGATCCACCCTTAACTGCACCTAATTTCCATCCGTGCTCTACTGCCCAAGTAATTCGTGAGTCCATATCTTCTACCCATTCAGGATTTCGAAGTTCTAATTTAAGAAGAAACACAATAAGATTAAAGACATAAATTTTATCAATATCAACTCAACTATACAAAAGTTATATCAATTTGATAATTAAATAGCTAATAATTTCTCTTTATACTTTTACACCAAAACAATAACCTAATAGAATATTATATATTTTCAATCAACCTTTCCTATAATATTAATTAATAATAAGACTATTGCTCTAAGGAATTTCAATAGAAACTTAGTCTATTAAAAGCTTTATAGGAGTATTTATTAGTAATATTCTCATTAAACAATAATTTCTAGATGGTATTATAATACAAATACAAGGTTCAACTTAATTCTAAATACTAAAGCTTTGATTAATTTAATAATAAGTTAAGTAGTAATTTAGATTATGAATAAAAAAGAATAAAATTAACCCAAGTTAACTAGATTATACTACCATAAATATTATTTTTCAGGCATATGCTTTGAAATATCAGTCAATAGTACGTCCTTGAATGTAATTATACGACATGTATTGGTAAAACCTGATCCCGCATTATTTCCAGTTACCAAGATAAGATGTGCACTTTTAGCCTCATCTGATAAACGATTTGGTAAAAATTGCCTATATTCTGCAAATTCTAACGCCAAAGCTAAACGTTTGTCTACTTCATTTTCCCAATCGATTCTATTCGACGCTAGATTTATATAGATTAGGAGATATTTGAAAAATTTATGAATCGTTCTCTTCAAGAAGAGAAAGTGGAAAGGAAGAGAACGATCTTCAATCTTTAACCTAGTATTCTCTTAAATATATCCCTAAATTGACAAATGATGTAAATCTCTTTCGACCTAATTTAACATTGTCGAAAGGAAGCGATGAGAGTAAAACTAGGCGATTGGTTGTCGTATCTTATATACCTGATCAAGTTTTTGTTTCGTTTTTTTTTTACTTACCTGTGTAATGAATTGGGAAAATTCCACGATATAAATGTAGCTGTCTGGCTACGCGATCGTCTCTTGTTACAGCTATTATCGGACATCTAGGTCTGTAAGCAGCTAACAGTTGTGCAGAACGTCCAGTTGATGTGATTACGACAATGCAACTTGCTAAACAATTAACACTGGCTTCGACGGCCGACAAAGCAGTTGTGTGAGTAATATCAGTTGGTCTCGGAGTTAACTGTCTTAGCTCTTCAAACAACTGCTTATGATAAACAGCGGCTTCCGCCTCTCTTGCAATATTATGCATAGTACGAACTGATTCCAAAGGATATGCACCCTTTGCCGTCTCCCCAGACAACATTACACAATCAGCTCCATCCAAAATTGCGTTTGCAACGTCTGAACTCTCAGCTCTGGTGGGTCTTGGCTTTTTAACCATAGATTCCAACATTTGAGTTGCACAAATAACTGGTTTACCAGCTCTGTTACACCTTCCAATCATCATTTTTTGGGCGAGGAACACTTTCTCCGTTGGGATTTCAATACCTAATTAAATAGAAAAGAATTTTTATTTCTATTAACATACTATATCACGTATAAGAATTTTTTATCAATTTAGAATGTTAAGAATAAAATAATATACTATTTGACGTTGATATAATTATTAAAGATTTTCTTTTTTTTTCTTTTTTATATGATTATGGTATATTATTTGTTAATTTTTTTCCTACCTAAATCTCCTCTAGCAACCATTATACCGTCGGCTTGTTCTAGAATTTCTTCGAATCTCTTTACACCTTCATGATTTTCGATTTTGGCAATAATTTTAATGTGTTTTCCCCGATCTCCTAGAATCTTACGAATTTCTCTGATACCGTTACCAGATCTTATGAATGAAGCGAAAATCATATCAACATTTTGTTCAACACCAAAGAGTAAGTCCTTCTTGTCCTTTTCAGATACAGGTGGAAGATCGACTGGTGTTCCTGGAAGATTGCATCCTTTTTTCGATCCCAGTAAGCCACCATTTTCAATTCTACAGGTTAATGACTTGTCATCCTTACTAATAACTTTCAAAGACATTAAACCATCGTCGATATAAATATAACGGTCCTCTTCAAGTACTGACGTTATATTCTCATAATCGACATAGAGTATATTCTCATCACCGATTTCTGCGTAAGCTTTATCTGTAGTTAAGATAATCGTTTCTCCCTCTTTTAACTCAATTTCAGCTGTTGGGCCTCCCTTCAGTAGACCTGTTCTAATTTCAGGTCCTTTAGTGTCTAGAGCAATAGCGACAGTACGATCGCGTATCTGATAATAAAAATAATTTCTTTTAATTAAACAATTAAAAATAACAAAAAGAGAATATCGACTAAGATTTCTTGAAAATACTTAGTTCAATAATAGAGAGAAAGCTTTTAAAGTCTTATCTATGTAAGGCATTCCTTAATCAAATATCAAGTTAATTTCTAGCGATAAATATAGACCATTTATGAAAATTCATTATACAATAATACAAAAAATATCAAGATCTAACGAAAATTTTAAGCAATTGTGATATTTATTATCTACAGTTTTTAATATAAAGCCCGTATCTGTTAGAGTGTAATATACCTTTCGTAATTTTGTTTACTTTTTATTGTTTTTTTTTGTTTGTTTGTTTTTGTGAGATATTTAAAGAATCCGTTTCATAAAACTGTTCTTATTGTAAAAAAAATTTACTATAATTCATTAGCTTTAATGTAGGTTAATAATAATAAGGAATACTCTCTTTAACAGTCTAACCTCATTATTAGCTTTTCGGACATTCTCGATGGTGCCGCGATGATAATCGTAGTCTCCATGCGAAAAATTCATTCGAGCGATGTTCATTCCTGCTCTAATCATCTCTTTTAGCATTTCAACGCTTCTACATGCAGGGCCAATAGTACAGATAACTCCGCTCATTCGTTGTACATGAGGTGCTGAATCAATGTCCAATTCACACATAGATTCCAAATGAGTTGATGCATAAGCTGCAATAAGTTGGTGTTCCAGAGAACCTTCCGTCGCAAAGGTTATTCCACTCGACCATGATGGTACATGCAAAAGACCCTGTAAAAGAAGTTCTAATTGAGTATTGCTAAAAATAGATCAGCAGAATGGGTGTGCATAATCAAATAAAATGCTTCGTTTTCAGTCCACACAATGTTATTCAAAGTGTTTGATAACTTGAGATTCCAGGATTAATCCCAGATTATCTGTTGGTTGTATCTTTTATTAATTTCTTAACCTGTTGTTCACATTCTCCTTCGCCTAGAGAATGACCAATTGTATTCCTTAGATCAGTACTTGACCCTCTCGGAGATGGGGGAATATTAAGAATTGGCGTAACATTTAATCTATCCTTCTGTTTTCTACTTGTCGCCGGATTCATATTTCTAATCAGGTAAGCTTTAGCCTAAAAGCTGCTAAAAACCGACACTAACTGGTAGTCTTATCGAAAACGACTGGCCTAAAATGGATGCAGGTCGCATTTGGTATTTGACTGTGCGCATCATACGATATATATTTTTGCCGTTCGAAAGATTTGTATAGTAAGAATAAACGTATTTACACAGCTTTTGCTCTTACTCTGTTATCGTGTCATAACAATATGAGACTAAATTGAGCTTCTAATGTTGAACATTTACGTAATTATAAAATTTATTTAGTAACTTAGACTAACAATTACATGTTTGGGGGTAATTTTCCATTTGGATTCCCTCTTTGACAAATTTGGATGGATTTTTGGTGGTGGGATCTACAAAAATGTATCACATTAATAAAGTATTAGAAAGTAACCTACACTGGAACTGGACGATCCACCAGGTTTTCCTCCTATCATTTGAGCCATAGCTAGAATAAAAAAAATATATAATTATAGAGATTTAATTATTAATTTACAAATTCTGCAATGTAAAGAGTATTCAAGGTCAGACGGTGTGTTAGTAAAGTCAATACTCTTTTGCAAATATATTCCAGACAGGATAAAAATATCTGATACTAAAAATAACACTTATTAAACTTGACTTTAAAAGTCTCATTTGATTTAATTGATTTTTTTTTTAAGAAATTTTTATTGTCGTTTTTCTATAGTGTGATAATTTCTTGAGCAATTTTTTTATTAATATTTTTTTTACTTGCATAAAAATAATAATTAATAAAATTATTTATAATATTTAATCAATACATGCATAACCTAAAAGAGTGTATTTTTTATTAAGATAAAATTCTTGCATTATTCGTAAAAATGACTCATTATCGCCCAATGGAATATATTTTTTGCTCTACTTTAAGAGATGGTAATGTTTTGAATATTCTCTTACGAAAGGAAAAGTAGATAACAAAGAAACTTTAGCACCAATATTATCAAATAAGCGTACCTTATCGGCCTGTTTTGGGTCAAATTGGTTCAATGTTACTTGCAAAGTCGATAAAAGGACAATTAGACAAACGTTCACTGTATCTGAGAAAGCAGAAAATTTTTCAGACGCGCCATCTATCTCCACAGCTTGTTTTATCTATATCCAAATCTAAAATTACGCAATAATCTTACTCACTTTTTCCATAGATATTGCACAATTCTTTTGTATTGTTTTTAAAATAGTTATTTATATATTAATTAACTTTTGTTTATATTAAATTATTTCAATATTTAAATGTTAAGCAATTTAAAAAATATTCCTATTCATTCATTCCTTTGATTCGAAAAGTTTGTCAAGCTCTTCTTCCAATTGGTGATTTGTTCCCCTTAAACCTTCGACAACTAAGCTTGCCCATTTAAAATATTCGCTAACTCTCTTCGGATTCCAACCTGACGGTGTTGCCCTATTTAAATCTCGAAGATTGTACAGCTTGTCAGCTAATTTAACCAGTTTTGCTTCTTTGCTCTTTTTTGGAGCATTTTCAATTTGAAGTCGCTTTCTTTCACTCTTTGGCAGATGTTTATCATCCGTAACTTCAGCTACTATTCCTATTAATGAGAAAAAAGAGAGGATTGATTTGAATAAGATTAATTTTCTGATTTTCTATGATTTTCCCACCTGCAACCTTATCTCCGAACTTTTCTTTAATCTCTTCTATTGTTGTATCAGTATCTTCAACGGTATCGTGCAGAATTGCCGCCTAAATTAGGTATTTATCAACTTAGCTTAGAATTAAAGACATTTTTTTTAGATAATTATTAAAATTATTATATTTACCTGAAGAACGCTAAGGTCGTTCACTTTTCCTTCTTCTGTTAGAATCCTTGCTACTCCTAAAGTAGATAATCTTTATTAAGACTGGAAAGATAATTAGATAATTATGTAACCAACCAATAGGATGATTTATATAAGGAGTCTTTTCAGGATCTTTACGTCTTTGAGCTTTATGCTTTATAGCAGCAAAATTTACAGTTTCTACCAAGAGTGATAGATCTCCCATTACTTTTCGGCTACCCTTCAACATTAAATGTTCGAACAGGAAGTGTTGAAACACAGTGGTGACCTCATTGATTATTTGTAAAATTAGAGAATTTTATATCTTGAATACTTAATTAAGACTGAATGAAAGCAATTTAAACACCAGAATAAAGACATTGCCATATTAATAGAAAGTTTATACTAAAACTTTTTTTGATTTTTCATTATATTGAACATACCAAAGGTCGATAATAGGTAGTTTACACACGAAATACTTATTATAAACAATAACAACAATTTTGCTAAATTGCAATGTAAATCAAATGGCAAAAAATGATTTGTAAAGAAAATTATCGAATCATTAATGTTATTATGTAAATTGATTAATGCACTATTCGACCAATTTCTCAATTGCGATATCAAATGTGGCGTCCTCTAGTGTATATTGTGAAATTTTTTCGATTTCAAGTTGGAATGATTAAGAGTTTCCAATGGTAGTGTGCAATTTCTTTATGTTAATGACAAGAATATACATATATAAAGAGTAAAAGATTGTAAGTTTTAATTTAAGACTAGCTATTGCAACACCTTCATCAACCTATATCTATTTGCTAAAACCAAAGCCTATGGGACAAAAGAGTTCAAAACAGTTTAACAGTGAAGAGTTAAATACAGAATTGTTGCAGGAGATGAAAGAAAATACACATTTCAAATCGAAAGAGATAAAAGAATGGCATGATAAATTTAAGAAAGATTTTCCATCTGGAATAATTAAGAGACACGAATTTAGGAAAATATATATGGAATTAACCAATAAGGTTTGTAATTTAAATATGAAACAATCTTATCATCAAATAATATTTTGACTTAGTATGCTTCGTTTGTTATTACTTCTTTTATACTGTATGTATATATTAATATACATATATACAGTATATATATCAAATAACTTCTGCAGTTGTTACTTCCTTATAGAAAATTATGAATGATGATGATAGATAAATAGCTCGTGAAACATTAATAACTATTTATTATGACTATTTCATTAATAAAGTAAAATTCCTAATAGATTATAATGCTAAACTAATTTTCTTTCTTATTATCTAGAAAAGCGAAGAGCTGGCTGATTATGTTTTTGACGCTTACGATCAAGATAAAAATGGTGTCATAGACTTTAAAGAGTTTATGATTACTTTAAGTATTACATGCCGCGGTGATATAAAGGAAAAGCTTAAATGGGTATTCGATATGTACGATACAGACGGCAGCAGTTACTTAAGTAAAAGCGAAGTTATCAAAGTTTTAGAAGTCATCTTTAGAATGAAAGGAAATGATAGAGTTGAAGCAACAGCTTTTCTTCAAACTGTCGATATATTCAAAAAATTAGATAAAGATAAGGATGGCTACATTACCAAAGAGGAATTTTGCCGTATTGCCACAAGAGAAAGAGAAATAATTAACATTTTAAATGCTATTTAAACCATAACATTTCTTTGCTAACCCTTCCATCCCCACTGCCCTCCCCTCCAACACGTCTCGGTGATATGTATAAATTTAAAAACTGTTAGTTTGATAGAATTTATGTTTATTGAATAAACGCTTTAAGAGAGAGAAAATCAATTGTTTTTGGCCCATTTCTTGGAAATTTTTAAAAATTCAACTTCCTTTTAGGAAGTAAAATAATTAATAATTGAAAGGAAATGAAAGGTTGAAAATTAATTATTAAATATTTTCTTTAGATGTTGTAAAGAAATTGATTTGAAAATTTTTTTATTCTTTTTTAAATTGAGACATAAATTTATTTAATGGCAATTAAATATTTAATTATTTCTTCTTTGCTTTCAAATCTGAACAAATAGCCAGAATACTTTCAATCATTTCAATTCGAACAATTCCGGCTTGTAGAAATTCTTTTCTAGAGTTCATTTGTTCAGTTGCATTACAATTTTGTATTTCTAATTGATAATGAGCTTTTGCCAAATCGATAGACTTTTCTAAGGGTTTTAAAAAGTTCTTTTCCACGTAGTCTGCTTTTTCTATTATTCCAGTCTCATTTCTTTTGTCAACTGATATAAGATATCTAAACAAAGATAAGGCGTCCAAAAGAAATTCAGCATTGTCCAGTATATCTTTTTCAACGTTGAAAAGAAATATATCATTGAATAGTTTGTCCAAATGCTCTCCTTTTAAATATTCGTTCTCCTTTTTAAAAGTCATATTTTCTTGTAGACTATTCTTTAATAATATAATCCCGTAGCCTTTAACTGCTTGGTGACTATGATTAATAATTCTTTCGAAGAAGATGTATTTGCTTTCGTTCGATAAGACTTTAATGAGCTCTGGCACTATTTTGGATGCATACCTTCTCAAATCTATATTGGGACACCTTAATAGGATCTGATAGATAGCTTCCAGTGTCTTATTAAGCTTTTTAATTCCTTGATAAGACGTAGAATCTTCTTGCATTGTCGAAAACATGTGTATAGCAATATTAATGCCTTTTTTAACTATAATTTCACTAGTATCCTTCAATAGTCTAATAGATGAATTCAAAAAAGAGCCTGTTACAAAATCAGCCCTATAAATGAGGGGTATTGCTAAATTTACGCCTTCTATTGTCGCTAAAAATGGAATCATAGAAATTCCTATCTCTGGAATAGGTTCTTCGACGTCTAATAAATCAGTATCCATATTCTCTAAATCATTTGTATTTAATGATGATCTTTGATGCTCTATTTGTTTCTTTCGAAACATAATGAACTGATTCCTATCCTCTAACTTCTCAATTGTACTAATAGCATCTCTAGAACAGCAAGAAAGAATATCGCCTAGCTTCTGATAGATTTTGATGAGAGAATCATCAGACAATGTGACATCAATATTCGATAGAGGATGTGCCAAAACTTTAACAACAAACAAAAGTATCTCCTCCAATTGTTTATTATTTTTGTCCCGATACTCCTTTGTACTGGCATCAGTTACTGCAATTTGTCGAGCGAAAGGATAGACGAAATCCAAAGCTATATTTAATCTTTCAAAAATTCTATGTAAATCCTGGTCTTTATCACCAATTGTTATTGATTTAATATGAGCATTTAGGACACTAAGCACTAAACCAAGAGAATAACCCTTCTTAGATGATAAATTATCAAGACATTTAGATATTGGTTTTAACAAAAGCTTAAATCGAAAGTCGCATATAAATTTGTCGAACTGTTCCATAAATACAATCAGTAAATCTTTTGCAGATGTAGCTACTTCGGTTATGGTGAGCATTACGTGTTCGATACATTTACTCCTAGCTTCGCTTTCTTCTGATAATAATTCACATAATTGGGGTATAAAATCCCAATATTGTTGTTTAAGGTTAGATCGAATAGAATTAATCGTTAATAATTCTTCCAAGTCACTCAAATTTCCCTCTTTTATTAGATTAATTAATTCTGTCATCCTGCAATACAAAATAATAATTGAACGTGTGCTTTCGAATGTTATTTTCTTAAATCTTAAACCGGGGTTCAAAAATAACGGAAAAAAGAAGTTGCAGCCGCAATCCAAACTAAAAAATAACCTAAATTAATTGTGAAATGCCTCAGAGTAATATTAATCTGCTCAATTTGAAATAATAAGAGATATATAGCTTTCGAGTAGTCAGAGTTTTGTCAGTAACGATAATAGGTTGCACTGCGCGGTTTCGTTTGGAAAAGCAGAATATTTTGCCGCATACTAGATATGTACCAAGATAATGATGAGTAATGTGTAGACTTTCTAGTGGCCATTTTGGAAATTCTGTAAAAGTATAAATAGTCTTGTGGCTGGCCCTACGTTTACTGTATGTTTGTTGTCGAGTATTTCTACTGCAGAGAATAAAAGGCGGTGAAGGTCTTTATCGCATGCTGCTTATTATATGAAGAGTAGAAAATATGGCAAATGTTACAGGCACACTAGCACATATATCTAACAACCTTTCGGCCATCGAACTGAGCATCGTAAGCAATTGTTTTGTTATTTACATGAAAAACTGACTTCAAAGCTATTGATTTCATGGTAAAAATCTAGATGTCCCCCTTTTTGGTCGCTAAATAGTTATTGATCTCAAAGATTAGTTTATGTAAAAGCTGTTAAACGCATACTTTGAATATTTAACCTAACAGCAATTTTTCTAGAATACTAATTCAAGTATACTTCCTTACAGAATATTTTTGTCAGTATTGGAATTGGTGCATTTACATTATTTTTAATCACTTATTACTGCCTAAGTCGGAAAGTTAAGGTGCAAATTGTTCACGAAGGTTTACGTATACCCCGTCTCTCAGTGTCAACTCGTCCAACAAAACCTCGATTTCGCAAGAGGGATAAAGTTTTATTTTACGGGCGAAAGGTTCTACGAAAAGTGAAGAACACAGTAGCAGAGGAGCATCATAAACGTGCTAGAACCGTAATCAACAAGTTAGCCAAGCGACTCCTCAAGCCACATCAATCTAAAGAGCATGAAATTTTGAATTTACAAAGGCCTCCGCCTTCATTTTTCGGTGATGATGACTTTAGTCAAGTGGGACCTAATTCCGATTCATCCGGAGTTCCTCCTGAGTTACTATATCTGCTACGATCTGTGAGAGTGTTGGGTCATTTCGAAAAACCTCTTTTCCTTGAATTATGTCGCCATGTAAAAACTATATCGCTTTTAGCATCCCAAAAAATAGAATATTTGCATCCTGATATATATATTGTGCAGAGTGGAAAATTAAGAATACTAATTACAGATACAGATGGCTGTGAGCATTCTGTCAAAGATACTGAACCTGGTCAGAGTGTTCATAGTTTGTTGAGTCTTTTAGATGCATTACTGGGGCATACAGTGACAGCAAAGATAAATGTTAGCGCGGTTGCTATAACTGACACGATTGTTTTCCATATTCCAGCTTCAGCTTTCGCTGATATACTTATGGGATTTCCTGAATCTCTAGTTAGAGTAGTTCAAGTGATGATGTTGAGATTACAAAGAGTAACTTATGGTGTATTGCATAATCAATTAGCTCTGACAGCCGAATTAACCCAAAACGATCAAGCAGTAAGTCACGATTTAGAAGAAGAAAGAAAGAAAAATAAAAAGATGTCCTTGAGGAGAACTTCTCATCCTCCTGAAGCCACACCTTCCGATTTTGAGGTAGCTATGGAGACAGCTCGTGTGGAAAGTATTCAAGGTCCAGCGTCACCAAGTAAAGTCAGGAGTAGAAGTCATCATCCGATTCATTCTCAAAGTATCACACCACAAACCGCAGAAATGCATATGGCAAGGGTGTTAGGAGTAGACGATGAAAACTTGCTAGCTGGTAGAGTTCACATAAGGAAGATTCAGCCTGGAGAAGAATTGCTCAGGCAAGGAGAAACAGATTGCTTTTTGGGGGTTGTGCTTGTTGGAACTCTTCACGTTCTTCAAAAAGAACCAGATTCAGGAAACGAAATACATATTCATTACTTAAGAACTGGTGAATTAATAGGCTCTCTCGCCGTGTTGACTGGTGAACCTTCCTTATTCACCATACGAAATAAGCTTCATACTGAAAATGAAGTACTCGTCGGAGTACTCTTGAAGGCTCATTTTTATTCTATTATGCGTGAAAGACCAAAAGTTGTCTTACATTCTGCTCTAGCAGTGGCAAGAAGAATGTCATCTTTCGTCAGACATATAGATTTTGCTTTAGATTGGGATTGCATTGAATCGGGTCACAGATTATTCGCATCAGGAGATCCAGCTGACAGTATTTATTTAATACTGAGTGGACGTTTAAGAGGTGTTACAGAAAAGAAACATGGTGAATCAGTTGTCTTAGGAGAGTATGGTAGAGGAGAAGTTGTTGGTGCTCTTGAGGTTCTAACCCATCATCCTAGGCAGTCCGGCCTGATGGCTGTAAGAGATACTGAAGTGGCCAGAGTACCCTCGGATTTGCTGACATATATTAAGAGGCGCTATCCTCTGGTGGTTTCAAGGCTTATTCACTTATTAGGACGCAAGATGTTTTCTTCCAATCCAACCTTTCCCTCCACTCTTCATCACCAACCGACGAATATAGCAACCGTTGCTGTGTTGCCTGCTGCTTCCAATGTACCCTTATCAAACTTTTGTCTTGAGCTCGAACATGCTCTGTCCGCAATTGGATCAACTTTGAGACTAACTTCCGAATGTATTCAAAATCGATTAGGGACCGCTGCCCTAGATCCTGTAAACTACTTGAGATTAGCTTCCTGGCTAGGTCAACAAGAAGACAATCACAAAATTGTCATTTATCAGTGCGATTCGAAAATGAGTGCATGGACTACACGCTGTATACGGCAAGCAGACGTAATATTAATTGTTGCTTTATACTCTTCAACACCCACTGTTGGCGATTTGGAGATGAAAGTTGACAATATGAGCGTCAGAGCTCATAAAGAATTAGTTCTGCTGCATGCCGAAGACTCGCCAGATTTGCCTAATAATACAGCAGCATGGCTTAATGCGCGTGGATGGTGTACAGCACATCATCACGTTCGCTGTCCTTCTAGAGTATTAAAAAACTATTCATCATCGAAATTAAATGCAATATATCGAAGACTTTTTGATAAAAGTCCTGACAAGCTAAGTGACTGTTCCCGATTGGCTAGATTACTGACAGGAACTAGTGTCGGGTTAGTTTTAGGCGGAGGTGGTGCTAGAGGTTTAGCTCACGTTGGACTTCTTAAAGCCCTATGTGAAGCCGGTGTTCCCATTGACATGGTGGGTGGAACTAGTATTGGTGCTCTTATGGGAGCTCTTTGGTGTCTGCATACCGATGTCACAAAATTTACTCAAGCTGCAAGAGAATGGTCAAAATCTATGACATCTAAACCGAAATTACTGTATGACTTGACTTATCCTGCGACTGCTTTAATGACAGGATCAGTTTTTAATACTGGTTTGTAGACGATATTATTTAAACGACTAAATTATACTTAGCTTTTTTCAGGTATTAAAAGCGTTATACCTGAAGATAAGTCCATAGAAGATCTTTGGATACCATATTTTACAATAACAACTGATGTTACTGCCTCTGTACAAAGGATGCACACTTCAGGTTCATTATGGCGATATGTTAGGGCATCTATGTCTTTAGCTGGATATTTGCCTCCCTTGTGTGATCCAGTAGATGGACATCTATTATTAGATGGTGGATATGTGAATAACGTACCTGCCGATGCAATGAAACAACTGGGTGCTGAAACTGTAATAGCAGTTGATGTAGGCTCGGAAGATAATAATGACTTGGCAAATTATGGTGACGAATTATCTGGATGGTGGGCTCTTTGGCAAAGAATAAGGGGCAGCCGCTGTATTCTTAATATGGCTGAGCTGCAGTCTCGTTTAGCATACGTTTCTTGTGTTAGACAATTAGAGCAAGTAAAGAGTGGCAGTATGCCTGGTGTTCATTACGTGAGACCACCAATTAATAGGTAATTTAACAATTATTATGGTCATTTTTTTCAAATTCTTTAATAACTTTTAGATATTCTACCCTACAATTTGGTTCTTTTGATGAAATTTTCGATGTTGGCTACGCTCATGGAAAGGCGCTGTTTCACACCAGCCTCATAGATGAACTCTTCCGTAGAGAGTTTCAGCCGTTCTCTGCTGTATCTCAGAATACTATCTCGCCAAAAGAAGAAGACTTTATTGATCTGGCAGAACTGATATCTAAAATTGATGAACCTTATAGAGTACCGTCTACAGCAAGTCTTTTGAGTCTTGCTCCTTCTGAGAGTTGTTCGGAAGATGAATGTAGTTTGATAGCCGAAGAGGAGAGAAACTCTGAAACAGATACCGGTTTTCATGCTTCCGATCATGCTGACGAAAATGACGAACTTCGAACTCCTCCTGAAGGGGATCCGAGTCCAGAAGAAATGACTACAGTAACTTCAATGACCGGCTCTTTAATATCGACATCTGATTCAACTATGCTACGACAAAGGCAGGTAGATGGTACATAAAGACTAAAGTTATGATAAATCGAATTTGGCTTTATTTTTCTCGTCAAGAATTGATATATTTAACTGCTTTAGCATGGAAGCGAAAGTGTTGCCAAGATGTTTCTAAAAGAGGATAAATAGTCAAAAATGTGAAAAAATATAAATTGAATACATTCTTATATTTTGACGAAAGAGTAATAAATTATCCCTTCGTTGTATCCAATTTAGAGAAACGGTAGATTTTCCCTCCAAAATTTCCGGAAGTCATTAATTCGTTAATCTTCCGGTTACAAACGTTTACCTTATTGCATTTATCAAGTCTCTTTCAATATCTCCTTAATAGTTTTCGCAAAGACAAGGTAATAATTATTTTAACATCATCATTGATAATACATTAATAAAGCTCTTTAAGTTACTATTACAGAGCAAAATTTGTTGAATACGTTTAAATTATAAATTATTTTCGTGCGGCTTTTTCATTTCGTAATAATTGTCAAATGCTTAAACATTTTTAAACAGCAGAGAAAAATGAATGGAGAAAACGATATGGTATATCCGAGTATAGCTCAGCTATCAGATGATGACTTATTCAAATGCTTGAGAACTGCAGGTTTTAATATTGGACCGGTTATTGGTTAGTTGTGATGTGGGCGATGATATTTGCAAATATAACTTAACCGTCGTTTTATTTGCAGAAACAACAAGATTTGTGTATGAAAAGAAACTGACGTCCTACTTGATTAAAGAAAAAGCAGGAGATGATGTTGTTATAAATCCTTCTGCGTAAGTATCCACGACTACTAAAGAGCAGATCTTCTACTAAACAATAAATGTACACTTTACAGGGTGCTCTCTTGGTGTGCGTCAAACTCAAGGTAAGTTAGTCAATCAAAACTCGCATATTGGTAATACTAAATGAATATTTATCTATCTGACAGTCCTATAAAAGAACAAATTGAGACGTCAACCATACGCCAAAGGAAGACTTCTCCACAACCCTCCCCACAAAGATCTGAAGGGCCAGACGAAGATGCCCAAATGTATGGGGAAGAAAGTGTCAGTTTTCCATCAGCAGATTTACCTGAAACACCAAGCCCCAAAAAGCCAGTCATCGCTTCGCCTACATCCAGAAAATCCAGTTTTGCAACCAAAATGATAATTTTTGTCATAGTTGCAATTATGGTATTCGTTGGCCTATTAATTTTAAATATGGAATCTGCTCATTCGGAACCTGAATTTTGAAAACTAAAAAATGTGTTGAAAAACAATAATCTAAAATGATTGTATGTGTTTTTCATAATATTTTTAAATATCTTGAAAAGAACAACTCATTAAAGTTTGATTTTAAAACAAAAGCTTTCAACTATGAAAATACAATGAAAATTTATCCAACTATAGATATTTTTTCAAATAGGAGATTTTAATTATTCAATTATTTAAATTAACATTAAACGATTAATTAACTAGTCATAATTTACTACAAAATGAATAAAACTCAATGAAACGTTTCATTCTGGATGAAGAAATGTTTGTTGGTTTTTTTTAAAGCTGAACGATAAAAGACACAATTGAAAAAACATAAGGAGAAAGTGAAAAAAAGTCAGAGTTGTCTTCTTTTTTGTTTAATATCAATACCGGATTTTCGACTAAAATGGAGAGTCCGCAGCACTCTGTTATTAATAATATTACAATTATAAATTGTATTTAATTATCTTGTTGGTATTTACCAAGTTAGATTCGAGATTAATTAATCTCTTTCTTGTATCAGCAAGATCTAGTTCTCTTGAAGATAATTCATTCTTGAGTGTATTTATTTCGTAATTCTTACGCTTAATCTTCTCTTCTACAGCCTTTTTCCTCTTCTCTTTCTGTTTGTTTAATTATTTCATTGGAAGAATAAAGGATAAGATGGGATAAGAGGGGCTTTTTATATTAATTACTAACCTTTCCTCTATAATCCGGAGGTTCGCAATTATGTTTCGGCCATCCGTTTTGTGATCCATCTTTCTTCTCCAAGTGGAACGTCTAAGAAAAAGATGGAAGAGGATGAAAAATTTTGAATTATTTGCAAATAATTAAGGAACAAACCTTCTTTTGTTTAATAGCAGAATTTAGTCGTTTTTCTTGTTCTAGTCTCTCTCTTGTTCTGTGTAGAGATTCTCTTAAGTATTCACTCTCTTCAGTTCTTGTACGAATATCTTTTGAAAGCGAATCAACCTGGGCTGTTTTAGACGAAGCTATAGTTTCTGCATTTCTTAGTTTGGATAAATCATTTTCGTAGCCTTGCAAAAGTTCATCCTTTCGTAAAAGTCTTTCCTTTAACACTTTAATACGGCTAGTAACTACTTCGCAAGCTCTCTCCCTTTCTTGTTGAAGACGCTGCCTCTCCTCTTTTGAAAGGTGACTCATTGATCGTAAACCACCAATTTCATCCAACTCTAATGAGGATGCAACCCCTCGGAGTAGTGTCAGGTAAGTAGTTTCGCTAGCTTCTAAACTTTGTAGCGTTTCTCTATGCGCTGACCTCTCTAGGTCGGAGGCAGCTTGCATTTGTGGGGTAGGAGCAGCGATACCTCGTGCCCTATTCACCTGAGAAGCTAGAGTACTTGTATCAATTGTGGCTTCTGCTGGTTGACCAGCTCGCATTTCAGCCAGTTCTTTTTTGAGCATAACAACTTGTTGAAGAGCTTGATCATGAGTTGGAACTAGTGAAAATTTCAATTTAGCATTGTTAGATTAGCAAAAGGTTGAGAGGATTAGCAAACTTACTATTTGGACGAACTTGTTCTAAAGCCTTTATTCGGGCTCTTAATTCGGCTAGGGCTTCACGTTGTCTAACGATAGTCTGTTCGTGTCTTTCTCCTCTGCATTGAGCTCCAAGAGCGGAAAGGTGTTGAGAGATTTTTCCCTCTTCCTCAATACTTTCTTTAGTTTTAGTAATGTGTTCTTTTTCAACTGCCAGCTTATCTTTCAACTGTACAATTTCATTTTGTTTGTCATTGTTGATAGTCTTAAACTTGGATAAGGCCGATTTACTCTTGGCCAATTCTCCTCTTAGATCATTAATATCGCTTGCTTGTTTGTCTATGATTTTTGACAATTGAACCATTTGCTGACGGAGTTGTATTAACTCAGATTCACTCTCCGTAACCTTTGACTTGTTCTTTTCCATCTCTCTCTTGTATTCTTCACTGAATTCTCCTAATTATTCAAGAGAAGAATGATTAATAAATTACAAGATATTCAGGCAAAATCGAAGTTATATTAAAAATATAATTTCTTTAGGATTAAGCTTTATCGATTAAGTATACCTTTTATATCGGATAATCTTGCTTCAGAACTTGCCAAATCTCTTCTTAAACCCAGAACAATCTGTTGTTGATCGGTTAGTTGTTTCTTATATTCAGCGTTTTCCCTAAAATATTAAAGAGTATTAGAGTTGACTAGATATATAATAAATTGACAAATAACATACTTTCTTAAGCCGATAACTAATTGTTCCAATGATGAAAAATCAGTTGCCTGCTTCTGGATAACAACTTTAGGTTTTGGAGGTTCGACTGGCGGCCTATAAGTGGCTTTTGTTCTTAATTCCGTAACAGTTTGCTTATGCTGTTGCAGTTCAAGTTGCAATTGTTTTTTTGATTCTAAAGATTTTTTCAATTTCTCCTCCAATTGACAAATTGTTAGAGAATGTTGGCGAATTTGTTCCTTATAAGATCCTATTGTTGATTCTAGCTTCTGTTCTCCTGTATTTTGTTCAATTCTGAATTTTTCTAGTTCTTCTAGTTTTTCGGTCTTTGAAATATCTAATTCTTTCATTAATTCGATCTTATTCGTTTCTAGGACTGATACTTTAGAATATAATTGTTCAGCTTCCTCTTTAATCGTTGAAATTTGTTGATTTTTCTCAGATATTCCCAATTTTAATTGTTCAATTATAATCTCCTTTTCAGCAAATTTAGCTGCATTATCGGCTGTCATGCTAGCGAGTTTTTCCTTCTGTTCATCAATGAATTGTTCGAATTTTTGTTCAAACTGCTCTTTATATGATATTTCTTTCCTTTCCAACTCTAATTTATTCACTTCAGTCATCTCTGTTCGAGTTTCTTCTATTCTCTTTTTCATTTCCTCTAGGTGTTTAGTTTCAATTTCATCTAATCTTGTTTGTAGACGTTCCTTATCGACTCTGGCAGCTTCCCAAGTGTCGCTTAGACTGACTATATGCTTTGCGTGAGCTATATATTAGAAAAAAAAGAGAGAACAACAATTAACCTCAATCAAGTTAACTATATAAAGACTATAACTTACAATCTTCAGATATTCTAGTATTTATTCCACAAACTTCCAAGCTAGATTCAATATCTCCTTGCCAATCGGAAACAGTCTGGAGAAGATTTATAACTTCTTCTTTTATCCCTTTAAGTTCATCACAAACACTTATGGTCTTTAATAATTCGATTCTATTCTTGATATTATTCGAAAGTACTCCTTTACTTTTCAGATGTTCCTAAATGATTTCAATATTTAGAAAAAAAAATCAACATCTTAAAACAAAATAGTAATTTTTTTGTTGTTGCTTTTTTCATCCTCAAAGTATAGAAAAAGAGGAGAATAGAAAAAAAAAGGAAACGGAAAGAGACAAAAATATAATACGTTTATAAATTTCTACGATTTTTCTTATTTCTTTATATTTCAATGTATAAGAAATATTAATAATAAATTGTAATAAATAAACTAAAAGTTCTTTTTTTTTTAATACAAAACTTATGAATAATGAGAAATAAAAGCAAACAATTAAAAACATTTATTGTCAGTTTGTTTGTTTATTTATTTGTTTGTTTTGTTTGTTTCGTTTAATTTACTTTCATTTCTCTATCACTTTTTATTGTATTTTTGTTTTTTCTACTAAAAGGAAAAGTAATAAAAATAATAAAAATAGAAGATCGAATCAGCTTAGCGTGCGCGAAGAATGACGAATGAATATACATAAATAAATTAATATACAGTATATATATATATATATACAGTATACATATATATAACTATATATATATACATATGTATACGTAAAAAAAGAAAAGAAAGAGAAAGAAAGAAAGAGAGTCATTAAGATCTTCTTTAAGCATAACAAAAGTTTTTGTTTGTATTACAGATCTAACAAAGATATTGCATAATGATAAGAGTCCAATAAAAAAAGTATCTCTCAACGATTCTGTTTCAGAGAGAGACAGAGGGTAACCGAGTTTATATCTCTACGTGTTTAACTGCAAAGAGGCCAACCAATTTTTGAAGACCCGCCCAATATTTTTGGTCCTGTGGGCGTGGCCTATTTCTTTGAAGCCCCGCCCTGTAAAATAGACCAAACGGGCGTGTCACTTAGGTAATATTTTGTTCATCTTATATAAATGATTTTTGCATAGCTTTATTTTTGTTCTAAAGTGAATTTATCCCATTATATAGAAATAAGCACTTGTTTGAATGTGTTTACTTCAAAAGCTGATTAATTCAACCTTTGCAATAAGATATCCGATTATTGCAAAGGCTAATACTACTCATATTATTTTAGCTTTAGGTCACAAGGAGTTACTTCCATTTTTTTTTCTATTTTTACCTTTCTTATAACTGATTAAAAAAAATAGGGTTCTCTCTAGGGATCACGTGACCAAAAACTAAAAATAAGGAGCATATAAGGGTCTTTCTAGCGATTAAAATATTTCTAGGATTTCACTTTTAATTAAAAAAAAATGTTTATAAAAAATGAAAATAAATGATATGATTATTAAGAAATTTTGTCTACATACCGTTGTCTCGGCTAAAGAAGATCTAATTTTCCTTGCAGAATCGGCTTCTACCTTCTTAGATGTTGCATGCGATGATAATTGCTCTTTCTGATCAGTTATCTTTTTAGTCAAATCAGTTCTTTCGTCGATCAGCTATATAAATTTATAGAGAGAGAGAGAGAGAGAGAGAGAAAGAGAAAAAGTAAAGTTATTTTTATACGCTTTCAACTTTTTTCCTTTTTATCTTACCTTTTTCAATGTTTCCATTAAAGCATCATCTGAAATTTCATCGCTTGGAGCTCTAATTCCAGGTGTTGAGAATGTAACTTGAACTACTCGATTTCTAAATCTGTCTAGTTTTTTCTTTAAATTCTCCAAATCAATTCGTGTTTGCCTCTCTGCTCTTTCCATATCGGCAAATTTTGAATTGGACTTTTCTACCTCCAATTGGAATTTTCTTTGTTTCTATAAATAGATTTTAAATTAACAACCCCCGTTATATGACGTTATATTATATTATTACATCTATTTCTTCCTGGAGAGCAGTCTTTGTTTTTTCAATCTCAGATTTTAAATCGTTATTTAGAGTCATTTGATCCTGTAAATGGGACTCCGTGTCCTTGAATTTCTATATTAATATAAAGAAAATTATATCCCATAATAAGGATTATAGATCGTAAACTATAAATATAAAATAGGCTTTTCTAACCTGTCTCAGTAGAGCTAGCTCCTTATCCTTATTGTCCTGTTCGTCGATAACCTTCCTATCCTCAGTGACTTTTTGATACTAGATTGTTAAGATAAATAGTTTATTTTATAAGCCCAATAGTTTTTTTTATTAAAAAACTATAATCAATACTAAAAAGATGTTTGTTCTATTTGTTTGTCTGTCTGTTTGTTTGTTTGTGTTTGTCAAAAAGATATTGTAAAAATTATGTACATATATATATATATAACATTTGATATATTAGTATTACTTGTTACTAAATAGGTGAGGACATTAAAGGTATGTGGATGAATGAATAGGGGAAGGGAAGGAGTGGAATTGGTAGTGTTAAAAATATAAACATTGAATAGTATTTTGTGGATAAATCAAAGATTAAAAGTAGTCTTCCTAAAAAAAAGAGACAGTTTTCTGAACAAAAATGGCTGATTATAAAAAAATTGACAAAAATTGTAAAAAGCGTGCAAAAAAGACAGAGAGAGAGAGAGAGAGATGAAAATTAGATGGGATTAGATATTTATTTAAATTATTTTGCTGTTAATTATCTGATATTTTCAAAGGGGAATTTTGTCAAAAAAAAAAAGAAGAATCTTGATCCAATGTTTGATTTGAACTGGTTGAAATAATGATGTTTCTTACCTCAAGAGTCTGAACCTGGATGGACATCATCGGACATTTCACAGCAAACAATAACATGTATGGAAAAGTTGTAAGCATTGCATTTAATTAATTTTATCATGCAAAAACAACAAAATAAACAAAAGAACTAGGAAAGTGCACATAATTTTGTTCTACTGTTATTTTGTTTGTTTGTTTTGTTATTCTCTGTAGAACAAAATAAGTAAAGCAACTTTTCAAAAAGTTTGTTAAACAATTTGATTGAAAAGACAAACTTTTACATTTATATTAATAACTATAAAATATAGTTTAGTAGGTTAATTGGCCTTTTTATATTTACAGCGCATAGATTACAAACCTTGCTTTGCATGGCATTTAATTGTCCCTCCTTTTCCTTGTTTTCAGCTCTTAGATTTTCTACTTCTCTAGCTAAACGACTTATTGATGTATCTTTTGCAGTCATATCTTTTTGAATTTGAGATAGGACGCTATTTGTTAAATTCTTTTCCTTTCTTATTCTTTCAATCTCTGATTGTAGTCGAGATATCTCGAGAACTTTTTCATTGTATTCCTGCTTCGATATTGCTCCATTTTCGCTTTCGGATGAGCTTAACTGTTGAATTCGATCTCTGAGACGAGTTATCTGAAGAAAGTGTTGAAAGAGTTGTAAATTTATAATCAATTATTCAATAAATATATAGTTTTACTTCGTCCTCTTTCAGAGCGATAGCGTTTTCCAGTTGAGAAACTTTATTGTTTAGGTCGTTATCAGTTGAGACAACTGTTGTAGATTTTATCTGAGCATCTCTTAACTTTGACTGGAGATCAACTATTTCATTTTTTAGTTGTCGGACTGTATTCTCCCTTCTAGTCAATTCTACTTCTGTAATTGTCAATCGTTTGACGTCATTTTGCAATTGAATAATCAATTGTTCCTTAGCGTTGAGTTGGTCTTGAAGATTCTGTTGTATGGCTTGCGCAGAAGGACGAGATGTAGGTCCTGGTCCTATCCAGCCGTTTGTTCTTTCCTGGCTTGCTTTCGTCCTTTGAATTACGTTGGAAGCGCTTGCAGGTCTTTGTCGAAGGTTTGGCGGACGAGGTAAAGGAATTTGTTGACTCGTCGTCCAGGTTGTTGAATGAGTGGCAACAGCATTGTCTAGAGTGGGAAGACCCCTAGCCGAATCTGTTTGCATAGGCCTATGAGGATAGGGAGCCTCTTCTATAACAGTTATCGGTTGATTCCAAGCAGTCCTCTGTCTAACAGGCGGATACGCAACCTAAGAAAAAAAGGCCTATTTGAAAAATCGAATCTTACTGAATAGTTATAATGTCTATAAAGCAAGTGTTAACTAACGAAAGGTTTTGATAAGAGCAACCAAAAAATGCTGCTCTTTCTAAATATGCTAAACAAAAAGAGGGCCACTCCCATTCAAAAGGGTACAAATTGAATAATAAAAGAATAAGAGCCTCTTCTTAATAGCAGCGTCAGAGTAAATTTGAAAGTGATATTGACCTTGCAAACTATTAGATATTTTAAATTCTTCTGAAAATATAATCTGTCTCTCACTCTCACTTTTACTCTTCGTCTTCCTCAGGAGATTATCTTAATGAGGATTAAACAGGAATTATCAACTATATGGATACATTTTTTTAAAACATATATTACTATACAAAGTACACTCGGGCAATTGCCGATTGTATCTGTGAATGAGTAGGAAGTTTAATAAAAATATGGCAAAAATAATCTTTTAAGTAATAGGCATGCCATGATTATCTTATATACTAAACTTTCAAAACGTAAAGTACTGTTGAAAATTCACCCGGGAAAAATGAATCCATAATAGTTTTTTGTATGATTGAAGATAATGAAATGTATAGCCTAGAAATGACTACATTTAAGTATTGGACAGATATAAATCGATTAAAATATATATATATATATATATATATATAATAAATAGCTCATATATGCTCTTAATTTGCGTTTTATAGGCTAAATATATTGAGGTACTATACCGGAATCCAAGTCTGAAGCTAGAAATGAAGTCAAATTTTTAAATATATCAGCCTACTAGGAAACTAATTTAAATTACTTTGGAATCATATTCGACTTCTAGTTCGTACGCTTCTCCGTTAAAGCCGAAGCGAATGATATCGCTAGGAGCCAATCTCACAGCCGCGTTCTGAATTCTGCAGTCGTTCACATAAGTCCCTTGAGCAGTATTTAAATCTTGGAGAACGAAACAATCTTCTGAATCGCTAAATTCAATTATGGCATGTTGTTGATCAGTTCCAGGTGTCTGTTGAAAAAATTATTTCAAATTTAGAAATTGTTTCTTCCATATCAACATTCTATTATTTTGTAAGGTTACTACCGCAACAACAAGATCACAGCCTTCCCTGCCGACGGTTGTTATCTTCGGTCCTAACTGAAAGACACCTCTGTCTTCGCACTTCAAGTATCCTCTCATAGTTCAATCATTCAATCTAAGATTGATTTAAAAAGATTTTCCACTTTAATAATTGATAAGTAGCCCGGTAAAGTTTGTAGATTAAACTATTTCTTAGGCCAACGCATGCGTGTGGGCGCCTAACAACAAAACACTCACATGGCAACGACGCTACGACTTTCGTAAAAATGATAAATAAAATGAAAGCAGTTCATTAAGATTAATTATTCTAAAGTGTTTTTTTAATTTTAAGCTAAAATCATTTAAAATTTATTAGAGATTAATAAAATTTAATTACGAAACACTTCTCAACCCTGAAGGAGCCCACGTGCTATTTTTGAAAAGATGGATGCAATTAAAGCTGGATGGTTCAGTGAGTTTAGCACCTTATGGCCAGGGCAATGTATGTCATTACAAATAAAAGAAATTCTACACAACAAGAAATCAAAATTTCAAGATATTATCGTAGCTGACACGTAAGTTTTTGTCCTACATCTGTCCAGCTCATTAATTTCGATTAACTTAACAGAATGAACTACGGTAGAGTTCTAATATTAGACGGTGTCATTCAATGTACAGAGAGGGATGAATTTTCTTACCAAGAGATGATCACACATCTTCCTGTTAATAGTCATCCTGATCCTGAAAACGTATGTTGCCCTTGAGATCTAAAAACTTTTTTAAAACTTTACCTTTACAGGTTCTTGTTATAGGAGGAGGAGACGGCGGAGCAGTTAGGGAATTAGATAAGCATCCTGCCGTTAAAAATATTACCATGTGCGAAATCGACGAAGAAGTCATTGAAGTTTCAAAAAAGTACCTTCCAAATATGAGTTGTGGATTCAATAGTAAGAAATTGAAATTGCATATAGGAGATGGATTTAAATTCATGGAAGAAAATAAAGGAAAATTTGACGTTATCATTACAGATTCGTCAGATCCCATAGGTAAAATTGATATTCCTTTCCATTTAAGTATCAGTTAACTCTATTTTAAACATGAGAACTGAATAAAAATGTTTTTAGGACCAGCTAGTTCTTTGTTCGAAAAATCGTACTATGAACTTATGAAGAAAGCACTTAAACCTGGTGGTATCGTTTGTTCACAAGGTAATTTTGAAATAAGATCTCTGATCGAATGGATAAATGTTAGTAAATTTTATTTTTAGGAGAATGCATTTGGCTGCATTTAGATATAATTCAAGATATGCAAAACTTTTGCAAGGAGCTATATCCGGTAGTTGACTATTCGTATTGTACTATACCTACTTATCCAAGTGGTCAAATTGGATTTACACTCTGCAGTTTGAACCCGGTATGGCCTTTCCTTTGATTGATGACTTAGTTTTGTAGTACTACGCTCGATGATTCACATTCGCTTAGTATATGGAACGATAGAGTTGCTCTTCTCTTTACACTATCTATATATTTTTTATATCTACAACTGTTTACAATTATTTATTATTTATCTATTCATAAGTTATTGCCAACAGGAAACAAAGTTCAAAGAGCCTAAGCGCGTTCTTACCAAAAAAGAGTTAGATGATTTAAATCTTCAATATTACACTCCCGAAATTCACCGAGCATCGTTCGTTTTACCACGATTTGTTAAAAAAGTAATTTTTGATTTTTATTATAAATTTTATGAGATAAGTGATTTTGACTATTTTCAAATATTTCAGAGATTGGAATCAGCTGATAATTAAATCTTGATGCTGAATTATCGTTCAAGGGACGGCATAGTGACTATGATTTAAGATAATTACTCTTTATGTTTCATAATTGTCTTAAAAAATATAAAAAATGAAAATAAAAATAAATTTATGTTTTACATGATAACGTAATTAAAAGCTTCCAAGCAATGTAATTCTCAGCTATCTCCAAAGTCTTTTCAAAAGGCTACCTGTTAGAATTAGGTTTTTCGTCTCCAGATGCAGAGTCTGACCTAAGAATAAAAAAAAAAACAACTTTACTCTTTCAATTCGTCAGGTACTGTATATTTATGAATAATCAGAATATTCTTGTAAAATTGAGACCTAGAACTAGGGTGACTAATGACAATTATTGAAAAAAATAAAATGTAAATGAAAACTGCAGCAATTTCTTCTTCATTTTCTCAGTATCAAGGTGACAACACGGACTTACTTTTCATTTTCCTCAGAACCGAATATTCGTAGTCGAGCTTCCTTATATTCTTGCTCTCGCTGTTCAACACTCTTCCATGTTGATGGTGTTTTTTGAGTCAAATTTGTTTCATTCTTCGGTCGTTCCTCGGGAGATCTTCTTAATATTCTTACTTGAGGTGTATATTGGGTTCTGTCTGTATCTTCTCTTAATATTCTATTGATAATATAATTTTTAATTATAGACTCTTCATTATAAGAAAAATGAAAAAAAATACATACGTTGGTTTTGTGGATTCTTTCCTAGCTTTAATATTAACAGAAGTGAAATTTGGCTTTGTATTATTCAATTTATTCTGTAATTCCTGTTTGAATCGGATGAATCGGTAAGATAGGAGGAAAAAATGCAATTAATCACATACAAATTTACAAAAGTATTCTTTTATTTAATAGAAAAATATTATATAAATCAATAGAAACGTTAATATGATAAGAAAAAAATTAAACTAACGTCATTTACGTCTAAATCTTCCCAACTTTCGACTTCATGATTTTCCGCCATATTGCTCAGCTTTGCTCGAACTTCAAGATAGTATACTTCAGTACATTATATTTTATTGACGTAATAAACCTATTGCAATCTGAATATAAAATTTACAATCGAATCAACAAAATTTTTTAGAAATATTTATACTGAACATTTATGCAAAACTTGAAAGTGTAGTTTAATTATAAGTTTATTACATTCATAAATTGCTTCTACACTAAAATCAATATCAATCTTTAATGTGACATTGTCAAGTTATAGACGTTTCTTTCGAATTTTCCTACGAATTTTCCTTCAACTATCAACAATTCTGCTAAAATAGGATTACTTGCCTCCTGATTTCAGTATCTTGTACATAGTATTCTCTCACTTATGAATTAGTCATGTGACCATAAATTTTTTTTTTATTCCGTATAGCCTCATTTATAGGTAAAAAGGTGGAGGGAACAGGTAACCGGACTAATAGAAATTGGTTATGGCGTCTGAATTGAGTGACGGAGCGACAGAAACTAACATGTCTGAACTAACTGACGAAACTTTGGGTCGTGATAATCCGGCTTTTGCTGGAGCAACCCTCCAAATTGAAGATCCCGAAAAGACCAGTGATGATCCAGTCCCAGATGTTGAATTTAAAGGTACAAACTTTGAAAGAAATATACCAAGCCGAATGAGCACCATATCAACAACGTCCAGTCGATCTAGTCGAACATCTATGAAGAGTGTAAAATATCCTGAGCATACAAAGAAAGATTATTTTTGCAAACGAGATGGAACTTTCGAGAAGGCCCAAGAACATTGTCTAACTGCCGTTGTCAACCCTCAAATCGATGGAAAGTTTATATCAAGTTGGTTGCTAACTGAAATTGATCACTGGGACAACGAATCTGAACGAATTGTACTCTTATGCGAAGAGTCTATTTTAATCACCCGATATGATTTTGTTAAATTGGAAGCGTTAGGTAAATTTTTTACAACCCTTTATAGGATTTACATAAAAATAGATATTCGAATAAATTATTATTCAGCACATGAAGTTGAATCACCAACATAAGTTTTTTTTTTAATCCTAACTTCAGTGCTTGTTTAAGCTACTTGTCGAAATTTAATGATTTTCTTTTCAAACTATAGACGCTAAACGTATTATGTTGGCTCATATCAAAAAAATTCAAGTCGGTGACCTCACTTATCCTCCAAGTAGTTGGATGCCAGCAAGAAATCATGGTGGTGTACGAATAATCTGGAATGAGAACGCGCAACCTTCATTCGCCCAAAGATGGAATCCGTTTTGTAAAACTATTCCCTACGTAACATTAATTCATCATCCACTAATATACCACGATAAAGAAGAAGAGACTCTCTACTATAATGTTGATGAATTTTTTGAAAGTCTCATAGACGCCGCTAATAAAAGTTTCAAGGTAAATAAAACACTTATTGAATGGTTAACATGAATATAAATAAACCCTTTTTAAATAATTAAAATAGGGACAAAATAGCGGATCGTTTGTTCAAGTTGAAGAATCTCCAATAATGATTGAATGCTATACTGGATTAACATCAGTAATCTTTAATCAAAGTCATTTGGGATTCTCAAGAGAGCGTGGAGGAGTAAGCTTCTAAGTTTCTTCGTTGTAAAATAATGATATAATTTATACAGTATATACATATATCTGCATGTATGTTAATACTATTACTATTACTATTACTATTACTACTAATACTACTACTTCTACTACAACTACTCTTATACATAATTAATATGGAGAGAAATATTTCTTTTCTCTATACAATGCTGCATAAAATTGTTTTGTTCATTTTCTTTCAAAATGTCTGTGTTTGCTGTGATATGATAAATGAAGATCTGCTAAATGGAGTTAATTCTCACTAGTTACTTAATGTGATATCATTAACACAATATTTTATGCAAAATATTAAATAAAATAAAATATTAAAAAGTGATAATCATTACGCTCGCTGTTTAATTTTGTTTGTTCTTCTTTAAGTTAACAATTGTTCCACCACTGTCTCTCCACCATTTGTTTGGTTTAGGCGGTTTATTCAAATTATATTTTAAATAAATCAATTGCTTATATGGAACTGAGATTTAAAAATATATATTTATATAATGTTCATTTTAGTAGGGTGTAGAAGGTTTTTGATTAAAAATAAGAGAAAAAATTGGTCACCAAACCCCCTGCGCCTAAAAAAATCCCCCGTCTCTCCCCAAATACAACGCCCTTTGATGACGTCATCTTGGCCTTTGGAAACCCAGTGTAAAATAGGCGTACTACATATATTCTGACTCATAGTTGGAAAGGCCAAACAGGAAGAAAGATAGTTTTCGGTTGTTTAGCAAAAAATCTTGTTATAATCCTTTAGCAGCTAAGTATTTGTTGCTGTATATTTGATACATTCTAACCTATAAACGGCGAAGAAATGGCGGACAATGAACTGGCTGTAAAATTGCAAAGAAGAAATGAAATTAATGAAGGAGAAAGGGCTGTTGAAATATCATCTTCGACTGTTTTTAATCCTTACACAGAATTTCCAGAGTTTTCTAGAAAGCAAATAAAGCATTTTGAATATCTCTTTAAGAAGTAAGTAATCAAATTATTTAATAGACCAATTTAATGAATACTTAATAAGGTGATACGAAATTTTACTTTTCCTGATTGATAAGAGGAATTGGATTACAAATTCAAGCGATTTTTGATAGAATCTTAATTATTATCATTTTTTTTCTTCATAATTAAAACAGATATTTGTTTGGATATTAAAAAAAAATATTATAAAAGCTAATATTTTAATATAACAAAAAGAAAGAATTGTTCTTTTATACTGCTATTGAAATGGATAAGAATTTACATTATTCCCTACAATGATTCAATGATATAAATTATTCATTAACTCTATATTGTTTAGGTATAAACATCTTATTGATTATATATTATATTCTATCTTTCCCTTGATAAAATATAATCAAGGATTCACAGCCAAATACTTATTTTCCACACTTTAAACTCATTCTGCTTTTCGGTTTTATTAATAGATTCGTATCTATTTGTAAGACCTATGACCTTTTTTTTTTACAACTTATTTTCATAGGCTTATACACCTTATTTAAATATTATATACTTTAGGTGATGGTTCTATAGGTCTGCTATAATACAAACTTTTTCGATAGCCAAAAGATGTCGCTTCTAGTGCTAAGTTGATTCTGTTTTAGTTTTTACTGTATAAGAACAATATGAATATATATTACAAATATTCAAGGGAATATTTATTTTGATATTTATTAAAATAAACAAATAGATTTGACGTCTCCAAAGACAAGTTCATAGATTTTGAAGAGATGAAGCGTCTCATGGAGCATATTGGAGCACCGCAAACTCATTTGGCTCTTAAGGCAATGATAAAGGAGATCGACGAGGATCATGATAATAAAGTTAATTTTCGCGAGGTATATGCCAAATAATAAATTAAAAGTGAATTATAAATGATATTAACCATTATTAGATTTCGAATGATTTTATACTTCTTTGTTTAAAAAACAGTTCCTGCTAATCTTTAGAAAAGCAGCCTCCGGAGAATTTGATAGTGGTAGTGCTTTTTATGAAATTTATAATAACCTGAGTGAGATCGACGTCGATAAGGAGGGTGTTACGGGTGCAAAGGGTTTTTTTGAGGCCAAGGTTTCTATTTTTCAAAGACAATATTCACAATTAAAATGCTACTAGATTTATATTTATTTGTCAATTAGATAAAAGAGCAGGCAAAAGCTAATAAATTCGAAGCAGAAATAAAAGAGGAACAAGAGGAAAAGAAGAGATTGGAAGAAGAGAAGAAACAAAGAAGGGCTGAATTTAAGGCTAAAGCTAACCTCTTTAAATCATAAAATTAATTATTGAAGTGCTTATTGAAATAGTTGAAATAAATAATGTACTTTCAACTTCCTACTATTCCATTTTGCAATAAGATCCGAAATAATCCAATTTTAATACATAAAGACTTTATTTTTATCAGTCAAGTTTTCGGTGCAAATGACATTCATATATAAATCTATATAGTGTATTTTAGTTAACCAGTTAATACAATATTGTATGACGTTTTCTGTGACAGTTTGTTTTTTAAATAACAATGTAAAAAGTTTCGTTTTTCGACAGGAAAAAAGAAAAAAAAGATAGAAATGTATTTGTTAATTAATAGGGAGATATTTTTTAATTAGACAAAATATTTTCAGTTTATTACATTACATAGTACTTTCATTCCTCTCTCTCTCTCTCTCTCTCTTTAGTTTGTCTTTTAAAGATGAGAAATACTCAAAGTGGAATGTTTATCATTTTTGAGTAAAAAAGTGTAAGAAAAAAGAAAACAAATCTGCCTTTTGTTCCTACTAGAGAAATGTCCACCTTATTGGAATTTTTATTTGTCGGAATATTTCCTACGACGTAGCGTTTTTGGAAAAAATTCGTCATTGTAATTTCCATTATGGACGTTTCTCTAGAAGAATATTTGTTAAAATCGTAATTGTATTTTAACGTCAGCTGCTAGGCTGTCTTTGCTGTACAGTTGTCTCTGAATTCTAAGAGAGAAGAATAATTGTCTAGTATTGTACTTATTATATTTGCTAAATAATTTACCTCGAAGGAAGTTGGTTGATGGGTTGTAAAACCACTACCAACACCACCACCACTTCTAGCCAACTGTCAGTAAGACTTGACGTTTTCCTCCTCGTGTTGTTCATATTTCGGAGGCTTGTCTTGGCCGTTACCGCAGCAAATTGATCTTATTTTGTCGACGACATACGTACAACCTGAAGCATCCAATACATAAATAGGATATTAGCACAGAAAAAGATAGAATAGCAACCTTTTATTATTAATCAGCACATAATTGAAGAATAGCTTCTGAAACTGGCAGTAAATATGCCCTAATCAGAAATAATAATTAGAAAATTATATGGTTTTTTTTTCCAAGTTGATAATTTAGGACATTGAAATGTCACTCGATTTATGCAATGCAGAAAACACCAACAATGTATTTACGTTTAAGGATTTTTATTCTAATAGACTGGCCTAACGTTCAAGTTTCGATTCTTTAATTCTATAAAGAATTTGGAACCCAGGTCCAGATTATAATTATCAGTCGATATTACTCAGGTCACGTATTTGAACTTGAACAGGTTCATAGTTATTCTTCTTACTTAAAAACATGTTCAATACTAATTTTAACTCGAAAAATTAGAAAGTATTTGATAATTTAACGATAGTACCATATTACACTATAACAATATCAATCATTAGCAAATGTACCATGTCATTGACCAATTTTCTTGATTTGGTAATATTCTTAAAAAACTATTTCTATGGCAACCAATTACTAACAAGCGGAACTGTACGAATGATAGTTGTAGATATTTAGCATGCATAAGTTCAATAGAGAGAAAGAGAGAGAGACAGACAGACAGACAGACAGATACAGAGAGACAGAAAGGTGATTGTTGATTTGAAGTAAACAAATTTTATAAAGAAAATGATACAATATCAAATGGATAAAAACGTATTAAAGTAACAGAAAAAGGTACCTTATTAGCTTTATAGAGAAAAAAAAGGGTGAAGAGAGAAATGAAAAAATATATATTAAAGTGAAAAAATGTTTATTTGATGTTCTTTTAACAAAATATTAATTATTATAATAAATTATTAATTGCCTATAAATGTAGTTCATAGATGTAAATTAAACGTTTTTATTATTATTGTTATAATGCGTTTATAAGTATAAATATATATTTATATAATGAAAAGTTTAGTTTAACTTGAATATGACGTCAAATGAAAGTTTTTATTAGAATTCTTTGTTTTTAGGGAAAGATGGCTTTATAAAAAAAAGTTATTAAATGCTTCTGATTGGAGATTTTAATCTACTTGATTGGCTTATTCGATGAAATTATCATGTTAGATTGCATTTCCTGCTTTTAAAAGGAATTTTTGTGACGTCATAGGAGTCTCAACAGGGCATCTAATAGATGAGAAGACATGGGCGGCTTGTTCTGATGTAGACTGCGACTTTTTGCAGTCGACAACGGGTTTTACATTCGTTTAGTGCTCACGATATATCTTACACTGAAAAAGATATATATAATCATTGAATAAATGGTGTTATTATGAGCAAGGACATAAGAAACAATAGTATAACGCCTAGTAGTCTATTTCAAAAGTTTCGTTCTAAAGTTTCGTCGTCTAAAACTTATGATTATGGAACAAAGAATGGTAGAAATTGGCAGATTATTAAGAAGGTTCTACTGTGCATTATACTTATGTCTGCTATTGGTTCTTTGATATTTGTTGACTTTCGAGAAGAAATTGAAGAGAAGAACTCTATTGAAGAATTTCTTCTTTTACTTGATGAATTTGATAGAGATATTGAATTTTTCGATATTTTTGCTATAGAGAAATCATATACTATTAAGAATTTCTTTGCTAATTATTCAATTTTATTAAACGCTGCTAAAGAGAGAACTGACAAACTACAATTCAAAAAGGCACACTACATTTCGTCATTAAGAAATGAGAAATCTGTTGATATTCTCTTGGATAATTTTACGAACTTCTGGAAAGATTATCAGCAATATATCTTCTCTAATCTTCATGGTTTAAAATTAGCTAAGGAATATCAACATATTCTTGTACTTAATTATCTAATGAATTCAATTTATCATGTAATCCTTATAAAATTAATTTCAAATCTTCTGGAGTTTTCACCTTCAAATGTAATGATTTACAGACTTAATATGACAACGATTATGGGTAATGAAAATGTTAACTACGCTTCTAAAATAGCCTCAAAATTGGATTACAATTGTATGCTAACAAATGTAAATGTACTGGAAGAAAAAAGGTACAAATTTATTTAAAATATCTATCTCATCAAAGCAATTTTAATTGCATAGGTGAATCGAACTCAAAAAGAGAGAATGAGAGAGGGTGAGGAGAATAAGACAAAGAGATAGATACAGAGAGCGAGAGAGAGAGAGAGAAAGATAGATAGATAGATAGCTAGATAGATAGAGAAAAGGGGAGGAGAGAGGAAAGAAGACTGAGAAGATAGATTGACAGATAGAAAAGAAAGAAAAGGATGGGATAGAGATTCAATTTAATTTTTTCACTTTCATTTATCAAATAATTGTATATCCTCCATATTCATACTGCATACTGTTTAGAGAAGAAATACGGATTTGCTAATGTGTCATATGCAATAATATTTATATAATTATATATATATATAACAAAACTATATATATATAACATTACTTATTTATTTATATAGTGAAGAAATGCTGAGAAAATGCAGAAGTAGCCTTGAGGAGAATTTTAGAAAAACCTGGAAATTACGCATAGCAGAATTATACAGATGGATATCATTTGAAATGCTTATGCTTATTTCTTGTGCAGCAATTATTCTAGCTATGGCTCATTCCGTTTATCAAATGTCCAATTGGATATATAAATATATAAATTTGGTTAAGAATAAAACTGAACAACTGCAGATTGAAAGGACAAAAAGTCAAAATTTATTGTATAGCATGTTGCCAAAATGCGCAGCTGAACAACTACTTATGGGTAAGAGGGTACAGGCTGAAAGTTTCGATAGTGTTACTATATATTTTTCCGATGTTGTTGGATTTACATCAATATCGGCTAGAAGTACTCCAATGCAAGTTGTCGAAATGTTAAATAATCTATATATAACTTTCGATGAACGAATCGACACATATGATGTTTATAAGGTTGAAACAATTGGAGATGCGTATATGGTAGCCTCTGGCCTTCCAGAACGAAATGGAGAAAGGCATGTAGAAGAAATAGCAACCATGTCAATTGATCTTTTAGCTGCCATAAAACAAATACGCGTTCCTCATAATCCGGAGGAAAAGATGCGCTTAAGGATAGGCTTACACACAGGTACCCAATACGAATTACTGCCAAGCTTAAAATCATCAATCATATTTATCTTATCTAGGTCCCTGCGTTGCTGGAGTTGTTGGCTTAAAAATGCCTCGTTACTGCCTTTTTGGTGATACTGTAAATACTGCAAGTAGAATGGAAAGTAATGGCTTGCGTAAGTAGCTCAACGGGTGATCTTCCTAGTTTATCTTTGAACCTATTGATTTTCAGCATTGAAAATCCACATGAGTCAATCCACAACTGATTTATTGACAAAGTTAAACAGGTACAATATTGAATCACGAGGATTTATCGAAATTAAGGTAATATTGATAATTTAGGAATATAGATGATGCAATATTAACTATCCAATTAACGTTTTTATTCTTCTTACATTAGGGCAAAGGGTCGATGGAAACCTTTTGGCTTATTGGAAGAAAGGATATGACTGAGATGAATGACAGTATGGTATGTAAATTTGTACCTAGGAAAAAAAAGAAGAAAGAAGCTAAAATACCCCCAGTGGAAGAGACCACAAAAGAAGAAAATCTCGTTTTAAATGGTGTTAATAGACGATCTTCTTCCGAAGTTATCCAATATCCGGATAGTAATGCTTGATCCATCAATTTTCTATTGGTCCTTTCCGAATTCCAAGAAATAACTTTTATCCAAAATTAAATTTATTCCTTCCAATTTACATGAAATATTTCCTGTTCAAACCTTATCTTTTCATTCCATTCCACTTATCATAATTTTCTTTAAAAACGCAAACTCTAGCATTCTAATTTAGTTAGAATACGAGAAAGGAAAGAGAGTATAATGAAAAGGGAAAACTTTTCTTGTTTTATCTTATTTCAATCTTTGTAATATATATATATATATATATATAGTTTTTACAGTATGTTCCATATAAACTGCATTTTAAATGATCATATACTGCAAATGTAAACAATACAGTTTACATCATTCACTATTTAAATAAACACTTCTTAAATTAATCTTTCAGTTTTTTTTTTGCACGTATTGACCTTGATTAATAAGGGAAAAAAGATCACTTTTTTAGCCTTGTAATGTTTCATCTTTCTTTTCTATTCGACACAAATAACTTCCTGCTACTTTTTCCTGTTTATAGATTTATCTTTGTTCTTTATCTATATTTATGTTTATATTGATAAATTCTATGTATTTTTGGCCTACTTTCCCATGTTATATCGTAATATATCTTGTAAGGATAAGAGGCTAATAAATTCTTATATATGGGTTAAATTTCTCTTTTAACTGCGCCATCTAGTATGGAAAGTGGATAGGGATTTGTTGCCAAAGGCTCTTATTGAGAAATCTGTTATATCTATTTCCAACTGGAAATATTAGAAATTTTTATTACCAATGGTTGATATCAAATCATTTCTAGCCACTTGCTTTACATCGGTATGAACTTCTTAATAGTAGTCAATAGATGGCGCCGTTGTGATTTTCCTGAAATCTGGCGCCCCCAAGTGTCTAAGAGACTGTGCCATTAAATGTAGCTAACAAACCACCCGTACATAAAAATGTTCGGAAACAGAAGATAAAAATCAGACAAGCACACGGCGAATTATAGGGGAGCCTTGAAGCGTAAAGCAACTAGCTCGTTACCCCCCTTATCTTATCTGACCTTCTCTACAAAAATGCCAAATTTCCCCTTTCTATCGTGTCTGAAAAAAGTCAAAAGTATCTAGAGGAGACGCCGACGTCGCCAGGTGCAACGCGCATATTCTCGCGCAGCAAAGACAAACAAAGCACATGTATATGATATTAATACAAAACGATAGACACTCGGCATGTAGCGTTCTAGACACGTGACGCTTTAGACGCTTTGTTTGAGCGTTTGATGAGCGTTCGTTCGTTCGTACCTTGCGTGCTGTTCTGCTCGATTGCGTTCGATAGGAAGCGAATTTTCGATCGGTTTGAAATGCGAAGTTTTCCCTCCGACCTATGACCCGTAGACGCAAAATCACGTGACCTGAAAAATTTGTCAGTAATTTCACCTTGAATTGTACGCGAAAAACATATGACAAAACCAATAAAAAGCGTTGTGCGTAAATTGGCATATGTATATATGCCTAAGTGAGTGTCTATGTGTGTGTGTGCCTGCGTGTGTGAGTCTGTGTTGGAAAAACGAGTGGAGGGGAGGAGGAGAGTAGCGGAATTGGGGGGAGGGGGTCGTAGAATAGATAGGGAAGGGAAGAGAAGCGGGAGAGGGAGAAACAGAGAGAGGAGAGAGAGAGAGGAAAAAAAGAGAAAGAAAGACATAAAGAGCCAGTCAAAAAAAAAAACGAAACAGTAGTGGCGTTTCTTTCTGTCATATAATAGTTAAAAATCTCGTGACAAACACGAGAAACATTCCGGGTCTTCTCATCTTTCATACAGCTTTAAAAAATTCGGTAACATTTATAATTAGAAAGAAAATGTTTAAATGTCTAAAGAAAAGGAATGTTTAAAATAGGCCTATTAAAATCATATTTATTATCCCAAGCTTACTTATACGAATTTTGAACAGATGAGAAAATAGAATTATAGCTGAAGTAGCATAAAACTCTAGTTTTTAGAATCCAGGGACCTAAAATTATAATAATAGAATAAAGTTTTGGATTTATTCAGTTTATATTAAAATATTAAAAGTATTGCTAGTAATTTTACATTCAACAATAAAGGAAATATCATTGAATATAAGTATGAACAATATACGAGAGATCACGTGAACGGAAATGCAATAATCAACAATTAGATTGAAATTGAAATATGATTTGTAAGATGAGAGAATTATTAGTTGAAATTTGAAATACGTTCTCGTTGCTCAAAGAATTTCATCCCCTAAGGTCATATGATGGAGAAACAAACAGTTATTATACCAATTTCTTCTTCTTGTGTAACGCCTTCATTCTGAAATGGGAAGTTCTTACCTTGGGGAACTATTAATCAAAGGTAGACGCCCCCATCTATGTACCTGTATTGATTAGCCGTTATATAATACGGTTATAGCCAATAAACTTATAATTGATTAGAATGAAAGTTAAAAATGCGTAAAATCACATGATCAACAACAGGCATGCATAGAGTTCTTTGAAGTGATAACAAACTATACAAGCTCCTGATAAAATGGGTAATTTGTTTTACAAAAGCTTCAGAGAGAGGATTTCTTAAAGAAAAAAAGGAAAAGAAGAAAGATTGGAAGAATTTATCCTATCTCATGATATATATCATTTCATTGAGCCAGTTTTCCTGTATATAAATTTATACCTCAGTACATAAATTTATATACTCTATTTATATTTATATTATAAATTTTACAATGTTTTTATCTTTATTCTATAAAAATTTTGCACTGAAAATAAAAGAAGAAAGACAAAAAACGAAAATAGCAACAAAAAAAAAAAAAACGACATATTCCTTTTTTTCGTTCGATCTTTTTCTTTCCTTTTTTTCTTATCAAAATTTTTAATCAAATTTTGTTTTTTAAAAAAAAAACATATTCTAATATTTTAGAATTATAATTAAGTTAATATTATTGCTTGTTTTTTTATGTAGAAATTGTTTGCTTTTTTTATTGGATTAGATAGATAGATAGATAGATGGAGAGAGAGAGAGAGAGAGAGAAAGAGAGAGCGTGAAAGAAAATAGTCTGATATACTGATTAAATATGACAAAACAGAAGAATTTTTGCACTTGAAAATTACAAAAAGAAAAAACAGAACAGTTGCAATTAAAAATTATGAATATTAATTATGTAGTTTAAATATGATTTTATATCATAAATCTCTATTCTCTATTGTTAAGTTTTTCCTCTAATTTATCTTTCATTCTTTCTATTCTATTTTTTTCCATTTCAATATCTTTTTCATTTTTTTTTTCTTAAAATTCAATTAATATCATTTTTTTTGTTGCTAATTTAGATATTTATTATATGTTGTTGTCTGTCACGAATGTGTAGCAGTTTGTATAACTTTTTTTCGATACTTTTTATTCTTTTTTTAGCATTTAATGACCAAAATATTAAAAGATAAAAGGAGAGTTTAGTTTTGTTTTGTTAGCTTGACTTTAACCGATGTCATTGTTTTAAAAAAAAATTCTCTTTATAGTTTGTCAATTAAAAGGAGTATGTATACAGATATGTTTATCTATATGTATTTATTAGTATATACATACTTTACTGGATAAGAGACTTGGGCCTAAAAGGTTAAGTTGAAACTTAGGGTATAAAAGAATATTGTATTATTTTGGAGAGATATATAGAAAGATGGATTTTATTTTCTCATATAAATTCATAATATTCAAAAGTCTATATACATAGTTTATGTTAAAAATATTGTTTAGCGGCTTCTGAAAGCCGATGTAATCGAGAAGTAGACATTTATTGACAATGTCTTAAGAAGGTTGCAATAAATATCTGTCTTTTTTATGGCTTACATAACAGAACAGGAAGGAAAAGAATAAATTTGTGTCTGACACACACTCACACGCACACACACACACTCTCTATCTATCTATCTATCTATCTTTCTCTGTATCATTTGATCCAGTTTTTTTAAATAATCAATTTAAATAACATAAAGTAAACAATGTTTGACAAAAGTTGAATATTTTCTGAACTGTTAAATATGCTTTAGAAATGTAAGTATAAATGAATATACTAAACTGTTTTAATGAGAAATTAGAGAAAACATAAGACAAGTACGAAGAGTGCACTCTTCAAACAAAACGATTCAATAATAATCACGAATATACAACCCGAGTTTTAAACGTATTTATCATGTATTATTCTATATATATATATATAAGTTTTATCCTTTTTCTCTTGTAACATATATATTGTGAGTATCTATGTAGGAATGTATTGTCTAACTATACAAATTTAAGAGCGAGATAATTAGGTCACAAAAGAGACGCCTGCCTCCAAAAGGGTGTGGTTCGTATTGTTATGAAGTAATTGGACGCATTCCATTGTTCAGTCAAGTCTATTTGTCGCTCTTTAGAATCACCGATACCTCTCTTCTAAACGCGTATCTCCTCTTCTTGATTTCATTCATTACTAATTAAGGTCACAGGTAAATTTTTTCAATGCGCAGAATTTATATACGTTACTGCTGTAGTCTATGAAACGCGATAAAAGGTGATGGAAGGCTATTAGAGAAGAGCATTAAAAATAAAAGAGATTCGATGTAATAGATGCAATACAAAGATTAATCTTTGAATCGATCGCTCTCATTCCGGTCATTATACCCACTTACGTAGCGTTACCTGTTGAGTAAATTCTCGTGTTCATCTATCTCTATCATAAAGCTAAGTTATTTTTAATAATTCCATCATCCATTAACAGATATTTTATATTTATACATAGATTCGTTCATACGTCTAATCCCTTACTAGAATATAGCTTAATTCATTAGATATTATAGATATAATTTAATCTTCTACTCATTAAAATATGCTTATCGTCTCTGTAACAAAAAAAGAGTCATCAGCAGAGTTTTTTTTCTGTTAAAAAACATAAGAATATTACTTAGCAAATTGAGGAAATAAAAGTTTTTTTCCTCTTTGGTCTCGTAAAAAATTATCAAATAATCCTTTTTTTTTTTTGA